CGTCACATTAATTTTTCTGTATGGTCTCCATCTCAGGCACACACACCCGAAGACAGCAGCAGATACATATATGTACATACGTATGAAAAGGATAAGTGTAGTATAGGAGATGAGGACAGGATATAGGAAAATGTGGATATTTGGACAAGTGTCTAAGTGAATCGACATATCTCTTACTTTTCGTGGCGAGGCGAGGATAGGACTTTTTTGTCCATGAAAGGAATGCTCTATAAAAGTCGGGTCGTCTTAAAATTTATGCTAATGTCGAGGCGAAAGAGATGGAATAATGGTCTGCTTGCTGGGCTTCATCTCTTTACAAATTAAAAAATCTACTCGCTCACTGCTCCATCGGGTTAAACGTTGTAAACAAGTTGGAATTATTCAAAAATATTTCGAAATTTTAGCACTTTAATTTAAAAAAGATGTCCAAATTTCGACATTTTCTGAATAAAATTCCGCAAAATTATGTACACTACGACGTGTTGATAAAGTGTGACCAAATTTGTCTTTAAAGAATAATTTCTCATTTCTAATAATCCCCAAAAAACCTAACACTACATAACATTTTTGATAAGTAAATGGAAATAAAACCGCTCCCGGCGCAGAATCCTGGTTGTAATTATGTTGTAAAAGTGTGCACCAGCAATTAAATGGTAGGCAAATAAGGAGTCAAATTAAAGTGCTGTCCATCTCGGAAAAATCCATATTTTTTCGAGAATCTGACACTTCTCAAATTTGTAATAAAATCCCAATCTCTATTTACCATCGCATGAGATTTGATATCGTTTGACACCTGCAAATTACTATTCTTGTTTGTCAACCAAAAACTAGTTACGCCACGACACGACCGATTTTACAGGCTTGTTTGTTTGCATCACAGAAATTCCTCGTCAATTTATTCAAATTTCAATTTCAACTAATAGTCCGTACTTAAGGAGTAATGTTCCATGGACCGAATCTCTCAGTTTAATCTATGTAACTCTAATTTTTTTCACCACCACCACATCTTCGAGTTCATCCTGCTGTTGAAAAATTCTGCCGTCTCATCTACTTGTCGGACTCGACGATTTTTTTCCTCACTTTTTGCAACAAAATGCATACTTACATATTCCCTTTGGAAAAGGAGGAGCAGTTCGAATTTACACAACAACAACAACAAAGATGAAGACAAAAGATGGCAAAATTGGTGGTTGGTCATACGTTACAAAAGCTTCTCTCGTAGACGAATTGTGGCGTGATCATCATGCACCATGCATCTGGCTAATCTGGATTGTTATGTAGACAGTTTCTTGACTTGTTTTTTATCTAGTTGTCCCCAATTTTATAAGTTTTCTGTACGTATCAAGTTTTAGGTAGGAGTTATGGAGTGATCTCCAGATGTTACGATTCATTGGTGTGAACTTGTCAAAAAAATGGAGGTACTTGAAAAAAAATATTTCCAAGGCAGGTGGTGGTGTTACTACAGGGTCGTCGTCGCGTGCCATTAAGTGTAAGTGCATCCCTTAATTAGTTTAGAGGTTAAAATTTAAGCCACATTTAAACAAAAATTAGGGTGTGGCGCAGACAGTAGAGATCTTTACATGTCGTCTTTTTTCTTATGTGTGAACTCTTCACGACGAAATTATCCTACGCGACAATGAACTGTGGTCCATCATCCTTTGACAATAGTAATTGGTCTCACCAACATAATGACGAGGAGAGAAGAGGCAGTATTTCCGGTATAAATTCTCGTACATACGTCGGTCGGTACCACTCAGTCACTTCTGTTATACAAATCCCGCTCATGTTTTGTACTTTTAAAAAGCTTTGTTAAAACGAGCTACACACAAAAAAAATATGCATACGTATCTATAAAACATTGTAAAATAAAATAACAACAGGATCTTCAAGTTCAAGGAAGACTGAAAAAAATGGGCTAAGAAGAATATTAATTCGCGCATACGGCTCTATTATATCCCAAAAACATTTACCGATAGAAGAAGAGGCGACATAGGGTACACAACAATTTATAAATTGAGATGTAGCGTTACTTTATATTCAGCGTCATCATCATCATCAAATTATTACGTAATGTGATGGACCACCGTACACATTTTTTTTCTGTACTGACATCTCGTAGATTTAGTGCTCTTGATAAATGGGTGAGAACAAGAACAACTTCCTTGTTTGTTTGCTACCACATTTTCATACAAGATCTTATTAAATGCATTTTTACAATATTTTGACAATATGCAGATTTTAGACCCGTATTGAAATGTGATCTCTTGTCTTCTATAAAAAAACCGTTTCTCTCACATGGCACACGTGTTACTTTACTTACAAATATTTTGGTCTCGGGAAGAAGAAGAAAATAAAGTATTTTTGTCTCTCCTTTCTGACTTCTTTGTTGAGAAGGGAGAAGACGAGAGGAAAGATTCCATTCAGTCAGATGTCGATTGGAAAATGAGCCAGGCACGACTTGACGAGAGGAGCATAGAAGGAATTTTTGGCCAATTCTTCGACCGAATTGGACCAGATGTTAGTTAACCCGAGAGAAGAAAATGATATGATACAGTGGAATACACAAAGTTTCGGTTTCTTTCCAAAATTCTTTCTCGGATTATTTGGCATCTCGGAGGAGGAGAAATCCTTGACCAAACTCCGACTAATTTTGGAAGCGTTTTAACTTAAAAAGTTAACTTTAAGCTAGATTTTGCTATATTTTTTAGTATTATTCCTGGGAGAACATTTCTTCTCCGTGATGGAGGAAAGACGGATGTATAATTTTTTTGTTAAATGGTAGCAAGGTTAACATTGATTTTATGATCTTCTTTCCTTCCTTCTCTCACTACTTCTGCTTAGTTTGGGCGGCTTTATTTATAACTCCCCCGACCGAAACGCACATACTTTGACTTGATTCCACTCTGCAGAATTAAGCAAAAAAAGTAGGGAGACTAAACAACAAGGGACATTATTTTTGGTGGTGGCCTGGGTGGTGTGGTGTGAAATATCGGGATATTTGTAGTGGAGGAGGAGGAGGAGGAGGTGAGACGAAAATGCGATGATGATGACTTTTTACTTCGGATTCCTTTTTAAGTGAGACTTTTTCTGGATGGGTAGAAAAATCTAAATTCGGAGGAGACTCCGAGAAAGGGGATGAGATGAGAAGTTGGCACACGTTTTGTGTAAATTTAGAGTTACGACTGTGATGTCTGTGTGATTTTTAGGAGATGAACACAAGTTGTAAGGAGAGACTGGAGAGATGTGTAATAATTATCTGGTGTTGCTTCTGTGTATTCTTGGTGGAGTGGAGATGGAGAAAAAAGCTGCTGGATGACACAAGCACGTGTATGAACAACAATTGTGATTTCTTTAAATGAGATTTTACGCATGGAATTTCATCTCATTACAAAATTGATTAAGATTGATGATCTCGATTTTAGGGAAATGAGACAAAATCTGCAAAAATCGATGAAGGATCTTTTAATTTGATTCGGTATAGATTTCGGTAGAGATTTAATTATTTAGGTAAAACTTGATTGCAATTTAAATAGTTATTTTTCTGCAACCTTGATTATTTACAATTTGGACGAATCATCATTGTACATTCCACAAAAGCGGTATGTACGGATGCCATCCATCCAAAAAAGATGCCCTCACTTAGCATCCATCCCTTTATTTAGAAGAGATAGAGATTTGAGCATCCCGTGAAATCCAATCCAATCCCATCTATCTCTTAGTGATGAAAGTACCGACAGCCGTCTTAACACAAACTTATTGATTACCCAGAAAGATCTTCTAAGACGTCAGTAAAAATAAAGGTGGTATCCTTTCAGAAATAAATATAGGCCAAGAAAAAACTTACTTACTCGCCGTGTGTTTTTAGTTTATGTACATATTCCCGACCCAACTAATCTGAGAAGATGAGCATCCGTACATACGTACCCAGGTAGTCGTATGTACAGGTAGGCACACTAATAACAAGCCGAGTATAAGTACATAAATCCATTAACTCGGAAAAATAAGAAAAAAAACAGATTGGAAATATTTTTCATGGCTCCAGCCAAACATTATTATTTGGTCGGTTTGACAAGCCTCTGCTCTGTGGTGGATGGACTGATATGCAGATTAGTTAAGAGACTCGAGTTTCGTTTACTCTCTCAAATAATGCATTACATTACATAATAACAAGACGAGAAGATCTTTAACGGTTGGCCTATTAAAGAGAGAGAGAGAAGAGGTCGGTTTTTGTTGAACGTGTCAAAATTCATCTCTCGAACGTAGAAATGTATTTAGCTACATACGAGAGGCAGACTCCTCCTCTCCGAATAATAAGAAAGCATATATTATTATCTGCTGTTCATCCATTTCCTTCTTCTTTTTGTGTAGGATTGGATTTACAGAAATGCCAGGAAGAAGGAGAAGAAAAAGGAGTATTTATGAAGTCGTTGAGGAGATGAGAGGCGCGAGTAAAAAGAGAAATGACCTGAAGTTGAGTTATTTATAAATAGGCCGACAGGAGAGAATCTGTTACTTACGGATTCTACGTCTTTAAGAGAGGAGAGAAAAACATGGTGTAATGCACACAGTCGACCAAGGCGACGAGGAGGACGAGAACGACGACGAGTTGTAAAATGCGATCACGTGAGAATGTAGGAATGTTATCGGGACAAGGATTAAATGAAAATCTATCCGCAAAATGAGATTGAATTATTTGCGATTTTGTCTTAATTATTGATGGACTTTGGCGTAAAATGATCATGAAATTGCGGTATCGAAGTGGCGTGTGACGCAGTCGATCACTTTTTTGCCAAGTGGAATATTATTATTGCCAATTTGTTCGATGAAAAGATGATCTTTCACGACTGGTTGGTTGGTGACTATGACTCACCTGGTTTATCTTGAGAAAATGCATGCATACATATGAAGAATTTCTAGAATCTCATGCCAAATGGAGTTCAAAGTCCATTAAGTAGATTTGAAAAAACATGCACTAAAAAAACCTTATTATCTCCCCACAGCACTACCTGTTTCCCTGATTGGAACTCCGGAAATGGCGGAATGGGTGTGTCCAACCCGCAACTCTCCGTCGTGACGACGGTTTGGGGGATGAGTTCCTCGGTACAAAGTGGGCCTACGTACGGCGGCGGAGGGGGAGGAGGTGGTGGAAACCCGGGCATGGGCGGGATGGGGGGTCAAGGGGGTGGCTACATGAAGAGTGGACCCTACGGAAATAACCCCAACATGCAGGCCGGCGGTGGTGGTGGCGTTGGAGTCGGTGGTGGAGGATATCCTCAAAGGTGAGTACATGAGAAATTTTGTAATTATTGTGAGAGTAGAAATCTGTGTAGTTTTAGATTGATGGCATGTACAGACACGCACTTTGGATGACACTTGTGTGTATTTAATACTTGTAGGATTAGTGTTGAGCACAACAATTGTGTGTTGAAATCTCGACGTGGTATGGATTTTATTTCGCTACTAAATGCCACCTAATGACACAAGGGAGTTGTTGTCTCAGGTGGTTTGGTATAAAATGTGAGATCTTGAGCTCAATTTCATGTCCCTCGTCGTCGTCGACCATACAGAATGAATGCATGCCTTTTGATATTGTGTCTCAAATTGCGGTTGATAATATTATTATGTAGCGAGCGGATGCGAAATGCTGAGGCGAAGTAGAGGAGAGGAATAATATCTTGGTAAAATATTATTGTTGGTCGTCGTCGACGTCGACGTTGGTGAGGACAAGCATGGATGGCTACGCGTAGATATATACATATGCATGCATACAACACGGGCAGGGGCCGCGGAAACCAGGGAGGACATGTGGGGACGTTAGCATTGAGGGAGGGATGGATTTATGGGGACATCTAAAAACCGTGGGGACACTGTTCCGCGGTGACTGCCTCCATTTTTCGCGAGCGTGAATCTGCATTGCCATTAAAAAGCAGCTACAACATAGTCTCTGACTGACTGCTGATATTTAGGCCCAATCTGAATTTAGTCAGTAAATAATATCTCTACTAAACATCCTGCTTACACCACCACCACCACCGCCACGACTCTCATGCACATTTCCATTCCTCTCTTCTGCATCCATCGCTCTTTAATGTCTTTGTACTCTTTTTAACTTTGAATACAAAATGTGTAAAGCTTACAGTTATTTGGAGTCGTCGGCTGGTTGACTGACTCCCAAAGTTTTAAACTCTCCTTTAAGAAGAGATCCTCGAGAAATGGTTTCAGACCTCGTTTTTTTCCTGTTAGACTAGATTATTTTTCATATATGGCATTTTTTTCGGGGAGGAAAAAAGAATCGTAAAAATTTTGTAAGAATTTTTTTGGGTAAAATTTTGAAATCTGTCGATTTTTATTGATACCATTTTTTCTTTAGATTTGGACCCAACGGCGGCGGTGGCACGATTGGTGACCATCATCCCCACTCGAATCCCCACCAACATCCCCACCATCCCCATCACGGTAATTATGCGACGAATCCATTAAGTCAAGCAGCCATGGTCGGTAAGCGTCTCATAATTAATTAATTTCTTTAAGGTGTAAAAATGCCAATTAAATTAATTATAATTCATTAATCCCAATTAATTTTTCCAGCCGCCACTGCCACGGCTACCGCTACCGTGACCGCGGTGGCGTTGCAGCAAGACCGTCAACAAGAAATGAGCCAGTATGGACATCCCCAGGTTAGAAACGTGAGGAACTTTTGTACATATGAATTTTGCATGAATTTTTTTCCCCACTCTCAAAAAGAGAAAATGTGACGGCGCACCTGACACTGCACGAAAGTCATGTCAACTTTTTCTCTCCTCTCTGTGGAGATTCATTGTTCAAAAGTTATGAACATTTTTCTCACCTTCGTCACCCTGCTAAACACACGAGTGACAAGACAAGCGAGAGAGGAAAAAAGTAGTGCAGTGATGATGACGATGTAGATAAGTGAGCCAAAAAAAGTAAGACAAATCTGTCATTCATTCATAAATAATAAAGTTCACAGTTTGGTAAAAATTCAAAAACTTACCTTTGTTCTTCTTCTTCGCGTCCTAATTAGTGAGGAAGAAAAAACACTTTTTTAGTGGAGGCTCATAATTTGTTAATTATGCGACAAACTAAATAACAAGTGTGTTAATAAGCAGGGAGACACGTACTACATATTTATTTAGGCATCTTCTTCTTGTTATTGGTATTGAAAAAAAACGACATGTTGACGAGATCAATTTGAAATCAGGCGTAATAAAACATGGGTATAGCACACAAGAAGATTTAATATATTTGTGTACACAGGACGATAAAAAAAAGTGGTGTATAACGGTAAATTATTGCAACTTAACTATATTGCATTGCATCTCATTTGGTAGTTTGTGTTGACGAAAGTGGGCTACGTATTACGAATGCGAGGTGTCGCAGGCAATTTGTTTTTCTTCTTTCTTACCTCGTGGCTGTTTGTGGGGAAGGCGTGCAAATGTGTCGTTAATAATAACGAATTAGTGGAGAAATTAGGAAAAAATGAGAGTGTGATAATGTTTATTTAGTTGGAAATTTCTCTCAAATAAGCATAAAAAATGATGGTTTATAGATGAATCAAATGTCGAGTCAGTACGGGATGCAGGGAGGAGGCCCACACCAAAGTCATCCACAGTACAACCCCGGACAGCAGCAGCAGCAGCAGAGGATGGGGATGATGAATAATGGGATGAATAATATGGGCATGATGAGTAATAGTATGGGTCCCACGAACAAAATGGGGGTGCAGGTACGTGGATAATAATTCGCAGTCTGACTATGTCCCAAAGTCTAGACGGATTGTGTAATTTTTCGACTTTCTCTTTGAAGCAGACTGGACAATACGCCCGAGGAAATGCGAGAACAGCACCGTATCCCAATCCTGCCTCCCACATGAGTCACAAACGGTCTCAGCATCAGCAGCAGCAACCACTCCCACCCAGCCAACAACCTCCCACGTATCCGGGTCCGCCTCCTTCCGGGGGAATGGGGGGTCAATCCATGGGGCCGGCGAGCTACAATGGCGGCACGTGTACTCCGGTGAGTGTGGTTTAGATTTTATGTGCAATTATTTGAGGTGGTGGGTTAGATTTTTGGGTGTGGGATTGTGCGATTTTTCATAATTTCGTAATCATTTTTCATAATTTTTTGTTTGATGACGCATATTTCATGGACTTTCTTGCTTTACAATCCAAGAAATGTAGCAAAAAACGAAACTATTTTTCCCTCCGCACAATCCCACCCACGGGATTTTTCATAAATGGGAAAATAGCCCAATTCAAATTGCTATTGGATTCAAATATCATAAAAGTTCACACTCATTATTTCAAGCAGAGTTGTCCTTGTTATAAATCTCCACAGTATGGCAACCACCCCGGGAACTACGGGAACGGGCCTCCTTCCGGCATGGTGGGTGGACCACGTGGCGGGTACTCCCCCTACAACCCACACCATCCACACCCCTCCTCCTCATCCCAGCAACAAGTCCCCAATCCTAACCACCCCAACGCCATGGGAATGCATTCGATGGGCGGTTACGGTGGGAGTGGAGCCTCCATGAATGGGATGCGACCGGGTATGCGGCATCCTGGTGGTGGGGGCATAATCGGCGGTCCTGGTGGTTCCTCCTCTTCTTCCCAGTATGCAAATAATGGGCAGCAGTATTACGGCCAAGGACCTCCCAACATGTCGATGTCGAATCAGCCACCACATCCTTCAATGATGAACCAAGTGCCACTCAACAATTCCTTCAATACCCCACCCGCCACGCCGCATCAACAATCTCAGTCAACAATGGGTGGCAGTGGTGGTGGACCTCCCCCTGGTTACCATCATAGCAATCCACACCACCCACAATCTCACCCTCAACAACAATCTCATCCACACCCACCTCCTCCCACGTCGTCGTCGTCGTCGTCGTCATCCGCTTCTTCAAATCAACACCACCAATCGCAATCCAATTTCATCTCAGACAATTTGTCATCCTCTTCGGGAAGTGGGAGTGGTGGTGGTGGGAATGGAGCGAGATCCATGCATTCGTACCAGCATAGTCCAATCCCTGGCAACCCGACGCCACCTCTAACCCCAGCCTCGTCAATTCCTCCCTACATGAGTCCAAATGGGGACGTGAAGCCTGTGATACCCATCTCTAACCCTGGTGAGTACTTAGCAAAAAGTAAATATTTGCGAATTTTTTACTAATTCCTATGTTCCTCTGCCTTAGTTGACGAATTACGCCTAACTTTCCCCGTGCGAGATGGAACGATCTTGCCCCCGTTTAGACTAGAACATAATCTCGCCGTGAGCAATCATGTCTTCCACTTGAAACCCACCGTTCATCAAACCCTCATGTGGAGATCGGACTTGGAACTTCAATTAAAATGCTTTCATCACGAAGATCGACAAATGAATACCAATTGGGTAACCGCCATTTACTAATAATTAATCGTAGCTATTCCATAAAATAATCGCCACCCTCGATAAATTTCAGCCCGCAAGTGTTCAAGTATCCGTGAACGCGATTCCCTTAACGATAGATCGCGGGGAGAACAAAGCCTCTCACAAACCGCTGTACCTCAAAGACATCTCATCCGCTGGGCGAAACACGTTACAAATCACGGTGACCGCTTGTTGCTGCGTAAGTCGAGATGGCAAAATGCTGCCTTTTTTCCTCCTTCACTGTTTTCCGTATCATTATTTCCATCTTAAAGAGAAAAGGTGTTCCAATTATTTAGTAGCCTAACTTTGTCTTGCAGTCCCACTTGTTCGTCCTCCAACTGGTGCATAGGCCTTCCGTCAAGTCCGTGTTGCAAGGCCTCCTCCGCAAAAGGCTGCTCCCCGCGGAGCACTGCGTCTCCAAAATCAAGCGGAACTTTAACAACTCGGCCTCCATGAATATGGCGAACGGGACGGATGGGGATGGCGTGGAGCAAACGGCGATAAAGGTGAGGACATGCATAAGAGAGCATGTTTTTATTTAGTGGGTGGTGGTGGTTGTCCATTCGGGTAGGAGAGAGAGAAGAGAGATAATAATGCGTTGTGGCGGTGGTGAAAGTTCACTACTGCATCACGTATAACTAAATGAGAAAGAAGAACGTCAGATAGTCGGCAGCCCACCACCACGCGCGTCATTCTCCAATTCGACCTCTACTACCCGGGTATCTCACCAAAAACACCAAGTTAGTCGTCGTGTGAGTGACTGAGCTGGTGGCATTTTCTTGTTATGTCGCCACTTGATTCGGCTCGCTCCCACTCTCGTCCATAAATTTCAATACATGACGGAATCCATGATTTCACGGAAATTCCAGCAGAAAAAAATTCATAACCTTGCCTTACCCGATGGATGTGGTGGGTTGATCTGGACTGTTATACGAGCGAGAGAGGAGGTGATCTATACGGATCAAGGAGAGAAAATGTCAGACGGAGAGAGAGAGAAAGTAAAACGTAGTAGTCGTCTCGGGAAGGAGAGAGAGAGAGATAGCTTCTTAATACTTAATACGGTTGTTGGTTCTCTCCCACACGGCTGCCTGCCTGCCACCACGTATGTATGTCGGATATAGATAGAGATGGAGATAGGTGGTGGGTAGTGTAGTCATCCTCCGACTCATCGTCACTCTGCTCTCTCTCGAGATAAGAAAGAAGAGAGAGGGAAAGTTAGTTTAAGGTGGGGAAAGCATTTCCATTGAACATCCACCAAATTTCCGTTTCTCAAACTGAACTCCTGTTCCAGCCAAGCCACACACAGCTTGCATTACTATTACTGCTCGTGGCATGGCCTGGCGTGGTGGTGGATATGTATAAGAGAGAAAGTAAGTAATGGAAAGAGTGGAATTTAGAGTGGAGAAGAAGAAGAACCACGATGGAAGCAGATTTACTGTACTTTCTCTTTACTTTCTCTCCTTCTACTAGAGCTTCTCTGTTGCTGGTGGTGGTGGGAGAGAGAGATCTTTCTTCTGCAAAGTAGGAGTTAACTATCCGAGGAGGAATACAAAACCCAACCGCGTAGAGAAAGTGCGGAAAGTTTCTGAGGAGAGAAGAGAGCGAAGAGAAAGTCTCTCTTTTGCGTTTTGAGTCTTGACCTTATAAATAAAGCCAATTTAAGCCATGTCCTCATACCGTGTTTTCCCTCGGAGAACAGCACCAGCAGGGTTTTGCTACACAAGATGGGAAACGAAGCTGTATGCATATGCTGGGTTGGTTGGTTGGTGGGTGGGTGATGCTGACGTGAAAAACTGCCACGTGGTGGCAACCCCAGCCAACTGTGTGAGTGAGTGAGCCTTGTTGCGGATTAAAGCTCCTACACAATTGAGACATTTTATTTCCTTCGTGGGAGATTTCTTCTTACATAAAAATTTTGAAAATATGATCCGATGCTGATCTCGGAATAGAATTTTTTTTAGAATTCTGTAGGCAACACGTACAATCTCTCTTTTTTGTGTGGATTATGAAACGAGGCAAAAAAGTGGTAGTAATAGCAATTGGTCTTCTTCTTTACCAATAGCCACCGCTTTCTCCAGCATCATCCTGTCCCTTATGGCTGGATCGGCCACTGGTGGTGGTGGTGGTGGTGTTAGTTGAGTGAAAGTAAGTGGAGAACTAGCAAGAGCGAGTTAAGTAATAAGAAAGAAATGAAGAAAGTTTCGACGTTTCTCCAGCTCCTCGGAAAGTCCAACACGCGGAGAGAGAAAGTAGAAAACTGGTTGGTTACAGAGGAGCCCTTGGTTAAATCTAAACTAAAAAGTAGTCGTTCTCCTTCTCGTAGATGGAATTGGGAGGAGAGAATCTCGAGTGGAATTTAACTAAAATGGGAGCAAAAGGTATATAAACCGAGGGAGAAGAAGAGGCGACTATATGACTTTGACTTTATGAACGTATAGGGAATTCTCTTACACAGAGAGACCTCAACTATTCCACCACGACTGGAAAATGTAATCGGATCGGAAGTGTGTCCAAGGCATGATATGCATACAATGTTTCTCCCGTGGAAATATATATTTTGTGTCTCATCATCATCATCCCGATCATAATTAAAGCTTTACGTAACTATTGATTAAGTCGGTGGTACGACGATATATTTGGCCGTCGTGGTGGTGGTGGTGGTGATGTGGTGTGACTTTCTCTCTAACCGACCAGTATATATCCACCAAAAACACTAACTATATTTTCCTCCAAGACTTTTTTTTCCAAGAGACAAGAATCGATATTTTCTCCAATAGAAGCGAACAAAGTCACGTTACTCGTTACGTTAGTTATTGCCGAATCCCATCATTCCTCCTTCTTTTTTCCTCTATCCAAGTATCTCTCCTTTTTTCCACCTACTTTCACCCACGGAGAGAAAGTTTTATTTTATTTTGTTTGCCTGTATGTGAGACCAAAGTTGGATCACCATTTTGCCATCAACAGAGTCTTCCTCTCGTGTCGAGGAGAGAGAGAAAGTCGTTTTCTTTTCCTTCCCTTCCTCAATAATGAATAAGTAAATTCGTCCATCTCCACTGGGCTTGGCAACTAAAAGCGGAAACTTTTATTATCTCAAGTAGTACAAGAAATTTTCCTGAAAAAAGTAGGGGGGGTTGGGTGGGGAGAAAAATTCATCCAATTTTTCTCCTGATTTATTCACCCACACCTGAATATGAGATCAGGTTTTTAAATAAGTGAAGAAGGGATTTTTTTGAGGGACAGGTTGTGTTCTACTTTCTTCTTTATTCGTGTCTCCTTCTTGTCTTGTTACTACGAAGAAAGTCTCTCTCACAGATATTACATACGGAGAAGAAGATGGGAGTAAAGTGCCCTGGATCGTCCTCCTAGTCGTCGTCGTCGTCCATCAGTTTCCAGTTTTCCACTCTATTTGTATTCCAAGTGGATTCCCTTCTACTCAACTGCTTGAGCTTCATCTGTTCAATTCCATCCACACAAGCTGCCTCGCAGTCGTCCCACTCTTTCTCTCCAGCCAAACCAAGCCACCACGTCGGCCAGGCCAGGCCAAGCCACCGGGGTTAGTCACGAGGCTGCTGGAGGAGAGAGAATAAAGTGGAGAAATATACAGACAGAGAGAGAGAGAGAGTTTCCCTCCTGGATGAAACTTTGGCTGGAGTCGTAGTTTGAAAATTGTGAGAGAAGGAAAACAACTCTTTCTCTCGGGTGAAAGTTGTTGCGAGAGGAGGATGGATTGTGTATGTATTCGTATGGCAGGGAGAGGGAAATACCTTAAAAGTGAGATATTATAGATTATATAGCACCAGCAACAACAACAACAAAACCACTTCCACCTGAACTGATGAGTGCGCAAGACTAATTTAATTATACATAAATCTCTCTCTCTCTTTCTCTCTCTCTTTAGTAGAGAAGAGTGACGATACGTAGTAGAAAGCATACACAATGTCTGCATGACGCTCTAGCTAAATACGAGGACATGCAAAATATATACGAAATAAATAAAAAAAGAGAAAGCCGGAAGAGAAAAGAAAAAGTTTATTTTTTTCTTTCCCTCCTCGTCATTCCTTTTGTTCAAATCAACTGACATCTCTTCTCCTCTTTCCAAACAGCATCACATCCTTTGCGCTACTTTCTCTCCTTCTCGGTATGAATATCGTCTCGTGATGCGGAGACTTTTTACTGCGTTCAAGTGGTGACTAGTAGTCTCCTCAGAGGAGTCGAGTTATGTATGTATGTTGTTCCCTCTCTAAAGTTTCCGTATAAGAAGAGAAAGAGCGCGACGGAATGGCAAGTTAAGTTTCACTCCTCCGAGAAAGTTGATGTGATGGGTGAGCATCAGAGAGAGAGAGTTGGTTTGGACTCATTTCCTCATTATGTAGCAGAAGAACCAGGAGCAGTAGCAGAGATCGGGATTTTTAGTATAGGAGAGGAAGAAGAAGAAATTTCCAAGTCTGAGAAATAAGAGAGCAGTCGTGGTTTGGTTATATGGACAAAGGAGGAAACGAGGTTGGAGGATAAAGAGGTTGTTGGTGGTATAACATCCATTTCATTCTGCTCTGCTCTAGGTTGAGATTTATTTAAGAGAGACGAAGAGAGCTGGACATGAGCAAGCAGTGGATGGAGGAGAAAATATATTATATAAGAGATCAATATGTATGTATACTTACAAATGTAGACACCGTATAGAATTCCTCTCTGGGTGGTTTGGTTGAATAATAGTTTAACGTATCTGGTCGGTCGGTCTGCCTGCAGTCACCGGATTCCTGACTCTTGTTTTCTACTCTACCCGGCTTTAGTTTTCCTTCTGTTTTCCCAGAGCGTATATAGGCAGTCATCCATATAGGATTTAGGGTAGCATTCCTATTATGCATTATGATTATATGTTTACGGAGAAAGTGGTGGAGGGAAGGGATTCAGTCATGATTTTGAGGTTGAGTCGTCTCCTAGTGAGAATAGGACTGGGATGTCACCCTACTATGGATTCCCCCTCCTGGCCACACTGCATAGGTAAATAGGGCACTTCCTCCTCTCTCCCCACCAGCCATCCAGCCATCCATCTATCCATCCTCCTCTGGGTAAAATAATGGTCCTCTTCCAGTTTGACTCTCTCTCCTCGGATCGGATGATGGGAATGGTATAGTAAGCTATCGGTATGTTTGGCCTGGGATTAGGCAGCCCCACCACCAGCGCCGTGCTCCTTTCTCTGTCAAAAGATACATCCAGTTGGTTATTCACGAAATCCTCTATGAGTCAAGTCGGAGGCTTTTCTCTCTCTTCTTTATTTTATTTTATGCGGTGGTGGTCTCGTGGCGGTGGTGGCGGTACTTTCTCTTCCTCTATTACCGTGTATACAGTAGCAAACCAAACCACCACCACCATCACCGTCGCGTCGCGTCGCGTCCATTCCATTGATCTCTTTCAATCTCTCTCTCTGCTCCGACTTTCTCCACTCCCGTGCACTTTATGTGATCTCTGTTTGCTTTATTTAAGCGGAGAGGTTGCAAAGTTGAGGAGACGATTTATGTGGTATGATGAGGATGACGAATGAGGAGGGTGATGATGATGATGGGAGTGTAAATTCGTGTGGAAATGGTAAATAGTGCTGAAGAATGTGTGTATTTGTTTATTTGCAGGTGTCGCTAAAATGTCCCATAACGTACAAGAGGATAACCCTCCCCGCACGAGGACATGACTGCAGACACGTTCAATGTTTTGATCTCGAATCTTACCTCCAACTTAATTGCGAACGAGGAGCGTGGCGGTGTCCGGTGTGCAAGTGAGTGATTAATTCAAGGTGTAAATTATATTTTATTAAGGCGTGATGATAACAGAGATTTTGCATCTTTTTTTAGTAAACCAGCGAATCTGGAAGGATTAGAAGTTGACCAGTACATTTGGAGCATTCTCAACGCCCTGACTTCCAACGACGTGGAAGAAGTTACCATTGATGCAGCAGCGAATTGGAGACCGAGCAAACACGTGCCGGGTTTCAAGGTGGGTTTTTTTATCTATTTTATTTTTTTGCGGTATAAAAAATTCATATAAACTAATAATAATTTACATAACTCAGCTCGAAGACGACCTCACTGACCCCTGCGGAATGAAGAAGATATCAAAAGCCATGTCCCCCGGAAACATGCCGTTGCCCTCGGCGGGTTCCTGGGATTCTTCCGGCATGGTGATGAGCCCCTTCGCCCCCGACATGAATTCCATCGCTTCAGGTTCCTATATGCACGGGTGTGGTCCCGCCACCCCCAGTTTGTCCTCCTCCTCCTCAAACAATCTCACACGTTCCAGCTCTTTCGATTTCGGTGGGTCGGACCTCCTCGGTGGACCGCTGAGTCAACTGGCCGACTCTGTCAACTCACTCGACCCTCTTAGTTCCATGGAAAAGACGATCAACGAACAAGTCGGGATGCCTGCGCCGCCACTTCGTACAAATAATTGTGAAGGAAACAACATGTCTCACGGGTCATCGTCTTCGTCGTCCCTGAATCAAAATCCTCACACCCCCCAAACCGGACCCCACACTCCTCACACGCCGCACAGTTGTGGTCCTCCCAGTGTCGGACCACACCATCACACCCCTCCCAACAATAATTCTAATAATCACCACAACAATAGTTCAAACAGTGAATGTGGTGGTGCTCTCCCGGATACCACGACGTCCGACACGGGACTACCCTCGGATCTCAATTTCGATCCGGAAGCTGTGATAAATGGGGAAGGTTCGGGGAATGAGTCGCTAAATGTGAGTTGAAAATTTTGATTTTTGGGTGGAAATTTCAAGTTGATAACAATTTTTAAAATTTCAGTTACTACCCGATTCCGGCGTGGATCCGATGGAGCTGCTCTCTTATCTTGAGCCCCCGTACATGGAACCCAGCGGACTGGCGACGCCTCCGAGCAGTGGAGAAAGTAATAATTCCAACGGCAACGTCAACTCAACCACGCCCCTCGGCAACTCTGCCTCTGATGATCTCTTGTCGTTATTCGACTAATTTTTTTCCTCCTCCTCGTCGTTCTTATTATTTTTATTTTTTAACAAGAAAATCTCATGGAAGCAGAAAATCTAAGAATTACCAACAAAACGCCAGTTTTTTTTCTCGTAATTAAATTAATGACTATGCATGAAAAATGTACAATTTTTTAAAGAGTGGGTATCATTTGTAGTGATAAAATTTATAAAAGTTATGAATTTGCCCTAGTTTTTATTTTCGACTTTTTATCATTAAGACAGAGTTATTACCAAACCACAGATTTATTTACTACCTCTCTTTCTCTCTCCTTAATAAAAATAGGACCACAAAAAACCGAGTGAAAACTAAGGAATATCAATGATTTTTATAAAATATCTCAAAACCCGCCTCTGTTTTTTAACACAAGAATCAAACCTTATTATAATAGATTTTTTACCTAATTTTTCCTACCTACCTAAGCAGAAAACCTATTGATCAATGAGAATTTTAACTACCTAATAAGAAAACGAATTCATTTGATACATATAAATTTTTACCTATTTAAACGAACTGTGTGTGTCCCAACAAAAAATGGCCAGAGTTACAACGTCGTCGTCGAGAATGTAAAAATATTTTGTAAGATTACATTGTATAAAGGATCAACAATTTCTTGGCATTTACTAAAAAACTATGCAAAATATTTAGTGTACCGTTTACATAGTAGTGGAGAGGATTTGTAGTTGAATTCTGAAATTGTGACAAAATTTCAAACAACACTAATTGTATTTACGATGGGACTTTCATTATAAACATAAACCCACTTTTTTTGCCTAGGTGTATAAAAAGAATACATAAAATTGTACACGAGATCTCGGATTAATTGGTTGTATAAGAAAAAAATAGGGCGGCGATTAGAGGTCGACGCCGACCAATTTTCGGCGGCGGCGGGGGCGTGTAAAATTCTACCGGCGGCGTCGACCTCGGCGACGATCCCCACCGGTGAAAAAAGACCCGTGTCAATTAAAAAAATCAAAATTGAGTCCTTATCATAATTAATTGGAATATTACAAAAATTTGTAAAAAAAAGAATGGTACAACCAACCACCATCTCATTACGTATAAAAATACAACCACAGCCAACCAACTAAAACCTCTCTCCCTCATTTTTTAATTAAAAACCAGTAAAATATGTAAAACCTATAAAAAATAATTGTAAAGAAAGTATTGCTTGAAAATAGCTCGCCTGATGCAGTTTGCCTAAATAGAAAGTAAAATTACGAAGTATTGTGCAAGACTTTTTTGAGAGGAGAAAGTACTGTTTTTTTGTGAAATGTCCTAAATAAATCGAGAGGAGTAAGAAAAGAAAGAAAGTAAAGAAACGGAACTGTAAAGTATTATTAAAATTATAATTGTATGAAAAAAAGCCAATTAGTTATCTCCGTGTGTGTCCATATGGTTGTTACTACGTACATATTACCACTACTGGCAGGCACTCTATAGTACTATTTATAATAATACATAGTAATTAGTAGATGAGTACTTATCTAAGTATGAAAAAATGTAAATTAATTATTCAATCCACCGTTGAACCATATACACCGTGCTTATTATCATTATTATTAATTATGTATCTCTCTCGTATTTAGTAGGTAAATGTTTTATTAAACGGATCAATGTATGTAAAAATATTCATTATTTTAATCAACTTAATTATTAATTATGAAATAGGTAGATTAAAAAAACCATCGCTTCTCTTGAGTAGGTAGATAGTGTGTAGCTCTGTAGAGGGTACAATAAATAGTGATAGTGACAATTTCGCAATATTATTATTATATTGTAAGAATACTACATATTTACTTATTAGCTGTGTGTGACTTAAGTTATATCCAAGGCAGATATTAAATATGAAAAATGTCATGCAAATCAAAAAATCAACGTTTTGCTGTTTCATTTTTATTTTCATATAATGAAATGAAATTTTGTGAAAAAGCAGCATATTTGAAGCCGTAGATTTCAAGAAGGATCATGTATTTAGCAACTTTTGTACCGCATACCGCATTGTACATGGGACTCAACAATGCTCAACAATCAGATAGGAGGATGAGACTGGTTGGTGTCCACGTTGTAGTAAATGCATAAGAGACCGACTGGTTGGCATCAATTCAACCCTTTTCTGCATCATTTAAGCCTCAGTCACTTGCAACCCTTTGGACGAGACGCATGTGTCTGTCACGAATCTGAACCCCACGATTGTTACACGAGTCGTATGCAAATAAGCGATTTCGAAAATTTACATACATATATTTCCAGAAATTATTTAGTTAATTGTGTAAGACTGGAAATTTTTTGAATATTTAGTGTTTTGTGACATTATTTATTTGTTGGTGGGTACTGTAAACTTTTTCATACGGACCATCTAGACCAGGATCTGCTGGACTCATTATCAGATCTGGACCACATAACGGGATTTTCTAATCTATGGAAATCTGTCATGTTAATGGAAACATTTAACTTTTCGACTTATATATGAAGGGAAGAATTTAGTTGATTATTTCTAGGTGAGGTCATACCTTACGTGTTTACGTGCGTGTCTTTATAACTGAATTGATCCCATTATTGAACCGTGTTTAATGATGGTAAAGTAAAGTAAAAAGTGTGTGAAATTGGGACATGATTATTACTTGCATTCACTTTTTATCATTAACAAGTTTATGTTATATGACATATTTTTATTATTAAAACTGTGCATTGTGTAAGCTTCTTGTGTGAAGATAAATAAGTGCATAAGTGACTGTTGCAAACAAAAATAGTACAAAAAACATGGAATGGAAAAAAAAATATGAAATTTGAACATTAACAATTTTATTTTGGTAAGTTGAAACGTCGCTTAATTAATTTTTAGAGTTTTACGATTCTTCCTAAATTTAAAGGTTGAGTTCAATTTTACTCAAAAATATTCTGCATAAAATGCGTAATTACGTCGCTCCCAGGTAAAAAAAATAGGAAAAAAGAAGATAATTTCTTAAAATTATCTTTCTCCTTTGAAAAGTGGATCATCACAACTTTTGGCTCGTGGCAGTGTCACGTTATTAAATATTTTCTGGCAGCGTCTCCTTTCTTCTAAATTATTCAGATTTTTTTTACTATGCAGGTCAAGAGTCGAAAGGTTAATGCTGGCTTTACATACGTTTTGCGAAATTAGTGGTATGATGGTAAAAGATGAAGATACAGTTTTTATTATTTTGCAACTTTCTGTTGTGGTCAGTTTCATGAGACAGTGTGGTTTTCAACGCTAGATACTTTTCATAGGAGGAATTTACCTTTAACGGAGACGCCGTAGAATGAAAATGCTACCGGAAATGAAATGAAAACGTGGCAGATGGTAGCCGGCAGCGGTCATGTCTTGAAAAAAAATCATACGAAAAATTAAAACACATGACTGCTTAATAGATAGATAATTTTTATCGCTTGATTTCACTTCGTAAAATATTTGTGAGATAAATGATGACACAAACAAATTGTGTAATTTTTTTTCGGCCAAGTATTTTTTTGGTCAATTTTGTCACAAGTTTTAGAAATCTTTGATAAAAATGATGAGAACTAATTTCATAATAATTATGACATCTCTAAACTCAATTCGCAGTTAAATTAAATTTAAGTCATAGAATTTCGTAAGATAATAAAAAAATCGTAAAAATTAGTTCCAAATTTAATACGTAATTAGTTCTGGTGACTGAATTAAAACAAAATCAAGGACTGCAAGTCATTCTTGTCTGCTGCATCGGATACGTTATGTTGTAAACTATTGACATGAAAAAAATATATATTTAGCTAATTCTTCTTCGATTTGTATACATAGAAATGATTACATTGCATTTTCATTCAAAAAATGACACGAAGGTTTCTTATCCGCCTTACTTTATCCAACGATCAATTCCACATTTATCAACCGTGTCAAATTTTCGTGATAATAAATTTAATTTGCATTAACCCAATTTTTCAAATGATCGAATTAACGATCGAATTATTAGCGAATTTTAGCCCCATTATTTACAAAACTGATATTCATTTTCACACCATGATCTATAATAATTTCTAAATTTATTGATATTATTATTAATAAATACGACAAATTACCTGCTATTACAAAACGTCATTTATTATTTATTTCTAGTTTATCAGTCCTAAAGACAAATTTAGATTAATTTTGTCTTTAACGCTTAATTTCCACTAATAATAATTTTCATGACTTTTGAATCCATTCAACTCATCATTTTCCCATTCATCCCACCACCACCACCAAACCAACTTATGCAAATATTTGCAGTCAGTCACATACATATGTACATCTCTTCTTCTTGAGGACCGATTAGAAAAAATCTTCATGCAGCAGCAGCGTCATGTCATAACAAATGACCCACTATCAATATGCACCATCGCCTTATTAACTTCTTGTCCTTGTTTGTTGGTGAGATGTGTTTAACCGAGAAAAATGAAGGTGCAGAGACCATTCGTACGAACGAGGAAGGCTGCATAAGTATTATCGACCTACACGTCGAAATGTGTTACTTTTTAGCACACGAGTCGTAAGTTGGAAGATGTTGAATAAAGCATTTGAAAGTATCACACTGCTGAATATCCATTATAATTTTGAGAGAGAGAGACGGGTTTTATGTATGTACATCTTTTATAGGGTGGCTGAGTGAGTGAGTGTGAATGAAGGATCAGCATTTTTTTTTACCCTTGATCCATTCATTATTATTATCTAGTTTTAAATACGAGAAAAAGTTATGTTTTTTAAGGTTGGGGAAAATTTTGAGTAATTTAGTATTAATTGTGAAGGATTAAAGTCGAATGGGGAAAAATCGGGAAAAAATGTAATGATAAGTTAAAAATAGGTTACATTCCAGTATCAATAAAATATAAAGAGAGATCATATGAAGTAAAATTTGAATCAAAATTTACTGAAAATTTCAAAAATTTTAATTTTTAGCCCGAGTCAGGGCTTATGGAACCGTCATGTCCGTCCGTCTGTCTGTCTGTCTGTCCGGCACGATAGAGCCAAAACGGCTGAACCGATTGACTTGAAATTTTTACCATATGCATATTGGACAAAGTTAGGAAACGAGTTCGAAGATGGGCGAAATCGGTCCAGTGGTTGACCGGTGGGGGTCATCGGAGTGGGTGGGGTCTTATGCACCAAAATTTCAAAATTGTTGTAGAGAGCTGAAATTTGGTACAGAGGTTGCTAATGGCTCCTAATAGAAAAAAATAACTTCAGGTTGGAAAAATTTTCATCATGAGTGACCCTATGGGGTGACCCATACCGATTTTTCAAAACCATCATATCGAACTGAAATTTGGTGGAGAGGTTGCTTATGGGTCTTAATAAAAGAATATGATATGATATTGGTAAAATTTTTATCTGGAACGCCCCTATGGGGTGACCCATACCGATTTTTAGAAATTGTTTTAAAAAGATGAAATCCGGCACAATGATACTTAATGACTGCTAATTAAAGAATATGAAGTTAAAAGTGAACAAAGTGCAACCAGACCAAAGTGACCAGAGTGCAATCAGTATGGGGTGACCCATACTGATTTTTAAAACCTACTCCAAGCAACTTTGCGGGGCCTTTTAAGACGGCATTATTACATAAAAGCCAGACTCTAATGAACGATTGGCATATAATTTTTAGCCCGGACTAGGGCTTATGTAATCGACCTGTCCGTCTGTCTGTCTTTCCATAACTCTCGAAGGAGTAGGCTGAATTTTACCAAATTTGATACAGACATGCATCTGGGCATCGACCGAGTTCGAAGATGGGTTAGTGTTTCTCACGGGTCGGGTTCTTGCAAATCCGAAACCCGAACCCGAACCCGATGCCACTGATCCGAAACTTGAGGGCAACCCGAACCCGAAACCCGTTTGCAACGATCCGAACCCGAACTGGCGGATCAAATCCGAAACCCGAACCCGAAAAACCCGAATATATTTTAACTTTAAGGGGTGACTGGCTTTTTAGCTAAAAATTCTTTGGAAGGTTTCAAACAAACAATACTTCTGTAAATATGACCGAGGAATTATAATTAAGCACATTTCTGCATAAGTACATAACTCTTAATTCCTTGACCATAATAATGCAATCTCAAAAAATCGACCATGAATAATGGCTTTCCGTGACATTCAGAAATTTTTAAATCAGTTGAAAACTGAAAATGATTTTCAGTTTCAAGTTTCCAATATTAAAGTAAGCTCAAGCTAAATATTTTGCAAATTTTTGATAAAAAATATATTTTATTTTAATATTCAAACCATAACACTAATTGAAGACACTTGTGAAAAGAAGTTACGACAATTAAAAATTTGAATTATTTAATGAATTACTGCAGCATAACCGTCGTAGCAAGTTTGGTTAACACTTTATTTTCTTTTTTAATGTTTTCGTGTTCGTTGTGGCAAAAAGTTCTTGTTGGTTCGGGTTTCGGGTTCTTAGTCGGAACCCGAACCCGACCCGAACCCGAAATTTTGGGATCATATTTCTCGGACCCGAACCCGAACCCGAAAGTTTCGGGTTCAAAAATTTCGTATCCGAAGCAGGACCCAAACCCGATCCGAACCCGAAACCCGAAGTAAGAACCCGAACCCGTGAGAAACACTCGATCAAAAAACATTTAGACCAATGAGTGGTACCCTGGACACGACTATCACCTCGAAAGTATCCCTTGTTAGCTAACTTTTAATTTCAAATTCTTTGATGAGAAGCCACTAATTGTAAGTATTACCGTGCCGGATTTCATGTTTTTAACGCAATTTCTAAAAATAGATATGGATAACCGCATCAGATATAAATTTTACCAATTTCATTTCATATTGTTCCATTAAGACCCATTTGCAACCTCTCTCCCAAATTTCACTTCGATATGACGATTTTGAAAAATCAGTATGGGTCACCCCATAGGGTCCATCAAGATTAAAATTTTTCCAACCTAAATTCATTTTTGTCTGTTACAATCCACTAGCAACCTTTGTTCCAAATTTCAACTACCTACTACAAATTTTAGAAATCCGTCGGGTCACCCTATCGGGTCTCCCAGGTTTAAAATTTCTGAAACTCCACTCCAATTTAAACGCTTTGAGGTCAGTCGCAATCTTCATACTAAAATTACTTAAAATTATTACTATAGATATTTCTCAAGCTACAAATATTTTACTTACACTTAAATAATTTAACCTGCTCTAAAGGTTCTTGGTAGTTAAGGGCAACGCATTTGAATGGAAATGACCCCCACCGGCCAATTACTTGACCGATCATGCCCATCTCCGAACTCATCCTTACTTTTGACCCGAAGATGAAGTGTGCAAAATTTCAAGTCGATAGCTTTTGTTTAAAGAGAGTTATCGTGCGCACAGACGGACGCACAGACGGACGGACAGACAGACATCTTGGTAAATCTATAAGGCCATCTTAAAAGGCCTAAAAATCGTTATATCGAGCTGAAATTTGATTTGGAGGCTGAATAGCACATACATACAGCTTAGAACTTCAGGTTGTTAAAGAAGCCACTGGTCATGGTGGTCAAGGCACATGATTTGTAACTAATTCAAAAATTTGGTACCAAATAATAGAAACTATCTAACAAACTTTTAACCATCCACAACACGGAAGTTGGTGATATTATGTCGGTCAGTTCGGAAAAGAATTTAGAAGCGGGCTCTGACTTATTGAGTCAGGGACTATGTCCCTGACTCGGGCTATATGGAGTCTGCACTGTAGGTTTTTTAGATTTTAGAGTTTGGGAAATTTTTAAAGGAATAAGTATTCAAATATTTTGGGAAATTTTATAAAATGTTGAGCAAGATTTCAAATCGTACATAAAATCTCAAACTATTTAGCACAAGTAAAATTTGAATCAGATTTTTCTGAAAATTTCAAAATTCGTTAATTTTTTTTCTAGATTTTAGAGTTTAGGAAATTTTTAAGGGAATAAGTATTTAGGTATTTTGTGAAATTTTATAAAATCTTAGGCAAGATTTCTACCAAATCGTACTTAAAATCTGAAACTATTTAGCACTGCAATTAAAGGAATGCTTCCACAAATGCAGTGAAGATGAAGGTGTGTTAAGTAAACAAGTAAATATTGAATATTTTAAGTGCATTCCTTTCCCTTGAACTTGTAGCCTGATAACAGCACATTCCTTAATGTTGAATGCGATTTTGAAACCGGGATACGAAAGAAAATCATGAAATTTTAAAATTATAAAATTTTAAAATTAATATGAAAATTATGAATAAATTTTGAAAATCTATTTTTTGAATAAAAAATTTGATAAACTTTAAAGTCAAAAAATTTTCTTCTAATTTCTTGCCTGTATTATTCCAATTATTTTCAAAAACGATGAAATTGATGAACAAAATCGCCCAAGATCTCGGTGATATGAAACAACGTCCTACAAAGATTTAGGTTCTCAAGGATGTAAAAGTTAAAATGCAGTCGAGTGAGTTTGACAATGAAATGAAACCGGACCGGAGGCTGTAGTTCAGCCCAATGGGGCAGTAGCTCTTCTTCCATTGCATTGTTTTTTTCTGGTCAGACAATATCAATATCAGGTTCTTAATGTTGTAATGATGGTCACGATGGTGTAATTGAGACTCTGATTTAATTAAGACACAACAAATAAGAGGGCAAAAAAGATGTACGAGTCTGGAGTTAAGAAATTTCTCAAATTTCCCAAATTTTTTACACCTGTAAATCTAAGAAATTTCCAATTTACACCGGTCACCACTCACGCTCAAAATATAGCGAATTTTCATCCTCTGCTCACTCACTTTCCTATAAATAGTCCCATAACAAGCTCTGGTCGAACATAACAAAGAGAAAGACGGATCAAAAGTAGGCTACGGCTTCTCAAATCATGTCCACTTTGATATTAGTGATTACACACATGTATCTAGAAAACAAAGACTTTTTCTCTTACACGCAGTGATCAAAATGGAAGCCGAGATGGAACGAGGCACCTCTCGCCATCATTTAAATTCAGTCCGTCACAATTCTTAATGATGGCCAAAAATAGGAGTTGGTTCTTGGTTCTTGGCTCCTTTTTATTTTCATGGGTGATTGGATCCATTGTCATCCATCGGACGATGGCTATTCACTAAATAAAACACTACATATAAGCTCACGTCGTGTAATAAAACATGAAAATGAACACTGTTTACATTAAAAAACTAGATCAATTTATGATTTTATTTATGTTACAGGTGGAGCCGTTGGGAAACCAAAATTTCGAAAATGAGGGCAAAGAAAAGACTTTCTCCGGCGTGTTCGAAACTGTTCGGAGTGTTGTGTGTAATTATATTAAATTGTGTGTGTCACTCGTCAAGTGCAAATGTTAAGGAGTCCAATACCACGTCGACGGTGGTACCACCAAGTAAGAAATTTTGTATAAATGTTCATATTTCCTTAATTAAAAAATGTGCAAATTTATTTATTTAATTGACCTAAAACGCGCACAAAATCATTTATTAAAATTCAATTTATTAAAACACACAGCTTTATAAAACCCAGGAAATAATGCAAATGAATGATGATGACAAGTTGACAGTGACAATGAGTAAACTAATTCCTGCATAACAGTCATAGAGAACACTTGGCAAAGTAATTAAGTTGACACGACATTCTATTAAATGTCTGTGAATGTAATGCACCATTTAATTTACTCGCATGAAAATAAATATGCACAGCCCGAGGGTGTCATCACACAAATGACATCACGTAACAAAGAACGGAATGCATGCATACATAAAATATTTTCGCATGCAAAAAATACACCGAGTTTCAAGTCACAGAAATTTTTACGAGAAATTATTACACGCTGTTTACTTTGTGTAGGATGGATGAAATTAGCTAAGGTGCGTACGTGTACTAACTATATTGTCACTAATTAACGGAGAATTTAAGGAGTGGTGAAAGGTAATTTTGGAACAATTAGCGTAAAATTTATGCTAATTTGACACCTTACTTTTATCAATCTCAAAATATTTGTACAATTTTAGTCATCTGCTTTTTTTGCCAAATTACTAATGTTCTGTGTCTCTTACATATGTAAATGTTCACTTCAAAAGCCCGAGACAAAGAGGTATTTACAAGCAAATACTAAGTTAATTCACCGTTATCCAATTCGCCTACAAATAAAACCGGCTTCATCCTAAAACCTATTTCACTTTGAGATCTTGCCATGATCCAATCCAACGTTGGTTAAACCGGCTTAAGGATATTTCACTCACGTCCATATTTCATTCACAACATTGTCCACCTGACTGACTTAGTCCACTGACTGAGTGCCAAATTCATCTCGTATGTACATCGTTTTGTAAAACACGAAGGAAAAAGTTGCATGTTTTTGTGTCTGTCTGAAAACAAAAATCGTATCATGAGCCAAAATGGGATGCAATTTGAAATGACGCAGGCGAACCAATTTTATGACGGCATGGGGTCAATGAAAATGCAGTCGTAGAAATCATTCCGTTTTCCCTCTTTATTTTTGCACCTCTCAACTATATAAATTTAAATCAGGGTAGAATTACTTTTCAAATTGATCGCTTAATCGATATTGGAAATGGATCTGTTTCTCTTTCTCTTTCTAAAATTACACTGCAATTCGTGCAATCTCTTAACTAGTACTTAAATGGTAAATACGTTTTGGTTAGTATGTCACTGAGGAATTGATTACTATCTTTAAATGCTTGTACTATATGATTCTTCGTGGTTTGGTTGCAGGCAAATTGTGGTCGTAGTGAATTTTACGATTTTTTATGATCCATCTTTTCATGAATAGTAGATATTTGTACAGATGCAGTTTCATGTAATTTATTTAAAGAGCAATAACAATAATAACAGAAAAATATGTGTGTTTACTTACTCAATTACTTTTAATCTGTATGAAAACATGGAATTATTGCCAACGTGTAGAAATATTGACAAGTAAAAGTGCATTCACGTGAGAAATTATCATTCTTAAATTACATCACGTAAAACAATCAGTCAACTTTACATGCATAAATATCTATAAAATCTCTTTAATAAAATAAATAATGGAGAAAAAAGAGCATAATTTCTTATTGTTTTGTTGCACCGTAGTTCAAAATCATGACCACGTTACACGACGATTGCCGATATGTAGGCTGCAATTATCTAATTTATTGTGCATTTATTATATCACGAATACACACAAACACGTTATGTGCGTACCGATGATCGTCAGAGAGAGGGGATGAAATTTATTGGGGGACACACCCACTTTTGGGTGATTCGTTTGCGAAATATTAACCTGGTAAGAAGAAAAAAACGGGTTAGTTGTTAAAATGATGATGACATTTAAAATTTAAGAGGTAGTTTTTTAGTCGGTCAGTAATTAAGAAAATTTATTTGGTTTTCGAATATGCATATCAAAAATTGAGTAATAAAAACTTACAGGATTTATTAGGTATCTTTGTTTTTTTTGTCATACGTTCCAGCCGATTAGTATTAATTTAGAAATTACATTTGTGAAAAAGTAAATAATTCAGATCGACAATTTTCGTAAAACAAAGTTGATACATTTAAATCAAAGATGACTATAGAAAAATGAGGTCATGGAAAAATCAGAGATGAAATCTTTTCACATATTGAAATAGAATTTTTTACGTAATTAGTGGTCAAACTCTTTACGCTTTTATTTAGGCAAAAGTAAATGTGAAATGTCCACCAGACTAAATTATTACACGTTCTTTTTTCGAGAGAGAGGATGAGTTGAACTTTTTTTTATCGATGTCGTCTAAATTATATACAGAAAATCCTCCTCATCAACTTTCGATCCTTTTATATACATAAATACGCGAAATTATAGGGTGGCATCCTCACTCACCTTGTATTTTTACGTACTTTTTTAAGTGCAGGCTAGTATTTTTGAAGTCCAATTTTACCTGTATTTTGACGAGGAATCTTTCCTATCTATATTTTAGTGACGGGGCATTGTCATTGTTTGGAGATTCTAAAGTTTACAGGAAGTGCACACGCGGTCGCTTTTCTGAATAGGAGTTAGTTGTATATTTAACTTTGTGATTCGATTGATGATAAATCCATTGTTCGGCTTTTGTTTGGCTTCGATTCTGACGGTGATAACATTGATGTAGATAAAATAAAAAATGGTAAAATTAGTCGAATTTTTTCAAAATACGACTTGTTAGCAAGGAAGAAAACACAATTATAATCATGATTTTTATTTTATGACAAATTACACGTAATGAGCAGGGTGTGCTTAGTTAGGAGACAATATTGTTAGCTAATAACTAGTTAGAAAATTTGTAATAATTTTGAAATTTTGAAATAAGCAAAATATTAAATATTAAAGCTTCTTTAAATCAAATTAGCCAATTCCACTGGGAAAACTAATCTAAAAAATAACGGTAAATTTATCAAACCGAACCACGATATGAATTTCCACTCATCAAATGTGATAAGAACAAAATTATGAATTAGTATTTATTTACTACATAGTGGGAACATTCTCATAATTGCGTGGAATGGAAACTTCCTCTCTAATACTTAACGTTTGGCGAATAAAATAGAGCAGAATAAAAGGCACACATCGAATAATTCTACGTATACAATAGGTGAAAGAATGCAAAATGTATGTGGGATAAACCATTTCCTATCAAAGCAGCAGAGTGCAGAGGACAGAAAAAGAGACAGGATGAGCATTTCCGGAAGTTGCCAATGTAATGAACTCACAGGCTGCCTGCTAAATAATAAATAAATTAACCCTGATTTAACTCCCAACAGCAAGTCGTAATAATGATGAATGCGTTATTTAAATACGTTGGACAACGTTGGTTTGAAATTTTTGTAAATAATAATGGCCAAACATGCGTCACCTACTTGTTTGCTGAAAAATGTTGTATATGACCTGTAAATAATACTTTGTTAAAAGGGGTGAAGTTCAATTTATGACGACGACTCAATTTCTTACTTGCTTTAAAAGTGTTTACATGTTTCATGAGATGGGAATTTGCACTTCCTAAAAGATTTTGAGATTGGGAAATGTACATGAAAATCGGGACGGGCGTGTGTGTTAAAACGCATAAAATACAAATCGTGGGAACGGAAACTGTTTGTTTTTAATTGATGGTCAAAATTTGTACCGTGAAAATTATAAAGTATTAAAATTAAACTGACCAAATAAATACATATTTCCTTGTTTTTTTCTTATCAGATCTGTGCAAACTAGAAAGCAGTCTATCCAGCGTGATAGTGGATATTGAAGAAAGTATTGGGGATGGTAAGTCAAAATTACTTAATTGTGAGAATTTAACGTCGAAAATGGAAGTTTGTACAAATTGGATTATAAGTTAGCGACCAGATTCGATATGTACGAACGAAAAATTAAATTAAACTTATAATTCTAGAAATTGGTCAATCTACCACCCCGAAAGAACTTCCGATCGTTGGCGACCCCTGGAATCAGATTGACTTGACCCTTGTACAAAGTGATAAGCGATACTTTCGCCTCCACGGAAAGAAATTACAGCTGAGTGCACCCTTGGACAGAGATCAGGATGACATTTCTTCAATCGTATTCCAGGTAAAAAAAATTGATTGACTCCTTTTTTTCGCTAAAAAATTGGATAAAGAAAGTGAACTAAATCCGCCCCCCCCTCAAAAAAATATACTTATCGACCAACAACTTAATTAACTTGCATTTTCTTCTCACAAAGAAAAGAAAAAGTTACTGCTTGATTACAAATTGAGGAGCAATTTAGTTACTTTGAAGAAATCTTAAATAAAGGTCATCCTCGAAACCCCCAAGGAAAAAATAAATTGCGTCCATCGTAAATACTCTTATTTACTCCAACTTTAGTAATAAGTGCAAGTTGTCAAAGTGAGTCGTATATAATTGTAAAGCATGGATGGTTGTTTGTTAGTAAGTCCGAGTGAATTGGTGGATTAGATTCAGTGAAAAAGTTGTTTGGCCCACTTAAAGACGAGTCTCGATTTTGGACTTGACTTCTTCGGCGCAACCTTAATTGATGACCGATTTATTCGTCATAGCAGAATTTTAATAGTGGAGAAGGGTGGATGGACGGAGGAGGAAAGAAAATGTGTGAAGATTACAATGTTAACAATTTGTTAAATTTTTTAATAAATATCAAACTGCGTGAATAAATTTAACGACGATAATAATTCGAAATTTATTTTATAACCGTTTTCTCATATTTTTGGGCCCGGTCGTAATCTTGTCACTCATAATTAATTTCCTCGCCAAATTTTGTGCATAATATATCGCATTGTTTGTTTCCATTGTTCATATTTTGACTAGTGATACGAAACGATATAAAAATATCAGCACGATTTCATTCATCATCCTGACATGATCCCACACATTTATATTTCCACCCATGTCAAATACTTTCCATTTCTTGGCTTTACTTACGTGATGAATATGATTTTGATCTGATTAGTTTTTAGTAGAAATTTTTATCTCGGGGAGAGGAAACCATTTATTTTTTCAATCCTTCAATTGAGAGATTTGTTATGAACTTTGTAAGTATTTTTTATTTATTGTATTGTGAAAAGTTGGTCATTCATTTCGTTTCATCACGGCTTTGATTTCTAATCTCATAAAATAAAATGTTCAAGAAAAAGGTGTCAAAGCGGAATTGTAGGGAATTCGAGAGATAAGAAAAAGTGTGAAAAATTTAATGAAAGTAAAGCAATTATCGACACAATGTCGATAAGAAGAATTATGATTTCAATTTGATAATCATGCTAATGACATGTGCATTATAAATTTCGCAAATATTTTGCAGGTTGTGTGCAAAATAAAATCGACCGGAGAGAGCAGAACGATACCGGTCATAGCTCGAGTTTCTGATAAGAATGATAACTCCCCAATATTCGTGGATGAACCGTATGAGGTTTCGATTTCTGAGGTAAAAATAATAATTAACTATTAATTACTTATCATCGATAAGATAAGTAAGAGACCGAATTCTTCTGCTCTAGTCCACACCTGTCGGTTCCACAATATTCCGTGGCATCCGAGCCAAAGATGTCGACGCGGGTGTGAACGGACTAGTCGAATATTTTGTCGTAGATTCGAAAGATGAAAAACCGGAAGAAAATGGATTTGGTATTTTCACCATCAATTTTCCCCACCAAGGTGCAATCACCCTCAACAGAACGTTGGATTATGAAAAGAGCAACAAATATTTTGTCACTATCGTCGCATCCGTAAGTTAAATAATTAGTTAATTGATATGTAGTTAAGATTATCGTTTTGACGACAGGATCGCGCCTTCGACCCTTCGACGAGACGATCCTCCACGTCGACTCTGACCATCAACGTTTTAGACGATGACGATCAACCTCCCGCTTTTCAGAGGAAAGAATATAATTCGACGGTAAGGAAAAAATTAATGGTGGTAAAAAGGAAATTAATTTAATTTAATGATGATAATTAATTAAAGGTAATTCGAAGCGTGCTCACTGGATTGTTAGAAATCCGACCGGAAAAAGTTCAAGCATTTGATCAGGATTCACTCCAATCTCAAATTCACTACACTTTCGTGAATGGGACACCAGCTTCTTATCTTTCTTATTTTCTTATCGATGGAACCTCAGGTAAAAAATTTCTTAACAATAAATTGCACATAATTCATTATTCATATAAAAAAAGACAAAAAAACTCGTCCACAACCAAAAAATATCCATTTCTAATTTTTATTATTTTGCATCGAATTACGCCGGAAAATATTTTTTTGCTTAATTTAACATCGACTAACTATAAACAAGGCCCCAAAAAATGGGAAATCTTAGTGAGTCAGCGCAATCACAGTTAATAAATAAAATTAGATTGAATAATTTTTTCATCACCGCTCTCGGTATAATTTTTCCTGGAAGCATTAATTAATCATTTAGAATAATTGCCCCCCCCCTCAAAGGGTCTGGAGATTTCATCTGAATAGGAATTAATAGGATATCTAAATTTATATATCGAAATTGTAGATTTTCAAATCTTTCTAAATTTAAAATTCGCAGTTCACAATTATATTTCATATCGATTAATTTATTCAACTTCTCGTTCAATAGTAAAAACGTCATCTTGTAATCTCAATTAATTTAATGAATGCAAGAGTTCATGCGTATGCAAAACTAAATTTACAGTGGACCCAGTAAAAATTATCCCGAGAGCGGTGATGCAAAAGTTATTCAATCTAATTTTATTTATTAACTGTGATTGTGCTGACTCACTAAGATTTCCCATTTTTTGGGGCCTTGTTTATTTAAAACTTGTAATTTGGTTGTCAAAGACATTATTTTTACTGCACAACCGCCGTTATTATCGGCACCTTGAATATTTTTATTAAATTTTTGATTTTCAAACTTGAATAACGCCCTTATTTCTCAACCGATTTAGGTCATTTTGCGCTTAAAATGTCCGGAATGACTTTGACAAAAAAAATTTTCAATAAGCGAGCATGCTGGGATACACCACTTATGAGTCATAAAAATAAATATGTTTTCAGAGGAAAATTTTTGCACATTTTGGCACATAACTTGGGTAAAAATCAAAAATTCGCCAAGTCGACTAGCACATCTTTTCTAAATTACCTAACAATGATCTGTGCAAAATTTCATCAAAATCGGTTGAGAAATGGCTGAGAAATCGACTTATGTCACTTTTTTTGGGTGGGGTAAATGCATACTTAGCAAATTTTTTTCGTTGTCAGGTATTTGCCTCACTAAGAAAAATTAGATTAGCGAGAGCGTTTTCAATAAATTTTTGTGGTAATTTTTTTTGCAGGAATAATTCGTCAAATTCGCCCAATCGATAACGATTTTGAAACCCGATTTGAAATATTTATAAAAGCAACGGAAGTGACGGAAAAGCGCAAATTTGCCGTTGCAAGATTAAATATTTTTGTCGCTGCGCTCAACTCGCATCCACCCTCCGTTCAAGCGTCCTCTTTGGTTGGATATGTTCCCGAGAATTCTCCAGTGGGGACGATTGTGAGGTCGTTGAATAATCAGCAGCCGATACAGTTTGCAGTCACGGATCCGGATTTGGTGAATGAAATTTTATCCTCTAAATTGGCGAATATTGCAGATTTACATATAAAATTTGCAGAGCCCGAACGATCCCCGACCTCGGTATGAGTTTGAGTTGACATCGACCGGTTTCAAAGTTGATGACGATGGCGTTCTCATCGTTGCGGATTCACATCTCGACAGAGACACGCCTAATCAACCTCAACTCCAGTTTCAGGTTTGTACATTTTGAGATAATCATTACTTAATGAAAATTATTGACTTCCTGGTTGACTCATTTAATGGAAGTTTGCTGATTTCTGATACATTCTTCTTGCCGTGGTGGTCTGCTCTTTTGGCTTGATTGAGACGAAACAAACGGGAATTGTGTTGACGATTGTCGGAAAGTGTTACCTCATTAAGTAACTAATTTGTAAATTATCCGATAATCTTTTGGCAGATTGAGATGCAAATTATGCACATTTTTCGTTAAAAGGATAGTCACGTTTTTCACGGTGGTATATCAGTTCCATGCAAATTGAGAAAAAACCCGATAAAAATTTTCTCCCGTCAATCACATCTACATGTAAAAAAAGATACATAATTTCTCCCACTTTTCGCAACATTTTACAGTAAATTGAATCCTCACGACTAAATATGTGTATGTTTTTACCCTTTGAGTTGTTGTACGGTACAGGTAATTACCACTTGTTAAACGGTGTATGCAGTAGTAAGTAAGCAGTGGTGCAGGTGGTTTAGTTTAATGGGGATTAATGAACATGAACAGTATGAATGCAATTCAAATTCACTTTATGCATCTTTCACTCACTACAAAGAAGACGGATTACCGCAGATAATTCAACATTGCAGATTTGCATGTAGTTCTTAACCAAAAAATTTGGTGTATGAATTTTGAGTCAAGTTCATGATATCATCATCGTTAAGTGAATTGGTACAGTGCAAAAAAAAACCTCTTCTTTACTATTAAAGTGTCATCATAAATTATTTGCCACCACTGAGCGCAAGATTAATGATGAGTTGACTCCTTCCCTTTGTGTGCCTGCTTTTATGCTTGGGCACACTCTGCTTGCAAAAATAAATAGTTCTTTTTTCTTATTAAATAAGTAACAACACCGGGGTAAATATGAGACGGTATTATTACGTAAGTTAATGCATTCTTTCCTTTATTTATGCAGATGATTGCTCGGGAAGTGGGTGACGACAAAGGTGTCAGTTCCGCTCCGTTAGTGATTTTAGTCCATTTAAAGGTAAATGTTACACAATAAGATTAGCTTGATGCATTATATTAATTAATTTGTGTGTTAAATTCGTGCCCAGGATGTGAATGATAACAGTCCAAAAATCCGACCTGTTCATCCCATCATAATTCCTGGAGGGGGGGATGGACGTAGGCCAATTTTTAAGGTGAGGATCTAAATAATTTTGGTATTTTTAAAAAATACGATAAGAAAAGGGTATGATAATCAAAAATTGGATGTCAGATCGAAGCGGAGGACAAAGACGAGGGAAAGAACGCCGAAATTACCTTTTCCCTCACGCACATCAGTAACAATGGGACGAATAAATTTAAAATACATGAATCCACCGGAGTTTTGGACTCCATTGGCAAATTTGCGACGGGCGAACAATTCTCCGTTACTGTGCAGGTGAGTGCGCTTCTAATAATGCCATTTCCGGTAACACAGTCAGCAGACCCATGTAGAGGATGCATGTAAATATCCATGTACCTACTAAGCGATGATATTGACAAAGGGATCACGATGCACGATGTACTGCCTCGAATAACGGTACTCTGGAGATCAATGACAAAAAATGCGAAATTATTGTCCAGATTTGTTTGACAATACTTGTTTTCTGCACCATTTTTTGCTCATTATATGAATCACAGTTATTTTCGTGTTCTGAAAAACGTTTGATAAATTGCATAGCAGTAAAAAAAATTAAAAACCACCACACCTTTAATTCGGGATAAAAAACTGTATCACATTTCATGAAAAGAAAATATGTGACAATAAATAATTTGACGGATACATAGGCAACCGACGGTGGTGGACGAATGGACCAACGGATAATCGAAGTCAATGTGGTAGATGGTCCAAACACTAAGGCCCCCTTATTCACACAACTTGTCTACGATGTGGGTGTGTCGGAAGGTACGTATGACAGTTAAATATTAATCGGGCTAAAAAAATCTCATTTTTATAACAATATCACAAATTAGGATCATCCATTGGCTCTGAAGTTACAACAGTCGAAGCCCGTGACCCCGAGGGCAAATCTGTTGTTTACGATATCGTGGCAGGAAATGAACTCCAACACTTCCAAATTGGTAAAAATACTGGAATCCTTACCGTTAACGGACAATTGGACCGAGAGGATTTAAGTCGTTACAGCCTCGTGAGTTATTTATTTAGCATTGTTCTCACCATTTCCGCGATGTGCGAAACTAATCTGGTCATAAAATATGTAGAACATAAAAGCTGAAGATGATGGCGGGTTGTACTCAATTTCGACCGTAAATATTCGAGTTTTAGATATCAATGAGTAAGCCAATGAACAATATCCAAAAAAATGCCGTAGCTGTAAAATGCATGTAAAAATATTTCTAGTTGTAACCCGGCGTTCCTTCACCTTCCCTACAAATTCACGGTGAAAGAAGGTCAACCCAACAAACTCGTAGGTCGACTCGAAGCCAAGGACCAAGATGAAGATCAAAACGGTCAAATCCGATATGAAATCGTGGAGGATTCTCCATTTAAAGTTGACCCCGTCACGGGAGATGTCTTCACAAAATATGCGTTGGATTACGAGAGACAGAAAGTGCATTACATCGTCGTCACTGCGAAAGATAATGGGCACGATGCTAGAATAGGTAAATCATTGTCGCATTAATTTAAGAAAATTAACAAATTGACAACAATTTTCGAAAATAGCGACGGCCACGATGACCATCGGGGTTGAAGATATTGCCGACACGGAGCCCGTTTTTAGCCAGTTTTCCTATGAAGTCTTAATACCAGAGAATTCCCCCAGCATGAAAGTCACGACGGTGGAGGCGATCGACCCAGATACTGAGAAACGTATCACATACTACATAAAACAAGGTCCCTTTGACAAATTTACGATAAATCCTGTAACCGGAGATTTATACACGACGCAAGGATTAGATTATGAACGGGATTCGAAACACATTCTCATAATCGGTACGGAAGAGAATGACAGTGGAAATATGGGATCCACAACCACGGTCAGTGTTCATTATTAGTTTTCATTTACATATTTAGGCTTGAAATTAACATGTAAATTTTACATTTTACAGGTTGTTGTGCACGTCAAAGATTTGAACGACGTACCGTAAGTCATTTCCTGTTACGCCATTTAATACAATGACCACTAATTACATGTTATTTGTTTGGCATTTAAATTACAGTCCCATTTTCAACGTGGTTCCAAGGCCGATTAGGCTCGAGGATACTGCCCCCATTGGAATGGTGGTTACAAAATTAGAAGGTTAGCATTAAAACTCATCATCAAATAAAATCTACCACTGGTTTAATATTTGTGCCTATTGCAGCCACTGATTCTGACGGAACCTCTCCCTTCAACAAAGTACAAAATTATAAAAAAATTAGTTATCACCAAATCTGACCTTGGCAGTCGTATCCACACAAATAAAACATTATACATGTTGTATTTTTTTAGGTAAAATATGAAATGATTGGAAGAGGAAAGGCCTTGAGATACTTTGACGTGAACCATGAAACTGGGGCTGTCTCGATTAAAGATGACCTTCGTAAAGAGATGGACACGGAGTACTTGGTAATTTTTTTTCTACATTTAAAAATACGCCCAAATTTACGAACCAAATTAAATATGCAATTTCCTCAGATCGATGTCCGTGCCTATGACTTGGCCGACCCTCCACTGGACTCGGTCGTCACTGTAAAAGTAAATGTTGACCACGTCGCCACTGTCGCGCCGGATGTGGGAGTCGGATTTTCAGAAATTGACTATTCCGTCGACGTGCCAGAATCCTCGGTGGGGGGAACAGTCCTAAAAAAATTAGTCATCATTAACAAGCAAGACGAAGTGATTCCATTAGATTGCAAAATCACGAGTGGAAATCAAGACGGATTGTTTCAAGTGAAAGTAACTCCGGAACGAAATTGTGAAGTTGTTCTTACTCGAACATCCCTTGATCATGAGAAAGTGTCAGAATACGAGATACAAGTTGAACTACTCACGCTTCCTGGTGTGATCAGCAGAAAAAATTCGATAGCAAACATTAAAATCAAAATTGTCGATGAAAATGATAACAGTAAGTGTTTATAAATAATTTTGGAAATTTAAAAAAATCTAAAAAATTATGTATGAAAATCAAATAATAGGACCAGAATTCCTGTTCCCTGAAAGTCAAAGAATCGCTCGTGGTAAAAAGTTTTATGGAGCAATTTCTGAAGATGCTCAAATCTCAACTTCCGTCATCCAAATCCGTGCTGAAGACAAGGACAGTGGAGAATTTCACGACATTTCGTACGATCTTGAAGCACAACACGACTTGACGAGATCTTATTTTGTCATTGATGCGAAAAGTGGAATTGTTTCCAATACGAAAGCAGTTGACGATGTGTCACCGACCTTGTTACCATTTAGACTTGTCGTCATCGCGAGAGATAACCCGAAAGGACCCATCACAAAGAGTTTAAATACGCAGATTCCTCTCGTGGTGAGTTGATTGATATGTTACCTTAATTTCTGTAAGGTAACATTTCCTTTAATTTTGGTGCTTCTGAAATCCTAGGTCAACGTAATAGACGAGCCTCACCGGATGGTACTAATAATTCAAGGAACGACCCCTGACCGAGTAAAAATCAAAGAGCGAGATATTCTCGAAATCCTGCAAGATTCGTCCAACTTAATCATTGGGATTGAAAAAATTGCAGCTCATAGGTATTTAAGGCGATAAGATAAATTAAATGAGCTTAGAAAATAATTAATTCTTACACTGTTTTCAGATTCGTGTCGGAAAATGGGACCCTTGAATTGGACTCCTCCGCAACGGACGTCTGGTATGTATTCACAATTTTATAATTTCTATTCAAAATAATCTCATTCTACGGCAAAAATTATCATATTTTATTTTATAAAAATTAAATTCTAGGTTTTACGCAATTGATCCCATCACTGATCACATTTTAGATAGGGAACATCCCAAAGTGGCAGAGTAAGTCAATTATTTGACATTTTTTTGAAATTTTGTTAATAAACAAAATTTCTAGAACGATAATGTCTCGGGAGAGTTCGAAAGGGATTTCATACTACGTTTCAAGTACTCTTGGTAAATAAAACTTATAAATATATCATTATACAGGATTTAATCAAATCAAATCAAAATTTACAATACAATAGCATTTCTTTCATTTCAAGGGGTACGTGCTACGGAAGTGCGTAAACCGATAACGCGAGCCCCACTGCCGCCATCCCCGGTGGGTCCACTCGTGGATGGAGCTTATTTTGGAACAGCTTTTCCAGCAGCCTTGGTCGCTTTGGCGTGTCTGATTTTTATTGTCAGTTCTGCTGGGATTTGCTTCATTTGTTATAAATGGTCGAGATACACAGCGTATAAAGATCAAGTTCAAAGGGTTGTTCGTCCCCCGAGAAGTTATGAACCCGTTTACGTGGATCACAGCCCTAGTTTGAAACAGTACGAGACTCAGGTGAGTTTAGAAATTGGATTATATATTCGATCCCACTAGTTTAATCAATAAATTGAAATTTCTCCAGGTTTTAAACATGAGAGTCGCCGGAGATGAGATTGACATTGATGATTCTGATCTTCAAGTTGATTTAAATCGTAGCCGAAATCATATTTACCATATCGACGGTTCCAGCATATTGGGTACGGTGTAATATTTGTCATAATATTAATAATTAGGAAAAAATTACCACAATTTTGTGTAAAATGCAGGTGGTCGATCCAGCAGTCCCTGTTCCGACGGATTATCGCGACCCACAAGCTTCCCAGAACTGCCAACTTCCTCGTCTTCAAAAACACCAATTTTGAAAACATTTCAACAACACGTTGCTGGGAAGGCGGACTCTGTCACGAATCCCATTTATGAAAGGTCATTAATCTAATTTTAAAAGTAATTTAAAGAATAAAATGCTAATTGTGTACTCGGAATTCAATTGCAGATCTGATGATGACGACATGTCCATCAGTTCCCAAGTCAATGACAATGTCCATTTCCGGAAAGATCGGATGAGAGAATACAGTCGAAATAAACCATCAACAGAGCTATAATTTATCTAGTTTTACCCAACCCACGTCACACACCTTATCTTATCTTTTGTAGTTAAACTCAGCTTATTATTTATTTGTACACCTACCTTTAGTTTTAGGTAAATTTATGTTTTTTGTTACAATGGGGAAAAAATGGTTGGATTAGTTTTACTCTTGTACAATGTTAGCGAAACTGTTTTGTGGCCATAATAAAACTTTATTTACGTTTTTGCAATAATGAATTACATAATGCGATGTTCTTAAAATGATGACGTGTCCATCGACTCCGAAGCATACTTTTATAGGTATATAGCATTTTTCGAAATCTTGACAACACATGAAAACTGGGTATATAATCGTCTCATATTTCTGAGTCATAAAATGGATTTATTGGCAAATTGGGAAAATGAGACATTTCCGTCCAACTTAACTAATGTAACATTGATATTTCTACGTCTGGTTTTTTTTTAAATTCAAAATACTATGTATATCATTTGTTTGAAGGTAGCATGTCCATGCACCGGAACTGAATGGCCTTCCAGGAACTTTTCCGTAATCTAGGAGTAATGAGGTAATCTAAAATCTCCAACCAGTAAGAGCGAACCTGCCAGCCTTAGACATGAGGATGATGCCGATTTTTTTACCCAAATCGACTCACCCAGTGACGGTCCTGCATTGTTACCCCCAGTTCTGAAGACACTAACTAATTTGAATGTCTGGTTCTCTATTTTGAAGAGGATGAGCATGAGACCGATAATGATGCTCCAAAATTTTACCCGGATTGGAAGGTTAATTGGAGTTGGAAGAAGATAAGATCTTAAATATTGTCGTCTTATGATTCAGGCCGTTTCTGGAAATCCCCCTAAATTTAATCGACCCCCAGAATCAACGAACGGAAAGAAATCAGTTGTCGCATCCAAGAAATTGGCACCAGTAGATCAAGAGGTCTAACTTTAGTCGCTGGGTTAACCTGACAATCTGTGCATTTATGTGGATGTCAAAAAACTGAAGGCTCGCACAGAAGGACAAAAAATATTTCTGTGGTTTTGAAATCTTATTAATTTTAAAACAGTTTGAACAAAACTATACTCAAATTGATGACTCTGTCCAAAAACCCAACCAAATACGATTATAAATAAAGAGAACTCTGACCTAGTGTTGGACGGTATCAACGGTTGGAAGATCAACTTGGATCAACTGCCAACTGGGTGAATCTAATACAACCAAAAAACGGCGTTGACTTGAAAATGAGGTAAAAGAAGTAAAGTCCATCCCAATCCAACCACTAATACTCAGGAGGATCAGAGGAAATTCTCGGGTTGATTTGATTACTTAGGAACAACGGGTTCAATTCAGAATCAATTCGTGGAAAGCTATGCTATGGAACCAAGATTGATCTGCCGGAAGACATAATCTCAAAAGTCAAACTTACAAAGTCTACATGTCTATCCAAAGAGCAATTATCATTAATCAATTAGCAATTATTAGAAGCAAATATCATACAACACGTTCGGTCCAAGCATAGTGCATGGGCACTAGGAAATAACATCAAAATTTTTATAATTCGTAATTTAAAATGCTGCGTTTAATGCGATTGTCGCATAATTACGTCGCTAAAAAAAGTTCAAGAACTAAATCGTACATATATATACCATTTCTGAGTAAAATGGGTAAATTGGGAAAATGAGACAATTTCATTCAACTTTACACAAAATGTGAGACAAAATGAGACTCATTATTTACTATTTCCTTTCAAAATCATATTCAAAATTCAAAGTAACTATATTTTAAATAATTTTAATCCATTACTGAAAACGGGTTGACCTCGTCTTTATAGGTCAACCGTTTTTATGTCGTCAGTCCTGTATTTTTACTTTTTACGATGACATTGTTCAAACTTGTTTCATTAATATTTAATTCAGTATTCTCGCCACCAAATTACAAGGCCAACAATTATTGTACACAAACAATCAACTAAATAAATCATAAATAAAACATCACATAAAATTAAGAAATAACACCGAATAAAAAATTTCCACAAAATTTCATTCCATTTTTCACCCAATTTACGTGAAGTGCGGGGCAAATAAAGTTGCTGTGGTTTGATTTTGCCCCGTCGTAAATATTGCGGAGAACGAACAACGGCATTTGTGAAAGCAGCACTCGACGAACAGCAGCAGCAGCAGCAGAAATAACAGCGAATGTCCGCAATTAATTGTTTTTTCTTCGTAAATTGTCAAACCTTTCTAATTTTTTTAGAAATCCCATCTCCTACTAACTATTTTGATTCCTTGAGCCTACGAAAGTAAGGCAGAAGCTGAATAATTGCTACTTCATCGAGAGAAAGGAAGGACAGTGACTCGAAGATGAGTTTTAATTATGGTCGCCCCCCTCCAAAAATTGAGGGGATGGTGTCCCTCAAAGTGGACAATTTAACCTATCGAACCACACCAGATGATTTGCGACGCGTTTTCGAAAAGTACGGAGATGTTGGAGATGGTAAGGAATGATAAATGTCATTAAAAATAAAACCAATTGTACTGGATAATTAATGTTTATGTAAACAAATTATATTACAGTTTATATTCCGAGGGATCGTTGGACTAGGGAATCGAGGGGGTTCGCTTTTGTGAGGTGGGTGGATTTTGACCTAATTAATTAAAGATAAAAGTTCTAAATATTTGTATATGAAATATTTGTATAGGTTTTATGATCGACGAGATGCTGAGGTGAGTATGCAATTAATTAAGATAATAATATTTAAAACAATTCAATAATGGGATCAGTGAAGGTTATAATTTAAATTTTAAATTTTAATTCGTTTTGTCTAGGACGCGATGGAGACGCTTGACGGTCGAGTGTTGGATGGTCGCGAGTTGCGTGTGCAGATGGCGAGATATGGACGACCAGCGAGTCCTGTGGGAGGAGAGAGAAGGAGTCGTCGTGGAAGTCGGGGACGCGGAGGAAGAAGTCGATCAAGGTCAATGTCTAGAGATGGTCGAAATGGTCGAAGGGGGAGATCTAGGTCTAGGTAAGTTGTTGTGCAATAAAAAGTGTGGTAGGTTCTTTGTACCACAAATTAAGGACTAGATCTGGGTTTCCTTCTGGTACAATTGTCGTGTTTGGTTTAATTCTTGGGAAGAATAATAAATGTGAATTATTGGCAAAGGGAAAATTAATATTATTTTGATTGCAGATCTGGCAGCGGTGGTGGCCGTAGGAAGAGTCGTCGTCATTCGAGAAGTCGGTCTGGATCGGGTGGTGGTGGTGGTCGCAGCAGGCGAGACAGGTAAACTAATTGTTTGATAAAGTCTAGCCTCTAGAGTTTAAGATCTATTAACTAATTGAATTAATTAACTTTTATCTACTTGTATTATTCAGATCTGTCTCACGTGGCCGAAAAGACAAGTCTCCCCGTTCAAAATCAAAATCCGTCACACCAAGTCGCAAATCCAGATCTAAATCTCACGAATCAAGATCCAGGTCAAAGTCACCTGTTCGGAAACGAGTTTCTCACTCAAGGTATATAATAATTGATTTGATTACGAATTACGATTCAAAGTCATGGACGGCGTTATTTAAGTTTTGTGATTTTGCAGATCCCGAAGCCCAGTAAAACTGGAGAAAGCAGTGAAAGATCGTTCCGCATCCCGATCACCGAGCCGTTCTCATTCACGATCACGTTCACCTTCAGAATAATGGAACTACTACTTTGACTGTTGTTTGCAGAGTTGATAATGAAAATGTCTTCGCTATCTCTATCATTGGTTTTCACCATCCGTCTGTCTGCTGGTTTGAAAAACGTAGGTTATCATTTGTCTCCAATAATTGTTATTTCCGGCTTTTCGATTTATAAGTCAAAGTCTCAAAAAGTTAGAGTTTGGTCAACTTAGAATTAAATGAAAATATATGTACTTACTCCATTTTTTCCGCGACCATATTTTTGATGGTGACAAAATTCTCGTAAAAAATTCTACATCAATAGAAATTCTCTCGATTTTTAGTTAGTCGAATATTAATTTTACCATAATTTTTGCATTGAGTAGAAGAAAATTAGATGTGTAGTTCATACACAAATTTAGTAATTCGTCCGGTTTTGCGTGATTGTTTATAATTTTATCTATATTTTTAGGAATTGAAAGCATGTGTGGTAGCTAGTTAAATATGATTTGCCCCTCTTTTGTTATTGGATAAAAACGTTTTGTATTCTTGTGTACATATATAAACCCTATGAATAGCTTAATGTAAATGATTTGTTCTTACTTTAATTAATATTTCTCTACTTGATTGCATATAGATGCGGTAAAAGTGAGAGTGCCGTATTTTGGTGGTGCACATGCTGCTGAAGGCGCATTTCTTCGTTCCTGTTAATGGTGGTGTTGCAGCCAGCCGCTAACTAAATAAGATGGGAGAGAGGGGGGAGCAGAGGGTGGGGCTGGCTGGTGTTTGGTGGTTTGGTGTTTTGCTGTTTGAAAGGCGAGATTCTGTCCTGATTTTCCTTACGGTATGAATTACATCCATCTCCATAAAATAACAAAGGAACACACAATTCATTCACTCACTTATGAAAACACTTACTTTTATAATTGACATACTTTACTGTTTCAATTCCAAATAGTTCCATCAAAAAAATTAATTATCATTTTATTACAATTTATGACTTTTTGATGAATTTTCAAATGTTTGTTGGGGACCTGGATGATCGAGAAAGCGTGGTGGTGGTGGTGGTTGGTGTAGTAAGCAGTCGGTCGGTGTGGTGGTGGGGTGACCCGTTGGCGTTGGCGTTTATTTCCTCCTCCTCTTGGCTGGATGGGTGGTTGTATGCATATCAGGCTGTTTCGAGAGTTCCTGCTCGAGAATGGTAAAATAATTTCATTTTTTCATCCATTATTCACATGATGTTAGAAAAAATACTCTGTCCCCTCTTCCGAGTGATTGATTACATTTGGAGTGCAGTTTTTCACGATGTATTTAAATTCTCTCGTCGTGGGACCAAGAGTGAAAGTGAATATAAATGGTTTCCTGCTGCATTTATAACTTTTAAGTGAAAAAATATTTTTTCCCGTAATAGCAAAAATAATCAATTGATGCTTATTAATGTTCTACATATTCCCCTTCAAACTCAGCAATATTATGAACCCCACTCCGTCATAAATATTTAACGGATATTTACCTCTCCTTCGATATAGACACGATTACTTATTTGTGCTGTTACTCGTTTTCCTCGTCGTATTAAATTGAATAAAAGTTGTACCCCAACCAGGTACGTTTTTCTGATGAAAATTATTTACTTGTTATACCAAATTTACTATCTAATTAAATACTTTATGTCTCTTAATGAAGAGAAAGTAGCATAAATTACACTCCTCGTCCATTAAGGCTCCCTAATTGCCAGAAAATGCAGCCGAAAAAGAGGGAAACTTGCGTATTGTTTATGTTCTGAATAACATGCAATGAAATCGATAACAAAGTGCTTAATAGCCTCTCCATCCGAAACGATTATACACATTTCTCCCTGAATTGAGACGGGAAAAGTATGAAAGGGGATGCATTTTGTTGTTGTGGTCGCCGTACTCGGGCTCACCCACTCATTCCGTTTCAGCTTTCTCCACGGACAAACAAATAAATAGTACAGGAAGGAAGTATGTGATTATTCAATTTGTATGCAAATAATCTACCCAACCCAACTCCACCATTATCCCATTAACTCGATTGCAGTATAAAGAATGCATCGCATGAAAGTCTCCAAAACAAAAGTAAGTAATACGGAAATCTTGTAAGTAATCATGTGCCGAGTAAGTAAGCTGACAAGAAGTCGTCGTGGTTGGTGGAGGTCGTGGGTAAGAAGAGAAAGTACATATTTTTCTACCACGTATGTATCATCGCATGCGTTTTGAGGAGAATTGTACACGTAGAAAGTAAGTAAGCAACCATTGGAGTCGGATTTTGGTGAAGAAGAAGACGCCGAGAAACTTGAAACTCTGAAAATTCCGTGCGGATTGGATGGAGACGTTCAATGAATTCTCGAGGAGGTGATCTGATCATCCCCACCACCAACCAACCAAGCGAGGTCCATACACGCATTCTGTACGTTGATACATGTATGACGAAGCCATGCTAATAATGAGACAATTCAGTTTCGCTGGTGGTTTTCCGGTAGCGTGGCACCCATCCAATTCTTGGTAAATTGTGAAATGGCAACAGCTATAAAATTACGCTCTCCCTCGTGATGTAATTTACATGTAAATATTATTCTTCACTCGGCAGGAAGTAGCAGTGGCATCCAGGCCAGACTTTAACTGTTGAGCTGAAAGAGAAAGTGCATCGCATCGCATCGCCAAGGCAGAGGGGGAAGAGAAAGCAAGCAATCTGTTTATGCCAGCCAGCAGCACTTCTCGTCTGCCCTGTTTTCTTGGGCTCACATCATCTTTCCCCACTTTACACAAAGGTTTTGTTGGACCAGGAATTCCAACCAACTCCGTCGTCGCCGCCGTCTTCTTCGCCGTCATTTCTGTCTCCTCTTGTGCTCCTGCTGGTTCTGAGGGCTCGGAGCGTTACTTTTTGAAATCTCTCTCTCTCTTCTGTGTTCCGGAATCCGAGGGAGCCTCCGGACGAGTTGCCCACTAGACCAACATCCCACCCACTCGAATCCATCCACCAAGTACCCAAGAACTAGACTTTCACTTGGGATTCGGATCCACTCTTTTTAGTGGGGTACGAATTGTTGGATAATGTGTCTTGATATGCGAGGAGGGAAGATGCAGAAACATCGTGTATCCTTCTAAATCAATGTGTAGCTTATGAAATACATACCCCATGAAAATTAGGATTTAACTAATTTTTCACAACGTTACAATCACAGCGCGGAGTGACGGACCCCCGTCAACAACTCGCACTTTCACTTTCTCGCTTACTTTCTCTATGGAGTTGACTATCCAACTCCAGGCATAGATAACAACACACCATATTCTTCTGCCATCCTCATCTCGCTGCTTGCTTGGGCTGCCTGCCTGAGTTCAGTCTCATTTCCGAATCGGGATCGCCCTTAACCTCTCCACCATCGTTGTCATTGCCTCTCTCTCTTGCTGTGGATACTGACTTACGCAGGTTCAACAAACCCAACCCTACCCCTTAACAAATTATTTTCACTCTATACCTTTCTTTCTTTGTGTGGTGTGTGAGTGTGAGTGTGCGACTGACCTGAGTACGTACGTATTCATTCCTGCGTTCTTTTTTTAGTAAGTACTGGACAAATTGACAGTTGAGTTGTTGACGGGAGAAATTGACTTTGTTGTTTAACGTGGAGAGAGAGAGAGAGAGCGAATCCGTAATCAGATTTTTGTTTACGACGTACAAGCGTAACTGGTGGGCAGCGGAGGAGGAAGAGGAGGAGGAGAAAGTAAAGGTATGATATACATATATTTCTATTAATAAAGTAAAATCAAGGCGATAAATAATAGTGAAAGTCAGAAATGGGTGATGCATGAGGGTAAAATATGTAGGAATCATACATTCATACATAAAAATAATTCATATCTTCTTCTCCCCCGTCATGATTTCACCTGCTTAAAAAATCTTACAATTCAACTACAATTCTCTACGTACGTGGATAAAATCCTCTGGGGAAATTCCTTCACAAAGCCGGAATTTGTAAGTGAGTGAAATATGAGACGAGCTACACACACATCACCTCTTTTCAATTTAATTGACTCTAACAATTCAATTCCTTCCTGCCTTTTGTCAAGATGATTTGCGTCAGAAATTATACATCATCACAAGCCAATTTTTTGTATTCCTCGAAAGAAAGTAGAAAGGGGGGAATTTATTATGTCGATAACGACGGACGGCTAACTTGAATTGGATCGATTGGTGGATGGATCTCTCTCTCGTTCTGTCGGCATTTGTGGATTGGATTGGGTAGTAGGATTCCCTTCTATTCTTACGAGAATCCTTACGAGAATAATACAAAGGTCTTATTCGCCACGGCTAACTAACTCTTGATCAATGCTTGGCTAGAAGAATGGGTAGGAAACCCAATACTTTTACTTAATCCTGACTACTTTACTTTGCCTATTATGCATTTTTATTTCGATCAGAGAGGAAATCTCGGAGTCTTTCCCTGCTACAAAAAAAACTTGGCTACTGATTTTATTACAGGCAAAGCTCCGTAGTACTAGCCGGCAAAGTAGGAAGAGAGATGATGAAAAAGAGTGCAGAGGAAGTCTGATTTATCGAATTTTTCTTTTATTGCTTGAACGAGATTTGATTTTGATTCCTTCGCCGAGAGCTCATTATTGCATTCCCTTCATGAATCTCAATTTTATGATTATTATACAAGAAAAAGTGAGTGGTGAGTATCGAATCGATTGCCTGTTGCGTTATACTTTGATGTGAAATTGTAGTGAATATTCGATCAAATATTCACTCCACTAAACTCTTTTGTTGGGTATACTGTATACTATACATAAATACGAAATGTCTGCACAGTGTCAGGAAGAATGTTATTACAAAAAGGAAGTCTCTGGATCGTAGTAAATGCCTCCGTGTTTATTTTGATTATAAAATGAATTGGTCTATCCCCGTTTTTTATGTGTGTACATATCCATGCACATGCATTTCACTTACTAAATAACGTATGCACAACTTTTCAACTTACATGTCATGAGGAAGAAATTTTAGCGAATGAATTCCGGAATTGGACATGAATGGGAGAAGAATAAAGCCCTTAAAGTGGTCCGAGTGGGAGAGAGATGAAAGGAATTTAAGAGTGTTTTATTTAGATCTCATTTCCAAAAGGGTTGACTCCACTTACAGATCTCGTGTCTCGTCGTATGGACAACTTTTATACACACAATGCGATCTGACTCTCTGACGGAGCAGCAGATGTGTGTGGGTTCAATTATTTGTCAATTTTCTCAACATGTTGATACACACCCTTGACTTTTGTCTTGTCATGTCAACATTGACCAACATATTTAGTTGGTCTGACTGAACTGGACTACTGGGTGATTTTGGGAAACATTTTGGGCCATATTTCCTTGTTGAAAAAGTAAAATATGTATGTTCTCCTGGCCATGTGGGATTCATCTCTTTTATGAAGAAAGTGAATAGACGGGTAGAAGAAGAATTATGGTCAGGGCTTAAACTTCTTAGGAACCATCCGTCTCATTTAATATCTGTTTCAGAGGAGTGGAAAACAGACCAGGCAGGCTGAGGAGAAGAAGACATGCATACTTTGTTTGTGCCATAACACTTACGTCTGTTCTTCCCAGTTTTAGTTGCATGTGCTGATAAACGGAAGGGACGGAAGAAGGGGAGCAGGCAGGAAAAATTCTGAATGAGAGTCATGATGCTAATGGCCTGCATATATTTGTACGTACATCTTCTCTTGGCTTACAGTTTGTCCACGTCGAAACAAGTGACAGAGAACAAGGAAGACGATGATAGTGCTCATTTCTCTAAATACGAGGGAACTAGCTCATTACATTCAAGAAAAAAGGGGTAGGGAAGAAGAAATTATTGTTAAAGAAATAGGGGAACATCGGGACAAAAGAAGTCCAAAAGGAGTGCAAATGGAATTTCATGTCGAAACTGCATTCCTTGAGAAGAACAAGAAAAAGTCAGCTTTTCTTCTCTCTTCCCCCTCCCACCTTAAAAATCTGATCGATTTTTTAAAAAAGTTTTTTTCTCTCGGGGGATATGCATATTTGCACTGATGACGACAGTGTCAAAATTGCACACTAACCTACGGCCAAAGTTTACATTTTCGATGAAGGTGTTGGTGGGAAGGAGAAGAAGAAGGTGGTACGTACGTACGTAGTTGAGTTCTTATCATGAAACACACACATAAAAGATATAAGTTGAGAATGTAAGCAAATATCTCCATCCAGCCAGCCGGGGTTGTTGGTTGGTTGGATGCGTGAGAGAGGGGGAAGAGAAGAGAAAGTGATCGATACGGGATACGGGTAAGAGAAAGAGTGCCCGGGTAGCCATGACCACCACCAGACCACCACCACCACTCCCTCCCACCCTCTCTTCATCAAATAATACGCCGTGTTTTACACTCTCGTCTTCTTCTTACCAGAGCCAAACTGCTTACTTGGCAGGACTCATAACCGGTCCGACCGAGTGGACAGTAGCGAAGCGAGAGAGCTAAAATGACCACAAATTGTTTCAAACAGTTGTCTCCCCAACTGAATTATGTCCCTAAAATTTTCCGACAGAAGAGTGCGGATGGAAATTCACATAAGGGGAGCCCCACGCCACGCCAGGCTACCACTTGACGCTGAAAATATAATAGTTCCGCTGATGAGATGAGATTTTGCTGTGAGGAGAAAGCAGGAAAGATTTTCTGATGATGGAGACCAGAGTTTCTGACTCTCTGACGGAAGTCTGATTTCCATCCATCCATCTCCTCCTCCCCCTTCAAACGAGTCTCATCTCTTGATTTCTGTCGAGAGTAGAGAACGTAATAGATTTGTCGCTCGGTTAAGCTCTCCGCTCCCAATTTGGAAATATTTGCATAACTCCCGAGGACATCCCGGGGAAAGAAAATCTAATTTTAAAACTTTCACAATTTATTTTCCGTAATTGGATGTGATTAAAAAATAATTGATTGATTCGTAAATATTTATGTACATTAAACAAACAAATTGTGTATATGCATAATTAAATGTCACGGACTTTTCCGTCCTCGTCGCGTGTCCTTGTCTAATTGGGGATGATTATATAGCAATAAAATTGTCACTTAATCGGGGTATGTGTACACACCAATTCGCACAAAATCTATTTCCATCTCCAACCTAACCCTCACCTTTTATCTGGTTATACTTCCTTCCTTCTGGGCTAAAATTATCTCATTTTATCCTCCTCACGTGAGACCTTAACTAATGTAGAGAAAGGTCCGGGGCCAGGAGGACGTCATAATAACAATGTAATCAGCTTGGACTGATTGAGGTCAAGTTTATTCCTGATTTTACTACCGCCACGCCACGCAACCGATGATATAGTCAATATTTGCACATGGACTGACTACAAGTTCATGTAATGGATCTCCTCTTCTTCCTTCCAGTTTTATAGATATTAAGCAAGACACACCCATCAATCTTCACCTATAGCAAATTGGTAGACCGATTAGATTAGCAGAGTCAGTAGTCGTAGTAGATGTAGTTATGAGGTTATTTTTGGCCTTTTGTGGTAGTAAATAGATAGAGATAGGTGGTGTCATCATCATTTACAAAGTGTGACATGAACTACCCGACGTAGTAAGCAGTCGTCGTTTAAAGGTGAAGGTAAACTGGGTGCGGATCGTTCGTTTGTTATTATTATGAGGATTGCATTACTACACGACTCCTCTTGTAAACGATGTGACGATGATGATGATGTCGGATAATGATAATTTTATGGAGGATGCTCGTTCTCGTACCCACCTTGACCCCTGCCCTTAAAAATGTGCAGAGAGAGAGATCATTTACTTAATTTTATTGGTTTGATATACAGAGAAATGTGTATATTCAGAGGAGGAAAGGAAGAAAGATGCAGCCTCCTTTTTATGTATTTATCTACATACATCTCTGACTTTTGACCTTACATGGCATACACAGAGATTTGTTGGGAAACGTATTTTTAGCCAGGAAGGGTGGACCATTTAGTTGTTGACGTCAACAAACTTATAACGAAAGTGTTCAACTCAAACGAGTATCTAGCTTGTTAAGATCAGATTTCTTAAGAAAAGTAGGAAATAAAGATTGTTCAATCGTAAGTAAAGTAAAAGTTTGACAAAAAATTTAGTGTGCCACTTTATATACTTATTATTTAGTCACTTCATAATAAAAATCGGTGCTGGTGGAAAGAAACTTTCCCGAATCTCGGAGATTAAGGAGATTTCGCAATAAATAAGCCACCTGCTGTGAAATGGAAGATACTTAATTTACTTTACCCGTGTCTGCCCTTACATATTTTTCGGAATAATGAGCAAATCCTTCTTCTCTCTTCGAAGGACAAGGAATGATTGCACAATCATTTTCCTAATCCCTTCTTTTCCTTATCTCGCCCGGTGTGTGTCGTCCACTTGAATGATCAATTCTTCTCGCAAACAAGTGGTTCCTTTCTTCGTACTCTAAAAAGTGTGCATTATTTTTTTGGGACATTTCTGCACCAGGGGGAAAGCAAGAAGGAAAGAAAGGTGTGGCTGGTTTACTTAGTTTGTGTATGTAGAAAATCTATACGGAAAGAATTTGTGAGATAAGGACTGTATTTTTTTCTTCTCCACTTTTATGACCGCATCCCATCCAAGCAAAAAGAAGGAGACGTTAAAGGAGAAACTTTTTTCTGGAGAAAAAACGGATGGACTTCCTTTCATTACACACATTTTGTACAAGTTTTCTGCATTTTCTTCCCATTTGAAGGACTACTACGAAGCAAAGTACATACAGCAGGGTGAGGTTTGTTTTGTAGGTAGGGAAAGAAAACGTGGTTAATTATTTAATACTATTTCTTCGTGTCTAAACGTACTGAAAAGTTGGGCTTTCACGGTGAAATAAGTAATTCGATCTCCATCCAAACAGGCCGTGCGTATTTTTAAGTAGTTCATCCAACCTACATACTTCGTAGCTGGTGGATGGATGGATGGAAAGAAAGGGTAAATCAGACCAGACCAAACCAAGTATTGAAGAGGTAGAAGAAATAATATTGACATTAGTTTTAGTGGACAGACAGTGAGGATTTTCTTCTTTTGTTGAAAATGTTACCTCTCCACAGCTTTTGTATTTCGGTTAGTTCGATACATGGACAGAGAGAATCGAGATGGAAAAGAAAGGAGTGTGTTATCGATGGGATCTAGTGTTGCGTGCCCGATTTCGATATGTGGGGCTTAAAATGTGAGAACTATTCTTGTTTGTATCACACTTGATTGGATGAAATGCGGGATGCTATGAGGGATTTTGTGGTGGGAATGGATGATATCAAACAATTGGTGGAGATTTTGCTGTGTATACATCTGAAATTTCAATAATATCTGTGTATTGTCGACAAGGTATTCATATTTGTTTTGTTACCTGATTTTCGGAAAATCTAGGGATAAAGGAATAATAATGTGATATCATACTGTATACGGTGCCCTTTGCCCTTTCTTTCTTTCATCGTCAGCTTATTCCCATGGTGGTTGCTTCTTATTAATCCATTGTAGTCATAAGCTGGAAGGATGCTTATGTATGATATCTACCAACCATGATAATAAATGGGTCTTAATTTCGGGTCATTAATGTCAGGGAATGACTGAGCCCTTCCTTTCTGTGGAAACGAACGAGAGGGGGTGGGCACTGGAAGGCAGCTTCCCTTATGCATAGCAAACCCTACTACACGACACGATAAAAATGAGATGCAAAGTCCCCGTATCATTATCATCATCCATGCCATTGTTTCCCCTCCACATCCATTTTCAACTAAACAACTATCATATCCAGACATATGTAAAGGGTTTAAGGGGACTGAAACTGAAAGTGGTTCAACAGCCAGAGGGATGCAAATGCACCAGACTACCTGACGGATGGACAGACTGACTAAAAAGCAGTGGTTTTTGTTGCTTGCTCATTCACTTTATGAACTTCCGGTTCAACCGAATTTCAATCCTTATGCCAAACTATTAACATCCTTCCCACCAAAATCATAAAAAAAGGCTGGATGCATATAATTTCCATGGACCGTTGTTTCCCTCTCCTCGCTGTCTGACTAATCACGTACTTTTTGAGCGAAAGCTAGCCAGGTAGGATTGATTTTTTAAAGGATTCTCCACTGGTTTTGCATATTTCTTAAATTTCCAGTGCAGTGGTTGTTGGTACAATTTTATTGCGAGATTTATCCCCATCTGATTATGCATAAAGTGGTGTCGCCAATTCTGGTTACAAGTTTCTCATTAGACCCGAACTGTAATAAGAACGACACTTCTTCCACCCGAGTAACAATCATCTTCTTGAGAATGCCCACCTTTCACCCAACCTATGCTCCCATGTTAAAGACGACCTACTACCTTTCGGGAGCTGTGTGAGTAGTGCGAGCTCCCCGAAAATTCGGTGCTGGGATCGGGTCTTATATTCAGTCACTCTAAATCATTCCACTCCACTCACTTCAGTCGTTTCATGGCACTCACGTTGCGAGCAACACGTTCAGCGTCGCATCGCAATTGGGAATTATTTAATTGGGATATTGTGTAAAATATAGTTTCAAAATTTTTTTTTTCTTTCAAAAAAAGTGTCCAAATAAATGAAACAACAATTATTTACCCCAAAATTATTTGCAGTAAGGGAGGCTCAACTCTGGTGAAAGTTTTAGGGAGAAAGTGCTTAAGTGATTCTTCATCTCGTTACTCTCGCCCGGAGGAAATGTGGATTGCGAATTGAACCAACCAGGAACACAAATATTGGACAAAGTTCTCGGTTTAAGAAGAAGAAAAGGAAGGAACTCGAGATGGCTGGCTGTTGTGGTCCCAAATGCTCAAAAGCTTTCGTCGTCTTCTTCAACCTTTTGTTTTGGGTAAGCGTATATACTTTTTTTTCTTCTAAATAATTTTGATCGTGTTCGTTATGAGATTCCTTTTTTTCTTCGGAAATAAACCAACCACCCGCAACTTGTTCCAAATAATGTGGCAAAGTTCCAGGGGAGAGAAGTAAAAAACACTAATTTATTGCCCATTCTTGATTCTCTTTGTCTCTACATTGAATTCCGCATTCATTCTTTTCACACGGGGAAAAAATCCGACACAATCCTGCAATCAAGTATTGATCTCATTATTCTTTTTTATGTGTACGAGTTGATGGCGTGTCGAGCGAGACTATTTTTAGGTGAACTTGAACTGTGCATGGTGAAAGCTCACGAATGTGAATGTTAATGTTGTGGTTTGGTTGGTTAAAAGGTGTGTTCAGGTCTGTTTATTTGCATATTAGTTCTTATGTAGGAGAGAGAAAAAGAGAGTTACAATTATGTATGTAGAATCGTGAAAAATGTTCAATTACGTTAATTTCCTACGGGAGATATGTAGGAGATGTAAAAGAAATGTATAAATGGATCATGATAATGCAGGAGAGGGATGAGGAATAAATTGGGTTTTATAGAGGTGAAACGAATAGCACAAACTTTTATATGTGTGTAACATGAGATATTAAAATGCAAAATGGAATAAGTGCATATTTCGAAAATTCGTGTTAGAAATAGTTGCATAAAAGCGAATTCTAAAAATGATAAGTTTCCACGTTGCAAATAATATTTTCATAGAATGAGATTTATTACGAGGTTTTAAACTAGATCGGAACTATCCACGATTTTAGTAATAAATTTATAATTTGTAAATTCATAGTAAATTCATCCATATATAAATTTATTAATAAAATTGACCCATTAAATTATTGCAGTTTTCAGGATGTGCTCTCGTAGCGTTGGGCGTAATTCTCTTGTACGACCAAATGTACAGCTACCTTTTCACCATGTTAACAGCAGACCAGCTGCCTCCCCAAATTCTTCAGTACATTGCATTCGGATGCATCGGACTCGGGGGGATTATTCTTTTCGTGGGATTCTTTGGCTGCTGTGGAGCCCTGCAGGATAGCAAATGCATGTTGGGAACGGTAATTAGTAATTTTCTGTTATGCAAACAAATTTTATTATGCAATTAATTAATTTGCATAAAATGCACGCATACCTCTCTGTCCCACAGTACGTGTTCTTCTTGATCTTGGTGTTCCTATTGGAAGCAGCAGCAGCGGGTCTTGGTCTTTACGGCTGGTTCTATTTCCCAACCTCCATTCGACGAGAAGTCCAGCAAAAGCAACTGCACAATTATGGAGTCACGGACCCTGCAAATGAACACTTTACCAACGCACTTAACTACGTGCAGTATGAAGTAAGTGCATATGTACATCGTAATCTAATCCAATATCTGCTGCCCACCTGCTGACAAAACCAATTTATAATAAATCAATCATTTAAGGAAAAACACTTTAGTCAAATAATGTCACACATTACTAAATTATGTCCTCTTTCCTGTCCCCTTTTAGTTTGAATGCTGTGGAATTGAGAACAAGGTATGCAAAATTGTTATCGCATTTTCTCGCCTTTTTTGTCACATCTTTGCAATTATCTAACGAATCCACTTTATCGTGTAAAAGTCGGACTGGGATCACAGCAAATGGAAGAGCAACGCTCTCCAAAGTTTGGGCTCCCCTTCGCAGTATGGACAACAGACCTATAATTCAAACAAGAAGCTCACCGTACCAAAAACTTGCTGTACTGCGGATAAATTGCAGGTATGGAGAGATTTTATCACCACTTTAGAGTAAATTGTGGTAATTTTTTGTATGAAATTTTACAGTGGCAAGAATCTGAGGAACCCTGGAATACACCAAAGATTAAGAACGAGGAACATTGTCAAGGACCGGAATCAATTGATTATAAAGGATATTCGTACCATAGGGTAAGATGATAATTTTCGAAATTTTATGAAATTTTATGTAAAATTTTGCATGTAACATACATTTGTATAATTTTTACATTTGTCTAAATTACAGGGCTGCTGGGAGCAAATTATGACATGGTATTACAGACAACAGCTCTGTTTAACTCCCACGCTGGCAGGGTTGGCTTTCCTACAGGTAAATTATTTCCATTGTGAAAAGAAAGTGGACGATATTTTTGTAATAATTTGTATAAAATTTCAGATAATTGGAATCGTGTTCTCCATCTGTCTCATTCGAAACATTGGAGAAGAAGTTTAGCAATCCGAGCCTGGTGAAGTTTTCGAGTTTTAATCATCGGATAATTTCCTATCATTCTACACCAATTACTTACTTCCTTTCTACATAATAAGTTAGTTACTTTCTTCTCCTCGTGCTTTCCCCCCTTGGCCAAGCAAACAACGAATTGTTGACATAAAAAGTTGGGCACCAGTTTCATACGGACGTATGTAATTACTAGTTCTGTATCCTACTGTTCTTTCTAGGAGAGAGACCCATAATTCGAAAAGATTGTAAAATTAGCTTAATTTCTATTTCAACTTTCCGTCATTTTAGCCAAAACCTTGTACAACCTCCTTTTACGTGTTTAAAATTCCGTGAGAAGTGAAGCCAATGCAATATATTGAGCTACTAAACTTGCCAAAAAAACTTACCTAACTAAATTCTACATAGCTCTTTACCTACCTTTTACATACATCAACCCAAGCTTTAAACAAACTTAATGGACCTAAGATTGTACTAAATACGATACGAGTATGTAGATTATTTGCTAATCACAAATTAATTAATAGTTCTTAATAAAAAGTATGTAAACTAATCCAACTTTCTATCCGCCACCCACTCCCAATTTCCACTCCCTTTTCGCTGTTTGTGAGTTAAATTGACTTAGATAAAGTTATGTATTATAAATAGTTTTTCGCTAACTTTACAAAAAAGTTGATCACACATTAACTTTTTGACTTACCAAGCTGGTTGTGAGTTTTGCAGAAGATGAAATTTCCTAACAAATTTCATTCTCTCTCAAAAAGTAGAAAACCTGTGTAAGTTGTTGTTGTTCTCCTAATATGTATGTAAATATGTTGTTATTGACAGATGTAAAATTGCTTAAAATTGTGTAAATATTTGTTCAACCTTTGCTGTTTTTGTCTTAAAAAATAATCTACGTGTTTTTTATTATTATGTAAGCTTCACCATCGTCGCGTAATAGTTGGAGAAAGTCCCACTGGGAATTATAGAATTTTATCTATTAAATAGGAAACAAGACTTTTTATTTGACGATATTAAGGTGCAAGCAAAAGTTGCTAATGAAGCATGTAAAATGTCAAGTTTAATCATCACAAATTCCAAGAAAGCTTTAAATTACTAAGAGTCTCTCACCAAAAACCACTCAATGTACAATAAGCAGGTTACATACGTACATAATTATAAATATAATTTAAATCTTGATTTATTCAATGTATTTAAAAGTTAAGCTAAATAGCAGGCTAATTTAGAATTTTGGACACACGCTTGAGGAGGATGAAGATATTAAAAAAGAGTCGTTTATTGTTGTTCGATCTATGTCACTGCTTTGTTGATAATAAGCACGATTTACTTAATTAAGATGATAATTAATTAAGCTAATTAAGTTTATGCAAAGAGTCTTTCATTTCATTCAGTTATTACAAAACCAACCAACTAATCTTTATTAATAACAATCAGGACAAAAATATTGGAAATTTTCAAAATTTTATAAAAAGAAAGAATCTCGTCAATCAAATATCTATAAGCAAGACTGCATTCCAAAGTAAATGAAAAAAAACCTATAAACTTTCACTTTTTTAACAGTAATAGATTTTAAAAAGAACCGTTCCATCCCCAGATTTTTATTAGAATTTTATTTAACTTACTTAGTTTTTACTTTTATTAAAACAGTACAAACAGAAAAGAATCAGTTTTTTTCCAGGTTAAAATAAATTCCAAAAAAGGTAAACACGTCACACAATGAGTGTTCATTTAAACGTAACAAAGTATCTACTTCTTGATATATGTTTTTAATTATTATGGATAGTTAAAAAAAATAGTTAATTAGTTTAGTTGGCTTGCTTATCATTGCTATTTATGTATGTATTAATTAATACTTGAATGTAACCTAACATTAAATTATACTGTTGACGAACACTTTGTGCAAACAGGGTCAGTACTCATTGAACCTAAGCTGAAAACCAAAAAGTAGTTTAGTAAAGGATGAAAAATGAAATTTCTTGACAATTTCATCAAATCCTTTAAAGAAACCAGAGTGTATGAGTGCTAATTGTAATTAACTAATTGTATTTAAATTATTATTACGAATCTTAAGATAAGTGTAACTAAATGGTATTAATTTTTATATCATTGTCGTGACATTGAGATTAGGCCAATTTTTCGTGGTTGATTAGTAGTAAAAAGTCAAGTAAATTCTGGTCAGGAGAAAGGCAGGGATTATTTATTGCATTTTATGTACAAGGATTTAGAAAGGAGTAGGAAAGCGCTTGATATTACATCATTTTTTAGTGATATTTATGATTCTGAAGAAACAACTGCTTTAAAATGTAGAAGAATTTGCATAAATACGTACTACAAAAATATTAGAATTTAGATGTGGACAGGTTTTTAATACAAACCTTTGGACTTATGTGGCCAGTGACGGTATTTAAAATTATTATCTTATTAACTTCTAAAAGTGGATTAGTTACTTAAATGTTTACAAAGATGTTCACTTAATCGTGACATGAAAAGAGCAACGTAAAACAGGCCAGGAATGCTAATCATTTGTTTAACGTAGGCTATAAAAATCAGATAAAACTTGTTGATATTAGGCACATAGCTTCAATTAATTAATTACTTAACTAATTACTTAATTATTGCGGTGTAAGAAAAGTAAGTGACAGTTTGTGAATGTTTGTTACCACACTCAAGTTGGCAAATATTAAAATAAAGGCTCGATGTTCTTTTAAAAATCGGTTAATTTATTTTATCATCAATTATTCCACTTTTTCAAAGTAATTCCGTGATTTCCTCCATATTTTGGCGAGATTGGAGGTTTCCAGCCCTCTAAATATTTCTTGTCGACGTCATAAACTTCAACTCCGAGTGGATTGCAGACATCGAGCGGGTTTTTATCCGCGTCCTCAGATCCTGGTCCCCACAGTGGCTGTGACAAATCTCCCCCTGGACATGTCGACAGGGCACAAAGTAAATCAATTTCGGCAAAAAATTCGAAATAATCTCCCTCCCTGGCTGGACAACTTTTCATAAAGTAGCGATCGTCCGAGTTAAGCCCCGTAATTTGAAAGACATTGAGCACATCGTGGACATCGAATTCCGTGAGTTTATACGGCATCACGGCACGAACTAAATTGGAGTGGCAGGAAAAGTCGAAATCCTGTCCGGTCAAGAGTCGATTTACGTAAGGGTCACAGCGGGTACCTAAAAATAAAATTATCAAAATAAAAAAAATCCTTTAAAAATAAAATTATCACCGAGCAGGTCATGACACCTTCCGCTATCCTCATCAATCCCATAATCGGCCAAAGTGTCCCCAAGAATTGTAACGATTGGTCTCAGAAACGGTAAAGTTGACCAAATTCGATCAAACGTAGAAATATGGGAGCGTTGCAATTGTCTCGTTTTTGCTGCCCACATTCGTTCCCGAGGATCGTGTAAATTCCAAAGGTTTAGGTCACCCACTTGAGGTCCACCAACGGTAAGAATTCGACATATTTGACCTTGCTTGACTTCCCATGCTTGTCCAGTGCGGATCGGAATTTCGAATTTGTTGACGAGTTTGTGCAAGGATCTGGAAGTGCTCATGAGAGTTTTGTAAATTGTTTTATCAAAATCGAGTGGACCGCCGGAGTTTGTGTCGTAGGTCCAAGGTCGCGTCGGATTTTTGGGGGCGCGAGGAATTGGGAGGAGTTGCGACATTTTAAGTATTTATGAAGAAAGCTATGAAATAAAATTAATTGTGTGGATTTGGCGTCAGAAAGTTTATAATTAATGCTTTACAGGAATTAAACAAATTAAAGATTAAATTAAAGGTGTCAGAAAGTTTAATTTAAGTTTAATGTTTGAATGCTTACGAAAGTTTTTTGTTGAAGGAATTAAACAAATTCAAGTTGTTTTAATATTTGTAAATACACCTTATTGTTTTCCAAGTTTTATGACCATATGTACATATTTAGTATATATGCTATGCTACCATTTTAAATATTTGTGAAGAAAACTGTTTAATTAATTAATTAGTTGTATGGACTCGGCGTCAGAAAGTTTAATTAATGTTTTACAGGAATCAAACAAATTCAAAATGAAATCGTTTTGAAGTATTTGTAAATACACCCTGTAAGATTTACAGTTTATGACCATATGTATATATTCAGTATGCTATGCTACCATGCTTAAATATCTACTTGTATTTGTCATATTTAAATCTTACACAGGTTAAATTAAATGGGTTGAAATGCATATCATCATCTTATTCATCGTACTTATATATTTAAATGTAATCAATACATGCATGCATCGTATGCATGCATTTACTGATGAATGGCTTGCATGCAACCAAAGACAACACTTTTCTTGTGGTGATGTTTCTGTTTCCATGCAACCGACTTTCAGTACGGGTGAAAGTGGGAAATAATCGGGAAAATCGGATTTCACACCGAAAATTGTACAACCCGAATATGTAAAAGTGCTATAAAACTTTGATTGTTCAATTTTAAAGTTTAGTTGCTAAATAAGAAGTTGATATTGATAAGATGACCTCAAACGCTCAACTGAAGGTAATTAAATACATGAATTAAATATCTTAATATTCACTAGAATCGCATTCTGAATACCAGTTTAATTTGTAGAAAGTGGTCACCATAAAGAATGACAAAGGTCACAGCGCCCCCGCAATGTGTGCTTGGCAGAAGTGCTCCGGAAACTATCTCGCCCTTCGGTTTGAAGGTGTCCACGTCATTTTCATTTACGACAGACAAGGCAAACTCTTCAAGAAAATTCCGATCGCCACGTAAGCACACCAAATAATTCGCTATGATCAAAATTAGAATTTTGGTATAATTTTTTTCCAGTAACTGTACTGCCCTCGAGTGGGACGCGGATGGGGACGTGTTGGCCATCATGATCGAAACACCAGGAACTCTCGTCTTGTGGGAGGCTCACAGCAGCAAAATGTTGGAATTGGACACTTCCCTGCGCGAAGTTTCCACCGCTATTTCATGGTCATGCGTCGGGAAAACGTTAGCATTGGGAACTATGAAGGGAAATATTATGGTGTATGATCATCGCACCATGCGGTAAAGTGAAATACACTGAAAAATTCTAATTATTTTCAAAAATCTGACAAAGTTTGGTCATCTTTCTTCCTCCAGAAAAATCCCCGTGTTGGGAACTCACAGTAAAAAGATCGTGTGTGCCAAATGGTCTCGAGACGCTGTCCTGGCCTTTGGTACAATTGAAGAACAAATCAGTCTCAACACAAAAACGGGCGAAACTTTGCGACACCTTCAACTTCGTGGGAACCCTTCCGACCTTCAGTTTGGATTTATTAAGGAAGATCAGACCTCCAGTGTCACCACGGACAATGCGATCAGCTGCATTGTAGGAGATAGGACTCTGTACCTGTTAAAGTATGACGACCCTGCGGCAACGTCCCCAATGGAGCTCGGATTTCAGGCGAGATACGGGAATATATTGAGCCACTTTTGGCACGGGGATGGCTACATCGTAGTAATTTTTGTGGGGGGATTTATCGTCCTGCTTTCCTCACACTATAAAGAAATCGGGACGGAGCTTGTCCTCTGCGAAATGAAGGAGGACATTGTTCGACATGCCGTACTAAACGTGCAGCGTGGATGGGTAGGTCATCGTCACTATCTGACTTGACCTCTTACTTTACTTATCATGAAATTATCTGCAGATTTCAATTTGCTGTGGCGCCTCAACTTTGCAAATTCATGAAGCCGCTGAGCCAAAAAGGACGCTGGGCATTACCGAAGTGTCCGACGATGAGGGTCGAGTACGCCAAATTGTGCGATCCCAATGGACGGATGATGGTCAGTTGCTCTCCGTCAACTCTGCCGTTGGGGACGTGGTCATTTATCTCACGTCGGTGCCAATGATGGGGGGAGCGAATTTCAGCCAGCTTGCAGCCATGTCTTCGCTTACTGATTGTTCGCTCTACAGTTTTATCAGTACGACGGGTCAACCAGCGAAAGAGTTTGAGTTTGCGTTTGAAGCACAGCCGAATCTGGTCGTTTTGGGACAAATTCATCTCGCAGCGATCATTCATAGGTTATCAGATAATTATATAATGATTAATTAGCATAAATGTGACAATTTTTACTGTTTAGTTCCGCATATTTATACAACACCCGAAAAGATATCAACCTCTTCAGCAACACGCCATCCCACAAGAAAGAGTTCAACTCCAACATTACAGAATTCGTGATAAATCAAACGTACTGTGCTGCGAGGTGTGGTTCAGTCGCACATCTTCATCGCATTGAGGGGAACGGGACGGAGAAAACAGACGTGAAAACTTTTCCTGAACCGAATGCGAGAGGTCAACATCTGAAAATATGTGTCAGATTACTGTGTATTAGATACAAAAATTTGCATATGCGTAGGTTTCAAGATAACCGCAATGGCCATGGCGAAAGAGGTGTTTCTTTACGGTGGGGAAACCGGCCAAGTAAAAATGTTCCACTTGGACCAATTCACGGAAATCATGATGATCGAAATCGCCACGCAAGCCCCACTCAAAGGAATTTACACAGACGCCTCCGGAGGTCAAACGGTCCTCGTGGACAAGCACAATTCCGGTTTCTACTTTGACATCCTCCGCCCCAACGATAACGACTCTTCACTCTGCAAAACCCTGCCCAACTTCCCACCTCGCGTGGATGGCGTCCATTTCGACATGGATGTCAACTGTAGACATATTTTCCTCGTTTTTTCCAACAACGTGACCAAATTTCAGCTCTATTCAGGATGGAAGGATGCCGGTAAAGGGAACGATATCGAATTCGTGGGGTACTTTGAACCCTTCAAGCACAATCCGGAGTATCGCCCGATCTGTTTTAAGCGAGGAGTCGTCTGCGCTTTGACGGGCACGGGGAGGATCGAAAGGTCGAAATCTTTGTATCAACAGCAATTTCAGTTGGACGAGACGATCAGTTTGGCAACGATAGCGTCCTCGTCCTCGATGGTGGGGTCAAGTTCGGATCAAGCGCAGAAATTGAATATTATCAAGGGTCTCGTCAACTTGAGACTGTTTACCGAGGCGTACGAACTCTGCTGCGTTAATTCGGAGAGGTCGGACAGTTCTACGAATTGGGAATATTTGGCTGAAGCGGCGTTGGAATTTGGACAGTTGGAGGTTGCTTCAAAGGCGCAATTGAAGGTAATATGTAAATAATTAGTTAATTTGCATATATAAGTGACAAATTTAATTCGCAGTTGGGAAATATCGGGATGGTAATTTCAATTCGGAGAATGATGGACGAGGCGGAAGACCTCAACGCCCTTCAAGGCGAAGTGGCCATGATGAAGGGAGATTTTGACCTGGCCGAGGCAAAATATTTGGAAGCGGGACTCCGTGACAAGGCCCTCGAGTTGCGGAGAGATCTTCAAGAATGGGACAAAGCGATGGAAATGGCGGAAAAGTTTAATTCCCCACTAATTTCGGAAATTGCGAGAGAATATGCGGCCGTTTTCGAGTATAATCAGGACTACTCGTCTGCCCTGGCGTTGTATCAGAAGGCAAAGCAAAAGTTAGCATGGATAGAAATACGACAATTCGTTTTGAGCTTTTTAACACAAGATTTGTTTTTTTAGATTTGTGGGGGGCAGGATTATGAACATGAAACAAGCCATGAATCAAGTCGTCACGAATAGCATGGCCCCTATTGCGGGACAAGATAACGAGGAGCCAAGAGGGGGCAGTGGCGATGCGAAGAGGTCACCCATCCCATCAACAGGCAACAATCAGACTGAGCGAGATACCAAAATCCTACTCGATATTGACAAAGGATTGGCAAGAATGTGAATTTATTACAGCATTTTAACCATGATTACGCAAATATTGTGTAACCACTCACCACTCGTTCGTTCAGGTACATTCGAAATGGGATGGACTCCGACGCCGTCGAACTGATCACAAGCATCTCCTCCAAAAAAGACGTCTCCTTTGTGAAAGAATGCGCCAGAATTTTTGAAGCGGAGAAAAAGTATGAAAAAGCTGCCAAGCTGTATCTCGAGTCCTCCGAGGAAACCAGAGCCGCGACTTGTTACATAAAACTGAAGCAGTTTCCCAAAGCGGAGGAAATTCTGAAGAGGAAACCTGCTCCAGAAATTTGGCGACAAATGGCGAAAGCTAAAGAGGCGGAAGGGAATATTATCGAGGCTGCCAGGGCGTACAGGTACATAAATATTTAGATTAACACTCTTGATATTATGCAAATCACTATAAAATTATGCAAATCATTAAAAAATTATGTATATACTCGTTTTTTAAAAACAGTTTCGCTTACGATTTTGAAAACGGAATCCGACTCTACCTTACCCTCGGAATTCCGGAGGAAGCCGCAACGCTGGCAAGAATGAGTGACGATCCGCAAGACGCGGTCAAAGTGGCGCTTTACTATTTAGAAAAGGGAGACCTCGACGAAGCCCTGATGTACCTCGTTCGATCCGAGTGTTACCACGACGCTTTGGCAAATGCGTTCAAATATGGGAAAACTGAGTACTATGTGGACTTCGTGTTTAACCATTTTAAGGGTGAATATCCTGAAGGCTTTTCTCCCGGGTTGGCCCAAGTTGCGGCGGATTTTGAGAGCAAAAAGGACCACTTCCGGGCTGGAAAGTGTTACCAGTATTTGAAGCAGTATGGCAAGGTATGTAACGAATTGATGCATAATTTGACAGAAATTTGCACAATATTTTTTTCTGTTAGTCCTTCAACTGTCTCCAAAGAGCGGCTCATAATCGCGTCCAAGCTAACGAAGAAGAAGTCATGGTCGCCCTAATCCACACCGTCGTTTACGCCGACGATGACGACATGTCCCGCCAACTGGTCGAATTTCTCCTCGGGGAGACCGACGGTGCTCCGAAGGATCCATTTTACCTCCATTATTATTACGTGATGGCGGAAAAATTTTCAGAAGCTTCGAAAACTGCGCTTATCGTGTCTCGATCTTATCAAGATAGTGGGAGTTTCCTTGAAGCGAGAAATTCTGTCTTTGACTCGATGTGCTGGCTTAAAAATTCGAGTGGAAAGTACAGCAAGGACACGATCGATCAGTTTAATCAGACCCAGAGTTACATGATCTTGAGGGTGCTACTTAATCAGAAAGAGAAAAATATTCCGGCCAGAATTATTACGAGGATTTTTGACAATATTTCGAGATTTAAGAAGGGTACGGAAATAAATAAAATTTCAAAATTGGTTACAAATTTACGAATTATTTAATTTAGCCTGTCCCGGACTCCTCCTCGCCGGAGTGAACGCTTGTCAACAAGCGAATTTAAAACAGTCCGCGAGACAAATGGCTTTCACTCTGATAAAGGATTACAAAACGCAACTTGACGATAAATTCCGCCCAGCAATTGAACAATTGGTTAGAAAAACGGCAAAAGTGGATTTCGTGGATGAGCCAGATACCGTTTCGCCGTGTCCATATTGTAATCAAGGGGTGGAGGATTTCTCACTAAATTGCAAATTTTGCAAATGTTTCATACCGATGTGCATTGTTACGGTGAGTTAAATAATTAACTTACACTAGTTATAGGTGAACCAAAGAGCAAAAATTTCATAATTTCATATGCCATTTTTTCTGTGAATTCAGGGTCAGCACATTATAAAAAGTGATATCGGTACCTGTCTCGGGTGCAATTTTCCTTTTCGATTTAGCGAAATGAAAAAGTTAGTAAAGCTGCAATTAAATTTAAAATTAAAGTTTAAATTAAAATTAAGGAAGCAGTAACCACCAATTTATTTCTGACTTAGGTTTCAATCCCTCGTGAAAGAATGTCCTGTCTGTGGTGCGAATTGGGAAGGAAACAGTATGAAAAAGTTGAATGATATTCGACCTTATCTTTACGACAATATTGTTGTTGAGTAATAATGAGTTGGTCGTGGTGGTAAATATTTACGTTTCCATTGAAGAATTTTCAGTATTATTAACGTATTCACTCTTTAAACCACTATTATTAACGGAAAAGAGGAGACGAAGGTTTGAAATTCTTGCCCCATTAATTTCCTAAAGTCACCTCGATTTGCATAATTGATTACTTGTTTGACAGACTTGTCAACAATTTTCCATGTGTGTGTACTTGTACTTGGCCAAATAGACCAAATAATGAAGAAATGAAATCAGTTGACATTGGACACAGCATGAGAGATGATCATTGTTGGTGTAAATACATAAATTCAAGCCAAGGCAAGGTTTTTAGGTCTACCTGTATGCACATTATTGCCAATTTACATGTGAAGATTGCGTCGAATTAAAATTCCAAACTTTTTTGCGTATGAAAAGATTCGATTTCCTTCAGTTTCGTGTAATGATTGCATTATTTTCACATGAAAATGGATGGATGGGTATGAACACAGGTTTTGTTTAGCTGCTCAAGTGTAGAAAATAAATGTCACCTTAAACTGTCTTAAAAATATGTTGAATGTGCATCTTTACTCATTGTCAGAGTAAAATGAATTAGTGCGATGAACAAAACTTTTGGTGACCAAAAGAGTGTGACGACAAGTGCATCTTTTTTTCGTACGCGACTATAATTTAATTCATTTATCACGTTCAATGTTGAATTGAATGAAATGATGTGAGTGAATTCAAAGGTTGAATAAGTGAGTCATTTATTTTGTCACGAAAATAAATAACGAACGGCTAACGAGGAGGTGACAAATGATGCAGTTTTGAATGGGATGGGATGCGTGTAGCGTTGCGTCATACCGTTTTGTTGCAGTTGATAAGTAATCTGATTTATTTCAAAGAATGATAAAAAGACTGGTTACTTATTAATATCAATATTTACAAGTTAAGAAAATTTCAAAATTCTGAAATTTTCTATAAATCACATAATGGAACAACAACAGCATGCACACCCGCCAGGATAACCTCCAGGAAAATAGACCAATCTGGTATTCCCAAACACGTAGAAGTGCCCTTCTTTATTTTTGAACCTGAAATTTTGCGTAAAAATAATTTCAAAATGTGTATTTCGAGGAATTTTAGATGCCCAACTTACTGATAAATAACTTTAACGACCGGAATGACTCCAATGCTCTGTCTAAACTGGAGCACTCTCGAATTCATGTTTTGTTTCTGCAACTGTTCCCCAATCAGTTGTGTCGACGCGGTCAGAATATTTCTGTCTAAACTGCAATTCAATGGCTGCGGGTTTTGGGGGGTGGACTTTGTCGATGATAACATCTCTCCACATTTCGCTTTCTTTAAGTGTTTTGGTTTGAGTTCACCTCTCTGCGTCTCGTGGACTTTGCCTTCCGTCTTCCATCGGATGGTGAGGGATTGCCAAACTTTTAAGAATCGGTGACCACTACACGTTCTGCACTGAATTCGACCCAGTTGACACCACGTGCAGTTATTTCGTCCCATTCCGTTGCAGCTGGAACAGTTTTCGTACTCGCCAGGTGCTCCAGTTTTGTCTCGTCGACCAGACCCACTGCACCAAGTACATCTGCACAATTAAGAGGGCAATTAGTTAATAAATTTCCAGAGGAAAAAATATCACCCAACCTGCTAAATCCCATCCCATTACACGAATTGCAGGCCGTAAACCCCGTAGAATGGCACTTGTTGCACGGAATCACATTCGCCGACCTGGGCAAATCCATTACAGATTTCGCTTTGGTGACAAATTCTTGCGGAGGATTGACAAAAACTGCCCACTTGTCGGGACTTGGACCATTTTGGGGACCATCAATCTGTTGATTTCTATACGGTTCGGTCATCTCTTCAAGGGTTCGGGTTTCAATAAATGTGTCCAGGACGTAGCGGAAGGCGTGCATTTGTGTGATTTCGTGGATGAAGAATCCATCCACGGTTTTAGGGTCGAAGCAACAATCGCCCTTATAAAAATTTAGCATGGCTGCTTTTACTTCTTCTTCGGAAGTGGGACAGTCGACGTTGAGGACGCATTCGGAATAGGGTGGTGGTGGTGGGTCAAGTATGACGATGGGGGTGGCTTCTGGTTCTGGTGGCATCGGCATGGCCCCTGCGGGTGGAGGGTCGACGAAACCTGAGAAATATGTATGCAGATTATTGGAATGAATCGTAATTTTGTTAAATTTAGTAAATTTTACCCATTGTGGGCGGAACTGGATCAAATACTTCATGATTTGGAGGCTTCATTTCTGCACCAAATTGGCCCTGACCAAAATCCTCGTAGGGTGGAGGGGCATGTGGGGGTGGTGGAGCCGATGGGTTCGAACCACCCTGGTCGCCGTGACCTTTATCCATTTTTCAGACTTGGTGTTATTGAGTCACGAAGGCGTATATAGGACAAAAAATCGAAAATAGAGAACTGTCTGTGATGCACGATGAGGAGAATACACTAATAATCCGATAACACTCGACTGATAAGTGCACTCACTATCTTTTCAGATATGTAACCTTTATCTCTAACTATGTAACACCAATAACAAAAAATATGTAAACGAGCGATAAAGCTCCCTCACAAAAACATTGCACGCTAACTCGTCATAAATTTAGTTGACAATTGCATTTTCCGAAGTGCCGAACTCGACAGCTCTTCTAAAACTATGTCCAATCCAGGACAAGAGTTGAAAGTGCATACATATATACTCAGCACTCAGCAGCACGAAATAAATATCTGAGAGAGCCCAAATTTCTACGAATATACATCCATAATTCTCAATTTGCAATGCAAAAACTAGTTTGTATGCTTAAAATGCATAGAAGTAATAATCAATTCAGCTTTAATGAAGGTCACCCGCATGTTCCATTCTTCATATGAGGCAGGTTGGTTTACAGCAAAAAAATCTTTGCTGCTAAAAATCCGTGCAAAAAACGCATGCAATATAAATACTAATAAATTGCAATTGTGTAACGAGACACGACACACACGAGGCAATACAGGCCTCGTTATCGCAAATATTTCGTTTGGCCAACCCGAATTCAGAGAATATTACATACGAATATCTATGTAGACCAAATTTGTGAGTGACAATTTTACAGGGTAGGAGTATTTCCGCTGGATATGTATTACAGATATGTAGATACGCCACACACACCAAACTACATATTTACTACTGAGGAGTATGAAACCCAACCGAAATATGAAACCTTTCTGTAGTAATTTGTCATGTCAGCGAGTGCATACATGCGCAAATTACATACATAAACTGGAATATTTATTTTATTGTCTTCTTGTCCATACGTACATTTGAAAAATGAAGCTAAAATAGCCAAAAACATTAACTCATTGTATATGTATTAAGAAATGTACATACATTAAAAATCTTGGCTGCCAAACCAACTGTGACGTTACATACGTAGTGCATCGCATCTTAAAGTTCTTTTTTCTGCTCACTAAAACCACCATTTATTACACACACCACTACCATTCATCTAATTCAATTTTCATGTGTGTAAAAAAAATTCGAATTTCAAAGTCAACGTAGTAAATAATTACACAAAAAAATGCCTCCATTTTCATGAGCTTTAATTAAGTGGTTGATAAATAAATTATTAATGATCTCGACTCGAGATGCTCGACTACTGAAAGATGATGACTGTAAATATTACTTCACTAATTTCTTATTCATCTCTCTCAAACAACCCAATTTTAGTTTCGTTTTATTTACCATTTAGCTGGCTGGGTTTGTCACTTGGTTATGTTTTGCAATCCTAATTTGTTAATTTAACTTGGGTGCAATGGTGCACATAAATTGCCCGAGTTTAAAAATTACGTATTGCTTAAACTAAATGTGCATTGAGTAATGAGAATGTTTGTTCAATTTAATGAGAGACATTGACATATAAAAAAATTTACTGCTGGCTGAGGGAGATGTCTTCAGCTTAAACTTTGGTTCAAATTGTCCAAATTTTTTAGTGGAAATTCTGGATTTACAAATTTTCAGAAAGATTTCCAATTTCTTTTTGGTTTCACGGATTAAAGGAAAAGCACAAATAACTCTTCTTCAAAATAAGATTTTTTTTAAGGATTACAAGAAAGATCGAAAGTGAATTATTTTCCCTTTCTACGAATAATAAATTACCGAATTGAACTAATTGCTGACTGGAATATACGACGTAATAAATAACATGAAGTAATATATATCATTACAGAATAATAATCTTAATCAATTAAGCTAAAAATAAACTGCGGAATGAATAAAGACGCATTCGTTAACTAGCTAGGCGGCTCATCTCAAGATTTTTCTTTACCAAATTCTACCATTTTCTCCTGAGAACATTTCTGACATGTTTCCCACAACGCTAACTCAAGGAAGAAGGTGGTGGGAGTAAAAAATCAGTCAAAAAATCGTCACAAATTATGTACTGCACAGCAAGATGATGAGGTCCTCGGTACGTAGACATATAGTAAACTAATGGCTTAATAGTTGACAATTTAATTATTACCGTGTTTAGAAGATTTCTTTGCACAAAAAATAAAAGACTCAAAAGAAAGTAAAACTTTAGACAAGGGGTAATTTGTAATTGAAAAACTTATAAAACAGAAATTTGTGTCATTCTAAATTACTAAAAAGTTGTAGTAAGTGCGCGTCGGCATCATCGTCGTCGTTGAATTCAAGTCCTGACTAAAGCTCAAGTGTTTTTCTTAATGATTTAAAAATTTGAGGGTAAAAATGTAGTAGAATGGGAAACAAAGCTCATTTCCTGTTTTTGATGAAAAGCTTACAAAATCAATTTCAAATCAAAATTTTATCCTCCGTGTAAAAACTTTTTATTTATTTTGTAATGATGATGATAATGATGCTTACTTAATAAAAAAATGAGGGTGGCGATTACTTATTATTAGTTATTTTCTGATGATTAATGAAGGAAAATGGACAAGATGATGAACACTGAGAAGAGGGTCGTTTTGTTCCAAATTTTTAACTGATAAGCCCCCGATATTCGCATGGAATCTTTAATCTGTCGCCGCAATTTGGACTGCATGTGTAGCGCATCGTCCATTTTGAACTCGAGATTTTTATGGTTGTAGAAAATTTGGCGATCTCCCAACTCCTGGAAGACGGGGATTGCGTCGTCCATCCCTTGGGGAGGGACCTCGGCGTCAAACTCGGTCTGAAATCGGCCACGGATCGTATAGTTTGAAATGGCGGTGAACTGTTCTTGCGACATGGGGATGGATTTTTCCATCACGATGACACGTGTCCGAGGAGTGCACGGGGGGACGAGGGAGGAACCGTTGTACCGGTAGTACCCACCGATTGGGGGGAGAAGCCAGGAAATCTGGGCAAATTATGGGCATGAAGTGTGACCCATACTGTGCAATTAATCGGTGCATTTTATTGATAAATTGATACCTGGAACGGTGTACTTGCGATTAATACATCTCTTGCTGATTGAGACTGCAATGTTTCTAACGCGTCTTTTTTTAAGACGAGGTCGTCCTACGACAGAAAAATTACTTAAGTTAATTATGCAAATAATTGATTGCAATAATAAAATTCTTTTATTTACTTCCGCCGCACTAATTTCGTCCGCTTTGGTCTTCATCTCGTCCAATTTTTTCTTCAATTCTTTAACCGATTTGAATTTCGATCCTTCCGAATTTCCGATGTTGGATCGACGTACGAGCTCAGTTTTCTTGTCCAGATCGGAAGATACTTCCCAAATTTTGGTCTGCAGTTTATTCAACTTTGTTTCCAGTTCGCCAATCTTTTTCTCGTGAATTAGCAGGTCCTAATAATCAATCATAGCGAAATTATGTAGTTTGACAATTCATTTCAGTGAAAAAATAAAAACCGGAATTTTTAATACTCTGTGAAGGTTGTCGATTTTATCCGTCTTTTCATTCTTATCGGTGGCCATCATTATTCCGGACGCGATTTCTCGAGTGATTTCTTCTTTTATGGAGTCCATAGATTTTTGAACTTCGGCCTTGCTTTTTTGAGCGGCTTCGATTTCGTCGGTGATCTTCTTAGCGGAATCCTTCAATTTGTTAACTTTTTCTTGCAATTCGTCAATTCTTTCAGCCCCGGCGACGGATTTGTACATTATTTCAAGCTGAAAATCAGCGATAAATTAATTTTATCGCTTAAGTATTTAATGTACGCTAATTATTTTAACTTACGTCTTGAGCCAAGTCAAGGTACGTATCAGTTTCCAATTCAGTTTTCTCCGCAGTCCTTAAACGATGCACTAGCTTGGTAGCATGTTTAAAATCACTTTGTGCATTCTGAACCTGGTCATTTGAATCGATCGGGATATCGCTGAGACTCGTAACGCCGAGAATTCCTTCCTCTAAAAATTTCCAGCCGGGATGAATTGTGGCAGATTTCTGGATAATTTTATGTTTTAAAATGTGCTGAATTTTGTGAAATTTTGATGAAAAACAATTTATCCAGTATGTATGTACATACCTCCACCATGACGTGAATTTGTGTAATATCTGATGGACGTTCTCCACTTCGTGCAATCTCTGCAAAAGTGAGGACAATTTCCAGCATGAAATTTTTCCCATTGATTTGATGAAGTGATCTCTCTGACTCGACAGGATTGACGGTGAAGAGGAACATGGCACTTTGAAAGTAACGATAATCCGTATTTCCGACGCCCGCAATGTATGTGATGTCACGAAAGTTCTCTTTTCGAGAGTGGACATTCACTAAAAAATGGGGACATTTGAGTTTTAATCATTTTTAATTTTTAATACCAATAACCTACTAACAAGGGAGTTTTCTTAGCGTATGCTCTTAGATTTTGACCAAATTAGTGTCATTCGATCACAAAGATTAATATGAAATTTGCAAAAAGCACTATATGGCAATTCATCTTTGACAGAGTTGCGCCCGAAGAGGAGAAAAGTAAAGCGAAATAAATTTGCAGTGAATTTGGCAATTCTTTCGCACGTTTTCTCGATCGTTTTTTTGCGTTCAATTGACACTAATTTGATAAAAATCGGAGAGCATACGCTGGGAGACCTCCATTCTTAATCTGTGCACACCGGCTTGAATCAAGACTCCCTCATAAACAAATTCCGTAGAATAAAAGTACATCGCAGCTTGTGGTGGTCCAGAATAAATGATTAAAGGTAACTCATCCTTAACTTGGATGGCGTTCTTGGTCACAATATTGACCGGACCAAGATTTGGATTTTTTGTTTCATCACACATTGGAAATTGTTGTCCCCATTTTTCCCATTCTATCAAAAAAAGTGTAATTACATTTGAGTATTTATTAGCATACATAAATCATTAATTAGCCACCCTCAAATTTCGCCCTCTCCAACGCTTTCTTCTTTATCGCCTTAGCACATTGTTCCGGATTTTGTCCCGCAGATTTGCACCGTTTCTTCTTGCATTCTGCCAGGTGGATGGAAAACTGGGACAGAATTAGAAAATAAGTCAAAATCAGAACTTGTAAGGTACGCATTTTGTCCGATTTTAGCTGAAAATATTCAGGATAATAATAAAATTTCCCTAATTTTCGCACAAACTGGACCCCACATTTCTAACGCGTACTGTAACCAAGCTACTTCTTTAGGTTTTTTACCTCGTCTTGTAGCGACGAAGAAAATTGGTTAGGTTGGGACGGACGCCGCCACAGCCGCAGAGTTTGATTGATGTTTTCGTGATTAGATAATTAAATAATTAATTTAAAGAGAGATGAATCATGTCACGTACAGTATTGTCTCATTTATTTGCGTTGTTGTTATCTTATTATCTCCTCATCATCATCATCATCCCCCTGCACATCTTCTTGACTAACCATACTTGCTACATACACAGGCTGTTAAGTATTATTAAAAATTGCGACATAGATAGTTGATATTTCTCTCTGAGAAGTTATTAGCAAACAAACAGAAGAAGAAGAAGGTGGCCAATATCACACTCCCAGCGGAAAGCAAGTTAGATATGAAATAATAATAACGTTCTTCTTCTATGTTTGCTAATAAATATCACTTACACTTTTTTATATAAGCTCTTATCGTTATCGAGCTCTTCTTAATTGGTAGTAATGACAAGAATACGACGATGCTGGTGGCCCTAATTTAATTTAAGTTTTTTTCCCTTTATTGCACCATTATCCCCGAAATTTTGTGTAAACTTAAATTATTTAATGAGCTATCCCGTGGCTGGAAATTATTGAAGATTTCATAATTTTCACACACGCATAATTTTTTGTTATCTAAATAAACATCTTTTTTTCCTAGTAATTGAATTAGCTAATTAATTTAATGAAATGTAATGCAGATAGAATTTTGAGGGTATTTATCTTTTTGTTATCTGTATTTCTCTCCAAAAATTGCTTTGTGGATGGTGTGGTGTAACGTTAATGAACACGTAATTGGCCACCTAATAATAGGCCCAAGTCGTACGTATTGTCGTGTCCATCCATCACTTGAAATAATACAAATGAAATCAATTATCCTGCTAATAAATAATAAATGGACACGACATGTGAAACATAAGAAAGCTAATCTTTAATTGTTGTCATTTCGCTTTGTTAACATATCCGACAGAGGAGAGAAAGATGACGAACGTCACACCAGTGACACAATGCATGGGGTAAAAGACGCTAAAATTAAGAAACCACCATGTAAAATAAACCGTCGCAAACGCGCATACGGAAGTAGCTTCAGACGTACTTCACCTCAAACGGTCCCACCACAACTCGGGAACACTTAATTTCACTCTATTTCACCTATAGATTAATTTTTTGTAAAAATCTCATTTTGCCCCGACCACACCCCCTGGCGACGAGGGGGTGTGGAACAACTCGGGAACACTTAATTTCACTCTATTTCATCTATAGATTAATTTTTTATAAAAATCTCATTTTGCCCCAACCACACCCCTGGCGCCTAGGGGGTGTGGCACAACTCCGGAACACATAATTTTACTCTATTTCACCTATAGATTAAATTGCACTAAAAATCTCATTTTGCCCCGACCACACCCCCTGTCGCCAAAGGGGGTGTGGTCCGGTTGCCCCCAAAAGTTGATAGGATCCTCCCCCTGGGGTCCTATGTATGATGGCGAAAACCGATTTCGATTATCTCGATCCGTTCTCCTGATATCCTGCTGACAGACAGACGGACAGACAGACAGACAGACAAAGTCTTCACATAAAGTAGCTGAAGATACTTAATAAATGGACATGCGTAAACATAAAAAAGTTTGCTTGGTACTTGGTACTCGTCGTTTACTTGTTAAATCAACTAATGAGCACGCACACGAGCAGCTAATAAAAACAATTTGAAGCTCTTGTACGGTTTATTTATTTATTTATTATGTCACGTCACGTCAGAAAAATTATCGCGTTACAAAGTTTAGAATTGGGAAAAATGATAAGATTTATTGTAATTAGTGTCGTCTTGATTTTCGAATGGGAAATTTGTTGTGAATGAAATGGGATAAAAATAAAATTGCGAGAGTTTGACGTCGTATCTTATCTCGGTGGAAAATTGGCAAGTGTTAATAAATATAGATATAGACTCCTCTAAATCAGGGTTTTTATAATTTATATTATATAATTTTTGAAAATTTAAACAATTTTTGGAATTTGTAGAATTTGTAATTCTTATAATTTTTAAGAAGTTTACTATTTTTATAATTTTTATATTTTGCCTTCTTGATTTTCGAATGGGGAATTTGTTGCGAATGGAATAAAAATAAAATTGTGAGACTTTAACGTCGTAGTTTATTCTGGTGGAAAATTGGTAATAATTGTTACTGAATGCAGATAGAGTTTTTCCAAATTAGTAAAATTTAAAAATATATATATAAAATTATATAAAAAAATCAAATAAAAAAAAATTAAAAAGTCTTATTTCAAGTTAAAAATTTTTTTTTAATTTTTAATAAAACCTAATTCTGTACTTAGTAAATTTTGAGCTAATTTTTGATTTTTTTTTGCAATCTTGTCGTTTTCCTTCTCGTAATTTTAGCAGAACAAATGTTCCTTTGCTCAGAACAGAGTTAAACGCTGGCTTAATTTACCAGTCAAAAATAAAGCATACAATTGTTGTCACCATTGTCCTGTCGCTAGTTTAATTCAACGACTGCGACTCCTATCACGGTGTACGAACCATTTTATTATCGTGATTCTTTTAAAATGCTCAACTTTTGCTTTTATTTTGTTCTGTGTCCCGTATGCCGTGGCGGATTGCATTTATTTAGCTGATATTTCTGTTGGATTTGTTTGTTTTATTGAACAAATTCGCTTTCATTTTATGGACATGCAATGCAACCAACTAATTTCTACTGTTTTTCTTTAAGGAGACAATTAAAGTATCAGTTTGTGCATAGGAGCGAGGATAATGTGTAGAATCAAACATGTAAATTATAATTATTAAGAATTACATACATAGTTTTTTTAGCACACATTTAAATACATTTTGAACAAAACTAATATATTTTAAATCAAGTTTATGTATGTAAACAGGTGTAAAATTATGTAATAATTTTTTACAGATTTTTTTAAGTACGCATGAAAAATATTGCTTAAAATCAAAAATATATATTTTAATTATTGAGAATTACATAATTTTTCTAAATTTTTATTCCAAGTTTACATTTCGAAAAAAACACTACATTTTGAATAAAATGAAAACACCTGTAAAATTATGTAACAATAATTTACAGGTTTTTGACTACATATTTTTTAACTATGCATGAAAAAGATATGCTTAAAATCTCCGTATTGTATTTTCTTTCTTCTTCCTCTTGCTTAAAAACGCATGGAAAGATGCAGAAAAAAATTGTGCAGACGCAGTGTAGCGATTTTAAGGAGGGATGGGTCGTGGTAAAGTATTGTACAACAATGCGACGCTTCGTAAGTTTGTGAGTTAGTCAGTCAGTGGTGATTGTCGAAGTGAGACCAAGTTTTAAGACGCTCACACATCGAACAGACTCGTATTGTTCGGATATACCTAATTTTACGGCATAAAAATAAAATTATGTAAATTTTATTGGACAAATATTTCACACACCGAGTTCTCACCTATAACAATTTTTAATTAATAAAAATACAACAATTTTTAATTAATAAAAATACCACAATTTTTCAAATTCGACTTTGAACTCTTCAAAAAATATTGAAATCGACTTTGAACTCTTCAAAAAATATGAGTTAGTCAGTCAGTGGTGATTGTCGAAGTGAGACCAAGTTTTAAGACGCTCACACATCGAACAGACTCGTATTGTTCGGATATACCTAATTTTACGGCATAAAAATAAAATTATGTAAATTTTATTGGACAAATATTTCACACACCGAGTTCTCACCTATAACAATTTTTAATTAATAAAAATACAACAATTTTTAATTAATAAAAATACCACAATTTTTCAAATTCGACTTTGAACTCTTCAAAAAATATTGAAATCGACTTTGAACTCTTCAAAAAATATTGAAATCTTCTAAAATACCAAAATCTTCCAAAATATCAAAATCCTCAAAAATATCATAATCCCCAAAAATATTAAAATCTTAAAAAAAAATCTAAAATCCTCAAAATTCCGTTAACACAGTAATTTCCTTAAAAAAAGTAACGATTGCATGTTCACATCACACCGCAAAAGTCCATTATTACTCAAGAAATGACCGGACCAACTGCCGCTGACTGACCACGACAACAACTGTTACAACTTATTTTAAGGAACCATTTACCTCCTGCACGTGTACTTAAACATGTGAAATAACAGTTACAAACAAATGATCTTGTGTGGTTTGGTTGGTGAACGAGGTGTCAATTTAAAAAATAACAACATTTTATGCAGAAATGCAAAAAAAACTTATCATAAACAATGATAACACATTTATAGGAAACCGTTGTTACTGCTGCTGAGTGACCACATTTTTTTGTGCTTATCTATTTAAGCCCTGTTACAAAAGTGTATGTAATAATTAGCCACGAAATACTTTTGGTAATTGTGTTGTGAGACTATAATTATAATTATTATCGAGTATGCCGGACTATTAGTGACGAACGACAAGTCCAGTTCAATGACAGGAGTAAATAATAAATTAGTATTTTGTTGCATTAAGTAATTGGAAGTTTAATCTCAAGGATTTATTTAACAAATCTCGATTAAATCTCAAACTCCCCAACAATTGGTCCAAAGACAATAAGAATGCAGTGCACCAGGAGTCACGTTAGAGAAAAATGCAGTTCAATGCAGCAACTCGCAGGAGATGAAGTGACAATAAATTCTAATTACTTGTGCTTTTAGCGTGAATAAATTCCTTCTGAACTTTTACTTCACGGAAATAATGTAAAGTTTGTTGTTTGAAACTAGCAACTCAAAAATTAGTGGATTCGTTTCACTGCAGAAACAGAAACTGCATCTCATCTCATTCATTTTGTGTTTTACTTTTAATGGGTAATAATTAAGGACTGAAATACATACATATTTAAGTGCACAGTGAGAAAGGCAAGAGAGAGAGAGATGCTAATGCTAATGTACTGTGAATAAATTAATACGACGAGGAAACAGACCAAAAGTGTAAGTATTTCCTCATTTCTTTAAAATTGTGGGGAGAAATTGGATTAAAATATTCATACAGATTACATACGCTAATGTTGTAATTGCAAGTGAAACAATGCTTAAATTAATATTGATTCCATGCTAAATTTAAAAATATGCAATTACATTGTTTGAAATATTGTCTTATAACTTTGGATAACTGATCCGAAAAGTTGATAATTTTGTAAATCCGCCTCGTATTACACATTTTTTGAAGTACATCGTCATAACAGAATGTAAATTAAAGGCGAGATTATTGTTACAGTCCTTCCTTCTTAAATGAAATGCAGGTTAATCCAAAGTTAAGTGTGTGTTCGGTTTCCTGCTTGACTTTTGGGATGCATTAGTTAAAAACTTACTTACCTATGTATGTTTTTACAACGATTAAGTTGCCGTAAGCAAATGGTGAGTCGGAAAAATACGAGGGAGATGATGTTAAAGAGATGATGTTAAAGATGAGGAGAGATGATGATACGCATCAAGTGAAGGAATTGGATTAGCCGAGATCTATAAGTCAAATTTTCAAGTGTTTAGTTACATGCATAAGTTAGTTATGTACGTACCTAAATAAAATAGTACGACTTTTTGGAGCTTGAAAAACGGGCCAAATCCAATACCAACCAACCACCACGCACCCAGACGAATACTTTACTTATTATGCCAAATAATTCACCTTCCTTTCTTCTCGTAAAAGCAAACTGTTTTGAAGTAAAGTTCATAATACTTAGTACAGAAGCACATTTTGCTGATTTATATTTTTGCTTTTATCTCATTTACAAAAGATTTCAAGATTACCAAGTTGCGCACTTGCTACCTTGTAATTTGTTGGTTTTACGACTTTGTGTACTAAAATTTCATAATAATTCATCCTCAGACGGGGAAAAGTCAAAATTAAGATTATGTACGTGTTAAACACCATTTTACTTATTTTGCGAGTCAATTTGTGCCATTTTTACTTTGCAAATTCCATATTAACAAGATTATCAGTTTTAGTGAGATGAGATTCATGACCTGATCATCATCTCTTAAAAACTATGTATTGTTTGTTTATCTACCTTATTTTGGACTCACCCTTCCGACATGTATAGTACCAATTTACTACAAAGGTCGATATTTTATTAAGGTCTAAGACTTGCGAATCATGATGATCATTTGTTGCAATGATATTTATAAATGTAAGCATTTTTTTATTCGGGCTTAAGTTGGTGTCGGTGGTCCGTGAAATTAATCTTGAAATTATTCATCTGCATCTCATTTTATGCTGCAGGAGAGAATACCTCATCCGTTCATACCTTAATTTTTGTAACTGTAAAAAAAATTCAGTGAAATGTCCCTGAGAATTGTACTTATTTATTTACAACGTTTGAAATTATTATTACTTACAAAAATGGTTCATTTTATTAAAAAATGTCAATAATGAAACGATAAAAACGTTTAATTTTGTCCTTTAACTGATATTATCACGATTATTTATGTATATCTTTTTAAAAAATGACCGCAGACTGGCCCAAGAATGGAATGCGAGGTAGTTGATATTTGTATTTAACAGAAATAATGAATAAATTCCTCACTTTTAAAATGTGCATTGGACGGAAAGTAGTGCACGGACATTTGAAACATGAGATGATGAAGGGTTACTAGCTAGCTAGCAGCGTCAATGATAAAATGAGACACGACATTTGATACCTTTGTTAAAGGAGTAAATGGCGTTCTAATAATCGGCATGTTTTGATTGATTGGTAGCTTTAAGATTGATTGATTGACCTTCCATTTATTTTCTGGTGGCTGTAGCGTTGGGTTGAGTTGAGTGAGACCATCCCAGAGTCGGTAGAATGGATGGATGATGATTGGGATTACTTATTTATTATTAAAGATTCAGTAGTAGTATTTAGTAGTAGTTAATGGTAAAAGAATAGTGCAGGTGGTCGGACCTTTAGGCAGATATTTGCTCTTGAATCGTACTTATAATAAGACCTGATCTCTTCTCACTTGTGTCAGAAATGGTACAATTAGTCACTTTATTAGTGAAATGATTTAACACCTCGTTCAAATAATTGTATGGAATTGTGTATCGTTCGCATTGCCACTGTACCGACCGACCTTTCTTTTTTTATGGTCGCAAACCTTTGATTCACACCTTGCAAAAATGTACGAATGGACAAAAGATTGATACAAGTACACGGCCCAACCCACAACTATTTGTGTTACTGATACTGAACCCTGATTAATTGTCCAGACAAGAAATCACACTTAAAAATGACCACCCAGTAAAATTAAACGTGAAATATGCCTAATATTTCAAACTCTGTTAAATACATATTTTTCAATTTAAAAGTTACAAGTCATCCACCCATTTATTTCTTGAGATCACATCATCCGTGGTATGGTATCAATTACAATTCTTGTATTTATTACAATGGATGCAACAATGAAATATTTGTTTAATGACTACTGCTCCTTGCGAGCGAGGTTGATATCACTTTCAAATCCATAATTTGTTTCACTCCTTGGAATTGGATTCGTTTCGGTGTCCCTATGCCCTTAAAAACTTACTGGTTCGTGAATACCATGCTGACATCGGCATGTTCACCACCATCCATTCTTGTGCATACATACCTATTACACACACACCTTTTGCTAATCCTGGCCTGGCCTGGGTTTGGCTAATTCATTATTCATCCTCAATTTTTGAAATTGGGAAATTGATACCCATAAATAGAAAAGTAGAAATTGTCTCCCATCACTTTTCTCCGCGTACGTATGTATCACATCCTTTTCATTATTCATTCTAATTGTGGCCATTTATTCATTATGTCACAGACATAGGCAGGGGACGCATTGGGAACAAAAGAGTTAACCAATAGCGCAGCATTCAGTCATGTCAAGAAGAAGAAGGGATGAGCACACACCACAAAGTATAATGTAACTTTGGACAAAGGGAGAGTTATTTTATTTCTTAATTTGTATTCAAACAGGAGAATCGAATGTATCCGTATGGTAATGGAGATTGTAAATTTAATTCAATTTTAATAATGGGGAGAGGATTGCGATGCAACGTTTTGACAGGGATGACAAAACAAACATTTAAGACGTTTGTATGGGGTGAGGGTTGTTGGTTCGAAAGTTCAAGAGGAGATTTAGGACAGGACAGGGGATAAATGGTTATATTTGTTTAAATGGGAGACTTTTAAGGTGGAATAGTAATACAAGCATAGATAGAAATTAGCGAATTCATTTTTGAGGAAATTTGTAGGGAAAAATAACGATTTTTTTAATCGACGGTTTTATAGACCGAAAATTAATTAATTTTATGATAAAATATGAAAAGTCGCATTTATCTCAAAACTCATGAAATTGATGCCATTTTAGTTTTCGAAATTTGTTTTTGAAGAGATTGAATATATAGGGGTAGAGTGAGATATAAAAATCTATGCCACATCAAATCATCATCCTATGTAACCTTAAGGAACAAAGAAAATCAAAGAAAAAATTACAAAATTTTGCATTTAAAATTATGTAAAACTAATTCTCCGTTTTAAAGATTTTTAGAAAATGATGTTTTCATTTATTTTACAGATTGGACTTATATGTTTCAGAATTAATTATGCTAAAAAATCCGGGTGTAATGACGTGCCAAATAATTTCAAAAATAACTTGAGAAAACAATCATGAAGATCAATTCAACCCCGAGAAGAAATAAAGAAGAGGTGGGTCCACGCCCGATAAAAAATGCCAAAATGACGACATCCCAACAAACCTGGAGTGAGTGTCGATCATGGAGAAGATTTTCAAGGTCGGGAACATTCCCCATAATTTTACTGATGATGATTCTGGCTGCAGAGTCCGTCCATTTTACAAAAGGTAAGAAGACAAATTTACTCCATTATAATTAATTAACCGTGTCAGTCATCAATTCATCAGCAGGATGACTTTGTACACACGTTCATACACAAAACGCCGACTTTTACATACATATTCCCAAGTGAAACTAATTTAAACAAACTAATCCTTCATTCTCACACCCTTTAATTAATTATTTCAACTCTTGAATTAATTCATTTCTTCTTTTTCTTACTTTCGTTAAATTGGGACAAAAACGCAGGTAAAATTTGCAACTTAATTATCTATCTCTCGCCAAGAGAAAAAAGAGTTTAATGAATTCAATGAATTTACTCAATTGCATTGTATCTACTTAAGAATTTGCTGGCTGGTAGTAAAAAAGGGAAGTTTAAGTGAGAAGTACGAACTATTTTTTAACAGTAAACTCGTCTCGTGAATCAATCTACACACAGATTGGATTGGTCATGGTTGACTTGATCACAAAAAAACTTCAAAGTCTGAATTCAATAAAATTGGAAAACCTTATAAAATAGTTTAGATTTGGTTTAGTGAGATTTTTATGCTCAAGATATATCTACACAGAGTTGAATCATGATCGAGTATACCAATCAATCGGGTTCTTCATACATAAATATGTACATCGTTTAATGAAAAAACGTAGTCGACCGAATCTGCTCTTCTTTTTCACACTTCATTTACCCCGCAAGCTAGCTAGTAAATGCATAAATATGTATCAGTTAGATGACAGGTGATGCTAATCTTTTCGGTGGTCTGGTACTTAAGATAAGGAAGGTATGCTCATCTTCGTCTTCTCTGCCAAATTCATAAAATGGATCCATTGTTGTCCCAGTCTTGGATTGATTTTGTATTGACACATTGATCCATATTTTGGGTGGAGAAAAGAGAACCACTCTGTTTTAAGAGGGGCCCAGCTTCCGTATCAAGGATGGAAGTGCATTGTCGTAAAATATCTAAGAGAACAAGATTCACTATTATGAATGCAGTCGCAATTATGTGCATATTTTGGCCATAAAATTATAACAATTGTTCAAAGTGAATCTTCTAAATCTAGACGACAGATGAAGAAAATGTGTACTTATGAACGTCTCACTTTTGTTGAGACAATCCCACTTTATAAAAACTTTAGCCTGTCACCTCTCCCAATTCCTCTGTATTAAATGGATGCATATGTGCACAAACTAAACTCGACATGCGGTTCTGCAAATACCTGACTTAAATACATTCTATGTTTTTACTTTCTGCTCGGCTCTATTTCACTAATTCAATTTAATTTAATGTTCACCTAGTAAATAAAATATATGCCTTGGACTCAAGGACAGGGGTCTCGTCTCACTTGAGAAGAGATGGAAAGGAGACAAACAAACGTGTGTCCTGAAAAGAAATAGAAAACTGACTTATTCTGGCTAAAAAGAGTGAACGCCATCCATCAGTCGCAGCTATGTAGTATTCAATTCACTCATTTTAAATGCGTATGTATGTGTTTTAGTTGTTGTTTGTTTGATAAAGACAAAAAAACAGTACATTTCGCATCCATCAAATTATAAGGTGTTCCTTTTCCACCCACCCATTTATTACGGAGAGGAGCACCACCAGCAGAGTAAATACCTAGATAAATATATACCTAAAAAATATAGTGGGATGCCATGCACTAAAAATTTTTCAAGTTTTTTAAACCATCAAAAATCATATGAAACATTGAATCCTCACATGTGTCTGGGTTTCTGGGTACAAAAAGAATGTGTACGAATCGAATTTCATACGTCAACAACACAAAAGATATTCGTTATTGACATCAAATGAAGTATGTCGAAGGAGAAATTAATCGACTTTATTCTCAATTGGAACGAATTTATGAAGTAAAAAAAATTGAAAATATGTATGTATATATCATTTCATATAAATATTGGCAGCTTCTGAAGGTTGTGCTGTGTCATTCATCATATTCATCACGTATGTATGATTGAAGAATTAGTTTAGGTTTTGTCCAAAAAATTGAACACAATAAAAATAATGAGGCAATAAAAATAAATTGTCAAGATTTATTAGTTCTCATCTCCCCATAGGAAGTAGCGATGATGAATCTTTTATCACTTATTGGCGTGGCCTTTAGGCCTTGAACTTCTCCAAAAAAGAGGATTCTCACGTGTACTTTGAGGAAAAATCAGCGTGACCAAATAAGTAGGAGGCGATACATAAATTATATTAGTGAATATGCTTCGATTTATGTGCATACATAATTTTTATTAAAAGATTTGGATGGGGGTGGGATGAGATAATGATGGGAATCATAATAAGGAAGGTGTTCTCATGTTGTGATTTTTATAGAAAAATGCGAGGTTATTTTATTCTACAAATGTGATTATTTTCACACGCGGATTCGCAATCTGTGTGGTACGGAGGAGATAAAGATTCATGGGGCTCAAGGAAAGAGATGTGCCTTGGGCAGGTGAATAAATACGCAATTCTTATCAGAATAGATTCCTTGGTGGGATAGACACACAAATTTTCTTTAAAAAGCATATACCTTTACGCACAAATACCTAAAATGGATGGATTCTAGTTGGATTGGAAATGGCCATAATTTGCAAAAGGGGACTTCACTCACAATAAAAACAATGCTATACATCGCTTATTTTCAGAATCAAGGGCAGGCAGCCAATACGAACGACAGTAAAGTACATAATTACAAGTATTGCCCACATACATTTAGTGAAAATCTATAATAATTGCAGTCTTGCTGATTTAACAAGAATGCTCATTTCACAAAATAGATAAATACACCACTTTACTTTACATTTGCTCCTTAATAATTTATTTATTTTACGAAATAAACAAAGAAAAAAGTTAATTAAACGTTCAAATTTCAAGTTTGGGTAAAAAATCTCAGAAATATTTTCTTTGTCTTTTCAGGAGGCCAGTTAGTTAATTATTATTATTTGTATGTTGTGACAAGTTCACGGTCTGCTTAGTAAATAATCTTGCCCATTTTTCTGGGTGTCTCATCTTCTCAGTAAACAAAACAATGCTCATCTTCACATACTAAATACACACACTTCCTCAAAATTAATTGACAATTTTACATAAACTGTCAATAAATTGGTCCCACAATTTATTAGTGTTGCTATTAAATCATAAAAAAATAATTACCTGTTGGTTAGTTTCTCCTTTTAAAAATTTGCATTCGTTTCGTTCCGCCTGAAAAAAAGTGCATGCACAATTCAATTCCATTAGATAACAAATGCATACGCGAAGGAATGCGGAAAACGCCCTGGAAGACTAATTAACTGTGTGCACAAGAGTTTCATTATTAGTATTTGTACACGACTAGGGAATAATGGTTCTTATTTAATGAACACAGAATCAGAGTGGATAAATGATCCCACTTATTATTATTCCTTTGATCCTTGACTTTTGCTATTGTGTGGTCAACAACGTGGTGGATTGCGTCGTGTCATCTCATCATGATTCGTGACCCTCTATTTGCATATAAGTGATCTGGACGGATGGATGGACGTGATGTAAAGCTAGTCAAGTTTTTTTCCTTCGCTTATATGTAATTAGGCGAAATAGGAAGACATGTTACGTTATATTGGGTGCAATTTTGTGGAAATTGTTGTCAAATTGAAAATTTTAATTTTACACACTTTTCGTCTCAATCAACACCCACCCAGATTTCATTCAGCAACGTTTTTTTCTTATGAAATCGACCAATAATTTAAAAGATACAAGACAAGTGATTGAGTTGGACTTTTTGAAGATGGATGTGTACATGTGAATCCTCTTCTCTTTTGGTATATAAAATTCTAATTAGGCAATTTTAGGCGGAGAATAAAGCAATAACTTAAAAACAATATAAATATAGGCACTTGTCCATTGCCACGAAAAGCTTTGTAGTACTTAAAATACATAAAAAATAGGTCAAGTATGTAAAAAAATAACGAGTAATTAACATTTCACGTAAAATTTCTCCAAAAATAATCCGCCTCTTTTTCCTTGCAATCATACCTACATATTTGTTCGAAATACATATCTTTCTGTTTTTGGGTTGCGCGTGCGTGTGTGTGGCATGGATAACGTGCATCTCTTGGAAAAGGTGTGATATCTGATATCTGCTCTCTTCAGATTCTGAAGAGAGCATGAAAATTTGTATGAAAAGTGGTGTCAAAAGTCAAACATCTATTGTTAATTATACGTTAATTACATATTTCTTTATTTTCTTTGAGTGTGTGCTACAGTAAGATATGTGTCAAGCATGGCATCACTTTAATAATAGTTTCTTATTCTTTCTTCCTCCGAGGAAAAGGAAAAAGAGAGCCAATGTCACAAAATATGCAGCAGGTTGCATTTACCACAAATATTTAGTAATAAAAAAGAATCCTACCAAGATAACATATTGTAGATATTTAACATGCCTCCACTTTTTTGAATATTAAGCAAAAATTCTATTATAAAATTGGGACAGAACACCCCCACTGGCAAAAGAACCAAGTATTCTTGTGCCAATGCTAATTTTAAACGGCAGCATATGCGAACGGTATTAAAACAATTAAAGTTTTATTGCTCCTTGAACACATTTATTATTATTATTATTATTTGTCTTGAACAACACAGCAGCAGCACGGATCTTGTGCTCCTGCATTTCTTTCGTACTTTTTTTTACCTAGTGAGATTTTCTAGAAATTTTTACGCCACAAGATGCAATACAAACCGACTAATTGAATGTGCATAGTAAATAAGTGGTCGACATAGGTAGACAGAAAATCCTTTCTCGACTTAATGAGGTTAAACTGCCCAAGAGTTTTATTTATTATTTTGATACGGGCGACTAATCCTCGCCATCTCGGAAATTATTAGTGTTTTAGCACGGGGGAAGTATCTACTTATTCAATTTGCGATGATGATGAGAAGATGATGCATTTATAATGTATGGTGTGGTCACTGCATTTATGTAGTCGTCTCATCATCAGTAGAAAAAGTAGCAGCAGCAGGGGTGGTTTATCCCAGATTTTCTTCAACATGACACACCAACAATGACACTATTTCGTCAGTATATCAATATACATGCATACATGCATACGGAATAATCCCGAATTTCGTTTTGGTTGCGCCAGTTACATTGAAATGGACGACAGCTGGATTAATAATGACGATGACGATGAAAGGAAGAAGAAAAAAAAACGAATTAATTTTTAAATTCAATGTCAGAAGAGGAGAGAAGAGAATCCACCGTTATGCATGTTCTTACTAAATGACAGACTACAAAAGTTTCTGGGTTTAATACTTAATAAAGGAACGAATGCGGCGATGATGACGGAACATGTTGGGAGGATAATGGGATAACAAGTTATGTGGTACGCAGTGATAGATGAGATGCGTATTACTAAATTGATGGGACGGCTAATTAATCTTTTGTGTCGTTAAAAACTAAACCAAACCATTTTGATACGGATCATTACATGTTTTGACAGAATATAGTGGACTAATTAATTTTTATGTGTTCTATTTAAATTGTTTGTATATTTTATTTATGGGAGGAGATGGCGATTGTAGTTCAAATATAGGTTGAGCTTTTGTGTAAACATGTAAATATGTTTTAAAATATGTCATAATTTAATAGAGCTTAAATAATTGACAAACTATGTAGTAAGGCTTTGCACTTATTGAGTTTGCGGATACCGATATATTTTTGTCAAACAAAGCAGATTAGCCATGTTTAATTAGTCTTCTGAAATAGCAAAATTTTGTCATTGTTCATGTTCAGTTTAGTTTTTGTCATTTGTCGTCGTAGGCAGCATGTACAGATCAAAATCCAAACCAAGTCATGGATTATGTTCCTCGACAAGAGACGCCAGCAGCACGTCAGCGACCACGTATTACTACGAGGTCTACGATCCATAAAACGGAAGGAACGGATTGAGCCCATTTTTCCATGTAATTCTAAAATCCTTCATTGTCCCACTAAATCTAAACCTGTGTCTCACTAAACTAAACCTTTCGGCAACTCTTTCCTTGGTTGTTTTGTAATAACATAAAACTAGTAGGAAAGAGTAGACAGTACGTGACAGTAGATTAGCTAAATTATTTAACAACACAAAATTCAAAGGATAATAATAATAAGGGCCAGACCAGAACATCAATTCCCATCAAGAACACTTCATGTATAGTCGCGTCTCGTGAAGAATTGGGCGAATTCTTTACAGATTTTTGAGCGCAGTTGAGCCAAACCAAAAACCATGCATTGCACAATAATTCTATTATACAGACAGAAATCAAAAGTAGTGTTATCATCACTAATAGGTAAGCAAGAACACTTGCAGCAGTTGATTGTTGTATGTGAAGAGAGTGTTGATGAAATGCACTTTTTTATAAATTGGTAATTGATGAATTCGATTTACTTCATTTATTTGTCCGGTTATTCGATTTCTCCTCCTGATTGCAAAAGTGTGGTGGCATCCTTTTACTTGATTGCGGCTCTTTGATTACGCCATTAATTGATATACATGTGTGTATATTTATCTTGAAGAATTGAAATTTAATACCGTTTCACTGGTAAAAATAGACAAAAGGCTGAATCAACTAAATTACGATTAACAAACTAGGTACTAAACTAACAAGAATCGCGTAATAATGTGCAAGAATCACACTTTACTTTGTTCAATTCTTGCTAAAAAGTGAGAGACCCACCCTTTTTTTTCTTGACGAAATTCCAAAACGAATCGATCCATACAGTTCAATGTTACTCAATCAACTATTTGTTTTTCCTGATTTGCCTAAAACTTCCGTTCGCATGTGTACACATTACGCAGCTTTTTGATTATTATATTTTTTGAAAATACGCATTTGCTAAAAAAATAATACCGGATGTCCAAATGGTTTGAAGTACTAAAAGCATGACATCCTTGTCCCTCCGACGTATGAATTTGCATATGTGTTACCGGCACTCGGTAACACATGTAATTGTTAATTTTGCACCAGAACTTGATTCAATTCAAGATTTGGAACGGTCATTTTCGTCGTTGGTTGGTCGTTGACCGTGACTTGATGATGACTGCATCTGCTGTTTGATAATAATGCGTTGGTTTCGTGGCATGAGGTCCTGTGTTTGATTTTGATTTGATGATTTTATCATTGACAACAATACCCTCGAATCTCATATTAATTTAAGGATAAAGAAGTAAGTAAATTGTCACTTTTCTGTCTAATGGAAACGTTCCATTTACAATTTTGCACGGTATAATTTCCACAAATTAGTGTGTGTTATTTAGTCCTTGTTAATACTAAAGTAAGTGCATGCGGTGTTTAACGTTAATTGTGCTGTATTAAACTCAGCAGTCACTGCTCAGCGTGTTATTGCTTATTAAATGTCAGAAGAAAAGGCTTAGGATAACATTGACCTTAATGGTCATCTGATCCAACAAATGTCATTCGGCATGAAATTTTTTGTTACCCTCTCTCATGTCACGGATTCAACAATGCATAAAATCTTATTCAAATTTTAAAGTAATTGCTATTGTAAAGAAGTAGGAAAAATAGTAGGAAATGAACTTGGAAGGATTATGTTATGCACAAAAATTTATATAGTGATGACTTGAACAGATGCAGTTATTTAGTTGGTCGTTACAATTATCACAATGCGCATTTGTGATCTTCAAATGACAGCTATTTTGGGTAATTTTGCACAGGTAAATTTAATTTTTTGGGTGATCTTGAGCTTATTTGAGGCACAGAAGAATTGAATGATAATGATTACCTAATTTTGTGTCATATTCAGTTCCACACGTCCAGGAGGTACATATTTAGTTAGTTGGCTTGTTAGCTAATTTTACATTTACAGCATTGCGACATTTATTTGCACTTCGTTACGTACTGTACGTAATAAACTGCAAGTCTATGAAAAATTGATGACTGTAAACTTGAACACAGGTGCATCGCGTAAGGATGAATGCATAATTCAAATATTTGCCATCTGTCTCATCGCAAATTAAGAATTGTCTGCAAAATGGCGAAGAGGACCGATATGTACTTTTCGAGATTTAAAAAGCGAGTCCTACATAAGTATATTTTCATTATCATCAGACTTTATAAATAGATAAAACTTGGTGGTTGGTCTACTACAATTTCTTCTTAATGATATCATAAGTAGTTACATACTTACTTATCACCACTATTTACTCAAGAAGTGAGTGAATTTATGCAACATCTGCTCTTCTTCTGATTCATTCATAATATTTATTTGTTATGCGACGACGAGCTACAGTTAAACATTGTCAAGAAAGCGTTAACAAAATCATTTCTTTAGAATGTGACACGTTCTTCTGGATGGAGACAAAATTATTCTTCAAAAAATTGGCATCATTAAGTATCTAAAACTATGCGCAATATTTTGGTTAGTTGGAGAAATGTATTTTATCATTTGAAAGCCAAATCACTCTCCAAATGACTGACTCAATTCGAGTAAAAATTCCAATTTTGATTTTCACATCATATTTAATTTCCTTTAAAAATATGAGCTTTCTAATCGTGCATCAAGCCGAAAACCATGCCAAGTAAGTGAGTGTTAATAAACCCAGTTGTGTGTAACCAACCACTCCAATTGTTTGAAAGAAGAATAATAATACATAAATCGCTACATAACCAACCACTCACCAGGAATTTGTCGTCGTTCGTAATGTAATGTAATGACTTATGCAAATTTTCACATTTTAGTTTTAAAATTGATATTGAATTTGGCGTAGCGTTGGTTTTGATTGATCATGTTCATCATGATGGTCTTGTTTCAGGGGAAGATTTTTCAAAGACGTGGTGGTTGGTCGTGTGGTTATGACAAAGTTACGTTATTCGGTGTAAGTAAATTGTGCAGTAATTTTAATTTGGTGGGATGATTTGCTTTGTGAAGCAGGCTTTTTGATGATGATAATAATAAGAGATGCGTGATGCTGAGGGTTAGTCACAGTGGTCACAAACCAAAAATCTTCTCTTTATAAATAAGAACTTTTAAAAAATGTGGAGAGGAGAAAATAGCGAATATTTCCTCTAAAAATGAAGTATTTTGATGATTTTTTTAGGTTGCCAATTCCTCCCGATGGGAGAGTACTTACGCTTTGTCCGTGTTCCGGAGAATTTGGTGGTGGGGGAGAAAATTATGACGTTGGAGGTTCTTCAGAAACATAACCTTACGTTGGAGTCTATTGATAAGGTTGGTGGTGATTAAATAATTCCTGAATTTGCATACATCGTAATCTACATATTTGCATATGTAAATCCAAATTAGGGGGACGATGCAAAATATTTTGCACTGTCGGAGTCATCCTCGCAAGAAGTGGATCTACTTCTCGCTCGGAGTTTAGAGAACATTGTGGACAATGACTCGCCTCAAAATATTTTAAAGTTTAGGATTGTGTGTTATCCTTCGTCGGGGAGTGATAGGGTGAGACCATAAATAGTATTTCATTTTGTGTAGAAAAAATCATAGCAAAATTTGGACGCTAAAAAATTCAATTTTTATCTTAGACCCCATCCTTTCTGCAATTTACGGCGTACATCGAAGACCTTAATGACCACGCGGTAAGTGTTTTTCTAAAATTGTTATCCCAATTTTTACCATTCAAAAATTCCTCCACCCACAGCCCATCTTCCTTCACGGCCCCAACTACTTTGTCAGCGTGGACGAACTAACACCCGTCGGTTTGACGGTATTCCGCGGAATCCGAGCGACCGACTTGGACAAGCCAAACACGGGAAATTCCGATGTCCACTTTTCCATCGTGGATGGCAACGACGACGGAAAATTTGGTCTGGAAAGCAGTCAAAATCCGGCCCTCGTCGTGAAAAAGAGTCTCGACTATGACGCTGGCGACAGAGAGTTTAAACTCAAAATTATGGCGTCTGTAAGTCAACAAAGAAAAACAAGTCATATTTACTTTTACTTAAATAAAGAACAATAGTTAAAAAATAGACAGACACGTAATTAAAATCTAATTTTGACTCGAATTATTTATATTATTTACTTACAGGACCGAGGCAATCCTCCCTTGTCAAGTTTCGCTTTCATATCGGTGAAGGTGATCGACAATGATGACTTGCCCGTCGTGTTTACTAAACCCATTTATAAAACTCAGATTAAGGAATTTTACCCGTTTAATGTAAGCCGCACAAAATAATTATGTCATGAACGAGCAAAATTAAAATTTTAAAATCAGAGATGGATACCTAAAAATAGAAATTGTGACCTTGTCATACATAATTTCGACTCATTTTAACTTTGATTTTTCTCATGTAGAACAAGACCATCCGTCAAGAAGTCATGTTTCCCTCGTCCTCAAGAATCCAAGCGTTCGACCAAGATCTCGCCATCAATGCGACCGTCGAGTATGCCATCGTTGGGGGGAATGAGGGGGCATATTTTGACATCGAGACGGGAAACGGGTCGCTCTACCTGGTTCGAGAAGTCGACCGGGAATCTTTGGCCAGCAACGTGTTCAATCTCCAGTTGAGGGCGAGACAAACGAACGACTTGACGAAAATGGGGATGGCTTTGGCAGAAATTGAAATACTGGATTTGAACGATTGCTTGTAAGTTGGGTTGAGGAATTGTAACATCGTTTGTAAATAACGAGGAAATGAAGAATATGTTAAGTTTATGTAGATTAATTAGAAGTAATTAAAATATTTATGAATACAGGCCGCAATTTGAAGTTGACGTGTACAACATTAGTATAATGGAAAATTTGTAAGTTTTAAATCTTAAATCTTGAGGTTATTTAGATATTTATGTAGTGTTATTAATCAAATATTGATTTACTACAGGCCGAATGGATTTTCCGTCCTTCACGTCACTGCTACTGATGCCGATCAGGTAAGAAAAAAAGGGGATCAAAGGAAAAAGTTATTGATTGATTCTTTATTAGAGTTGAAATTGTGTCAAATCGTCGTAGCGGTGACATTGGACGGCATTGTTTTAATAATAAAAAGATGAAATGTATCATGGCCACGACGAATTGCAATTTTAGATTATTTACTGAGCTAAATAATGCATTAAATGTGTAATAAATTGAATGAGGAGGCAAGTTGAGACTTATGTGACCTGAGGCAAATTGAGATTTTTGAGACTTGCGTTCTTACTCCCTGAAACATTTCGCATTTAATTAATTAATTCCAGGGAGAAAATGCCGAATTCCTTTACAAATTGGAAGATCGGACTAAAGCCTTCCAAATTGACCCACGCAGCGGTTGGCTCACAGTTCGCGATCAGTCACAACTGGACAGAGAAAAAATGTCACAAATAAATTTAAAAGTTATTGCCGACGAAAAAGTAGGTAATGTAGCGTTCGGAACGACGAAAAGTTATGCCTCGGTTGAAGGTAAGCATTAATTATGTTTGGAGTTAATTAATGTGTAATTAACGTACATATTTTCAAATTTATTCTCGTTTAAAGTCCACCTTTTAGACGCTAACGACGCAAATCCCACCTTTATCCCGTCAAATCTGTACAAATTCCAAGTAACGATAGACTCCGAAATAGGATCGGTTGTGGGCCAGGTGACCGCGGAAGATCCAGATTTAGGTGGAAATGGGAAAATTGCGTACGAAATTCAGAAACCGAATGGGACCACGGAAGAATTGCCGTTCGATATCGATGCTGGAAATGGATATATTTTTCTGCTGGAAAGACCACTCCCAAAATTGCACTACACTTTACTAGTCGAAGCTTCCGACCAACCTTCAAACCCTTCGGAGCGTCGCTATTCCTTGGCTGTGGTGCAAATTGACGTCGTCAAGGCGGGTGCGGGACACTCGCCGGAATTTATTGGGAGTCCCTACGAATTCTGGGTGGGAAGTCATGTCGGCGTTGGGACGAGTGTTGGACACGTTAAAGTTAACCATTTGGATCCTAAGTACACCGTGTACGATTTGCTGCACAGTTATTATGAAGGAGGTTAATAACTAATAATAATAATTAGATATCAAATAGTTTCTTGATAAAAATTGAGTAAAATAATAATAATAATGAATTTTATGTGAATCAAGTGCCATTCGCCATTGAGGAGAGGACAGGAATCATCGCAGTTGTGGACGATTTATCAAAATACACGAGAACTACGTAAATATTAAATATAAGACTCGAGGACTCATCGCCAAATTCGGTCACATTTTTTAACATTTCTCGGATCTGGGAATTTATTTAAAAATTCTGGGCGACAAATTTGTAGAGCAGGTCGTTTCAAAAATATACAATCCAGATTTTGAAAGTTTTTGGAGGAGATTTCAAGTTTAAGAAGTCTTCAGAAAAATTTGAACTTATCAAAATGACTTAAAAAGCTCACCGTTATTTTAATCTACTTACTATCTACCAATTAGTCGTCGAGAATTTTAAAATAAATTCCCAGAGCCTAGAAATGACTTAAAACCTGTTGATTTTGACGATTTTGGTGAAAAGTCGTCGAGTCCTACGTTAAATTTAGTAGGCATTTTATATCAGCTCATTAATTTCTAATTTATTACAATAGGTATGAATTTGAAGCCTACGTCACGGACAGTCGACACACACTAACGACGAACTTGACCATTCACATCGTCGACCCACACGAGGCTGCTTCCGCTTCGGAAGGTGGTGGAGAAAGTGGTTTGTCCCGAAATGGAAACAGTAGACGAGCCCCGATCGAACTCAAAGTCAAAGAAAACGTGGGTGGGGCCATTGTCGCAAATCTAAAAACTTTGTTAAGCGATACATTACGAGACGTGAGAGGCATGGAGTTTATTTTGGCCAATTATGATGCACGGGACAAATTCGCTATCAGTTCGGATGGGACGATTTACACGCTGAAACCGTTGGACAGAGAGGAAAAATCAAAGTATGAATAAAAAAATATTTCTGTGGGGGAATAAATCATTAAAAATTTAAATATCTGCAGACATTTGCTCACCGTCATCTCTCAAAGCCGTGGAGTGATCCAAGGACAAGGCGTGTATGAAATTGTGGTCAACTTGGAAGACGAAAATGATAATTCGTAAACGAAAAATAATTTTGAAATGATTTATTAGATTCGGCCTGTGGAGATTTGAATTACAAAATTTTATTTAAAATTGCAGTCCAAAATTCGACCGTCAAGTTTACGAAGGTTTCGTTCGAGAAAATTCCCTTCCAGGAACCCCACTCAGCATGGAAATTCCAGTGACCGTTATCGACCCTGATGACGGACCTAATGCTCAATTCCATCTCGAACTTAAGGGCGATGGGGCAGATCGGTTTCTCGTAAATCCAAAAACTGGAAAAATTGTAGTCGGGAATGTCCCACTCGATAGAGAAGAGAAACATTTGTACAGTTTGAAACTGATTGCGACGGACACGGGAAATAAGAGCAGTACTGCCAAGATCAATATTCACATTCAAGATACGAACGATAATGGTAAAATATTTAATGACTAAATTATTTATGTAGTTGAATTACATATTTTCTAAATATTGATTAAATTCCGAAGCACCCGTCTTCTTTCAAAACATTGTCCTCGATCCTCCCGAGTTGGACTTGTCTAACGGACCTCGAGAATTGTTACGTTCAGCCTCTCAGCCAATATCGGTCGAAATCTCGAACGCGGAACCAATTCAAATTCCGGAAACGGTAAAGAAAAGTTGTCATCATTGTCAAGATACTTAATTTTGAACATGTTTAACTAAACAACACTGACTTTCCAGGTCGCCGTTGGAAGTCGAATTGCCCGAGTGCTAGCCAGTGACAAAGACACGGGGGACAACAGCAAAATATTTTATCGACTCGTTTCCGAGAACAGCAATCCTATCGGAGGAAAGTTTTCATATTTAACGGACAAACAATACCTCTACAGTCGGAATAAGGATAAACATTTTATCATTGAACGTACCACGGGAGAAATTAGTGTTGCCAAACCACTAAGACCAGACACCGAGTATGCCTTAAATATCTCAGCCTCAGATCGAGGGGGGTTAAGGGCCTACACCGGGATTAAAATTGTGGTGCAAGATGTAAGTACTTGCATAATTGCATAAATTTTGAAAAAACTGCAAAAAACAGTACATATTTTTTTAGGTAAACGACCATGTGCCAAAATTCGACAGACCTTGGTACGCCTTTGACCTGTTGGAAGGAACCTATGACCGTGGAGAAGTTGGAAAAGTGACAGCAAAAGATGGCGACACTGGACTAAATGGCGAAATTCTGTACTCCCTTCAACCCAAAGTTGATCCCTCGACGACCGATCTGGAATACTCGGATACCTTTCTTCCTTTCAATATTGATCCCAAATCGGGCATGATTTTTGTTGTGGGAACCATCGACCGAGAAACAAAGGTCAAGTACAGTTTTTACGCCGTGGCGACGGACAAGGGTCAGCCCCAAATGGAATCGATGGTTGATATCGATGTCAACATTTTAGATGTACGTGTAAAAATATCATATAATTTTATCGTGTAGGAAATTGATGACAATTATTTTGTTACGACTAGGTTAATGACAACGCCCCGAAATTTCATGGCTACATGACCACCGTAAAAGTCGGATCAAAATCCGTCCCCGTTTACCGAACCAGCATAAAATCCAACCTAATTCCTGCAGGAGCTCAAGTTTTTAAAGTTTCTGCGAACGATTCTGACTCTCCAGCGAATGGAAATGGCCTTGTTTTATTCCACCTGGCAAATAATCACAAAACTTTTTACATCGATTCTAAAAATGGGACAATCTCCACTTTGACACAACTCGACTATGATAAGTCTTCTATTACAAGTCCGGAATATAACTTGACCGTGGTGGCTTCCGATTTGGGAAAACCTAGTCAAAGTTCGACTGCTTGGGTGCTCATTAGACTCAGTGGGACTAAAATGTCCACTACCACGGACAAAAAGCCGAGTGAAAGTGGGAACGATTTGGAACGCATGTTTCAAAAGGAAGTTTACACGTATTACGTTCCACATCGGTACAACACGCCATTTTTCCTGACGAAGGTAATCTCATTAATTTACTTCCTGACTATAATGAACAAAAAATTATATTTATTTTGTATTATTTTCATGATACTAATCAACAACAAGATGAACGTCACGGATCGATATAAACGATATCCGACCGAGTACCATCTATTCGGAGGAGATAAAATAATTGAAAATTTCCGAATCGGACCAAAATCTGGGGAAATATATGTCATTAAGATGTTAAAACCGGACACGACGTATGACATGTTGGTTCGTGCGTTCAATTCGCAACAACCCAGTAAATTCGATGTAAGACAGGGCAGTCTTATCTCGGATAGATATTTAGGTACGTTAAATATTTAGTCAATTATTAGTTTAATGTACATAATTATCATGTAAATATTGTTCTCCAGAGCACAACGAAGCGCTTATCAGGGTCGAATTGGTCAAAGCTCCCCCACCCCCACCACTCCTTCCACCACTACCGAACGACCCCATCGGTACTTCAAGCGGTCACAAACCACGCGTCGTCTACAAAACAACCTCCACCACAACAGCAACTAAAGCTTCATCTCTCGTGCCAATAATTTCACATCCAAATTCCTCCGACACTTCTTCCTCTCCTTCTGATCAATCCCAATCTCCATCCAAAATCAAACCAAAATCATCATCAACCACAAATAATAACCGACCCAGCCCTACATCCATAGTTCCCAAAGTTATCATTGCCAACTCACCACGGAACGATTCCGACAACGAAATCATTCCCGGCAGCAACAAAACGAATAAATCCCACCACAAAAATTCCTACTTTTACGCCGGAGAGATCGCAGTCCTGACAATGTCTTGCGTCGTCTTTTTGGGCGGACTTGTCGCCGCCATTTCAATCGCTTGTGTCCGAAGAAGGAAAAATCGTCGCCGGAGAAGATTGTCCCACATCCCCGCCATCCCGGTCGAAGTGCGATTACAAAAGCAGCCGATGGGGAGTCGTCTCGTTCTGGGAAGTAGACCAATGGTATTAATTATTCTTAAGCTATTATCAAGATTAAAGTCTCACAATTTAACGATTTCCAGGCCCTTCCTGGAGAACCTCTCCCGAACAACAACAACAACGGGACGGAGAGCAGTGACGCAACTTCGGAAACCTATACGGACGGATTGCCCGAATTAGGGCATCATCAACGCTCCGCATCTTTTGTAAATGTCAACGTGCATAAAACTGGGCTTAGCGTTTGTCCAGATTGTAGAAAAATAAGAAAGCCAAATAATAATAATCATAGTGGTGCAAGTCACAATAATAATAATAATAATCATGTTAGTAATAATAATAGACTGTTAGTTAACGGGGTTGCCCGTGGGGTTCGGGATCGCGACCGAGGTAAGCAATCACGACACCCGAGAGAGGTGTCACTGCCATCCAGCAACGATTCAGGAATTGATGGGTCCGATGGACAATGCCATTGCTGTCAATCGCACAACTCTTCCTCCGAGAGTGGAAGGTATTTTAAAAAGTATTTCCAAATTACTAACCAAAAAAAATCAAAATTTTCCGTATCAGTAAATTGCATACCTAATTTCACTTTTGTTTTGCAGAGACCACTACGAGGACAGTTTGATGCCGCACATGAATGCACGCGTCACGTCGAAAAGCTTCCGTCGAAAGAGGAACGCTAACCAGACGCCGTATCCGCAACAGCACAATCGTGGCGCGGGGTCGAGATTTAACGGCCGGATGGGCGAAGGAATTGTCATATTGTAGAATTATTTTTATTAGTACGGGAAATAAATCAATGCAATGAACAAGTACTGAAATATTAAGGAAATTCTGTAATCCGTAAAAATATGACGTTTAACTTTTATTATGATCTTCTTTCATCTTACTTAAATATTCGTTAAGTAATAACTTTTGTATTCGTATGTATTTAATTTTTGATAAGGAAGGGTTCCTTAGGTGTAATTGAAATGAATGAAGTATGTAATTGTATTTAGATAATTTTAGCTTGGTTTTTGGTATTTGTATATTTTTTAAGTAAATAAATAAATATTCAACGTCATGATTAGTAATTCAGTTTACATAAAAACGTACGAATTTGTCGGTAAAAGCATGATTTACATTTGCATTACTACCAGAAATTTTGTGAATATTTGCGCTTTTCCGGTGAGGATATAATCATGATTCCTGTATTTTAGAGACTTTATTTGTCTATTTTGTATGACAGGTTTGACCATGTCTTGCATAACATACGGGGATGAGATCAGGTTTTGCTTGGTGGTTCTGGAGACTGATTAAATCCCCAGTCAAGAGCTGGACAATTTTGTGCATAAAATTTGTCGAAAAATGATGATACCATGAAGAGACCAAAGTTGTGAATTTAAATCCATAATTAAACCTTTTAATTTTTAACTTGTAATCCATAAATACGTAATCGAAACACGTTATGCATTACGGATTAATTTTCTAGTGACGCTTGAAATGTTGTGTTTCGTTTGACAAATTTTTATCGCAAGTGCTCATAGACTTTTCTGTAATGAAAACTTGACCAACCTGTTTCTACATCATAAATACAATTATTTTGCAGATTCCAAGAAGCTATACCTACCTCTACTAATTATAAGTCACGTTTGTAAAAAAAAACTTTTTGGTAACGAAACTGCTCAATTGTGTATAAAAGAAGTCATTGTAAATAAAGAGTTTCACGAAGATACACACATTACAATTTCCTCAAAAATGAAACATTTCATAAGGGAGCGTCCATAAATCACGTGATCGATTAGAGGGGGGGAGGGGGTCTGAAATTTATCACCAATTATCACAGGGGGGGGGGTAGATGGTCAGATGTCACGTGACATGAGTAAAGTTTTGTTTAACTTTTGTATATGCCAATAAATGTCATCAGAGTTATATATAAACTCTCTTGGCATACCACACGCACGTTATATAGATTTGATTTTCATTTTGCACATTTAGAAACTTGCTTCGACTTAAAATTCTTGTCTGACTGGCGTTTTAAAGATGGAGTTATTTACACATGTGTGTAGCTTTAATTTGATTGATGATTTAAAAAACACTGGACTAATATTGCTACACTCTTAGCAATCTGTACTTGATTCCGTGTAAAAAAAACACCTTTATTCGGGGTAAAAATCGCATCCATACTGTATAAAGTTGCATAGACAATTTTGGAGGAGGGTAACCAGTTTTACTTTTTTTCGAGTACATTCCCCTGCTAGGGAATGCCCAAAATTAAATCATGTTGTCCGGAATATATTCCGGACATGATTTAATTTGAGTCATCATCTCCTGTCACGTGACCGGTGGGGGGGGGGGTAGCGAAATTATCACCAAATGTCACCAGGGGGGGGAGGGGGTCAAAATTGTCCAAAATCGATCACGTGATTTATGGACGCCCCCTAATTTGCATCGTAGTTTTTGCCATCGCCATTGCACCAAGTGTCCACTCATTTCCAAAAGGAAGTAAAGGTGGAGGTGGAATAAAGAGTGGAATAAAATCAGTATTTAAAGGAAAAAGCTCGTCGAAATCTCATTCGTCGTCTTCATCATCGGATAGTTCATTTTTTGGGACCACGACGACGCCTCCAGCGTCAACATATACCACCACCACCACCACTCGAAGAAGTACAACCACGACGGCTCGACCAATTTCTGATCAAGAATTTTACGAAAAGATTAGATCCTCATATTGCAATTCAGGGTCCAAAATTAGTCTGGAAGAAATTGTAAGATTTTCCATACATATTTTCTTGTAATGCTGACGATTGACTTATAATGTGATTAATTGTGCTTAAATTGATTAATTGGTTGATTTTAAATTGGACACAGGAAGCAGCCGTAACATGTCCAGTGAATGGTTTTACTTTCCAATTATTCTCAACTTTGGCATCATCAATTAATAGTTCTACTCCAGAGGACAAAAATAGTACCACTAACAGCACTACTACTACTACACCCAGCAGTACTACTATTTCTACCGACACTTCTTTAGCGAACACAACGACATTATCGACGTCACAAGTTTTGACGAATACCTCATCCGACTTGGAAATGACGTGTCAATCCTTCAATTCGACCTGCTTCGAAAAGATGCACACTTTCGTGAATGAGTGTTTAACGACCGGAAGTACTTCTCCGCTTGCGGAAGCGTACCAATTCGACTTGTATCTTAGAGAGGAGGCATGTGTGAGGAATAAAACGACGATAATCGGTAATTGTGCTACGGTACTACTTAATTTTTCAGAAATGTATTTCTAAAATTTCCGGTTTTTCTCTCTCCTAAAATTAGACGACTGGACGAACGGGACAGAAAAATGTTTGAGCCCATATTTCCTAAAAGACGGCAACGTTTTACGACGGGCTGTTGCAGAGTGTAAAAGACGTCATCCAACTTCTGAGGTGAAATTGAGTCATGGGTGAGATACGATGCAATTCTTCAGAAATGTTTACTTTTTGGAAACACGGATTTTTTACTTATGCCTAAAAATTCTGAGCAGATACAGTAACAAAATCCTGGCATGTGTCAAAGATAGAATCAATGCCCCATCCTGCATTTGCCACTGGGGGACGGATGGATGTAACCCGACAGCCATGCTGATGAGGAATTACTACGTGGAAAGTGTCGTCAGCCTGCTATTATTTGTGGAGAGGCCGCAATAATAAATATGAGCATAATTCTTATGGGTCGGTTGCCCAGTGGTTATGTTTTGTGTATCAAAAATGTGATGTATTGATTATTAAGGTAAATGTATTTCGTTTGTGTGTTTTGTTCACTCAATTTTTTGATATGGATCAATAAAAATACTTATAGAAACACCGATGAAAGGAAATTGAACTATTATTGTCATGATTTCTGAATAAATATGAGAATGCATTTGTACATATTGAATCGAGATCCCATCATAAACAAGCGATTCATGGCAATTGTTTTCTATTATGTACAAACTCGAGCTGATTTAAATAACCAAAGTCATCATTGTTGCGCAGTTAAATAGTCAAGCATCGACAAAAACTGGCATAAAAAGAACTGCCCATCCTAACTTTTTGAATTTAGATGTACATACCTGAACATACATTAAATATCATAACACTTCAGCAGAATCGATGTGCTGACTCATCAACAAAAAGTTTTTTTTGTTCAGTTAGATATTTGCGTATGTAGATATTTATGTAGTTACATATGTACCATGTCAGAATTAGAACGTTAACGTTACTCGCGATCATGAGCTCGTGTGTGTGACGCGAAACCAGTCCCTCGGCTTCTTTATCACCATTTCCAAGTAACATACTGATACATAGTAGTCACGAATAGCAGTGTTACTTGTATGTACAATTTGCGTCATTTACGGCTACAGTTGCATTTTACTTATAAGACGGTTTCACACGCATCCTCGACATGCAAACGTTAGCAAACTTCGGTTTATGAAGGAAGGAAGTCTCATTCTGTTCCGACATAAAACATAAAACAGAAATTTTCTGTCTCGGAAATTTATACAAAATGGGACAGTTGAACATCAAAGTGTTTACCGTTCTCTGCCTTGTCTTTCTCGTAATGTGCATTTTGCACGTGGAAAGCAGAGGTGGAAGAGGAGGAGGAGGATTCCGCGGTGGTAGTGGATCCAAAGGTCGTGGGGGCGGTTTTTTCTATGGTCGTGGAGGTGGCGGTGGTGGTGGTGGAAGGGGAAATGGAGGATCTTTGACACAACCAATTTTTTCGGGAGGAATCATTTCCATGATTTTGATCGTGGTTCATCAAGCAATCAGATAGCGATGTGTGTGCTACTACATAGTTTAAGAAAAATTTATGTACACATACAAAAAGTCTGAACAAAATGAACTACTGATCTCAACTATGGTCAACTGCTGTCAAATACAGTGCTGGTCAGAAATGTGTTTTTCTGCATTTTGTTAAGTTTCTCTAATTAAAGTAATGAAAAGCAATGCAATTTAAATGTAAGAAACGTGCCAAGATAAGAATGCTTATTTATACATACTTATTTAAGATGTACTTATGCTATACATGCGTATAATGTTCCACGAAACATTTGTTATGCTTCTTATCGGTCTGCAAAATTTAGACCTTGTTAAAATTCAGTAAAAAAAACTTAAGGTGGGGGATTACAGTTTGTTAACTTAGGATTAATTACCTAAATTGTCGTACTTACTTATGTACATACTTATAATACATAGTTATGAATCTTATAAAGACATACATATTTATATGTGTGGAATATATGTATGAGTGGTACCTGTAATTTTTTAGTAAAATAAGTTAAGATATGCATATGTAAAATAAATGCCGATTCACGGTCAAACAAAAATCAATCCGATCCACTAATTTATTCACGGCCCACTTAATACACAAAAAATAATTATGTTTGCATTCAATTACGGACTATTCAAACAATATCCCGCATCTCGAGTGCCTTCCATGATCCATTTCCGATAACCTATCAAATATTTGCATGCATTAAAATTTAATCTATAAATCTATACAGATATCCGTACTCATAACGTTTGTACTTACGGAAGACACTCGTAAAAAGTAGGATCGGATACGGATGATGTTTCGGTTCTATGCATTCTTTTTGGTTCGTGGAAATCCCAGTTTGCACAAATCTCACGGTTAAAATGTCCTTTTCTGCGACGGGGGTAAAGTCAGGGTCACATTTGTACCTGGTTCTCCTCAATGTGACTAAAGGGCTGCCGGGGTCCGTCTATTTATAAATTATGTTCTTGATAAGCATGGTTTTCGCAGAAAAATGTACAAAATACATAACAGAATATGCACATACATTGCACCTGTCCCTCGATTTTAGAGCGTCCTCTCCAGAAATCCCTTCCGCACAGAAAAACTGAGACTCGACCCTGTTCTTGTAAAATTTAAGGCATGCTTCCTGCCTCAGACCCTGAAGAACGAGAAGACTGTAAGAATATCGCGTATCCGGATATTCTAGAGGCAAAAAACATATCTCAAAATATAACCAAAATCAAACTTTTCGCTGTATTTACTTGTATTATTATTGCTGCTAATTCGCCCCTTGTACACCCCCACGGTCATCCGCTTCTCGTGAATACTTCCATGTGGAAAGTCACACTGCTTGCTGTGAAACAGAAATGCTTCCATCCCTGATTTTTTGTCGGTTGAGGCACCATTGTGGTTGTGAATTGCATTATTGTTATCTTGACTTTGCTGGGTTTGAATTGACCTGCCAGATTTCTTGGCGTGTAGCCGTGGATCCGGGGGAAGGCAGACGGGGGCGAGTTTGTCCCCATTCGTGAAATCGATTCGGTCCCGCAATTTGATGAGAGAGATGTCATTGTCATATGTATGATTTCCGACGGAGAATCGAGGATGGTTTTTTATGGAGGCGACAAATGCTACCTTTGTCGCGTAGGGGAAACGTGGGTCTGCAACGCCAAAGTGGTCAAGGACAATTGCTACGTCCTCCGTTTTATACCTGGATACACGTGCAAAATATTTAATGGTATATTTAGCAGTGGGAGTACTTATTTTTGTGCGATTATTTGCCTACTTTGATGTGCAAGACGCAGCAGATAAGACGTATCTGTCGTTGATAAGGCTCCCCCAACATAACGGGGTTTGGAGCGAGTCATGCTTATGAACTAGGACCCCAACCCACGGCATTTTGCCAGTTCCTGCTTCTGTGTAGTTGTAAATTCGCCCACATGCTGAAAAATTAGGATAATTTTTAATCTTTAGTAGATAATACAGGAAATTATGCTGGTTTCACTTACTGCAATTAATTTTAGACCCGGCAGACGCACCTACTGGAACCAGTAGATTATTGGAATATGGTACTTTGCCATGTACAATGAGTACCAGGCAGCACGATATAAATAGGATTTGCAATAATATACTGCCCTTCATTTCTCAGATAATTAATCACAATTAATTTACTGTCGTATTTAAAAATCAATTCATCAAAAGTAAAGGAAGATTTTGAGCGACGTGTTTGGGAAATGGGATCAAAATCACATTATTGTGAGTGGATAAATAGACGCAGGGACCGAGACGAGAAATCCCAGGATCCAGAATCTCAGCGTGGCTTTATTGCTAAAATAAATATGAGAAAATTAGTATGCAGTTTTTGCACAGAAGGCGCATACCTACTATTTAGTAATCCTTCCAGCCATGTTAAGATCTTTGCGCAGATAAGACGTCGAGAACAGGTTGTGGGAAAATCCTGCAGGGAATTTATGGATGAAATGTGGCTGCTGCTGCTATTAATTAACCTGCACTTTTGTGGAAATACCTGCTTCTGTACATCAATTCAAAATATTGTTTATCCTGGTTTTAATAAAAATGCATACATACGTAAATGCTATTCTTAAATTAGGGCAAGTATGTACTTTATTTGACTTAGGTAATTAAATTTCAGATACATATCAACGAACCGTTTGTTATTACTAATATTTGTTTTATGTGTGTGTATACAACTCCCGAGTCAGGATAACCGTTCAGCATGATAACCACTTATCGAATCGAGTTTAAATTTTGCACATGCTAATATGTAAATATGCACAAAGTTAAGAACTTAACTTGTGAAACTGGATTGGTTTACATGAGTGAACCTCAAATATTATTTTACAAAATATTTATTTTCTACTTTTGGCACTTATATATCACATATTTAAAATTTAAGTTACTATAATTTAAATCACAGGGAAGAGTTTGTTAGTCGTATTCTGTTGAGGTACAATATACGTCTGTTTATGGACAACCTGGGCCGTCAAACCAATTACAAATCTGCATATCAGGAAAGTAAACGGTTCCTTCGGGGCAGTGATAGGTGACGACGTCGTACTCGCCCCCTCCGATTGGGACGCACATGTGGTAGATGCGACAATTCGTTGGGTTCGGCACGAGCCCTGGAGCCGTGCAGAGACCGTCTGGTGGGGGACTTGGGCGTGGCGTGGTTACAGTGGTCTGTAGAATTGGAATAATTATAAATATGCACTGGTTGTACATATATATTTATGCCAGTTTGCCTTTTAATTAGTTAATTAATTAATTAGCCAATTAACTTACCGGTGCCGTGGGGTCGGTCGTGGTTGGTGGTGGTGTCGGAATATCACCCCCGATAAGCCCTCGCCTCGCAGTTTTCAAGAGAGGAAATGCCTCTGAGCTGTACAGTCCGTGGAAGTCGTCGGTTTCAATGCTCCAAAACATGCCACCTCCGAGGCCCTTGTCCAAGACGTAGGAAACCTACAAGTACCAGAATCGTAAAATCGTAAAATCTTTAGAAATATGAATATGCATTGAATTTTGAAACTCACTCGACCATTGATACTTTCAACGTCATCATAACTGATCCATTTTCTTTGATTGAAGGCGTAGGGTGCGGCGACAAACTCGTTTCGTACAATCGTCCATTGTCCCGGTTCCTGGGCGAATTTCTCCAAAACCTGGACAAATAATGTTGAATTTAGTATAATCTAGCACACTTTGATTTCATGCATTTAATAGAATTAATTACTTACCTCATTAAAACCCCAAATACCTGTGATTAAATAGATTTGCATGAAGTTTAGCTTGTTAAAAAGGTTCATTATTTGAATAAATTACCTGGCTCTCTGGTATAAGGGCCAGCCTCGATTGGTTGATTTGCAGGGGCATAGAACCCATTTTCGCTAGCGTCGTTCAACGTCCACCCACGCCCGTAAGTTCCCATTCCCAAAATCAGTTTCTCTGGAGGACACCCCCTCGTGATCCAGTGATCAATCGCACTTTTCTGCAAAATGACAAAATATTAATTAATTTCGAACTGGATATCGTTATTGTGCGTAATATGCAAATAATAATTACAGCATTGAGCCAAGTATTGTTTCCAGTGTCGACTTCTGGGATTGCGTCCATGGGAGAGTTGTGATGCGTGTAAGATTCCCAGCCCTATGAAATAATGACCATAAAATTAAAATTTTGGTAACATCTTATCTAAATGTTTTGTCAAAAATTTCGTATTTTTTTACCCCGTGAAAGTCATAAGTCATAACGTTGATAAAGTGCAGGGACCTGTGTGTTCATTATTTTGTTAGTCATTAAATTTCAATAGTCAATTATATAATCTTATATAATGCGTATTATTATTGACACGTTATCTTACGTACCTGGAGATTGATGGGACATCATAAGCCTTATCGATCGTGGGGATTCCAGCAGACACAGCAGCAGTCAAAAGCCAGCCACGAGTATCAAAGTCTGCTCGCATTTCTTCACACAAAAGGGCAAAGTTGGCCTAATGATTTATTAAAAAAATTGTAGGTGAAAAACCTAATAATTGTATGTACTATTGACGCTACGATTTTATTACCTTATCTTCTGGACGACCACCTCGATCAGCGGGATACTCCCAATCTTTAATGGAATTTTGATACAATTTTAACTCAGAAGTTTTAGGAATTCATAAATATGAGAAAATGTGTACTTACCGAGATCGAACCCGTCAAAATTATAGCGATCCAAGAATGGAGTAACGCTGTCGATGAAGCGTCTTCTAGAAGCTTGGGTCAAAGCCATGTCGGAGTATCGAATTGACCCCTCATTCCACCCTGTTAAAGTAAAAGTGTGTCAAACTGTATGTACTGTAAATATGCGATAAATATCGAGTGACACGAACTTACCTCCAATTGCAAGCAAAACTTTTAGGTTGGGATTGACTAGTTTGAAGTTCGTAAAGCGTCGCATAGCTCCACGTCCCCAGTTCTCTTCGAGGTCATTATAGTCTAGTGGAGTAAAAAAGAAATTGAAATATATAAACCATTGCAAAGAAATGTGGCATTAATTAAATGTAATTGAATGTAATTGAAAGGTACCGTCTAAGATTCTCAAAGTCCCATCTTGAGCAAGGCCAGCAAAACCGTAAATAAGATGCGTGCAAAGCATGGGGTCCATATGCTCGACGTCAAATTTTCCATCTCCTGGACGGTACTGGAGAAATTAATCAGTTTATTAGTACCTTTTCTTTATGCGGATAATTGATGTTTTTTTGTACTTACAACTGCCCATGATCCGTAGTAGCAGACCAATTTCTTAGGTTCTGTAAAAATACGAGTAAATATATGAAGTATTTCTTAAAAATATATTTGATTTAAATTTGAATACCTTGATTTGAAATAGAAACACCACATGTGACCCCGATAAGCGCAGCAGCTAATACCAATAGCTTAAACCCCTCCATTTTTGCTTATGTATGTATTATGACTTCCACCAAGCAGACCGACTATGTCTCTCTCGTACAGAATTACGCTTTCACCCTCCTTTTTATATGCGTTGCTGAAACGTTAAAACTGGATAAGCCCTCATCATCAATTATTTATTATTTCTCTTATCATGTCACTTGTATCGAGCAAAAACATGAATACATCAATATAATCAGATTGAAACTAAAAATGATTGATTGGTGGTTACATATCGAAAGTGGGAGCGTTGTGAAATTCCAACTTGATCGAAAACAATTTCATACGATACAGCGTTCGTGGTTCAAGTGGCTGGATTGAATCAAACATAACACCTGTCTAGGTCATGATTTTTGTACAGGGAATCACCGATTTGTCGAGTGATCAGTGTACAATCAATCAAAATTATGGTAACAACGTCAACAATTTAAGTAACAATTTGTACTCTTGTGTAACATTTTTTGATATGAGTGATTAGTCAATCGATGTAACCAACATCCGATGTACACATGTGTCAAAACTTGAGATGTCACGTATGTAATTGGAATTTACTGCAGCAATTATCGAATGTTATCATACACAGTAAATAAGAGTGGTAGTAGTAGCATAGCACTAATTTTAATGCATCGTATGAGATGGTTGAGTTCACCTGAGCCCAATTTAATCTGGTACAAACTAATAACAAGTAAAAGTGAGACAATTGAAATGCCATGTCGCATCATCACTTTTGTTTGACAAACGTCCAACATAACGCTCCTCTCTTTCACCATTCAAGCGTGAATGAAGGCGTACGAAATCGAGAACGAAGTTATTTCTGCTACATTTCTTTAAAGAAGATGCAGAAATTATTTTTTGTATAACATTTTACATGAATTACGAGGCTTTCTTCCTTGTTAAAGTAGGTATAAAGTGTGCAAATAAGTCACAATATATTTATAGGAACCTCTTCGACTACTACTGTTCATGCATGTTTAAGCTTAAAAAAAAGAATCGCATTATAGTTTGCAATAAGTCTGTATAAAATGACAAAACTAAACTGCCAAAATCTAAAATTAGTCAGTATCGCATCGATCAAGAATGTGTCAATAACTAAATATTTAACTCTGTTCTTATCAATCTCAGCCAGTTTAAAAATGGAAATATTCCCGTCCTGCATAGTTCTCAATGCAATCCTTGTGTTCCTTAGTCCCGTCGTGATGGGAAGAACGGATCTGAATTATTACGAAAATGCGAGAAATTCTGCCTCCTCGTGGGATAATAATTTGAGACGGGAAAGAAGCAATAATTTCAATGTAATAAATATTTAACAATATTTTCTCATATTTTTTCCCGATTTCTAAAATTTATTTGTCTATTTTCATAACACAGAGGTTGGACCAGCAGGAGGACCTGATATCTGAAGGGTCACATCGTTACGGTCAAATCAGACGAGGTGGACCACCTTCTTACCATCATGGGAGAAGAAATAATAATGCCCTGACTTCTTTCCTATTCGGTCTTGGCGCAGGGTCAGCGGCACTTTTTGGTGGGGCCATAGCCGCTGGGGTTGTCTCGACGGGATGAAAATTGCATTATTTTACTATTTGAATTTAGTTCTGATTTTATTTATTTATCCTGCATCTCATAACACCACATCATCATCAAATTCCCTATTTTACGTATAACAAAACGCATTCTACAAACTTTATTATTGGCATCGAACTACGAAATTAAGTTATTTTGCTTTCTAATAAACAAACAATGATAGTGACACAAAACTTCAATACTATACTTCCAATTTAATGACATGCATAATTATCAAGATTTATTGATCCCGTTACATCTCACTCTTATTTTCGGTGTAGCCCTTTTCTCGTCTAGTCTGAATGGAAGGCACTTTCTCACGGCACCAAACCACGTACGTTAAGGGATCCCGTTACAGCAGGTATTTCGTCACGTTGTTATGTGCCACCTTTATTGCGAGGTCCCGTTGATCTGGCTAAATTTAGCGTGATTGACAATGATTTTATGCTGGACGCTTAATGATTATTATGACGTTAAGGGAAGGGTAAGGTCAAGGCTTTTCCATGTCCAAGGCTCAGTTCATCGCAGAATTTCGTGGTATCATCACGATTTTTTTGCTGTCCTTATCATTATTTTGAAGAATCTGGAAAAATGCATAACACCCGATTTTTCATGGGTGTGTCCACCCTATTTCTGATTAATTTGTTAAGAATTTCTACAGTTTTGAGTGAAAGAAGTAATTCCAGCGGTGGGATGAATCAAGTCATTAATCAGAGCGTTTCGGATTCTGAGTCGGTGAATGTGCAGAACAATTTGGCATCTGCGGAGAATGAAGTCTCAGACGAGTCAGATGACAGCGAAGATTTTGAAGATGTCATCAACTCGCATGAAATGCACTCGAACGCCACAGAGTTTCAGTGTGTAAGTCAAGTCGATATTTGTCGTAATTATGTAATTGATTAATAATCAACTAATTAATAATTTACCTAATTTATTTATGTACATGTATATCGATAGGTGGAGGATTCCCTAGACAAAAATGGAGAAATTATGACCAGCGAGGTCGACATCTGCAAAGCCGTATCGCTCCAATGCCTTCACGACAGTTTGCAAACACTTTTGGAAGATCCAAACAAACAAGTTTCAGGACGAGGTGATTATACGATCCGTTTTAAAATTTATGCAAAATTTGTACTCCCAACATGACGAAGAACATTTTGCAATTTTTTTACCAGATTACGCCTGCATCCTACTTAATCTCTTACAAAGAAATACCGAGCACACCAACACCGTCACAAGTTTGGAGTCAGCCCTTAAAAAAACGGAAAACGAGTTGAACAAACTCACCAAAACTGTGGATTCTCACGACGCAAAATTCATCCCGATCGACAAACTAAACTATTTTGAACATTTGGACAAGATCAATTCCGATTTTGAAACGAATGCTGCCCAACGAGTCCAAAAACTGGAAGAACAAGTCACCAACCTCACCCAAGATATGACCGTAATGGAAATGCGACGCTCCAACGGGGAATCCCAAATTAAAAAGATGGTCCTCGAGAACCAGAAACATTTCGAAGAATTGTCCCAAAAATTAAACTCTTCCGTTGACAAGGAACAATCCCAATTCAACGCCTTTGAAGAATCTCTCCTCCAGTTGGAAAACATTGGAAACATGTGGTCTGAAATTTCCACCCACGTGGAACAATTGGAGTCACGCAGTTCAAAAACTGAGGTTGAAATGGTTTCGAAAATTCAAGAAATTTCTACAAACTTGACCATCCTTCGTGACCAAGTTGTTCACGAAACTGACCGCGTCATCAAGGCGGAGACCACTTTGAGACAAGACCTCCTCGAAACTATCTCCACTTCTAGCAAAACATTGGAGACTAATCTCACCCAAAAAATTGACGACTGTCAAGACACCTGTTTAAAATCGCATGCCACCCTCGCCCAGGAACTGGACCACCACACGGCACAAATTCACACCGAGATGGAAAACGCCACCCGAAGTATGAAAGAACTCTTACAAGTCCCCATCAAATCCTTGGACAGTCTTGAGGTCGACCTAAACTCGCTCATCGTGAGCGAAAAATCTCGCGCACAACGAGCCGAAGCCATCCTGGCGGAAACCCTGCTGAAACACACGGCCACCAATGTCGAACTCCAAGCCATGATTAACAACGAAGTACAACGCGCAACTCTGTCTGAAGACGGTTTACAGAACTTAATCAAAGAACAAAAATCCAAACTGGTCATTCTCTCGGACGACATGCGAGCTCAGATCAACATAGAATCCCTCCGAGCTAAAGGAACCGAGGCGCAGTTGTCCTCCATCATTACGAAAGAGATGGAGAAAACGACCAAGGGTCACACCGATGTGCAAGCCAGGATGGAAAAGTTGGCCTCTGTTTTAATCGAAGAGTCAAAAAGAGCCATGAATGCAGAGGAAGAGCTGGAAAGTAAAATAGCTGAAGAAATTTCACGCGCACAAACAACCGAATCCGGTCTGCTGGACAATATCAATGACGAGCTTAAACGAGCCTCAGAACGGGAGGACGTTTTGAAGGAAATGTCGGTCGGAAATGGGCACAAAATCAACCTCGCTGAAGAAAAGGTGGCAACTTTACAGAAAAATTTAGACAAACAGATCGAAAACTGTGATCAAGTCGTGAATGTGAATGTCAATTTGAACAATAACTTTGCAAAGATGATGTCCGACCATGTCACGTTGAAGGATCATCTTAACGCGAGAATGAACAACGAAACGGAACGTGCGGAACGAGTGGAGGGCGACATTTTAAAGGCGATAACTCAATTGGCCAACCAATCTGTGGAACTGGAGGGGAAAATTGTGGCAGAATTGACCACTCACACGGAGAAAGTCGAGACCGCCCTGCTTTCCCAGAGGAACTTGACTGAAGAACTGGGCCTCGGTTTCAATCAGGTGAAAGTGGACCATGCCCAAAATTATAGTCTGATCGTGGACAAGATGACGACGCTGGGGGAGGTCGTTGTACATCAATTGGACAAAGTTGCCTCTGCCACGGGAGAAGCTGGCAAAAATTTTACGGTACACTTGCTCACATTGGCGAGTGAGGTGGATGATAAGATTGACGCGTTAAGTAATCGGGTTAACGAGAGGTTTGTCTAATTAAAGATTGGAATTAATTAATTAAAATTGCTAATAATTTGTCATAATTTATATATTTTATTTCAGGTTTGAGAAATTGGAGTCGGAAATTTCAGAACTAAACGCTTTCAAAACTCCACCAAAACCAGTTCCAACTCAATCGAGTGGCGTTTTTAATCGGATTGTAGGATTTTTTGCGAGACGACCGAACAGTAGAAATGGTACGAAGACAATCAGGAGAAACCTCGTTAAGAAAAATAACAATCTCACGGTGACAAAGCAGAGGAAAAGCTCAGAACCGGAAGTGAAAGTTGACAAGGATAAGAAAGAAGGTGACCCAATCTCGACCCGGTTGAGAGTTGAGGACGTATTTTCTGAGGAAAAATATGATGACGAGCATACCACAGAAGAGGAATTGATAACTCAGTTAACTGACGGGATAAAGTTGAGGAGAAAAGGGGTCGGGAGTGGGAGACAGATTCCAATCATGATTCAAAGATCGAATTCAAAAATTAGAAATATTTATGGCTAAAAAACAGGATTTGTTACTTAACTAAGGTTGGAAATATACAGGTGCTCATGCAAATTCTAATTAAGTTCATGATGTAGATAAGAAATATCATTTTTCATGATAATTAAGACAATTAGTTATGATAATAATTGCTGTATGGTGCTTCCTGTTAGTGTTTATTATACATTGAGACCATTTTATACGTTATTTATTCATAGATTTCTCGCCGGTTTGGGTGCAAAATAAAACCTGATTTGTACCCAGTTGGCATTATTAAAACAAATTGATTGATTAAATACTACGCCCTCATTTAATTAAGATTGACCACTATTTGTCGAGACTCTAAACTGGAGCAGGATAACGGAATATGTCAGAGATGTTGAAAGCACCTTGAAAACAAAATACGCACATACATATATAAAATTCACAGAAATTTAACTCCAATTTCATGAAAAACAATTTCACCGTCACGATGAATCCATACGTCACCGGAAATTTGAATGATTTCAATGCAATCGGGTTCGTTTCAAGGTCCGATAGGAGAACGAGCACGTCCGCATTTTCTCGATAACCTGGACGGTCTCTCCTGTCGTAAATATAATCTGACAACTTCTCCATCTGTATCACGAGGACTTGGCCATCAAATAAAATAAGGGACTATTTAAATAAGTAGGTTACATATATTTACCTGCGACGCACTATTAGCTGTCAGTAAAATCATAACGATAAAAGCCGTCGAATAAACAGAGGACGAAATTCTAATTTGGGTGTCGACCGGATCAAGCACATCGAGCAGGGCGATCGTCAAATTTACTCCAGCGTTGCTGACAAAAAGAAGGATTTGAAATTGGACGATGGAATTAATGTTGGATACGAGGCTTTGAACGTTTCTTATGTACGTTCGTATCTGCAGATTTTTATTGGACAGATTTCAGCTTAATTGTTTAATAAAGTGACTGAAAAGTTAGCTCGTTCAAATACCTGATGAAATTCCAAGTCAGGATTCTCTTTTAAAAACTTGGCACAATTCTTCCCAATATCAAAGATCGCAAGGCACGCCATGTCGGGAAATATGATGACCACAAAGTGCGAAAATATGGACATGTAGCAAAACTGAATTGCTACAGAGAAGTAAATTAAGCCCGATATGAATTTGTTGACTTGGGCTTCAGTTCCAAAAATTGCGTCCTCAATGGCTTGTGCGAATTGGTCTAGAACTACGACATACTGATCCCCAGTGACGCCAAAGATTGCGAGGTAGGCCATAATTAGGGTGCCAATGAGGACAAGGGCTGTTTCCTACATATATAATTAAGGACATTAATTAATTTAGAATTTACACTTATGTATAAGAGCGCACCTTATAAACTACTGAATTCGCCTTCGTCCTTTTCGGCACGCGAAAGTGGTCATTATTATGACACACGTTGTACAGATTGGCTAATCCATCCCGTTTGAACCAAGTAATGTGGATATAGATTACAAATGCGAATGCGAACATGGAATTTGTCGCGATTGTGAAAAGTTCGGAGGGATTTTCCTGAATTTGACGTTCTCGCTGACCCATGCTCGTGGAAAAAAGATAAACAGCATTGAGGGTGGCATAGGCGTGAGCTATGGCACACATGGTCTGAGTATTAAAGAAATGCTGTATTAAATATTTTGGACTAATTAATGTATTTTAATCTAAAATGCTGCACCTTTTGACACAAGTTTGTCCTATTCACCATGATCGAGTTGTCGTCATTGATAAGTTTCAACTCTGTTTTGTAAGGGCTCAAGAGTAAGTAGTATGTAATTCGAGAATACGCGTGATAGTATAAGAACGCCGACGTTTTGCAAGAAAGACGATTAGTACGGTTGATTGGCGTGACTTTGTGGTTTTTCAGATTTGGTCGGGCAATAATGAAAAGTTTGGTTGCATTTGCATCCATTATTGCAAAATTTAAATTGACCTAGAATTCCGAATTCTATAAAAGTGAAAGCACGAGAATTCGAAAATTCTAGAAAAGAGAAAGCACGACAATTACAAATTATAGAAAAGAGAAAGCACGACAATTACAAATTATAGAAAAGAGAAAGCACAACAATTGGAAAATTCTATAAAAAGGAGAAAGCACGACAATGTATTTATTAGCTGCTGGACTTCCTTAATTGTGAATGAAGTTTTATGAACTTTCGTCCATCCCACATTGCAAACATTTGATTAGATGGATCAATATTCTTTTTATTTCATTAACAAAAGGGTACACGTAATCTACTTAATTATTTCCGATATGATTAAATTGTATGCATTAAACTAATTGCTATATACAAGCATTTTGCCGGTCATTGAATCTTGAAGACGAATTTGGTCTATGTATTATCGGCCTTGAATGCTGACTCATGTCTGCGAAATACTTTTGGATTTATGACGAATTATGCCCTCTGAACTATGTATGGAGTGAATATACGCAAGCATGCTCACTTTATCGAAGCATGAGTGATTGATATACATGTGATATAAGTTTTTGGCTGGGAAATTAATTTATGCATATTCAAATTTAGTCAGTAGTATTCTACTTATCTTGATCAAATATGTATGTAGTTCAATCCCACTGCAGTTAACATGTGAGCGTGTGAGCATGCCGTGTTGTACGAATAAGTACAATGTTCAAGTCTCAATGTGCACGAGTATATTTTACTATGTTGCAACGCATGTTATCTCATGTTATCTCATCCGATACTAATTTAGCAGTATGAAATTTAGGTGCGATGTACATAATTGTAAACAGTGTGGAACATCCTGTCCTCCGCCGTGCATCAATTAGCTCTAGGAAGATTAATTAATTTCTGAAAAAAAATGCTCAAGAAAACGGGAACGGTTCCCTTCCTCCTAGGTCCAGGATTAGGCCTGGCAATCTTCCCGTTTTTAACCGTGGTTATAATTCTAAACGAAATTGTGCGTTTCTTGCTCGCACAATTACTCCGTCTTGTCTATGGTGACAAGCTGGAGCTAGTTTCTGAAGGGGCAGACGGTTTTTGGGGGTATAAAAAGAATGGGTGCTCGAGAAATGTGGTCACTTATGTCGTAACGCCGACAGGATGTCTCGATCGGGACAAGATTGTCAACTTTTACAGGTAAAGAATATTTTGTTTTTCGAGTGAATATCCGTCTAATTGATGTTCTCGAGTAGAGAAAGTATTCAAAACTATCGCGACGAGAAGGATGGCACGCGACCATACAAAAAATTTGAGAAAGTCATGACCACCTCGTTTGGCTACGTCTGTTGGAAAAGGGCTGGTCGCTTCAACGTTAATGAGCACGTTCGAGTCCTCAATGAGGAGAAAGTGTTCAGCTCGGGAGATTTGCAGGAACTGCTGACTGAAGATTTTTCCAAAGACATGGATGAAACTAGGCCACAGTGGGAAATTGTGCTATTTCCGAGATATGATGGTAACAAATAGGTTTTAAAATCTTCAATTTTAAGATCAACATGTGACCCGTTTACATTTTCAGATGGATCCGGCGAGGAGAAATCGATTCTCCTTTGTCGTTTTCTCCACGCTTACATGGACGGACTTTCTTTCATGATGTTGTTCAAGGAACACATAACTCCCGACATGGTTGGTTGGTCACTGCACGTTTAAAGAACATTGTTCCAAATTTACAATGGATGTCTCCAATTTTTACCAAACTAGTGTCAATCGATCACAAATTTAAATAGTATGAAATTTGTAAAAGGCACGATCTCTCAATGGGCACGTTTGGCAGATATATTTGCATAAGATGTGGAAAAAATTCGCAGTGGAAAGTGTAAAATTTTTCAACTTTAAGTCGCGGTTTCTCCTCTTCGGATGCAAATATTTCTGCCAAACCTTCCCCATTGGCAGATCGTGTCTCTCGCAAATTTAATATTAATTAAATTTGTGATCGATCGACACCAGTTTGGTTAAAATCTGAGAGCATACGTTGGGAGACCTCCATTATGAGATAGAATTTATATCTTGCAGGAATACACCATCGATCCCCTCAGCTTCAGAATCCCTCTCTGGAAAAAAGCCCTCTTTTACCTCAACACCTTCATCTACGGTCCATTCTTCTTAACGACGATGACCCTGGAACGGTTCTTCATCAAACCGTGGGTCCTCCGAGATACGGACAGACCTCGGAAAAAGTTTTACACATGGGCAAAGTCAAGACCCATCAGTGACGGAACTATTCGAAAAATCAGGATGCATTCTAACCTCAAGGCTTCCGTTACGAACGTCTTGTCCGTCGCATTTGTCACCGCGGCAGCTAAAACGCTATCCCCGGAGAGGTTAGTCGACGAAATGCTGATAAGTGAGCTCGTGGCTTATCTTCCGTATAAAGATTCCAAACCACAAAACCGTTTCGCGTATTTTACCTTTCCCATCCCCACGGTGGGAGGGGACGACGTTTACAAAAAGTTGAGAAACTGCAAGAGAGAAAGTTTCAAAAGTATGGTGGGCCCCGACGTGCTTGGAACGTATTTCTTTTTTAAATTGGTAAGTACCATTTGTATGGAGTTCAGAATTTATGTAAAGTTTTGCCTTAATAAATATTTAGGCAGGACGATTCCCTGCGTTCTTGTCCCCATTGTGGCTGACACATGCGACGAGTTCCGTCCTCTTGAGTAATGCACCCTTCTCGAAGAGAAAAGTTTGCTTTCGGGATGGAACACCGATCTTAGAAATGGCTGGATTTACACCGCAGCCGAACGACATGGGTAATTAAGATGTTATCTGTTAAGAGATGTAGGACTCGATGACTTATCATCAAAATCGTCAACATCAAGAGGTTTTTTTATAATTTCTCGGTTCTGGGAATTTATTTTAAAATTCTGGAAATCTGTCGGAGAGGTTTCTAACCCAGCGTCGACGAGTTCCAATTTTTCTGAACGCTTCTTAAAATTGAGATCTCCTTCAAAAACTTTCAAAATCTGCAGTATATATTTTTCAGATTGGCAACCTTGCTCTACAAATTTGTCGTCCATAATTTTAAAATAAATTCCCAGAACTGAGAATTGTGCTGACTTTGACGATTTTGGCGATGAGTCCTACGTGAATAAATAATTTTTTGCATGATGCCTATATTTTTTATGGATTATGACAGGATTATCCGTTACAACGACGCGATATGGGGACGAAGTGAAAGTTTTTGCGTGTGCAGATTCCACATGGCTTTCGCAAGAAGAGTTGATCTCGTTAATTGATCAAATTCCTATCGAAATTGAAAACATGTCCAGAGCGATTGACACTCAGAACGGTACCGTCAGTCCGAATGTAGAGAAAGACTCAAATTTCAGACGATCCCTCCAAGAAGGAGACGATAGCGAGGACGAAATTGAAAATAATGAAGATAACGTTCATCTTGACGATAACGTGGAAAAGCGCATTTCGATAAGCGAGACGGAAACGTTGCCTGTGTTTCGTTCTCGCTGATGGGGAAATTGAGACGACATTTTTTTTTGGAGAGTAGGTAATAAAAATCCAAGTACTGTAAACATCTATAAAGGTCTCTCTTATTTTCCTTTATTACATATCATATTTACATTCATTGGTCAATAACAGCTTTGTTATTTAGTAACATGACACCATCATAAATGCAGCCAAGGCACAAATCCTTGTCTCAAAAATCAGCCACTTTAGGTACGTTTATCTGTCATTCATACAAATCATAATCTTAGAATGGCAAAGCTGGATGTTTGAATACGTTGTAAAATGAGAAGGCTAATAATACCATGCATTTTTCCATATTCTAATCTTAAATATGTGAATAAATAGAAACTCATAAAAACCAAAGCTTCTTTCTTATCGGATGGCTAAAGCAATAAAAATTTAGACGGTGTAAAATCCCCTCATATTTTCTTTCCAGTTAGGAAAATGGCTAAGCCAGAATTTATGTATGCAGTTATCAAAATTCACAGATTGGTATCTGACCTGCTGCATTAATTCACTATCGAGTAAATTGTTTGTGTGGATGGATTGGTGAATGTCGACAGGTAGGAATTCTGTAAATATGTATGCAAATTGCCGTTTTCAGTTTTGAGGACCTTGAAATATTTTGCATTCGAGCAGATTTGCAGATATTTTAAGCAGAATTACCCTGCTCTATTTTAAGGATGGGTGGTCCACGCCATAAATCAAATAGATTATCATCATCAATCGTCACTGTTTTTGCATCACGGTTAAATTTAAATTCAAATTGTATAAGACAAATGTATCATGACCTGGACGAATGTTTTGTTGGGGGATGAGCCACTAAATATTTTTAATGGTTAACAACAATGAATTTGCCCTTATCTTATTTTTGATAAGCTACACTAAACAATTACAGATCAATCAGGGGAGGATGACATTTTTGATAATTTTTGATTAAATCAGTCCCGTGCGCTACTGACTTACTCTCCACGCCCCACTCGTATATAAATGGGACTGCATTTGTGTCCCTCATATCCAAACACGTTTGGTGTATCCAGCCAAAAAACATAATGCATCTCCGGTGTGTCGCCATTGTCGCGATCGTGCTGTGGGTGGGGCTCTCAGAGTCCGGGACACCCTGTAACTCTCGCCGGTTTAATCATGACAGCGTTGTCTGCGTGTGTGACGAAAATTTCTGCGACACGTTGGACCCCATCGAACCCACGGCGCGAGGACTGCTCAACGTTTATGAGAGTGACCGTGCCGGAAAAAGGTTGGAGAAGAGGGAGGTCCAGTTCGGAAACGATTTGCCCGGACCGATTTTCTGGAATGTGAACTTAGAACGGACGGAGAGGTATTTAGATTTTTATGGAATTTGGGTGAGGAATCGAAATATTTCAATTTTTGTATAGATTTCAGGAAATTATTGGATTTGGAGGATCGTGGTCCGATGCTGCTGCAATTGTACGTATTTTTTTAAGTTCGAAATTCTTGGTAATAATTACATATTTTCATGTTCTTCTGCTTATTTAGGGTCTTGATCGTTTAAGTCCCGACTTGAGGACGAAGGTGTTAAGGTCATACTACTCCACGGAGGGTATTGAATACTCCACTGCCCGAGTGGTGATCAGTGGTTGTGACTTTTCCAACCGACCGTACACTTACGATGATGTCACTAACGATTGGGAGTTGAATAATTGGAGTCTTGTTGAAGAGGATGTGAACATGAAGGTATGAGATCTAATTTGTGTTGAAAATTATTATTAATTAATATGCTGTACAGATTCCACAAATGCATGAAGCCGTTCGTCACGCCGGAAAGCCCATAAAATTCATGGGGTCTTCTTGGTCTCCTCCCGCCTGGATGAAAAACAATGGAGAATTGAACCATGGTGGACAATTGATTGGAAATGCGGGCAGTTATGAGTGGAAACAATATGCGCGTTACCTTCTCAAGTGAGTACAGATATTTACATAAAAAGGTTAAGTTTTACGCATACCTAACTAAATTCTGGTATTCTCCCAGATTTTTCCAAGCGTACCGAGCTGCAGGTATCGACTTTTGGGGAATGACCGTACAGAACGAACCTATGACCGGATGGGACCCCTGGTTCCCCTGGAACACGTGCGGATTCAATGCTGAAATGGAACGAGACTTTGCCAAGCTGGATCTCGGCCCAATCATGGAAGAAGGTGGCTTTGCCCCCGGTAACTTCAGCATCATGGTGCTCGATCACAACCGACCTCTCGCTCTGGACTGGGCGATAACCGTCTTTTCTGACGCCGAGGCATCCCGATACGTCGCCGGGCTCGCGGTGCACTGGTATTTCTACGGGACCGCGGGACCCTACCAAGTTTACGACAATATCCACACCAGATTCCCCGACAAATTCATTTTAGGCACGGAGGCCTGCAATCGTAATGAAATCGATGGTGACCACATTGGTCTCGGTTTATGGTACTTGGCGGAAGACTACGCCCACGACATTCTGCTCAACCTTCTCCACTGGGTGGGAGGATGGACCGACTGGAATTTGGTTCTGGATGATGAAGGTGGTCCAAACTGGGTGGGAAATACGCATTCCGCCCCCATCATTGTGAACCCTGGAGCTGGCGAATTTTACAAGAATACGCAGTTCTATGCGATGGCTCACTTTTCCAAGTTTTTGCCCCCAGGGTCCATTCGTATCGGAGCTTCGCCCGGTGTAGAGGTAAATTTACATAATTTTATTAATCCTGATGACAAAATATATCATTCTTTTCATCATCTTAGGAGGAAGGTACCGTCGAACTGGGTGCATTTGAACGTCCCGACGGCGGCACGGTCATCATCGTCATCAATTCTTCCGACATGGAGCAATACTTTAACCTTAACGATGCAGACTTGGGTGTGGTCAAAGTCAAAGTTGATCCTCACGCTTTTTCCACGTGGGTTTATTATCGCTAAAATGAACTCTGAAAATTATACACGTGCATAAACGCTTTGTTAATAAAAATCAAGTGCAGTTTCCTTATCGAGAAACAAACACTTCTTGAGACTTGTTTGTTATCTCGTTCTCATAAAATTATTCAGCCAGCCAAAATCCAGCCACATTTATGCATCGTCTGGAGAAGAATTCGAGGAAGAATTGCACTCCTCTTGCATTGCATTTCACAATAATCTATATCTGCATAAAATAGCCTTCGCATCACCCCAGCCAAGCCAATCTCACCATCCTCAGCAGCATACCACACCTAACAACTACATAACTACAAGAGAGCAGCAGAAAAGGCCTTGTGCACACATACAGAAATTCATTATACATCCATTCTCTCCGTATACTCATGGGTTTCACAAGAGCAAAGTGGATCTGTTTAATGACACGTAGCACAGTAAAAGTCTGTCTCCTAACTGCCTCCTCCACCAAAAATCTATAACGAATTAAGTAAGGGACGTTCGTTCACCTCTCGCAAGAAAGAAATTGAGAGTATTCAAATCCATGCATGCAAAAATTTCCAGAATTCCCAAAATTCCTGTCCGTCCAAATTTCATTTTCATAATAATTTCTTAAGCATTTCTACTTTTAAAACAGCATCGTTCCATTATACGCATTTAACCCTTTTTCACTTCATCTCTCTGGCTACTGCTACCCCTGTTGCTTTGTAAACGCCATTATTCCTGCAGCTCCCACGAAGTAAACCTGCAATTCTCTTATTACAGGGCAAGCTTACATACAGTAGGAGAGTAAGTAAATCCGTATAAAATTCATTCATTTGCCTGTACTGGCAAAGTTCTCTCTCTCTCTCTTGAACTTAGCAACTTTCCTCTAACCAAGAGTTGCGTATGTATATTCCCAATGCAATGCAATGTACTTGTTTGTTATAAAGGTGGCTCAGAGAGACTCGACTATTAGGTTTGGTGTGATATGATAGTAAGCATAGGAAATAAGAGAGCACCACCAAAGCAAAAAGTATAGTAGAACCATTGATGAGAGAGAGAAGAGGATATTACACTCTCTTCTTTATACACATACATATACACCACTTACTTATTATACGAGTCCTTATTACACAACAACCCCAAAAGTAAGGTCACCTACCTACCCAACTTATAATTAAAACTTTTTGGTAAAATTTTTTTTAAAAAACGAACCTATGTGCAATGGGAGTTGAGGAGGATTAAAAAATTATAATAATCGTCATCATCATCATAGTCAAACTATTGATCTATTTCTGCTACTGGAGGAGGAGGGGTAGGATGCACACGTAGTATACGCATAAACTATTTAACGAGGATTGAGCAATTGTGCGTCAGTAAGTTAAACGGTGGAGAAGATATAACTAAAGAATGAAACTACTTGTTTAACTTTACGGGTAGACTGTATTTTTTTGAGGGAATCGACATGTAGTCTGATAAAGATTTATTGAATTACTTTACGAGGTACTACGTATTTAGCGAATTTTTTGGCTGGTATAAGATTACCAATTAGTTAAGTAAAATAGGGGAGAAGAGAGATTAAGAGGAAAAGAAATGTACAAATAAGATAGAAAATATAACTGTTGTTTGCCCACACCACTTCTTTTACTGACTTACTTATTACTTACTCTGCTAGCTATAAAGAGATTGCATTTAAAGTTGTAAAAGCAAACCCGTTAAAAGCAGCCACATTTTGTATGTACCTTATTCTCTCACATACTTGGATACGAATACGTATACCTAAAAGTTGCTTAGTTTTTGGGCTTGTCACGTACGTTATCACTTAAACGATAAGAGCTCAACCTTTGGTTTAACACGCCTGGTTTGGTGTAATGAAATCGAGTACTTTTAATCATCATATACGAGACAGACGAAATCTACATTTCCAGCATATTTGATCAATCAGTTATCACTTTTGGTTCAGAATAAGAGTCGTGATTAAAAAACTTTGCTACGTATGTACCAACACATTTGCATTTGTTGAACATGATTTACACTAAATAATAAGAAGAAGAAAGTGATGAAATGACGTTGTAAAGTGTGTGTGGTGTGCATACCCAAAAATCGTACAGTAATGGTGTTCACTAATACATAATTAATTTAATGGGACAAAGTGCTGAAACATTGTTTAAACTCTTGGAATAAGAGTTGACCACGTAAAAACTTCCAAACTGGAAATGCCCGACGGAGTTAGAAATAACGGAATTGGTAAAAATTTGCTTTGGTATTTCTTGCCAAAAGTGCAATATTAATGAGTAAAATCTACTACAGATAACTCAATCTCAGTCAAGAACTTTCTCTCTGGTGGTGACGATGAAGAGGAAGAAGGCAATATACCCAGGATTATTACTAGCATGGATACAAATGGTGGTGTGATGACGCCGATATCGGGAGAAAATGATGTCGGGAAGATTAAGGGTAGGAATAATAAGTTGCCCTTAACTGCACCAAATAGTCTCAACTTGTTTGATCTCATAAAAACTGGAGCAATGGTAACTCAGAATTTCTGGAAAAGAAAGAGAGAATTATGCAGTTACATATGTAATAATTTACATATTTACGTATAAAGGTTGGCGAGAAGAACGGGAATTCCAGTCCGAAACTGCGACTTTCTTCCGGTCCTCGCGACTCTGACTACGTGATTTTAGTACTTAATCAAAAGCAACGGGAGGATGACGAGGTGAACATGCTGATCGACAGATTAAGAGAGAATGGTGTCACGTGCTTATTTATGAAGAATAATGGGACCAATAATAACACCACGACGGCCAAATGTGAGTCATAATTCATTGAATGATTGGTGATAAAATTCCTTAATACAATGATTAACTTGCAGCTCCTACACCTTCATCCCTCCTGATGCCCCCGCTTGACGAAGTGCCGGAAGTAGTTACCACCACCACGACGAGCAGCAGTAGTCCTACCAAATCTCCATTATTCCTCTCTTCTCCGGATAGAAAGTCTCCAGAAAAAGTACAAAATGGAAAGAGTTCTTGCGGTTGTCTGTGCAAGTGCAATGGTGGCGGCGTTTGTGTGAGTAGAACTTGTCTACAAATTAGCAGTAGTGGTGGCAGTGCAATTAGTGATAAGAAGGGAAATCTTGGTGTTCCTCCAAAGGTTTCCACGAATTCGAGTTCAAATCATTCACAAACTCTGAAAGAGACAATTTCCGTTCCTCCATTAATTCTCCGCCTACCAATCCCCGTCCTCAATATTACGCCCAAAGATTCTCAACCCGTATCAGAAAAATCAGTGGCGGAGAAAGTCAAGGAGGAGGAGGAGGTAAAGACGCTGGACGATGTCGAGGAGAAAGTTTTGCCTCCTCCGGAAGAAGTCGATCCTCCGACTTTGTCGTCGAATAAGAGAAAGCGGAAACGAAGAAGGAAATATCCATATGTGGTTCGAAAGCCTGTTAAAAAGCGAAGGGTCGCGTATGATGAGCTTAATGTTGAGAGTAGTAGTGCTCCAATTACGAGTGAACTTGATACTACCGAAATAGGAGGACTTTCTCCAGAACTTTCTCCAGCAGCAGAAGCAGAAGTCACTCTTATTACTCCCCCCATCGTTGCTTTCACATCTTCACCACCAACTACTCAAAAACCAAAACGTGTTCAAAATATAATCAAACCTAAAGCGAAACTTGGTCGGCCCCCGAAATCGAAATCGAAACCAAAACCTCGGCCTAAACATGTAAAGCTCACACCGGGACGAAAATCAAAATCTAAACTGAACGGACTTTCACCCTCTTCTTCTCTTCCAGTCATTCAATCACAACCACTCCTACTTTCATCCTCTTCTTCCTCGGACGATCCATACGTATTTATTCCCGACGAGTTTGACGATTTTGAACCCGTTCCGAAACTATTTTCGCCAAAAAGTGGGCGAAAAAATGGTCTCTGTTCGCCCAACAATGGCTTCGTCTCCGTGCCGTCCAGCTCGCCTACGATACTTTCAGTCCCACTTTCTTCATTGTCTCCAACTCGTCTCAATCAACCACTCATTAGTCCCTCTGCTCCTCCCACCATTCCCCCAAAAAAGGAAAAAGAGCCCCCAAAAATTGAGGTACCAATCGCATCTCCTCCTCCACCTCCCACCATTCCCGTAAAAAAGGAAAAAGAACCCCCAAAAATCGAGGCACCAATCGCCTCACCTCCACCTCCTCCTAAGGAAGAAAGCAGTAACCCCACCACCACCACGACCTCCTTGTCCTCCGAACTTAAAAAGAAGACCAAGCGAAAGAGAAAGAACGAGGTGTGTCAACTTTTACAGTGGGCAATTATTTCCCCGAGACCTTCCACCCCAAGATCTACTCTGATCACTGCTTTCCTTCCCAAGGAGTCGGCAACCAAGGATGCCACTAAAGACCAGTCATCACCATCAGCATCATTAACCAGCCCCTCAACTATTCCCCTCCCACCACCACCACCACCACCACCACCAATTTCTGATATTACTCCGCCGTCAAACGAGGAGAAGAAAAAAGGCGACAAGGAAACGTTTGTGCAATCAAGCACGAGTATTGCTCATGCAGCAGAGGACAGAGCCACGCAGCACAGAGACGACGACACCACTCCGCTCGCTCAATTACTGGAAAAAGATAAATTAAAAGAGGTTGTCCAAGAAGAAATTAAGGAGGATAAGGCAGTTGTTGATCTCGATAAGGACGGTGTGGTGCTTATCAATAACGACAGCATGCCACTCCCCTTCGTTCGAGTCCCCTGGGGAGGAAGGAGGGGTAAGGGGAAGGTGGTAAAGCGGAAGAGGAAGAAGCGATCTGAGCTGCATTACAAAAAGTCGAAAAAGTCAAAAATTTCTAATTCCAATAAATCCTGTGTTCAACATAAAGAGATCTCAAATTTACTACGAGAAAAAGAGGAGGTGAAAGCGGGTGAAAGTGGGAATGTGAATGAAAAAGGCCGAGTTCTTTCGCCGAAAAAATTGGGCAAGCCCTTATCAACTATGGATAAGGACCACACCCCGAACTTGAGGGAGGACGCTGAGAAGATTATAAAACTCGAGGATGTGGTTGATAACGACGCAGGAGTGATTACGAAATGTGAGTCAAGCATAAAAGGTAAGATTTATAGTTTAAATATTTTAATATGTGTTACATACATGTAGTATGTTACGTCGTGTTAAATATTGTTAAATATCTAATCGCTGCAATTTTAAAGAAATCTTCAGTTAGTCAGAATCAGGGTTGGTATCATTTTCGATAAGTAAAAAAAAAAAATAACCCATCGGAAACCAATATTTGTTCATTTTAAAGTCAATAGGATAATTTTTAACGATAATTAAACAACAGCGAACGTAACGACTCCAGAGTATTCTAAATTTGAGCTAGAAAATAATTTCTCATTTCATACTTTACATCACTATTAAATCCTTATTCTGCAGGTGAAAGCAGTGAGTCTGCCCCTCCTTCAACCGAGCTTCTTCCTACCGAGCTTCCTACCCCCATTCAGAAAATGTTACCCCCACCGACGAAAGTAGCAGTGGACGAGGTATGGAAGGTTCCCGCAGACCCCGTCCCGTCCACTTCTGGTGCTTCTACTACAGACTCCCCCCAAGTTCCCAACAACTTTCTCGACGCCATGCAACTCCGTCGCCCTTCGTTCTACTCTCTGATCGCGGGAAATGTTCGGAACAATATGGAAAACTTTTTGGATGGGCGACCTGCCTCCTCAACTTCCGGAGAAGGAGGGAACAGTGGGGCAAAAACGAAGCGGAAACGGAGACCCCGTCCCCGCAACGGGTTCCTCCTTCATCACGGCGACAACTTTCCTGAGGATCCCGAAGCTCCGTACAAACTCCACTTGGCGACACAAATCATTCTCAAGCTGAACAGGCGCCGGTCTAAATTTAAGCCGAAGGAGGACAAGGGAAAATCCCTCCTCTCCTATCTGAAGTTGGTGCCTAAGAGGGTTAGTCGGACGTCGAAAGCATCCGCCCCCGTCGCCATACCGGAAGACTCCATCACGGAAAACGTTCCGACCGAGGAGGAAATGAATGCTAGGATCACATCAGTTTTTTCGGGCGAGTGGGTGCAACCGAGGAACTACGTCTGTAATATTTGTGGCCATGTGGAGAAGGACTTTTGGGATATGGTTCACCACAAGGGGGAAATTCATCCAGGGATTGTCGTGACGCATGTCGAGTTACCAGACATGCCACCAGAAGGTATGTGGGAACATGTGTACTATAATTTTCATCAGTTTGTTATTAGAAAGTTCCCTAATTTTTGAAAATTATCCAGGGTTTCGCGTTCCTCCACCCATCCCATCAAGCGCGAGCGTCCCAACAACACCACCACCGTGTACAAAATGCTCTGCAACTTTTAGGTAAATGATCTAACTTTGCTTAGGTACATATTCAAGAAAATCATGGCTAATAATTTGTCAATTTTTAATTTTCAGCACTTATCCTGATCTCCACCTCCACATTTTCGAATGTGCTGGCAACACCACGTGGTTGAACGAACTTAAAGAAGAGACTCAGCCCCAGAGGAAGAAGAAGTCGAAACGGAAGCGTGGTTTCAACCGATTTAAACGGCGTCTCTCCAACACGCCGAGAAAGTGTAATCCGCGATTGAAGACGGAATCATCCGTGAGTTGTCATATTTTTTATTTATTAAATCATTGCTCAGTTAACTTACTTATTTTGCGCTCAAATTTATACTCAGCCCCACAAACGTCGAACCGTGGACGTGTTCAAGTGCGAATTTTGCACTCGAGAATTCAAGGTATTTCCAAATTCATATCCATCTTTCTACATCAATTTCATACCTAATTCCACTAATTTTTGTTAAAATAAATTTAGACTGAGGGCTGGCTTAAGAATCACCTAACAACTCACTCCTTACCAATTTCGATCCCGTTGGATAAGTTGAAACAGTCACTGCCACAACGTGCCTCCTCCACCATCGGACGTCGAAGCGTAGTTCAAAACCTACTGGCTAACGGAAATTTCAAAAATGTAAAAGATTAACCAATTCTCGATTTGTTAACTGGGCCCATTTCTTACTAAAAAGTAAACATGTTTAGTATCTGCGTATTTCGAAAAACTTATAACAAGTTCCGTCCGTCCCGTTAAATATTAAAAACTTCGAGTGTATGGACGTTACAAAATTTTTAAAAAATATTGAAAATTACCTCAAACAAAAATATGTACGTAACTTGGTTTCTTTCCGAGCTGTTCATTGTTCTTTATAAAAGTATGTAAACTTTATGATTATTAAAGGCAGCTCAGTTATTTATTGCTAAAAATATTGTGGTGTTAGAGTGGATCAGATTAATTAGTAATCACTGTCGTTGTTGCCACTATTTTCTAAATTGTTACATAATAACTTGTGTAAATTTTAATACGTATAAAAAAATGGAAACTGTGTGATTTCGTATTACGGGAAGGATAAAAGCATAAAAATATGTGTGTAGCCTGTTCATTTTGCTATGATTCGAGTCAACTAATTTATAGAATGTACTTTTAGTAACCGTGTAGTATTGAGAAATGTAGTGTGCATTTTTTTATTTTCTACCTATCCAATACGTAAATATATGTATTATATGTGTTGCGATTTATAAAGATGTCAAGAGAAAAATGTTCGAGAGAAATAAATCGGCCAAGAAAATATCTAAAATCTACAAAAACTTTCTGTTAAGAATTGCACGAATTTATTTGCATCATATTGAGGCAATTCACGCCCTCCTTCGTAACTACGTAAACAGCGTAAAATCCGTAAACTTACAAACGTTTACAAACTTTTACAAAAATTGCCAAGGAAAACCAGTTTACAAACTTTTGTAAACTTACGCAGCTCACAGGCGTCTTTTAATTTTGTAAAGTATTTTGTAAACTCAATTTGGGGAAGAAAAAAAATTGTTCGATGCAGAAACTTGGCAATATATGTTGCTAGTGACTCCTAATCAAAGAATACGAAGTGAAATTGGAAAATTTTTCAAGCAGAGGTACCCGAGGGGGTGACCCATACCGGACTTTCAAAATCATCCAATCGAGCTGAAATTTCGTATAGAAGCTGCTAAAGGCCCCTAATGGAAGAATATGAAGTGAAATCGGTAAAATTTTCACATCCGGGACCCGTTGGGGTGACCCATACCGATTTTCATAACTTGTCTCAAAAAGCTGAAATTCGGAACGGTGATACTTAATAGCTTCTCATCAAAGAATATGAAGTCAAAAATGAACAAAAAATAACCAGATGGACAATAAGGAAGGGGTACCCATACCGATTTCTAAGAAGTTATATATTCAGCTAAGATTTAGTGAGGAGTCGAAAAATAACTTAGGATTAGAATTTAGGAGGGTTGAAATTTTTATAGGAACAGCCTCCACTGTTCGTGGTATATATTATATCAATAAATGCAGCTCCACAAATTTCTTCCATTAATTTCCGTTTTCTGGAAATGATCAGCATTTTGTTTCAATTATCAGATAAATTTTTACGAAAATAATTGCAAAAGTGAATTCACGGGAAGCCGTTTGTAAACGTTTGTAAGTTTACGGATTTTACGCTGTTTACGTAGTTACCAAGGGTGCGTGAATACCCTCATTATTTTCGACATCAGTAATATACAAATCTTTTCTATTGGTTAGCACATTAAAATTGTTACAAAGTTCAAAATATTCTGTAATATTTGTTATTACTGGTTGTACTATCGGCATTTAGACGGGTTGTGGAAAACGTGATTCATTTGGCATAGTACACAAATCTTAGTAAAATGGTAATAATGACTTTTTAAAAATACATATAGGTATAAAAATTCCCGTATTTCTTTATATAATCTTTTGGTATAGATAATAGTTTGAGTCGTAATTATAATTAATTATTAATACTGAACTTACATATAATTTTACACATATTTAACAACACGTGGACACAAGACCGACTTTTAAAGTGATAAAATAATTATAGAAATAAATAATAATTATGTTCAAGTAATTTTCACAATCTTCAAGCAAACTTTATCGAGCAAGGTAGGCAGGAGTGGCAGGATGCGATTGATTTCATTCGGCTATCGAAAGAATTTCAGTCCGAAACGCTTCTTTGGTGTCATTGTCAGTGCCTATTTGGTAGGAAAATAAAATTGTAACGCTCATGCTGCAATATTTGGGAAAAGTTTGTGACTGGTAGTGAAAGATGGGGGAAGTGAAAGTATAATAAGTGAGACGCTTACGTACATGGAAATAAAAAGCAGATCAGGATAGAAAGACATTAAATCACAACGGATCACACAATGAAAGGAAAATTGTCATCGCAAGACCGACGAGGACATTTGGTGATAGATTTACGAGAGTTTCGGGGAGCTGTGGTGGAGTTGGAGAAAGCGTTATGCAGAGGAAAAGATTCTTGGCGAGTTGCAGTCACCGATGATAATTTTACAGTCATTCGTTGATTCCCAAATTGTGCAGGTTTTCTATTTTGTGTCTCATATTCAAACATAAGTAAATCAATGCTCACCGAATCTGACTTTTGTTTCCGATTCATTCTCTCATCAAAGGAGGGACCCGGTTGACGAAAAGGGTCGTCAGAGGAGGATGGAGTGGTAGTTGAAATTTGGGATGCATTTCTATTAACGTAACTCGAGTTTGGGGAGAGTGGTGTGCGTGAATCTAGTCCTGCTCTTGCAATTCTGCCACCTAATACCTGGAAATACAAATAGATATACAATTACATTTAAATAAGCCACAAGTACATAATAGATATAATAATATCGATCAATATTTACGTACAGTTCCACTAACAGACTTTTTTGGTGGGTCCAACGGAATTGTGAACGCATCAAATCCTTTGTTAGTTACAACGCTGGGTCCACTAACTGACTTTGGCATATTTTGACTACCCTTACCACGACCATTAGGTCGGAGTCCAGGTAAAGCTCGTAAAATATTTTCGTCTACTGGGGATGCGTCTCTAAATTCTTCGTTAGGATAACAGCTCCTCATGTGCATCGGCATCATTGTGTTTCTCCGTTGGATTTCGCGCATACGGTCCAACCCGTCTTCGTTCCCATATATAGAATTAACGTCGCTTGATCGATGTGATGAAATAGAGGAGAAAGTGTTGTCGCGAATATGAAAATCGAAAGGTTTCTTATCCATCATGACAAATTCCATGTCTTCTTCATCAGCACATGAGAAATATTTTCCAGCACCGTCAGGAACAGCTTTAGCTCGAGCGGAATTAGTAGAACCGTTTGACCGCACAGACATCATTGACACGGAAGACAGGCGACGATCCGCTGACGACGGTTGATGTGGTATAGAAGGAAATTCTGACTTGAAATTAATGGGTGGCAACGATGTGAAGGAGGAATCTCTGTCACGCTCAGACTCGAAAGAAGGGTTTACATAACCGTGATGGGAATCCATTTGGCTATGGTTGCGAGCCTTGTTTGATTGTAGTTTAGCCTTCAATATGTTCATTTCGGACCTTTCAGCATCCAATTCGTTTTTAAGTTGACGTATCCGTTGCTCCAAATTGTAAATTTTGTTGGTCAGTTCTAGATTAGCACTTCGTAACAAGGCTCTTTCTCTTTTAAGCGTCTCGATCTAATTCAAATCCATAAATTTTACCATTTTTAAGTACAGCATACAATTACTTATTATGACTGTGATTATATTTGTTAACTTACCATTTCCACGTTATTCTCAGACTGGATCGCATTTTCTCTCAACAATTCAATCTCCCTTTGCTTCTCAGCTAGTTTTAATTCCATTTTCTCCAATTCCCTGCTGGTTAAATCCGTCATGTGTTTTTTTAAATCTTCAAACTTCTTCGAGTATGAGCTCTTCACCTCGTTTCGAGTTTTAATAATATTCTCATCCATATCCCCCAGCAATTTGGTCAACTCCACCAATTTAACATCTGCCCTTTCCAACTTCGTGGCTTTCTCCTCGAGTAAATTAGACATCTCTTCTATTTTAATCCCAGCCGTTTTCAAACTTGAGGTCTTCTCGTCGAGCAAGTTGGAAATCTCGTCTATTTTGACCTCTGCCCTTTCCAACTTCGTGGCTTTCTCCTCGAGGAAATTAGACATCTCTTCTATTTTAATCCCAGCCGTTTTCAAACTTGAGGTCTTCTCGTCGAGCAAGTTGGAAATCTCGTCTATTTTGACCTCGGCCGATTTCAAACTGGTGGTCTTCTCGTCGAGCAAGTTGGAAATCTCGTCGTTTTTGACCTCGGCCCTATCCAACTTCGTGGCTTTCTCCTCGAGTAAATTAGACATCTCTTCTATTTTAATCCCAGCCGTTTTCAAACTTGAGGTCTTCTCGTCGAGCAAGTTGGAAATCCCGTCTATTTTGACCTCGGCCGATTTCAAACTGGTGGTCTTCTCGTCGAGCACGTTGGAAATCTCGTCTATTTTGACCTGTGCCCTTTCCAACTTCGTGGCTATCTCCTCGAGTAAATTAGACATCTCTTCTATTTTAATCCCAGCCGTTTTCAAACTTGAGGTCTTCTCGTCGAGCAAGTTGGAAATCTCGTCTATTTTCACCTCGGCCGATTTCAAACTGGTGGTCTTCTCGTCGAGCAAGTTGGAAATCTCGTTTATTTTGAACTCGGCCGATTTCAAACTTGAGGTCTTCTCGTCGAGCAAGTTGGAAATCTCGTCTATTTTGACCTCGGCCGATTTCAAACTTGAGGTCTTCTCGTCGAGCAAGTTGGAAATCTCGTCTATTTTGACCTCTGCCCTTTCCAACTTCGTGGCTTTCTCCTCGAGCAAGTTGAAAATCTCGTCTATTTTGACCTCGGCCGTTTTCAAACTTGAGGTCTTCTCGTCGAGCAAGTTGGAAATCTCGTCTATTTTGACCTCGGCCGATTTCAAACTGATGGTTTTCTGCTCGAGCAAGTTGGAAATCTCGTTTATTTTGACCTTGGCCGATTTCAAACTTGAGGTCTTCTCGTCGAGCAAGTTGGAAATCTCGTCTATTTTGACCTCTGCCCTTTCCAACTTCGTGGCTTTCTCCTCGAGCAAGTTGAAAATCTCGTCTATTTTGACCTCGGCCGTTTTCAAACTTGAGGTCTTCTCGTCGAGCAAGTTGGAAATCTCGTCTATTTTGACCTCGGCCGATTTCAAACTGGTGGTTTTCTGCTCGAGCAAGTTGGAAATCTCGTCTATTTTCACCTCGGCCGATTTCAAACTGGTGGTCTTCTCGTCGAGCAAGTTGGAAATCTCGTCGTTTTTGACCTGTGCCCTTTCCAACTTCGTGGCTTTCTCCTCGAGTAAATTAGACATCTCTTCTATTTTAATCCCAGCCGTTTTCAAACTTGAGGTCTTCTCGTCGAGCAAGTTGGAAATCTCGTCTATTTTCACCTCGGCCGATTTCAAACTTGAGGTCTTCTCGTCGAGCAAGTTGGAAATCTCTTCTATTTTGACCTCAGCCGTTTTCAAACTTGAGGTCTTCTCGTCGAGCAAGTTGGAAATCTCGTTTATTTTGAACTCGGCCGTTTTCAAACTTGAGGTCTTCTCGTCGAGCAAGTTGGAAATCTCGTCTATTTTGACCTCGGCCGTTTTCAAACTTGAGGTCTTCTCGTCGAGCAAGTTGGAAATCTCGTCTATTTTGACCTCTGCCCTTTCCAACTTCGTGGCTTTCTCCTCGAGGAAATTAGACATCTCTTCTATTTTAATCCCAGCCGTTTTCAAACTTGAGGTCTTCTCGTCGAGCAAGTTGGAAATCTCGTCTATTTTGACCTCGGCCGATTTCAAACTGGTGGTCTTCTCGTCGAGCAAGTTGGAAATCTCGTCGTTTTTGACCTCGGCCCTATCCAACTTCGTGGCTTTCTCCTCGAGTAAATTAGACATCTCTTCTATTTTAATCCCAGCCGTTTTCAAACTTGAGGTCTTCTCGTCGAGCAAGTTGGAAATCCCGTCTATTTTGACCTCGGCCGATTTCAAACTGGTGGTCTTCTCGTCGAGCACGTTGGAAATCTCGTCTATTTTGACCTGTGCCCTTTCCAACTTCGTGGCTATCTCCTCGAGTAAATTAGACATCTCTTCTATTTTAATCCCAGCCGTTTTCAAACTTGAGGTCTTCTCGTCGAGCAAGTTGGAAATCTCGTCTATTTTCACCTCGGCCGATTTCAAACTGGTGGTCTTCTCGTCGAGCAAGTTGGAAATCTCGTTTATTTTGAACTCGGCCGATTTCAAACTTGAGGTCTTCTCGTCGAGCAAGTTGGAAATCTCGTCTATTTTGACCTCGGCCGATTTCAAACTTGAGGTCTTCTCGTCGAGCAAGTTGGAAATCTCGTCTATTTTGACCTCTGCCCTTTCCAACTTCGTGGCTTTCTCCTCGAGCAAGTTGAAAATCTCGTCTATTTTCACCTCGGCCGATTTCAAACTGGTGGTCTTCTCGTCGAGCACGTTGGAAATCTCGTCTATTTTGACCTCTGCCGATTTCAAACTGGTGGTTTTCTGCTCGAGCAAGTTGGAAATCTCGTTTATTTTGACCTTGGCCGATTTCAAACTTGAGGTCTTCTCGTCGAGCAAGTTGGAAATCTCGTCTATTTTGACCTCGGCCGATTTCAAACTGGTGGTTTTCTGCTCGAGCAAGTTGGAAATCTCGTTTATTTTGACCTCGGCCGTTTTCAAACTTGAGGTCTTCTCGTCGAGCAAGTTGGAAATCTCGTCTATTTTGACCTCGGCCGATTTCAAACTGGTGGTTTTCTGCTCGAGCAAGTTGGAAATCTCGTTTATTTTGACCTTGGCCGATTTCAAACTTGAGGTCTTCTCGTCGAGCAAGTTGGAAATCTCGTCTATTTTGACCTCTGCCCTTTCCAACTTCGTGGCTTTCTCCTCGAGCAAGTTGAAAATCTCGTCTATTTTGACCTCGGCCGTTTTCAAACTTGAGGTCTTCTCGTCGAGCAAGTTGGAAATCTCGTCTATTTTGACCTCGGCCGATTTCAAACTGGTGGTTTTCTGCTCGAGCAAGTTGGAAATCTCGTCTATTTTGACCTCGGCCGATTTCAAACTGGTGGTCTTCTCGTCGAGCAAGTTGGAAATCTCGTCGTTTTTGACCTGTGCCCTTTCCAACTTCGTGGCTTTCTCCTCGAGTAAATTAGACATCTCTTCTATTTTAATCCCAGCCGTTTTCAAACTTGAGGTCTTCTCGTCGAGCAAGTTGGAAATCTCGTCTATTTTCACCTCGGCCGATTTCAAACTTGAGGTCTTCTCGTCGAGCAAGTTGGAAATCTCTTCTATTTTGACCTCGGCCGTTTTCAAACTTGAGGTCTTCTCGTCGAGCAAGTTGGAAATCTCGTTTATTTTGAACTCGGCCGTTTTCAAACTTGAGGTCTTCTCGTCGAGCAAGTTGGAAATCTCGTCTATTTTGACCTCGGCCGTTTTCAAACTTGAGGTCTTCTCGTCGAGCAAGTTGGAAATCTCGTCTATTTTGACCTCTGCCCTTTCCAACTTCGTGGCTTTCTCCTCGAGGAAATTAGACATCTCTTCTATTTTAATCCCAGCCGTTTTCAAACTTGAGGTCTTCTCGTCGAGCAAGTTGGAAATCTCGTCTATTTTGACCTCTGCCCTTTCCAACTTCGTGGCTTTCTCCTCGAGGAAATTAGACATCTCTTCTATTTTAATCCCAGCCGTTTTCAAACTTGAGGTCTTCTCGTCGAGCAAGTTGGAAATCTCGTCTATTTTGACCTCGGCCGATTTCAAACTGGTGGTTTTCTGCTCGAGCAAGTTGGAAATCTCGTTTATTTTGACCTTGGCCGATTTCAAACTTGAGGTCTTCTCGTCGAGCAAGTTGGAAATCTCGTCTATTTTGACCTCTGCCCTTTCCAACTTCGTGGCTTTCTCCTCGAGCAAGTTGGAAATCTCGTCTATTTTCACCTCGGCCGATTTCAAACTGGTGGTCTTCTCGTCGAGCAAGTTGGAAATCTCGTCTATTTTGACCTCTGCCCTTTCCAACTTCGTGGCTTTCTCCTCGAGGAAATTAGACATCTCTTCTATTTTAATCCCAGCCGTTTTCAAACTTGAGGTCTTCTCGTCGAGCAAGTTGGAAATCTCGTCTATTTTGACCTCGGCCGATTTCAAACTGGTGGTCTTCTCGTCGAGCACGTTGGAAATCTCATCTATTTTGACCTCTGCCCTTTCCAACTTCGTGGCTTTCTCCTCGAGCAAGTTGGAAATCTCGTCTATTTTGACCTCGGCCGATTTCAAACTGGTGGTCTTCTCGTCGAGCAAGTTGGAAATCTCGTCGTTTTTGACCTCGGCCCTATCCAACTTCGTGGCTTTCTCCTCGAGTAAATTAGACATCTCTTCTATTTTAATCCCAGCCGTTTTCAAACTTGAGGTCTTCTCGTCGTTTTCGTCGAGCAAGTTGGAAATCTCGTCTATTTTCACCTCGGCCGATTTCAAACTGGTGGTCTTCTCGTCGAGCACGTTGGAAATCTCGTCTATTTTGACCTCTGCCCTTTCCAACTTCGTGGCTTTCTCCTCGAGCAAGTTGGAAATCTCGTCTATTTTGACCTCGGCCGATTTCAAACTTGAGGTCTTCTCCTCGAGCAAGTTGGAAATCTCGTCTATTTTGACCTCGGCCGTTTTCAAACTTGAGGTCTTCTCGTCGAGCAAGTTGGAAATCTCATCTATTTTGACCTCTGCCCTTTCCAACTTCGTGGCTTTCTCCTCGACCAAGTTGGAAATCTCGTCTATTTTGACCTCGGCCGATTTCAAACTGGTGGTCTTCTCGTCGAGCAAGTTGGAAATCTCGTCGTTTTTGACCTCGGCCCTATCCAACTTCGTGGCTTTCTCCTCGAGTAAATTAGACATCTCTTCTATTTTAATCCCAGCCGTTTTCAAACTTGAGGTCTTCTCGTCGAGCAAGTTGGAAATCTCGTCTATTTTGACCTCGGCCGATTTCAAACTGGTGGTCTTCTCGTCGAGCAAGTTGGAAATCTCGTTTATTTTGAACTCGGCCGATTTCAAACTTGAGGTCTTCTCGTCGAGCAAGTTGGAAATCTCGTCTATTTTGACCTCGGCCGTTTTCAAACTTGAGGTCTTCTCGTCGAGCAAGTTGGAAATCTCGTCTATTTTGACCTCGGCCGATTTCAAACTTGAGGTCTTCTCGTCGAGCAAGTTGGAAATCTCGTCTATTTTGACCTCGGCCGATTTCAAACTTGCAGCTTTCTCATCTAGTAAATTAGACATCTCTTCTATTTTCATCTCGGTGGACAACAAAATCTGGTTCTTCACGAGGAGAGATTTTGACGCTTCCTCTAATTTGAGTTCGACATTCCCTAAGGTGTCACTTGTTGTTTGCAACAAATCAGTCTTCTCTTGCAATTTTATTTCTAACTCTTGCATGCACGCTTCTCTTTTTTTAGCTTTTGATTCCATAACTTCAAGTTTTTTCATTGTTTGTCCTAATGTGGTTTCAGTATCCTTAAGCGTTGTCTGTGTTTCTCTCAACTGAACTTCTATAACTGCTGAGGCCATATCTACAAATTAAAGGAATTAAATTAATTTCCGTTTCGTTAGAGAAAATATATTTTAAAAGTTTGACTATGAAAAATACCCTCGCAAGTACTGAGTCCTAATGATTTTGAGCAAACGGAAGTGTCAAAGCTGTCACAAATAGATAAACCCATGAGCCCATTGGCACCATAATGATTATCGCTTCCATTCATCTGTTGGCTGTCTCTGTGGATCAAGAAATAAAAAAAACAGGTATAAAATAAATTAAGGTATGTTTTAGCTTCAATTGCAAGTCATTTTGTAGCTCACTTGCAGTCTTCAATCTCCTGTGAAAGCTTCTTAATAATTTCATTTGTGTTATCAATTTGAGATCGTAAATTATTTTTCTCTATTTCGTCATTTTCCAACTCTTTGAGCATCTCTACTTCACGTAACGAGGCTTGCTGAAGATTTTCCTTCAACGTGGCAATATCTTCCTCCAACTTGAGAATTTTGTTGTTTCCTTCGTCAATCTTTGACTCCAAAACATCAACATAGTTTTCCGATACTTTCAATTTATCTTTTAAATTGTTAGCGAATTTTTTAGTCTTCTCGGGCGTTTCGCTACTACTGGGGCTTCCAATAGTGAATGTTTTGTTCAAATTAGACTTAACTCGCAAAGAATGATTTTCCTTTTCTAATTCGTCGCAACGTTGGGATAGCTTAGAGGACTCTTCTCGATATGAATTTATGTCATCCATTAGGTCCCGTTGGCAAGCGGTAAGAACTTCTATCCGGTTTCGAAGGTTGGATATTTCGTTATTTTTCTCCGACATTAGTAACCGATCGGATTCTAATACTGGTGACTGCAATACAAAAAATCAAATTATACATCGATACTTCGCATCGATACATTAAATACAACTTAAAATGTCAAAACACAACTTACGGAAAGAAAATCTCGCAGGGGAGATTTTTGAGGAGAATTCCAATCTTTCGAAGGAGAAAGGACGTAAATGTGAGGCGATTCAGCCACCGTAGTGTTGGTGGGAAATAATACTTTGGGAGCGGCATTTCTTGTCCTTCTGTTTGAACGGGAACTGTTGTTTTCTTTTTCTTCAAGATTTGCAATGAATCTGGAGTCGACCACTTTCCCATTGTCCAAAACGTACTCGAGGAACTTGGTCAACACGACTTGTGTATCAGTGTTGAGGTAGGTGGATGGGTTTTCCAGAAATAGCTTTTCTTCACTCTGGGATCAAATGTATTTTTAGTTGGATTTAAAGAACAAGAAGTACTTCACATTAATATATCTAGCCATACCTGAAGACTGCTGACACCAATTAAAACGGTTATAATTTTAAGTAGTTCATCCACATTGCTATCGTACGCATCTTCAAAATTTATCCAATCGGGGGGAGTATACGAATCTGTGGAACAAATTCACAAGTATATGATAAAAGTTTTAAATAATTCACATTATCTATCTTGTCCATTTAATATTTACCTTTCAATGAAATTTTTAGAATGTGAAAAATTTGTGCTTTGTTTTTTACGTCGACTGTTTTGTGAAATCTGTTCATACAATGAAAATAATGATCTCATATATACACACATTAAAATGTTTAGTTAATTAATTGATTAGCCTTACAAAATCTGCAAAACTTCACACAGAAATTTCCCATCTCCAAGTTCTTTAATAGCTTGCAAAGGGTTTTCAGTTAGGCGAAGTGAATTGACCTGCAATATAAGAATATGTATTAACATAATAAATATTGAATAGTGAATATGTATAATTTTAGGATAGAAAATTTAAATTACCCAATCCAAAGCAATATTTGGCCAATCCATCTCACAAACCGGAAGCAGTCTGGATATGTGGAACTTTCAAATACCTGCAATTACATCAATAAATTTAACAATCATCATCATTATTCATTACTTTTACTTGTATTTTATAGGTATTTCCCACATATAATTTTTAGTTATCCTTCGAATTTTGACATCTAAAAAGAAAACGTGAAACTACAAATCGCCAACACAACGGTCACGCCGGCATGTAAAACATGTACCCACTCTAATTAGCATAATAATTAACGAAATTGTTAACCTTCTTAAAATAAAAACGCACCTTTTCTCCTTCTTCCAGTCCAGCACGACGATTTTAGTTTAAAATTTTGATTGGAGAAGTGACTTCTCCAATCACCAGTTTTTTTAAAGTTAACTAAATATTTCAGGGTTTATGATTGATTAAAAAAACTTTAAACAGTTACGAGTCACTTTTCTTATAAAAACTGCATCTTCCAGGCTAATGTTCCATTTAAAAATAAATAATAATTAAATACTGAAGAGCACCTCCCTCCGTAAAGTAAATGCTGCTGCTGGAGAAAAGGTGTTCGTTGACTTGGGTTACTTTTTTCAACCGTCAACAACAAATCTGCACGCACTTTGTTGTCGGTGGCTGTTATTTTCATGCCGCATTTCATACTCTCAGCTCACCCGCCGCCTTCGTCGCAATGATAAAAACCTACAGTGTGCAGTGTTTATATAGCCCGAGTCAGGGACAGAGTCCTCTTCCAAATGTTTGTCAAGTGACCGGTACAAACCAACTACTAATAGTAGTTGGTACCGGTCATTATGGGGAAATTTTTGTCGATTGCGAATTATTCGCAATCGTCGCTGCAAAATTGCAGCTTCTTTAACCAATTCCAAAAACCCCACTGGGTCCTCCTGGCAAAAAAAATCTTAAAGTTTACTTTACATTTATTAAGCTAATCTAACCCTGCAGGACCACGCCAACTTTTAGTCGTCTACGCCCGTTTTCCAAACCAATGGGGGTGACCAGTGTGTGCAAAAAGTCAGCCTTGTTGCTATTTGTTCCTATTTGCCTATTTGCCTTTTTGCGTGCCTTTTTGAACTGTATAGAAAACGCAATGAATAGCTTTCACTTTAATTTTATTTCTTCTCATCTCGCCAATTCAAGTATGACCAATTTCTCGAATATCAGTTACCAATTTTTAAAATAGCTACTTTTAGAGGTCAAACATACCCTTAGAAACGGTATGGGTCACCCCCTAGGCTACTCTGGTTCCACTTTGTTCGCTTTTAACTTGATATACTTCCATACGAGACCATTAAGTATCACCATACCGAATTTCATCTTTTTAAGACAATTTATAAAAATCGGTATGGGCCACCCCCTAGGATCGCTCCACATAAAAATTTTACTAATTTAACTTCATATTATTTCATTAGGAGCTATTAGAAACGTCAATGGTAAATTTCAGCTCAATTAAATGATTTTCAAAAATCGATATGGGTCACCCCCTCGGGTCCCTCCAGATAAAAAATTTGACCAATTTCATTTAATGTTCTTCCTTAAACCCCATACGCAACCTATCTACCAAATTTCAACTCGATATGACGATTTTGACAAATCAGTATGGGTCACCCCCTAGGGTCTTTCAAAATAAAATTTTTTCCAACTTAAATTCATACTCTTTCATTAGACACCATTAGCAACCTCAGTGCCAAATTTCTGCCTTCTATGACAATTTTGAAATTTTGATGCATAATACCCCATCCACCTATATGACCCCCACTGGTCAACCACTTGACCGATTTCGCCCATCTTCGAACTTAACTCCTCATTTGCCCCATACTACATGTGTAGCAAATTTCAAGTCGATAGGATGAGTTTAACGAGAGTTATCGTAAGACGGACAGACGGACGGACGGACGGACGGACGGACGGACGGACATGATGGTTCCATAAGCCCTGACTCGGGCTAAAAAAAACTTGTAAAAAATTACTCAAAGTTTCAATGTTTTTAGCCCGAGTCAGGGCTTATGGAACCGTCATGTCCGTCCGTCCGTCCGTCCGTCCGTCTGTCCGGCACGATAGAGCCAAAACGGCTGAACCGAATGACTTGAAATTTTTACCATATGCATATTGGACAAAGTTAGGAAACGAGTTCGAAGATGGGCGAAATCGGTCAAGTGGTTGACCAGTGGGGGTCATCTAGGTGGGTGGGGTATTATGCATCAAGATTTCAAAATTGTCGTAGAAGGCTGAAATTGGGTAAAGAGGTTGCTAATGGCTCCTAATAGATAAAAATGACTTCAAGTTGGAAAAATTTTGATCTTGAGGGACCCTATGGGGTGACCCATACCGATTTTTCAAAATCGTCATAACAAGCTGAAATTTGGTAGAGAGGTTACTAATGGGTCTTAATAGAAGAATATGACATGAAATTGGTAAAATTCTTATCTGGAGCGACCCTATGGGGTGACCCATACCGATTTTTAGAAATTGTTTTAAAAAGATGAACTCGGGCACGGTGATAGTTAAAGCTTCGTATTAAATAATATGAAGTTAAAAGTGAGTAAATTGCAACCAGAGTAACCCTGGAGGCTGACCCATACCGTTTTTAAAACTTGCTATTTCCATCAGAAATTTGGTATGGAGGCCAAAAACCACTTCTGGATTTAGAAAATTAGTTCCTAACTGAAAATTTAGAAGCGGAGTCTGACTTATCGAGTCAGGGACTCTGTCCCTGACTCGGGCTATATAGAGTCTGCACTGTAGGTTTTTCAATTATGGACCAGATTTTGGAAATATAATGTAAAAAAAATATGCCGTCTTAAAATGTGTAAATAAATAAATAATTCCAGTTAGAATTTACTTGGCCGATATTTACTTGCGATAGTCTAAACTGTTACGAGATTGCTGCCACACTGTCATTTTGTAATTTTTGTTATTTTTTTTTGTATTTTGAACTATATTTGTACACATTTTAAGAAATATGTCACAATTTTTTGAAAATGAAAGACGATAATCTACAATTTTTCAATTAAATATTTTAAAATTGTTTAGTTTTTCGAGTTGGCGTTGAACTTTCTCATTATTTGATGTATCAATTTCAGCACTAAAAACGATATGCTATTGTAATGATAAGATGGCAATAAAATATGGATTTAATTCGCCAGAAAAAAATAAAGATTTGAAAAAAACACGAGTTTTATTATTCTGTATGTTTTATTTTAATGTACCACTTAACAAATAATTTTACGACTTGAAATTTGTTTAAAGCTAAATATATATTTATTAACATGAATAAAGGGATCTAATAAAGGGATTCTAATTTATAATAATTATTTTACTTAAATTTGGAAAACCTTCTTTCTTAATATTCAGCTCGAAAGTTAATCACAAGATTAGCATGTTGTTCTTAAAGTTACATCTTTTTGGCAACTGGTAATCTAATTTACTGTACAATATTTAATACAAGAAAGGGATATTTCATATAATACAATATAAAGGGCATTTGACCTAGTAAACAGCCATCTTATAGTGACCATCCTTTTATAATAAGTCTCTCCAAAAATATTTAACAAAATTCTTAAATTACTCCGGTTATAATTGATTTGACGATGATGAATTTAGAAATTGTGAGCTATTAAATGTATTAACATCAATTCCAGAGTCGAGACATTTAGATTCGAAATCTTTGTCTTTATCACCACCACCGCCGGCATGTGCGAGAAGGGGGGACGAGGGGAGGAGGAGGGGAGAACACGCCTTCAATATTATTTCCCAATCGTCCAATGTTCCCTTCAAAATACGGAGCACTTGGTCGGACGATGTTATGTCGAAAACGGTCTGACCACTCAGTCTGTCATCATCGGAGGAGGAGGAGGAATTATTAGTATTATCGCCACCGTTATTGTCCTCTTCTTCTTCATCAGTCTCTTTTCTCACGTGGTTTTCAACCATGGGGTCAGCCTAAGAAATTAGGAATTATTAGTCCAAGTTGATAATCAGGAGGAAGATAACATGTTAAAATCATGTATATGACACTTACCCCATAATGCATTAAGAGTGCACATAGCGTGGTAAAGCCGGAATGAGCTGCGGAATGGAGGGGGGTATCTCCCCTATAATTCTGAATATTGGTAAGGTCGGCGGCATCATTTCCAGCACTTTTGAGAATGATCATTGTACTAATAATGGACTCTTTGGTCTCCTTTTCGACCGCTGTGTGGAGTGGGGTGCGGCCAAATGTGCCCTCTTGTGCGGTCAGTGACGCCTTATGGGAGCAGAGAAGTTCCACCATTTCATTATTTCCGGAGGACACCGCCATCAGGAGGGGAGACATGGAGGCGTAATTGAACTTGTTGATAGCTACCGGGGCAGTGGGGGCTTGGAGGAGATATTTCACCGTGGAGATATCATTCGCCTTCACCGCGATGTGCAGTGGGGTCTCGCCCTCACAATTTTGAAGAGAAATGTCCGCATTATGACGGAGCAGTTCGGTCACAAAGTCACTCCTGTTGGACAGCACGGCCAGGTGGAGGGGGGTCAAGAGTTGGGCGTTCGGCTCGTTGATGACCGACGCCGTGTCCGGGAAGGCCGAAAGGGTTTGGAGAATTCGGAAAAAGGGTTCCTTCTGTTGATGAATTATGGCAGAGTGGAGAGCACTAAAAATTGAGAAAGTAAAATGAAAGTTAGAAATGCGTAATCAAACAAAATCTCACTTAACGTGCTAATTGAACTTGCTAATTTTTTAAAAAATGGGACTTACTTGTCTCCATGTTCATTCACGAGGCATAAAAGGTGTCTCAGTTTCTGAAGAACTTGACCAATATCTGAAGTCTCTGCCCAACCGTGGATTCCTTGACAAATGCTTAACGCCACACTCATCGCTAATGCTTTGGATTGGGAGGCATCCTCCGAACTCGACGCCATTGCGGAGGTATCACAAGGGAATGAAACTTCACGACTGGAGGAGGAAGCTCCTTGTCGAATGTTGGATGGTCCTGTAATCGTTAAAAAGAAACTGTTATTATTCACCCGAACAAACAACAACTTATTCAAAAAAGTTCCTACAACATATGTATCATCACGATTGAACATGATGCTTAAAAAGTAATAACCTTTAAAATTGATTGATAACCGAGCACCACCCGCACTATCTTATTTATCTCTCGAGTTTAATGACTTTAAGTACTTTATTGAATGGAATGTTTTTTTTCGTGTGGGAAATAATTTTCCGTAAAAAAATCCTCTTCTAAACTGCACAACTAATGATGTCAGTTAGTCAACAAGAATTTTCCATAAGTAAATTTCGAAAAAGGTATAACCTAGTCTCGAAAAAGTGAGACCATGTAACTGTACTCGCACTGGAGTAATATTCTCAACTAACAACTCGTTCTTTTCATCATTCTTGAACTAACTGATGAGTGTGTACGTATGTGTGTACGTATGTACGTATGTATCCCAGTTAAGATTCACTTAGTGGTTTGGTATTCCCCAAAAAACAACGCAGAAGGTCACATCTCACACCCCACATCATTCACTCACTACCAGAGTCGTTCGTACATATATTCACTGACTTAATATCATTATCATGACGCAGGAGTGCCCACGAAATTATGCGGCAACAAAGCATGGATAATATAATATTATATGAATCTGATCTCTCTCCAGTTTCAGTTTGTGTACATACACATTATGGTAAAATGAATGCCGAATTGTTTCCAGTTTTTCTTGCCACATTCGTGATGTGATGTAACGTAAATATGTATGTATGTCGCTCAATTTCGTAATTTTTTGACTGGATCAAGTCGTATCTATTTGGATCCTTACCAGCCAAGGGGTTATTCCTGTTATCCTCCACGCCTCCATAACTTCCGGCGTTTCCTGCACCACCACCACCACCACCACTTGCCCCATCACGATCCATACTGGGGTCGAATTGTCTCTGGTTGGGGTTATGATGATGATCTTGCTCGTTTCTTGATCTCGGCTGCCTTTTTGGCATTTTACGAACTGTTTCAAAACACGTAATCTGCATTTAGCGACACAAAGTTTCACACAAAGTTTTTTTTCTCGGAGGATGTTCGAGTTTTTTTGTCGAAAACTTTTTTTTCTAATAATTACTAATTATTAAGAGACAAACTGTTGTATGTAACTCTCACTATTTTCAACTGGTCGATATCTAAACGGAATTGGTTGGGATGTCGCACCGTCGCTCGGTCTTTCAAGTTGGATCCAAACGTCGGCTTCACTCTCGATATCCAAGTTTCGATAGGGTGGCGTTCTAGACCAGAAATGAAGCTGTGAGTTGATTTACAAGACCATTTATTAAGTATTTTATAACCACTCTGGGACGGTGGATGATGTTATATGTTGGGTGCAAATTCTCACCCACGTCCATACATATGTACATACGCGTACAATATGTAATAATGTGAATGTGGTGGGGAATACACAGCGCAGATATGAGTCCAATGTATCTCTGTATTTTCTCTTATCTGCGGGGAATACTATGAGGATAGTTTGTGCAAATGGAAATTTCGTGCTGGCAGAGAGTAGTAGAGAGAGAGGTTTTATTATTATTATTTCCAAGGGTTGATGAATAGCAAGGAAGAAAAGCAAGCAAAAGGGGATTCCTAAGTGCCAACAAGTTACATTCTATCCTCATCTCTAACATAACAATGCAACGCTTTACTTTTTACGTTATGGTCAATATCACAGTCACAGTAGCAGCAAGCAAAGTTCTTATTGGGTAACAGCACCGCATAAAAAATCCCACTTGACTGCTTCTCTTAATGCTAAAACTTATGTACGTGGATGTGGATCTCTATAAAGTAAAATTTTGCTTTATTCTACACGCTATTGCATAGGCTAAGGCTGTCATATCGTATTGTACAACAGAGATGCGGTCCTCTCGGTATTGCATTGTTGTTCGTATGCAACACAGTTTTAAGTAAGTTCCATGCAAAAAAAACCAGAGTTTGGATTTGGGAATGAGAACGAAACTAAACGATGGGGAATTTTACCTGCTATATGTTTGCATGTAATTTACTACTACATGTGTTATCTAGATAGCTTATTGCCTCAAGAGAACATGCTGTGCAGCTGAAAGTAAAGTTTTTTTGGCAATTAGAACAACTTGGGATTTTGCTCGATTTTGTGGCAAGATGATTGTAATGATTGCATTGTTGTCTGCATTATTAAGGAAAAAGGAGGAGGGTTTTTTGGTTCTGTTTTTTTTTATTTTCTTCTTAAAGGGCAACGAGAAGATTCTGTTGGTTGGATGAGCATTCAAAGTCTTTGATCGCTCTTTCACCTCCTGCCTGGTATTATCATCTTTAAGAATGTGTAATAATGTGGGTGATGAGAAAATGAGTACTTTTGTCCGGAAGGGGAATCCCCAAGAGGGGACAAGCTATGCGGCAAAACCGCTGAAAATTTCTATTTTTTCATACCAAATATGAGTTATGGATTTTAATTTTAGAAATCGCGCCATATCTTAAAAACCAAGGCTTATTTCGAAAAAGTCAATCAGTCGAGGGCACTAGCCGGGACCTTCCCCAATACGATCCCGTTTAGTTTAGGTTACCAAAATGTATCGTCTAGGCTGTAGCTCAGTGGAGAAATTGGTAGCCGAAATTGCAAAATTTTTCGGAAATTTGAACTTACCGCCTGTACCTAGCATTATTTCGAAAAAATTTTCGAGTAAATATTATAGATAATGCGGTTATGAACATATTTGCTATTACATACAACTTTGTGTTATGCACCCAATTCATTCAGCGAAACATTTATGATTTCGAAACCGAAAAATCGGTTTTTATTGAATTTCTTGAAAATGGTTCAAGATACCATGAATTAGAAAAAAGTCATTTTAAAACTTTTCGAGAGGCATCTAATGCACTTTACGGCATCTCTTTACGCCCAACCGTTTTTTTGTACGAGCCCCCGACATTTCCCATAAGAGTGCCTGACAACATACTATATGTTCCACATATAGCGCCAAATGTCTCAGGTTGCCCCGACATTTGAGCTTATGGTGGAAAAAATAGAAAAATACCCTAGGAAGTCCCCAGGTGTGACAACAATGAGTGTACCCTGTCACATCGGAATACATAAGAATTGAACCTTGGTTTCCCTATTTCATTTCATAATGGATGGATGTAGGGTGGAAATAAGAGATGTAGTGAAACCCATTTATTTATATAACTCGTTAAGCCGCATGTATTTACCTAACTTAAATGTGGGGAATACCGTTAATGGGTGTGTTATTTTGCAGCAGCAAACTCCAGATCTGATTACATAAGTAGATACATACATGCAACGAGTGTCATCATAATGTAGAGCGGTGTGTTGCATGCATGCGTGTGTGTGTGACAATAGCTTTTATTGTTGATTAAACAAACGGGACGGATGATGGAATTTGGTAATTTCAAGGATTAGATTAACTATAACTTAACTCCAATAATTACACGCATTGAGGTCTGGGATTTACCGAGTCGTCATTCAATGCCATAAAATAAAATTAATTCTAATCCAACCAATGCAATGCCACTTACTTTCCAACCCAACGTAGCAAATTTGCAATACTTTTTCCAATTAACCAACCTACAGTATCAACTACGTAAATAAATACCACCACTAAACTACTGCTTCTGCTTGACTAAATGATTTTGAAATGGAAAACAAAGTGCATCTAGGTGAGCATTTTGAGGTACTTTTCTTGTACTTTTTGCTTTGCTCAAAGTATTTATTTATCAGTGCATCCTTCACTTTTCTAAAAATTATAGTACGCGATAGTATTTATTACAACAACAAAAAAGGTGCATGCTAATACATAATTTGGGTAGTTATTTCCTGGGAAAGAAGAAGAAGAGAACCTAATTAGGCCATTCCATTCATTCCGGTTATTTCCCATTTATTCCGGATTGTGTAACAAATAATAATAAAAATAACGACGACACGTAATTTCTCGCAACTTTGTATCCCACTGCCGCCACCAGACCACATTTTGAAATTCTCGTAAATGTCGAACGAATCCCACAATAACAATAAAATCCCCCACTTACTTACTCATTCTTACTTCATTCATTAAAGTACTTTTGCGGTTTAACGTAATTTTTGGTTGGGGTTAACACTTGGGAATTTTTGTGGATCAGTCAAAATAAAACAAAGGAATAAAAAATAATGGTTATTTTTACTACGAAAAGTGGGAAATCCGTCCGTCTGTTTCTAAATGTGAAACAATTTCCTCGGGCAATTTATTTAATTCTGAACGAGTGCAGTTGTTCTTGAATTGAATAAATACTTATAAATGAATGAACTTGTTGTAACTTTTTTTCTTCTAAGCACACGTCGCTGTGCTGTTTCTTCTTCTTCTTCTTTTCGCTGCATTAATGACGTCCAAATAATTAATTGTCGAAACTAATGGCACATCACCCCCGGAGTGAGAGAGATAAAATTAGGCATCGTCATTTTCCACCTTATTTTATTTTTGCACTACTTTACGCAAGTCATCCATTTCTTATTCCTGTTTATGAAAATAACAAAGGCAGATGGACGGGAAATCCTCACACTTTGTAGAATCATCATCCACCACGTATACGGATTTATTTATACGTAATTCTGCCCCTGTTATGTAATACTAACGATTTAATAATGGCAGAAGCGGATTTAGATTTTCTTGGGTGATGATGAAAATGATGACAATTAGGATTTCTTTCTTGCATCATGCATTTAATTTTATGGGATGCAATAAAGATTCATACAAAGTACGTACGTTCATTGGACTTGGAATTTTTGTTATTTTATTTATAACCAAACCACCATACCATTCATTAAGGAGACGCATATGGTCATAAAATGTTTCATAAATAACAAAGTACATAAATTGGAGGAGGAACAACGGGATGATTTTTTTAACTTCTTCCTCCTCGTCGTGACGCTACTTGCCTTGGACTTTTTGATGGCTAAATATGAACGTCCACCAAGTGACATTGACCATGACCATGAATGACATGCAGTTTATTTAAATAAACTAAAATTACCAACATCTGCTGACATCCTAATAAGTAAGCAATGTGTAACTTGATGATAGGAACGGTACTTCCATAAAATGCAACGGACTTTACTACCAGGAATCGAATCATTCATTCAAACGTTATCAAATTTATGGTGTGTAAATCCCAAGAGTGCGGTGCTTTACATGAGGAGATGATGATGATGATGATGACGATGAGATGATGATAAATCTGCCCATTGTTTAATTGTCATAATTTTACAGGGCATGACACTCACTCCTGGGTAAGTAAATTGTTATATTATAACTGCACGAGTATGATGACCACGCCACGCCACGCAGTACATAAATGGATAACCAATCACTTTACCGAATTTGGTTTGTTTGTCTGCTACGTAATTCTTTTGTTGTATTATTTGTGTGGTATGGGTTGATTTGATTGATGTACATACGCTTTATCTGCACACTTCTTTTTGGTAGATATTTATGCATTTCAACGAAAAGTTGGTGCGGTTAGATCACTGGGAATTTTTGGGCCAAATGAAGTACATGTGTGTGACCCGCATTAATGAAATCGGACGGAAGTAAGTGTGTGTGTAAGGACTTTTGGAATTGGACTTTTGGAAAGACCAGACCAATTATTATTATACAATTGAGGTAATTTTATGTATGTACCCACTACTCACTCACAACAATAATATTACTTAGACAGACAAGCAACAAAATTTGCATTGACGCATTTTTTTAGTATGTATGTACGTACATACCGCAGTCATAACATTCATGCCATGCCACGAGTGAACAAAATGTTCTCGTTCTCGAATTGATGAAAACTGCTGCTATTTTTGTAATGCAAATACATAAGGTGTGATTTTTACGCTCTTTATTACTCGTTATGAATGTTAAGGTGTACATACATATCTTTCTCTCTTTGTGAGAAGGAAGCCAGTTAAATGCTCGTGGTTATATTATAATTACAAAGCTATCTGTGTTGTTATTAGCGCACATGATGTCGTGTGGGATGATTTTGTTGGATATGTATGTACATTGAGCCTTGCATGGTGCGACCTGACCATAAATATGCGAATAGAGACTGGCATGGCTGAGGAGGAGAGATGATAACTTATTTTATCTATCACGGCCGGGGAATTCCCTACCTGAAACTTACTTTTACATACTCTGCCACACTTAAATGGATGGAATGGATGGACAGCTTTATACATAATTTGCACTTCACCTTCGTCTCTCTCTCTCTTGTTATGGGCAGGTTTGAGCAAAAGTATGTACGGATGAAAAATCTATTATCTGATGATGTTATGTTATGAATTTCCCTGCATGGTATATGTAGCTAGTCGTCCCCACAGATAAATAATTCTTCTTATAACGCAGTACCAGATCCTCGGCCTCGTTTCATTTTAATTGCTCATCCGCCCGTAGATACATACTTTAACTAATTTAAGACACAATTTCTCCGTTCATTCATCTCATCTCGCATCTTGTGCTCATCTGCCGTAACGTCAAACGGAAGTTCTTGAGACACATAAAATAAAAGTAAGTCGTTGTAAAGAGGAGGAGGGGAATGTTCAGATTGAAGAGGGGATGATTTTATTCTGGCAAGAATTTTATTGTGTTGTTGAGATTGAGATGATGATTTTTTTCTTTAATTTTTATACTCGTATTTAACAGATTGGATTAAAGAAGGGCAGCCACATAAATAATAATGACAATGTTTTACATGCTAAAGGGGATGATTCCTCGTGTGATGTGAGTTATGTTATGTTGTTTAGATGCAATTCTGTAGAGGTAATGTTAATTTAGAAATCTGGAGAGAGCTTCTCGCTTGTAAGTCATGCATCGTAGTTGTCTGTCAGTCAGAAATGGTAGAATTTGTGGTGGTGGTGGGGCATGGTTAGTGATGAAATATGATGATATCGATGCACAGCATACTTATCCTTAGTTAGAGTTTGGGGATTGGGAAAGCTGGGGATTTTTGGCTATTAATTTAGACTTTTAGAAATCCATCATCGGATATTGCACTCTTCCACACGTGCATATCATTACATGAAAGTTGGTATTATTGTCACCTGCAAACATGGATGGATGGATGTCTGCAGGAAAGAAAATCAAGACTGAGGTGGATTTTACCTACCTCAACTAACTCTATGAATCCATAAATAAATACTTATGTATTGAACCCATGACAAGCGACAACTTTGACGTAAATAAGGATGTGAATGTATGTGAAATAACGGGAATTCGGGATATAATCTTATTTATACATAGAAAGCTTATTCATGTTCCCAAAATAGGTAGGTAAATATGTGACTTACTTGAATACGATAGCGTATTGATGATGCACATCCAACTTGCTAAATTTCCCGTACGCCTTCCAAATCTCGACACCTTTGTCGCTCTCCTCGTAAAATTTGATTTGGATATTATCTGTACCAAAATAGATAGAAAAAAATGTGTAAGTTTAGCAACGTCAGGAAATTCCGTACAGGCGAACTTATCTGAAATTAATATTTAACGGAGGAGGAAAAAAATGCAATCATTCGAGCGAACGGATTGATAAGTCGTGACGGATATTCGTGTCCATTTTTGAAACAGGTTTGAAGATAAGGTGTCATTCACCATGCTGATTTAGTAGTTTTTTTAATGTACATATTTATCTCGTTCAATTAAAATACTTGTTAACATGGCTCATCAAAACAACCGCACGTGCGTAATCAAATCTCTGCATTTGTCAAGTGCAAGTGTATGTAACATGACCTTCTGGACGCAGTGGCCGCGGAAGCCGTGGGGACACATCGGGGACATTAACATTGTAGGATAGGGGAGGGAGGGGTTTGTATAACATGGGCGGATGATGGGGGCATCGAATAACCGTGGGGACATTGTCCCTCTGTCCCCTCAAGCTTCCGCGGCCACTGGTATGGAGAAGTTTACTTCAATAACAATCAATAATAACTCAATTGCAGCAGAACCAGTAATTCAAATAGTAGCGAAATATTCTTCAATTTTATATATAAATGCTTATCATAGCAGAATTTATGCCTTTGGTTTGTCTGTCTGCGTAGCATGGGAAAAATATTTTTATTGTTATTTTACATACAATTTGCGTATCTAGCTGTTTTTCTAGATATACGAATGACTCACCCGTCTGTGTTTGGCAATTTAATAACTCTGCTATTAAAGATAATTGAGCAATTATTTATAATATTTGCACTCACGCTTATCGACTTTCTCAACAAGGGTGAACACCTCCTCATTGCCGGTACAGCAACTGGAAAATTTGTCAATCCGAACAATCCTTAGCTCTCCGGTTTGTGTACTTTCTGCAAAGAAAAAAAAGAAACCTCGGTCGTTAATTTCTGTAATTATCGTCAATTAACTGTTCACTCACACGTATCGAATTTACCACAATTTCCTCTCATAAATAGATGTGAGTCATGGAACTAAAAGTTTGCATGCAAATTCATGGCACGGGTTGCGTGGGTTTGTTTTATTTAAGCATTATCCACATAAATAAATACGCTATATCGAGTAATTACAAAGATATGAAGTTAGGTCAGTTATGTATAAGAGGAAGATTCTCATATCCATCCATCATATAATTTCTAGCCTACTGAACAATCTGATAATAGCGATAATTGTTAACAAAAATCAAGTTATTATCATCGCCCAGTTGTGTCACTGGGAATGCGCAGTGTTATTACTTAATAGATAATAATGCAGCCAGGCTAAAAACCTTGTCCAGGGTTATATGCTGAATTCAATTAACACTATCAAGAACGAAACAGAATTTCGACAAGCTGGATTGGATTTCTCTTGTGTATTTACATTTCGCCACTAATTTATTGTATGCATGATAAAATCAGCCCACCCAAATTCTCCAGTCACCAGTTTATAAAGGTGGAGTCATAAATTTAATTTTCTTTGCAATTTAGTTTATTTATTCGCGATATAGTGACATTAATGTCGTACCTACGACGTGGTTTCCATCAGTGGCCGCGGAAGCCGTGGGGACATCTTGGGACATTGGCATTTTAGGATAGGAGAGGGGGTTTATATAAGATGGGGACATCGAATAACCGTGGGGACATTGTCCCTCTGTCCACACGCTTTCGCGGCCACTGGTTTTCATACTGATGCATCCAACGTATGCTGTCTGGTTAATATCTAATTTTTAAGGTGTGATCATGCTGAATGGATAATAAATATGAAGTCAAACCAGTCTTCGACACACTTTTGTTGTTACAAAACATTATTCTGCGAGGAGCATATTATAATTATGAAGAAACTGCGCATTTCTGGGGATTCCAGGTTCAATATGATTGTCAAAATAATTTAAAACTGATAAACTCTGGGAGAGACCAAGCATCTCTTGGACATGGATGATTTACGAGTGACAGACGCTAATAACACACCAATTTCCACGGTACATGTACCATTTTTTTGGTGGGGATTATTTATTATTTATGTTATCCTCATTGGTTTGGTAGTTGTCTCATACATAAGTCTAAATACACAGATCAAGAACATTAAGAAGCAATACTTATCCAATGCCATAAAGAAAATCATTTATATAAGAAATTCTGGATTGTTTACACCCATGACGAAATCATGATGTGGGAAATCGTGCCCGACTAGCTAAATTTCATATCTGCGAGATTTTCTATTCTTACCAAAATCTGTAAAAATCCGAGAGGAGGATTTAACTCCAACAAAACTTTATGAGATGTGAACACCACATTTTTATATAATAAAATAATAAACAAATCGTCAAATGCATAATTCAAGCGGAAAATTGGGACTGGTTTGACTTTGGTGTATAATTATTTAGTACACAACCTTCAATATTTGTGCTGGACAATTTTTGAGGGATTTTCCCCAAAAACATGAACATACTTCATAATGGGTTGAAAATTGCACGCCTCCTCAACTCACTGGACACATATACATGTCGTTGTTTGACTCTTTTTTTTACAAAGTCACGAACTTATCCGCTTTGCAGTTTGTGCACGAGAGGAGATCATGTACGATGCAGAATATTATCATCATAAAAGTGGACTAAATAATCATCCCAACCCATTTTTTGCGACTTGGGTACATGTGTAAAAAGCCAGCCAGATATATTGGCAAATGGGGAATTTTGCAAAAACAGGTTACTACAAATTTGCCCGTTGGTACAGTACAAGACGGTTGTGGGTAAATAATTCGAATGTATCCTTTGAACTCTCTCCTCTAGCCAAGAAGAAATCCTTCCAGTAAATGAACCCACCAAGCCTGTCCTGAAGTCATTATGTATCTGACCACTTTCTTATAATTTGCGACTCCTTCCTCCTCAACAACAATAGCCAACGGATACAATACAATACCTTAATCGTTGGATGGGCATGGATAAGTAGTGGATTTACTGAATACTGGCCATTCTTTCATAAAAGTGAGATGACTAATACGTAAATATGTACACACAGCGCCTGACTTATTGTATGGAATTCCCGATTATTCACCATATTCCGCCGTGATGGGAACAAATTATAAATTGCGAAAATGTATATAAACAGCAAACACCAGATTGTGAAATCTTTAACCACTTTAAGAATGGGCGAGGCTTGGGTGGTTAGATTTGCATTGTTAATTATGGGAAAACAAAACGCGTGTATTAATTGCTGTTTTTGTACGAAATTACATATTTTACATTAGCTTAAGAGAGATAATTATAATTGGAAAGGTAGGTAATCAGCAAAGTCGCAATTTCCTTAAGAGGGGTACACATTACGTAAATGCATAGAAAATAAAAATAGAAAATGATGTGCAGTATTTATGTATGTACATAGCAAATCAAATACACCGCAATTAAGGAAGTATGAGATTATTATTATGTCGGATTAGCGGAATTTTAATGGATCCAATTATGATTACACGTGCATAAAGATAAACCCTACAAGGATAATTTCCTTAATGTCGCAGACCGAAGAATTAATACCTACTTATCTTTAGATGGACCTTTCTTTCATTTCATTAACATGCAAATCCATAACTAATTTATTACGCGGAATTCCCCCGAGTTTTCCTGCGAGTATTCATCCCGTTTACTAATTAATGGTCATACATACGTACGTATGTACATACGAAGTCTGAAAGTTCAAAGTTTTATAGCCATCTCATACACTTTTGTACGGTTTCCACTCGAGGCGAAGAATGACTGACGTGTCATTTTATATATGTATCACATATCCTGGGAATTTACTACCCATGCAGTCAGTCAAATTATATAGATAAGAAGAAGAAGAATGAACCATGACTCATCTCCAATCTCATGATGACACATAGTTCGGGAGTAAATTGTGAGAAATGTATTGTTTCACGAGAACAAGCAGGTTAGCGTGTGTATGTGTAACCATAAAGTCTGGATCTGATTTCACCTAGTTTCACTCCAATTTATTCCACACGTCAGTTAAGTAACCGAAAAGGAAGGAATTTAATTGAAGAAATGCAACTCTTACGCAACATGCCCGAAATTCTGGTCAAAAACTTCCCCCTCATCAATTATTTAAAGAGGCATTTGGACTAACGAACTTAATCAGATTAGTGTAAAATGATGATGATGTGGTCTCTGACTAAATTCACCTGAAGCATCCGGAAATACCTTAATTCGCAGGTATTTGCATGATTCCCCAATTTTTTTATGACGCGCATATTGCTATTGTGTCCATTTTTTTATCGGATGGCCAACGGACGACGAACGTTGAAATGGTCATGTGGGGATGTGAATAATGTTTATTTATACAAAATATTATCCATGAAGTGAGACATACATACGTCAATTTTGCCCCGATGATAGGGTTGGGTTCGGGAAATACTTATTATATAAGAGTTAAGAGGTCATTACACAACATTATTTACATAATACGTATAAAACTTTGATTATCCAGCATTTCTGGCAAATCCCGTAAAGATCATGCATGCTTTGATGGAGTGTGCATCATAATCGGATGGACAATCCCGATTTAAAAGTTGTTTGTTAGCTGATTAAAGGCTATAAAGTCATCGGGCGGAAAATCACAATTAGTAAGCAGCACACACACATACGCCATCAAGGTCCTTCCAGTTGTGGACGTATTTTCTGGAGACTAAATAATTAAAATACGCGATCTTATCGGAAGCACGTGAACTAAAGGTCATGGTGCAGAAAAAATAAAACACATAAAACTGCCGGCCCGGCGTCTAGAAGAAGAACAATGAGAAACTTTACCAGACCCATTTTTGTAGAGAAATCAAATCCGCCTTCGTATTTCACGCTTGGTGAATTTTTTCAGACGAATGAAAATGAATGATCCAACCACCAAATACTTGTACAATTGTGAATACGATACAAAAGTCAAGTTCTTTCTATGGTTGGGGATTTTTATTTTTTACGACAATGCAGCAAATTGGTGTTGCTGGATAAACTAAACATTTGTAAATATGCCACAAGGGATTTTTCCCAGCTTGTCTAATTCTGGAATTGAGAAGAATTAGTCAAGTGTGGCGGATGTACGTATTCCTTTCATTGGCTGTACTTCTAAACAGTAGTTGGGATTACTTTTTTAAGTAGATTGAATTCTATGATAGATCCATCACATCACATGGTTCAATCTGCTACTCAATTAAAGAAAAAAACGTGATCATCATGACGCAACGAGATATCGAAAAAATATAATTGTTTCGTAATTACGAGTGGGGAAATTATCCGGTGTGGGAAAATGAATTAATTAGATTAGTATGATTGATAAAGAAAGTTAAAACTTGTTAAGGTTGGATGCAATTATTCTCTAGGACAAGGAGATACACATGTAATTTGTACATAATAAAAGTGAGACTTGTTTCCCGTGCATCGTTTTTATAATTAAGTTCAAGAACAACAATTGGGAAATTACCCTCCAGCTTAGACATGGAGGTGCATTAAGCGCGTGCAAATTACCATGTTAATTATTGCGAAACTCGAGATAACTCATTAATCGATTCCCATGCTTGCATATGTAAATGTTTCCTTACTATTATGTTGAATGGATCCGGAAACCACGGGTGGACACAGGTGGACCAAATTATCCCCTCCTCCTCCCCGATGATGGGACGGATTTCGAACGATCGCTTCAAAGAATAACGCCACCACGTTGAGATTAATGGTGAGGGCGAGATCCTCCAATTGTTCCAGGGTCACTTTCCTCTCCGAATCTGCGCCGATTTGCGACATTTTATTCAGGAGGACGCGTCGACTCTCCTTTTTCCCGATGTAAATTATGTTGAGACCTTGAAACCTGAAATTTTACGGGGACAAAAAAAAATATTCAGGACACGTGGAATGCCATCCCTGAAAATTAATTTCAATTAGAACCCCCACATTTACATACGTTTTGTCATGATATCATACAAGCATGATTCGTAATATGTGTGGTACAAGAAGAAGAGAAGGAATTGTCCTTCTGACAAGACAATGATAATGAAATGCATGCTAATAAGTTACGAGTCGTTGATTTGGGATTTCCAGTATCTCATCTCACGGATCTCTAGTTTTTTCATGATTACACTTTGTTAAGCAATTGGTAAGATTTTACTGCGTGAACATTCCTTTCCTCTCGTCATATAAATCCATCACCAGAACATCAATTATTATTCCTCAGAGGATTTGATGAATCTTAAATACTTGTCTTCTTTCATTATTATTGGGATTTTTCCAACCAATCACACCTCCATCGTGGTAAATCTATCTAGAGTACGTGCATATTTAGCACGTGAAGGCTGACCAGATGTGGGATGAATTGCAATAATGTTCACTATCAAAAATTGCACCATCAACAGTGCAAGGAAACTCGTTGACATTACGGGAAAGAAATGTCGAGTCATGCCGATCTCTCGTCATCATTATCTTGTCCAATCTTGGCAGATTCTTATAAAATACATACATACGCAAGTTTTTTTCGCAGTTTATTTATAGGGTGTTATACCGGTACAAATTATGGGCATACCTATGTAACTATATTTGCCGTGGGGAGTGACGATTTATAATGGAGGTCTCCCAACGGATGCTGACAGATTTTGACGAAACTAGTGTCAATCGATCACAAATTTAATTAGTATGAAATTTGTATAAGACACGATCTGCCAATAGTCACGTTTGGCAGAGATATTTGCATCCGAAGACGAGAAAACGCGCAGTGAATTTGCAGTGTAAAATTTGATTTTCTCCTCTTTAGATGCAAATATCTCTACCAAACCAACGCATTGGGAGATCGTGTCATTTTCAAATTTCACACTAATTAAATTTCTGATCGATTGACACTATTTTCGCCAAAATCGGAGAGCATTCACTGGGAGACCTCCATATTTAATAAAATTTGTCTGCATTACTTACACCGCGGTATAATCGTTATCCGCCGACACGGGGATTTCAACGTATCCGTCGACACATCGACTTTCACCAGAAAAAGATGCCGGGACGAGACTGCTGGAGAAAGTGGTGTCCAAATCCAGGCCAGAATTAAGTTGCGGAGATTGACCCATTTCCAACAAGTGGGGATGCGGGTAGTGCGGTCTCGCATCGCAAACCAAGGACACTCGAATTACCGCATTGCCAGAGAAGTTGTGGAGCTACATAAATTGTAAAAAAATATATTATTGTTATCATAATTAGGCACGTTTTGTAAATACATGTAGTACAAATGACTCGGAATTTTTTGCATGTAAACTTGCAAAAATTCCGAGTAAATAAGTGATCTCGCACTTGTGCTGAGTGCTCAAGTATGTATTGTTCTTAAGAGGTGGTAAATTAGCAGAGTTTATTAAGCACTCTGTAAATATTTTTTGTGTGTGCGGGAGCAATCAGTCATTCGCCATGTTTTGCTAATTAATCGCATGTTCAAAGTTAATACTTGTTAGTAAATAGTAAATAATCTTGTTAGCGATATATGTAAATATCTATTCCGTTTAAAAGGCATACCATTTGCATACTACTGATTATTTAAATAATATGCATTTTCGAAAAAAGTTTATATACTCTGAAAAACAAAATATTAGCATAAAACCACACAACAAAGTTGACCCTGACAAAGTGACCATGAAATTCGACAAATATTTTGAGAGTAAAAAAAATCATGAGAAAATGATTGATCATTTTTGTCCATCCCGTCGTCGTGATTGCTCATTTAATGTATATTTGTCATATCGCATACATTATCGTTTCATATCATATCTCGTCTCGTGGTGATAGTGGATTAAGTGCATATCGGCCATCGGGGATTCCCTGCCAGCCCAGCAGATCGATTATGCAATATTTGGATGATATGGTACATGCAAATTGTAATTATTAATAAAAATTAATTTAATGCCTGTCTGTAATTTTTTCTGGATTTTGCTAAAGTAAACTTGCTACATAGTTGGTGCATTGCAACACCCACCCTCCTCGTATCGGGAACTGCATCGTAAAAATGTGCGAATGCGATAAACACGTTAGAAAAACCAATACCTTGTAAAAAGGAGGAAATTCTTCGCTAAAATGGTGTACGATTGTACTAACTACAAAATTCCCAGCATAATTTATCAGGATATTATCACGGAGGGGAAACCGTAGCCCGACATAAGAGCTGGTAATTTTTTGGCGTCAAGAAATTCCCAGGGTCACCACCACACAACTCTCATGAACATGAACTAGACAATTTTTAACGTAACATAGATCCGTCTACGTCTCTTTATCCGCATTTGTACATAAACAATAGATTATCTACGAGACTGTGAATTATAATTTACCAGGAAAAATTGCTCGATAATCCTGCCATTTCTGCAAAATTTGTGCAATAAAATTTATGTAAAAGTGCATAGTTTTGCAGGCAAATGGCGCATGAAATTCCCGTTGTTGCACCATGGCGTGTGGATGTGGACGTATTTTCTCGTCAAGGTTTCGGGTTTAGATTTACGATTATGATAAGGTGGAAAAATAGAGAAGCAGAACGAGGTAATCTTCATCATACACACGTAAAAATGATAAAGTATTTATTAACCATTGCGGCAGTTTGTTGATTCGTTTGTTCACCGGGGAATCCCAGACTGACATATGAAAATGCTTCCTGAACAGCTATAACAGTATATCCATCCATCCATCCACCCACCAATTTATGCTTATTAATTAAACTTGAAAAACAGGCACAAATTGTTTTTAAACCTTGATCGAGACTGATACTTGCAAAAAAATCTGCAGTACTCAAAATCTATTTGCAAAAAAAAACTGAAAGGATAACTGATTTTTTTTCACGCTGACTACATAAACTTGTTTTATTTAGACCTTGTGAGAGGTAAGTTAACTCGATTCTCACGTGACTGTAGTGGTGTTTTCCATTTTACCATTATCAATCGGTGATCTTTTGTACATCCCAATTTTGAAGCATGTTTCTAAAAACGAAATCGCAGTTTTTTTCCCGATTTCACACGATTAATGGAGGAATTTACAAACTTGTTTTACATTATGAGTAGTTGTTTCATTTTTCCACCCCTATTATTAACAGCCTGTGGTAACACACTACAACAGCACTTATTTATCTCAATTTTTGCACATTGTTTCGCCAAATCTAGCAAAAACTTGATGATTCTCTCGCATGCAGTTTAATTGGGGAATTATTTCTGGGTTCAACGTATCACATATTTATGTGTGATGGATATGTACATACATAGATCCATCATTGTACGCTACGCTTCTACTTTTTTAAAGCCCTCTTGCTGGTTGAAACCTAGTTATTTTTGACATTGCCTGTAACAGAGTGAATGTGTACATAGTTTTGCATTCAACAAATCCATCAGAGTTTTCATATTTTTAATGGATTTTCTTCTGGCAACAATGAGATTATTGACTTTATTTAAGACAAAGTTATAGAAAAACAAAGCTTATCGCAAAATCCGTTCAAAAAATTAATGATAATGCATAGTCGTCTATGAAACATGAACCGGTCAGTAAACCGAAAGGAGTTTCAACAACAACAAATCAGGGCCACCAAGAATCAGGTACAAGTTGGAGCTAGATAATTTCTCTCATTCCGTTGAGTGAGATTTTTTGAGTGAGATAAATACACGCATACAAATGATAAATACAAAGTTTTGTGCAGAAGTAAACAAAAACAAACAATAAAATGCTAAAACTCCACAATAGATACTACTTGCCTGACTTGTTAATAAATCGCAAAAGTTATAGCAGCATGACTGTGAGAATGAATTGCTATCTATCCCCGAGAAAAAGGGGAATTCGAATTATCCGACCAAATAATAGATACGAAAGGTTAGGGGATTTCCACGGGAAGGAAATAATGGTGGTAAATAGGCAACTTTTTATAAAGGGAAATCCATAAAAAAAACTCTACTGCATGGTCTCCGCATTTTCAAAAGCATACACGCATACAGCGCATGGTTGCAAAATTTTCGTTTTGTTCCAATTTTTTTAAAAAACAAATCCGGTCGTTAAAAACATTAATCTTACTTTGACTGTGGGGAAGAGTTTTGACTGTATTCCACCAGCAGAAAATCCAGCCGCCATACTGCTCGATGATGTCGGCATATTTCCACCACCACCACCACCGTACGATGGGACAGACCACGTGGGAGCGTGACTAAAACTAGACGCCACTACTTCTTCACCACCGCCGCCAAACTCCCCTTGACCACCACCAGTACCATAACCACCACCGGTACTGGTACAACTAGATCGGCCCACGCTGCTGCTGCTCGGCGTCACCACTCCCAAAAGACTTCCATGCTTCCCAGTCATTTCCGACTTGTACCGAAATCTGAACTTGGGCTGGGGTTGGACCAATATTTCCAGGTGAGGCTTCCCCCAATTTCCGGAAGATTGCCGGTGTCGTGAAGATGGTGGTGGGGGAAGGTCGTTGTTGTTCATGCTGTCATCCATTCGAGAAGATAAAATCGAATCACGTGGGTGCACTCCTCCTCTTCTTCCTTGATTTGATCTGTCACTGCTGCTACTTTCCCATTCCATGGTAAATAGAGAAGGCTCAATGGAAAATGTCTAACCAAACCACTAATTGATAAGGTATTTATGTAGGTATATCACTTAGCCGATTTAATCTTACAGGCACAGATAACGTTTTAGATTATGATTGACAGTTGAATAATAAAATTACATAAACCGGAAGTTCCCACTATAATGTCGCCACTTGTTAATTTTACTACTGGATCACTGTCTATCACACTGAATTAATTTGGTTAAATGATACACACACCGCCACGTGGTTTCTCTCCTCCTCGCCGAAAATCCTTAAGACTTGATTCCCATAATTAATCCCTATTTTATATGATGCTCAAGTCGAAACTGAAGTTGAAACAAAGTTTTCGAGTTCAGCGTCAGCCAGACAAACACTGTGAGGTAACGATGACACCATGCTTTGCAAAAGACCACCATGTGCATGCACTTCTTGTAACGACGACGGATTCAAGAACGTGGCAGGAGCGTCGGTTACGTAATGAATTTACCATGTTGAGGAGGAGGGAATCGTCTTAAAATCTGCATTAAATAATGTATGAATGGATGGGTAGTAGTAGTAAAATACCTTGGTTTTCTTCATCCATGTTTTTACATGGGGAATTTTCGATGCTTAATTTAGTGTTAGTTGGTTTCTCAGAAGAGGAAATCATGGTGGATTGGATAAGTAATATGTATGCAGTACGTAGTCGTAGTTGGTTGCTCTCCTGGTTGGAAATCCTAGAGGATGATGACGTCTTTGTTCTCAATGCAATCCAACAGGCAGGGCCGGTTGGTCGTCGCCTGTGTTCTCCCCGCCGGACGGTTCGTAGAGCTATTGAACATTTCTATAAATGCAAACCTCCTCCACATATTAAGCATGTACGGACAGAAGCATCAGTTAGTCAGGAATAGTACCATAAATAAGAGGCGAATGAGTGGATGGATGGATGGATGCTTGAATTAAGAGATAAAAAGAACACTTGAAAAAAAGCCATGGAATGAATTGGTTTAATGTATAATAAGCTACTAAACATAAACCTTAGCTCGGTCAGGCTAAGTTTAGTAGTCGGTGGGTAATCCCTGAACAAAAAATTGGTGGAATCACCAACTTTTGTTAGTGTGGTCGTGGTGGGGTGAATAAATGGATGGATGGATAGAGACGGTGGTGTGGGCGTTTTTACAATAAAACGCCTCTCTGCATGGAAAAAGATTGGTCTTTACTTCATTTGACTAATTGTCTTTGGGCAGGGGTACTAGTGCATCTCCTTTTTTTAAGTGGGATTCCAGGTTTTGGGAACATTGAGGTTGGAAATATTCATAATTTTTCAAAGAATTTCTCACTTATGGGGATTGCATGACTAGTAAAATCAAGGTTGTTGGGGATTCCCCAATGCTCCATTGTTAAGCAATGCAATGCCTGAAGGGATTGTGTGTGTGCGAATCATGTGAACTTGGAAATTACTATCGTATCCGATCTCAATCTAAAAAATAATGCGATGAGAGAAGAGGAAACCCCGACCACTCCAACCAACCATAACCGTGCCAGTTTTACTTATTCTATGTGTTCAAACTGGTCACTTTTTTCTAGGCGTCCCTTATTACGAAAAAAGTTTATTAAATTTGCGGTGTTACAAAAAAATAAATTGAGATATTAAAAATCATGGGGAAAAGTTGACCCTTTTTTCAGGAAAATGTCCTTTGTTAAGAAAATAATTTGGTTATGCAAGCCAGCGTTAACAACAATATGGCGTGCTAACGGGTAAAAACTGAGGATGAGTAAAAACCTTAAGTTCCATATTCGTAGAATAATTATGTACATGCGTGCTATTCCTCATGTTGGTTGTTCTTGGGTGGATCTTGTTATTTACTACCGACTTGGCCGACCTACGGAAATCCCATTCATTAAAGATACGTATACATGTACGTATCTAGATTTCTGGTATTTACCCCACAGAGTCGTAGACAAAGAAGAAATTATAATGGATTGCCAACGAATAAAGTCAGAGCCAAATAAGTGACAATGTCATCGTCGTCGTCTCGTCGTGGAGGTTTTGGGTATTTCATGACAACTTGAAATGGTTATCGTCAAGTTATTTACTATCGGTATCATTGATTGAATATGAATACAGACTAGTCATATCTACATATTTGAATAAATGCATATTTAAACTAGAACAGTCCAAAAGCAAAGCTGTGTAAGCAGGTAGCTTTATTTATGCTTGAAAAAATAGAATAAATTCTAGCAACAGATATAATGAAGTAGTGGAAGCGAGGCTCTGAAAATTTTACATCTAATATTTATAAATATATCTTTGCAGCATTTTTGTTATTAACCTCTTTAAAAGAAAATAACAATCATGTGCTTTAAAACGAGAAAATTTGACATTTGTGACCTGTGACTTCATCACCGTGACCGTAACCTTTGACCTACAAGGTCAGTATGAACATACACACTCCCTCTTACTTTTAAAATTAAATGCTAAGATGAAAGCAGAACTAAAAAAATTGATTCGTTAGAAAGTTATCATCATGCTGACGGACATACAGATGGACAAATCAATCGCAGCAAGTAGCTTCAGGTCCTTCTACTTCATAAGTAAGTACTAAAGTGAACACATTAATTACAGGTAGGAGAGGATACCATCAAGGCATTTTTCATTACGATCTGCAGCCTGCCTGATGATGCTGAGGTCTTGAACCAGTTGCACTTGAGAATCGGTTGTTTTGTTTTGGGATTCCCAGCCAATGATCATATTTTCCTATCAAATAAAGTGAATCAAAAGTGTGTACTGTGTGCATAACTCCAGTCTCAATAAAACAGAAGCGTAAATGATTGAGGTAAAACTTAAATTGAGGCCGGGGGATTATAAAAGACAGGTAAAAGGTAACGTCTCTAGGGCTCTGTACAAAGATCATGTGGTCGATAATCTTCGGAAATTCCAGAAAAAACCCGGTCATCATTACGTTTGCATGATGCCACACTCTTCACGAAGCGGTACAAGAGTCTGATGATTGTACATATTGATACACAGACTTCAACAGTATATGACCAATTAAATATGTACTTACTTATGTAACTCAACTATGCAAAGGATAATCAGAAATCATAACAAGCAAAACATTTAACAAATAATTTACTCTAAAAAAATGACGCCGTGTAATTAAAATGAGTTACCGACCGTGGCGAATTACTAGAATTTTACTTTGTATCCAAATCATGGACAAAAATTGTGCAATACTTAATTGCTACCGACATGCGTTGGGATGGTCAAGTGTCATTCAGTCGTCACTGCAAAAAAAAACGACGACCACCGTTTGTGCAAAACTGGTGCAAAACAAGATCTCACCCGTCCGTCAATCAAGGAATTATCTATGATCTTATGCAAAGAAGTCGTTTTTTGATCATCTCTCACCGTTGCATATTAGAAAAACTGTGCATGAAATGATGCTCATGACATCTTCAAGTTTGCCGACTAATTTACCAGACCACAAGAAGAGTGGAAGAGGGTGAGAGGTTACTGCAATCTACGAAACGACTTGCACCACAAAATTGAAAGTACCTGATACTTGACTTGTTATTGTTCTAAAAACTTGTAGAATTGGTTCAGTATTAAGTTAACGTATTGTCTTCACAATTTGTCTTCCATGAAGAAAATTGAACTTTGCCCGGCTCAAAGGATGTGCTGAACATTAGGTAAGAAAAGAAGAAGGGTTTGACGTCAATGGAATCAAATCTTGATGCAGGTGCTGCATGTGCTGAAGCAGTAGCGTAATTGAGAGATTAAGATTGTTCCACTTTTTAGAGAGTTGGTTTTATTTATTGAAGAAGAAGAGAGTGGGTGATCATCAGTAATGCTTACTTTTGGGATGAATTCGAATAAAGGTGAACAATGCGTCGACCGGATTCTTAATTTAGTCTGGTGGATCCTTTAGAATTATTTTTTGGGTACGTGCGTCGACAAGGCGCAAATTTCATAACCGCAAGTTCATGAAATACATAACTCAATTTTTTCGTACCCAGTAAACTTTAGATTACAAGATTGCATACAGATTTCAAGGTAGATAATTATAGTTGTAGAGAAAACGTGGTTTTTGACTGCAATGAATATAAATACATGGAAAGTGAGAAAAGAGTTATATTTATGTAGTACTGCACAAAATGAAGGAATTTAACGTACAAGGAAAACTTTGACACTAGAAACTGTCTTCAGAAATGACAAGGCCTGTAATTTGTGGGTAATTAATGCTGGAGTGTATGTACGTTTTGCAAATCATTTAGTAAAACTTGTTCCAATCCGTCATGAAAAATATTTATGAGTAAGAACTACAAATCTGAGTCAGATTATCTGACTCAACTATACTTAATTGTTAACTAGAAAAATGTAAAGACTAACTAATCCGCTTTTTTATTTAGCTTATTTCAATTAATCATGATTAGGATTTTTGGAACTGCAACTTTCGGGAATTCGTTGCATAAGAAGTTGCCTTCTTTAATTGCAATTTTGCTCACTTTCTGAACAATATTTTAAAGCAATTCGTAGTACAAAGAGGAAAAACTGCTGCATTTATGTATTGCAACACACTCCTTCTTGTGGGTATTCCACAAACTTTTAATTTCACAGCAATGTCAAGATTCTTGTGATGTGATGATAATGATGACTCTTTACCCAGTAATAGATAAGTAACTGTTGTTACTTTGTTACAGAGGTCCAAAATGTCCCAATGAGGTAAGAATCATTATAACACCAGAGAAGGTCCATTTACCTCTGCGGTTCTGAGATTTCATAAATTACGCATACCTACATACTTATGTAAGAATATTATAACTAATTATCAGTTATGCAGGCGTGCGATTTCGCAGGAATTAAATATGCGTACTACATGAACATACGTGCATCGTTGTACCGATTTAACAAGAAAATAAGATGAGGTGTTAATAATCCCTCCGTTGAAAAAAGTTGCGGTCATTCATTCAATATTTGCATGTCAAAATCTCGGTCATTTTTAGATTTCACAGAATCTGGGAAAAACCTCTGTGGTCATCGTAAAATAGTGGCTGACTGACACCACGCTAAATATTTACCCCGCCTACATACACAATTTCTACACTTTCATAGAAAAATTTGGTACATATTTCATTTTTTCTCAAACATTAACCATATTAAATATGCAAATTCAATCAGCTTACATAAACATCATCATCAACGCACATATGTAATTCAGCGGAGTCAATGTCATCATTGCAAAATCGAGGGCAAAAAATGACATGTGCAGGGGAATTTTATTGAATGTTTGTAAACAGAACAATTCCATTTTTTGGCTTATCTTGTTTTGATGACGAATGGAAACATCACGTATATAATTTAATATGCACGGGTTATACGTACATACAGCGTTTGAATTGTAAAATAATAACAAAATAAACACTAATGTTCCTCTGGTTTTGTTGGTTTGGTAAAACCCGACTGATACATAATTCTAAAATACCTACCAAGCAGTACAAAGTACATTTGAATAATGTAACAAATGAGTCAAGAGAAGGAAACGAAGTACATTTAGTCTTCATTGAATATAAAACGTAAATGCTTCACACAATCGGCAAATGAGCACGTATCATTAGACGAATGTATGGAAAGCGATGAATCATCCTCCAAAATTTGCAACAAGTTTCGTTTCATTGACTGACAAAATGTGTGGGAAAAGGACATTGAACATTGAACTTAGCGTTTTAACAATGTATGCAACTCCTTTTAACGAAAATAGACACGTGTAAGTATACATAAACTGAATTAAATACGCAGTAAAAATTCTAGAACTTGATGGATCGTCCGTAAACATTTTTTGCGGGGTTAAATTGGCGATAATGAGTGTACAAAAATATGTATGTGTATTATTAAATATATTTTTTGCGTAAATATGACGAATTTTGACGAGAGGGCGAGATGAATTCTTTGCAAAAAGTGGTACTGTGCGAATTTGAATTTGTATGCATATTTACAGCAAACAAGGTTTGCTCAATTCTTCACTGATTGAAAAATACGTATTATATGCTGGAACCGGTTAGGAAAAAAGTTCACAGACGAGTATTGAAATCCTACGTCTGAAAGTTTTCTAAGAAGTGTAACATGTAAAAGGAATGAGTGCCTGTCAGACGAAGTAATTAATTAAAATTGCATACAAAATACTTCTTCTCCTGATTGGAATTGGATAATAAATAAAAATGTCATAAGCACGTGAGTCCCTGACCGCTGTACTCACGATAACAAGTAATTTTTCAGTGATTCTGGTATTGACGCAGAGCAAAAAGGTGATTTAGTTGGTATTGCATGGAAATTTCACAACTTTGCTTTCGTGGTCTTTTCCGGTAACCCGTGATGCTGCAAAAGATTGCAAATCTGATAATAAAATTGCAATGAAATGAGTATATACGTGTGCAAATTAGATAATGTTGTCAGAAACTTGTTCCAAAAATTTGCGTCACGGGAGGAGACTCATGCCGTTGGCAAAATAATAATTATCTATCCAACTTCCGTCCTAGAGGAATGTATGCACATCAAATAATTCACTTCCTCTCATTCTAACCGAAAATTCAGATTGTAATGTAACGCAAAATTTAAATCCAATCCAATCAAATCAATCAGTTCTGCAACATTTATGTATTGAAAACATTGATGCAGCAAAAGGCAAGTTGATTGATGGTGCGGAAAAGTTAAGCGACAAGCGGTCTGTGATTGATTGGTATTAAGTACTTTACATCATGATTCGTTATAAGCTTGTGAGTAATTTAGAGCACAATTTTTGCAAGTTTTTACCTCCATTTACATTCTTACAGATAAGCTTCAAGCCAATAAAATTGGGACAGAACGGAAGTAAAAAGTAGTCTAAAATTAAATTGCTAAATGCTTAAAATCTTCCTGCGTAAACGGCTTCCTGACAAATTTCTGTCTTCCACAAAATGGGGAATCGATACTTTTTCTAGTCTGAAAATACTCGTGGGACGATAAACATTTATTTTAGCAAGGATTTTTGTAAGCTAGTCAAAATGCGTATTATTTCAACAGTTTTGGTCATAATTGTCCCGATTTGTTGGGGCAGATCCGTATCAAACTCTACGATTATTAGAAAAGGTGGTGAAAATCTCAAAAGTGCGTCGTCTAACCGTCATTATGATGACCACAACAGTGGTCACCATCAAAAGAATTCTAACAATGGGCGGAACGATAACGACAACGAGAGTGAAAATTCCTATAATTATGACGACACTGGTGGTGGGGTTTATGCAAAGTTGGATGAAATCATTTATCCTTTCCAACAATATATTCAAGTTCGGAATTCTTACAGGTAAAAGAAAATCAAATTTTGAAAGTTTCAAAAAATGTGAAACTTTTACTCCAAATTGTAAAATATGAGTATATTTTATTATTTGATAAAGTGAGCAGATTTTGATTTAATTCTGATTTTGACGCAAAAATTTTGCAATACTTGTGCAGAACTCTGCCGTAATTTCGCATAAACTTGTAATCACTGCAACTTTTCCTTCGCAGTTCGCACCACAGGTGGACATACTTTCTTGCACTTTGTCATTGCATTCACTTTTCCTTTTAATCTGCATCTGCAACTATTTCATGATTTTCTGTAAATAATTTACATTTTCCATTCATTTTTCCCCCAGCGTGGAACACCTCCCTTTCAAGGACGACTCCAGCGATGACAATAATCATGACAAATCTGCCACTGATTTTGCCCCCGTTAAAAATTCTTCCTCACGAAAGAAACGGAAACCTAAAAAGAAATCTAACTTGGACACATCCGCGTCCACAAACAGGGGACACGATGATCATCATCACACTAATGAAGGCGAAGAAGAGGAGAGCGGCCATAACAATAGGAGAGATGTGCACGGTGAAAGTGAAGATAATAATAGTAATGACGATCATTATAGTCACGGATCAGTCGGACGTGAACACGGTTCCCACGACCATGGGTCATCTTACACGGATCATAAACCTCGTCTCACAGAAGAAGTGGAAAATTACAAGAAGCAGGAAGTCTATGAAGAGAAGGGATACGCGGATGGCGCTTATGACCACGGAGCTTATGGTGAACATTCAGACGATAAGTACAAAGGACGAGGACGTGATGATGACCGTGGACAATATGCTCAAGTAGTGGTTACATTACTTAATAAAAATGGAATTATGTATGTATGATTTCAAATTTTATATTAATTTTTTTTAGGAACAATCCCCCTCCACTTCTTCCACGGAAGAATCCCGACAATCCAAAAGTTACCATAAAAGTAGACCGATAAGAAAAAGACGCCTTCATCTCTCTGAACATCCCACATCGACCAAACTCTTAGAATACGCAGCCACCAAATTATACGACAAGGATGCCCACGAAAAAGGAATTTACGCTGCCCGAGATAACATCCATTGTCCGGAAGTGATTGACTTCGATTTGAGCTCGAAGAAGATGGCGATGGGAAAAGGGGGCGAAAATCCGCGTGGGTCGAAACCTCGTCTTACCGGATTAGGTAGCAAGATTAAATGCTTAAAGGAAAAGTATTGGGGGAAGGAACCACTTCCGCGACAGATTTTCATGGAACCGTCCGAATCCAGGATGTCAGTCATTAAAATGCCGACGTTTGACCAGTTCTACAAAAGTTTTAGGGATGAAGTCGACTCTATAAGTTCATTTCAACATGTGTGAGAAATAAAATGTGTTCTTTTTTGGCGATTTCTTTGTATTGTTTTTTTTCGTTTGTTTGTACTTTTTAAGTTTTAACAAGGGTTAGTGATAATTAATATGATTAATTAATTACAACTACAAAACAAGGAGGTTATTATTAAAATTATGCAAAGTTTAGCAGTCTAAGCTGGGATATCTACATCATATATCCAAATTACTTTGTTATTATTAAACACAAACACAGTCTGAGAAACATGATACATGAAAAGTAAATAAGTAACATAACAAAATATCAACACCCAAAATATAACAATTTTATGCATGCATAAACAAATTACAAAGTTGTAATACTGCTCCCAACGCTGACATCAACATTGGAATTGGCTGACTTTTCGGAAGAAGATGGCGGCGGTGCCAAACTTCTGACGTAATTATTCCTGACATAAATATCTTTGGGGAAGGAAGGTGTTTTGGCACCCACGATGATTTTGACTCCTTGGACTTCAATCTCCTTCAAACTTCTCCCATCTCTGGCGTCCTTAACAATCAAGGGTTGCGATTTTATTGTCGAAGGTCGCATGACCTTTGAGATTCGTGGCACTTCTTTGGGGGACGCCTCCACCGATGAGAATGCAGAAGCTGGCTGGATTTGTACCGTTCCCACGCCCACCGGTGGGGATGGGATGAACCGTTCTTGTTCCCGACTTGTGCTCTCACCTTGTCCCGAAGTGCCCAATAATTGCCACTCCGAGTCTTGAGAATCCACGTCAAAATTGAGACTCTTGCCTTGCCGTGAGATGCGATTATTGTCGGAATTGAATCCTTCCGTGCTACTGTATATCGGTCTCAAGACTGGGACTGGATTATTATTTTGGGTGGAAATCGGTCTCCGGAATTGGAGTGGGGATCCCATATATTCAAATGGATTGCTTGGTTTGGTAAAGCTGTCGGTGGTTGATGGGTTCCATTCCGATTCGGACACTTTAACCTCATCATCAAGGCTCTTCATCTGCGGGACTTCTCCCGAATATTGTTGTGGTGGCTGTTCTTGTGGCAAAACGCCAAACTTTCTCCAGTTTTCAAACTCATTTCCGGAATTCTTACCATTGTCACCGATTGGTGTCATTACAGTGTCTTGATTCTGATTATTTCCGTCACTCATACTGGAAAAGCTTGTGCTGGTCGATGGCCCATCCACCACGCTGGGTTCAAATTTGCGCCCACTTCTAACCCCTCCTCCTCCCCTTGGAATGAAGGGTACTCCAACCCCCACATCTGGTTTTCGTACCGCTTCTACCCTTCCCAATCTGACTTGATTGTTGACAATGTGATAATTATTGAAACTACTGCGTCCCAACGTTCTCTCCTGTTCGGCTTCGAATCGTCTCACTTTTTCCTCATACTCATCCGGAAACATGAACCTTCCCGACCTCCGGACATTCGTGTAGGAAGAATATGTCGGTTGGTAACTGCTCGCTTCGGGAAGAAGGGTCTCATCATCCCCACGACCACGACCAGTACTCTCATCGTCTCCCATCATCTTGGGCCCCATGATCCTCTCCTCCGCTTGTGGTTGAGAATTTGCATTAACTTTCTCTGCCTCCGAATTTTTAAGGAGCGAATGCACTGACGCAGGTCTCATCAAGAGATCACTGACCAATGCCAAAATCCTGGCCTGGATCGGATGCTCTCTCTTGAACGAGTCAAACTGTGAGATTAACGCTCTAGAAAATCGTTCCGACCCTGACGACGCTTTATTATTCGTGGTAGCACTCCAGGCCGAAAAATTGCTCGAAAACGCGGCCCCTTCCAGTGGACTAATCACTGCGAAGATGAGTAAATTCACCCCAGAGAAGAGAAACACGTTCATTTTGTTATTATTGTTTTTTTTAGAAATTGATTTTCGAAATCACTTTGACTTTCAAATTGTGAGAATCTTTCCCATGGATTAAATTATGTTATTATAAATACGAGAGGCGAATATTGTTGTTGATGCCTCGCGTCTCGTGTCAGTGTCACTCGTTCACTAGTTCAGCAAATCTGAGAATGTTATGCTTTAGCTTTCAAACCAAAGTTTAACAAACTCGATCGTCGTCTTCGTCGTCGTCCTTCTCGCCTTGTAAAGAAGAAGAAGAAGATTGTTTAGCCAGGTTGAGCCTGTCTTAAAGTATAAGCTCATCATCATTTTTTTTCTCTCTGCCGTGCTGCAGGATAGGATACAGCTTTTGCTAACCGCATGCATTGTGGCGAAAGGAAAGGAATTAAGGCAATGGTAAATTCGAAACGTGAGAGAATGACAAAGAAATAATAAAAGGAGTTCATTCAGTTACTCGGCTTAACAACCGAGAGTTGGTTAGTATTAAATATATGTGAAGAGGTTTACTGAGTAGCCATCCATCCTCCTCCTCTTCTCGTCTCACTAAAATACTTTCCTTTGTAAATTAAAGTCTTGAAAAACAAAAGGAAATTTAAGACGGCGTGGTGCTATAAATCATCATATACGTACGTATCACATCAAGTAGGGATGATTTGCAACCTAGGTAAAAACAATATAAACCCTGTTGGGTTTTATAATGTGACGATGGGGGAGAAGAACTCAGAGACGCCAGTACAGTACCATTAATACTTATTACCTTGCTTCTACTGCAGGGTTAATGTCATGTACATACGTAAGTAGTTAGTTAGGGAGGATGCGACTGCAATTTTTTCAGCCTGTGAAATAAGTACCATTAAGAAAGTTATATGGAAATTATTACATTGAAATTTTCGTATAGTAATTTCAACACGGATTTATGCAAATAAATTTTAATGAAGACACTTCAAAATTTGATGCTAAACAAGTCCCAACGATTTATGTAAATACATTTTAATGACAGAATTTGATGCTAAAAAAAGTCCCAAGTTCAGTAACATATGACAAAACTGAATTTGTTACCTTCAAACAAAAGTAAAGTGATTGTGTCGAAAGTCAAAAGCGTGGGATTACTGACTCGGTTTCGACTAGTTCGACTCTAACTTTCGAGTAGGGCGAAGCATAACGCATAACAATATATCAGCATTAATTTCTTAATAGTGATACAGTAAGTAATGGGTTTTTATTCTCGAAATGAGATTGCTGTAAGGTAGCCGAGCCGAGATTGATATTATTTTCGTACTTGGCGTATGATGGGTCGGGGTTGAATATGGGTCACCCGTATCCGTTCTTCCGAAAGAGAAATTTTCTTTGTGAAACAAAATGCATGCGAAAATTAATCTTTTGCCTGCATCACTCACATTTACCTTCACGCTACAATTACACTACACATTTTTCGATGACATTGCTACTCATAAATAAATACGTTTCCTTCCTTTGTGTCATCGTGACTCTTGGAGTATTAGTGAAAGAATAAGAAATGTCATTAATTGAAAAATAAAGTCATGATTAAACTAGGAAAAGTTGGAATAAAAAAATGTAGTGTCTCAGAAATGGAAACACTTTCAAATTGTGTGAAGCACAAGGCGTGAAAGTACAATTAATCTCCGGGTCGGTTTACCAATTAATTGGTCTATAATTAAGTTAAATGATTTGAAATGGGACATGTTTCGAGGTGGAGACGACGAGACGTGAACCAGGAGTCGTTCTTGGTCTGTTTTACATACGTAGAAAAAAGTACCTAGCACGATGGTGACAAATGACATTTTTTAAAAGTAAATACGGGCAGATGCTGTATATATATTTGCCTCTTTTTAAAGACATGTGATGCGATGTGACGGCACACCGTTTAGAATCGAGGATGCATACAAAATCTGCAAAAAAAGTTAACAATTTGGTAACTCTGAAGAAGACACGCGAAAAGAAAAACGAAAAGTTGGTACATCATTTGGCGGAAAGAAGCAAGATAAGTTAACAAGCACGACTGCTTTAGTCTGAAGAATGACTGCAATTGACTTAAACGAAGTCAGGAGGGCAATACTACCACACCACTCGGATTTTATTGAACACTACTTCTTTTTTTTTCACCAACAACTACTTCTTTTTTTTTCACCAACAACTACTTCTTTTTTTTCACCAACAAAAACAACACACCCGTCCTACACAAAGTTTTTAACCACAATTACACATTTAAAATAAAAGGCGATACGCTCAATTGTCAAAGAGCAAACAAATTAAAGTAAAGTTCACTGTGGATGAAAAAACTAGATGACAAATGACGCATGGCATTCATTCCTCCTACTTCTTGGACGATTTTTAAACCAACTGATACCTTTTTCTTCCTTCCTTACGTGTCATGAGCACGAGACATGCACAAGTTTATTTTACAAATCCAGATTATTAGGCCGATAAAAGCAAAAACAGCGGAAAAAGTGGTTACCTTTCGTTGTAATTATTGTGGCACAAATATCATTTTATCGCAAAATGAGTGTATATATGTAATTGACAGTTTTGTTAATTGTGAAGTCTACTCGGTCATAATATCCAATGATATGATTCTACTGAATGGCTGTCTTCTTTAATCGGGGTGGGATTTATTTAATTCAAAAGGATGGAAGGATGGGAAGGGTTCAATTAATTGGATTGAATTGTATATCGCCTTATCCACATTTGATCGCTTATTTTACCCTGATAAAAGTCTTAATTTACTGCATTGAGGTTGGCTCGTTGCTGTATGATGAGTCTGTCCTAGTAAACAAAAAGTATAGCAAAATGCTTAAGAGGTATGAGAAGAAGAGTTTTACAATCTCTTCTCATGATCGCATCAGTTGTAAAAAGCGAACTAAGCTAATTGGCACCTCTTTTTTGTCTTTTCCCGTCTTGCATGTTTTCCTTCGTATTTTTGCAGAGACATTGAAATCGAGTTCAACGCAGAGATGGACCCAAATTTGAGAAAAATGAAGGGTAGATAAGCACACATGTCTGTACTTACTATGTATGTGTCTGTATATCTACGTAAAATAAAGCCGACACGAAAAAATCACCAGTTAAGACGGAAAAATGACAACGCTTAATTGCTCACTTGTTTCAAGAGAGCAAGAAAAAAAACTCATCTAAAGTCTCAAATCACTGAAAATCAGCAACAAGATAAATTTGAAACCATCCCGTGTCGGCACACTTACAAAATCTAAGACAATTAATTATCTCCCAATTCTTCGAGAGAAGTTAGTGTTCCAATTTAGCAAAAATTTATTTCCAATGCGTCTCTTCCTATTGGTTTAAGTGCAGTTCACTGTATCCATTACACATTTACTTATTTAGCAATAATGCCAAATCATTACTACAGAATACCTAAATAGATAAATAAACGTGCCATTTTCCAAAAACAGGAAGGAAGGTGCGTCTGTCAATATTGTGCAATTTCAACAGGACCACTAAAGTAGGCTCAATCAATTTGCTATTTTATTAACAGAGCCCCAAACTAGGTCTACTCTACCTTCGTGCTGCGGCTAAATAGGATGAAAAACAAGAAGAAACATATTTTATTGTTTTCTGCCTGCACCCACACAACAAATAGCTAATGAACCTTTACAAAAAAAATTCAGGTACCCAAAAAGTTTTCAAAAAATGAACATAAAAAATTTTATTACGTGGATCTTGTCGTTGGTTTTTAACCACCATACAAATTCTGCTGCTGCGGCGTAAATAAATACCTACGTGTGAGCCGCTCCCAGTAAATTATGTCTTTCTTGGCTCAAAATTATGTAAGTTGTGAGCAACAAAGTAATTGAAATTAATTGAGAATTCATTTAAATTTTCAGACTAGACACATTCATTACACGTTCTGGTGGTCCTTACTTATTTTGTATGCTAATAAAAACACTTTCACCCTCTGCGTATGTATGTACTTCCCGAGGCAGGAAATGCATCTAAATAATGGGACTAGTAATACGTATTTAGTTATTTTTTAACGAATGCGCAAAAATCACCATAATTTATTATTGGATAATAATGAAATGGAACGTGCCAAAATAAGGTAACTTTAATCAATACTTATCATAAACGTAAACGTAAAGTCAAGAACGCTGCTGACAACAATGTTGTTGCACATGTTCACAACAAATATGTGCATCTAGTCAACATAATAAATAAAGTCTCATGTGCATGTCATGTCTCAATTTATTCACGTCTTCTTGACAGCAAAATTAGGTAAATGTAGCGTATAGTAAAATGTAATCAATCTGCCCCCAGTTATCGTATTATTATTTCGTTTCCTGCGTTTTAGAGTTGGTGAACTATTTGTGATTGTAAATTACTTATTACATAGTTGTACAACTGTAAATAAATATGTACATGGGATTGAGTGGTACATAATTTAGCGTATTAATCAGACAACTGACAACTGTGTATGGTACAAATGAGTAGAATTTGACGAGTGTCAAGCTGTATGTATGATTGAATAAAAATGAAATTAAAAAATACTTTGATAACCTATCTGACGTGAACTATTATCGATGATATGACTCATTATGTCATCAAATCAACAGAATTAAACTGCACTAATTAAGATATTTTTACACTTGATGAAAACGCTTTCCTTCCGATGAATGAACCTGTTTAGTTAACAAATCGTTCCATCGTATAGCCGCTCAATATTTATAGTCTGTAAAATTATCAGTGTTTTTTTACATAATTAATTTATTTCCGCGCTGATCTCGTTTCAAGTTTCGTTTCTGAAACCGGTTATTTTTATCAAAGATTTTTTTTTCTGGGAAAATGTAATGCAAAATAAATAAGTAGATTATGCCATCAACAAATCGACAGGTTACAGGGCTTTGGTCGAAATTGGGTAGAAATTGGGTTTGATAATTTCTTTATGATTTGTGTTCCAAGAAAATATGTTAATTTCTAAGAAGAATTTGCATCTTTCTAGATCATAATCACCGCAAGAAATTTTCAACGAATTCCTTTTGCGGTAGACTTTTTGGCAGGTTTAGAATCAAAAATGATGCGACATGAGTGATGCCTAAGTATTATTATTACTTATTATTGCTTGTCGTGTCACTTACATATTTAAAATTTGCGAATATTACAAAAAAAACATGAGTACACTCAAGTATGGATTAAAAAATGTGTACATACATATCGCCCTTATCAGAACACCTTTCGACAATCCAATCCATAATAATAATTTGTGGATAAGTTGCCAAACAAGTTTTTCGGTTGTGTTTCACTTTCACTCTCACATCTATAATAATCTAAAAAATTCTATTCGCACAATATTTTGGATAACATTGTGTGTGTGTGTCTTAATACTAGAAGAAACTATGTGTGCTTACATCAATTTGGGTAATAGGAAATAAAATAATAGGCAGGTGCTTCAAGTCACAATTAATAAAAAAAGAGAATGCCGTACGTCGTTCTAATGTTAAATAAGTGAAAAAAACTAACGCAAGGTGAACGAATGTAACCTATTGTCTAATAATCTATTGTATTGTCTTATGTACATTGAAAGGAAGGAAATTGATCATTTTCATCTCCAACAACCAGTTTCTAAATGGGAGAGGTCTCTCTTTCTTCGTCATAAACAAGACAAATTTCTAATTTTACGAGTTATCGAAATAATATGACATCAGTCCTCCTCGCAGCTAAATTATTTTATTACAGTCTTCATTTATGCAAAGTTTAAATAATAATAAAATGACAAAATCACGCCCAATCTGTAAACATATAGATACTTTTAGTTTTTCGTAAAAAACGCTTTATTTACTTTTTACCTCGTAATAATTTGCTAAAAATCTCATTCACAACAATCTAATCACACTAATCAAACACACATTTCTCAGATTCACACAGTATAAAGTTCTGGCCAAAAAAACGTAAAAAATTCACCCACAAAAAAAAACATCAACTTCTACACAAATAACGGTAACGAATTGATTCATCCTCACATACAACAAGCACTCAAAAAAGTCGTGAAAACAATCATACAACAATCACACACACACTAAATTCATTCATTCCAAAAAAAAACACTGGTTTCTGTTGTTAGACTAAATTTAGTATTAGACTTTTGACTCTTTGTGCAAAAAAAATTGCAGATATGAATTTGAACTGCTGCTAGAAGAGAGAAGAACCTAATTTTTTATAGCAAGCTAGTGCTTTCTATCGTCTCCACCCGGACCCCCAGCCTTTGGGGTGTTGGATGGCAGCGTTCAATTTTAATCCACCCTTGATTCCGAACTTAATTCTGGGCAAAATTGGGATTGGGATGGTGAACTTGAGGTACTTGAACTTTGGCCAGCCCCATCCCTTGGAAACAGGTGCTTGCCAACCCCATCCGGATGACTGGGCTGGAGCTTCCCAACCTCCCCATCCGCTCTGATCTGCGGCCGCAACCTGGTCAGCGCGCTCTTCCGCGACGGGGATTTCGACAGGGACGATTTGAACTTCCTCCTCTGGGGCGGGAAGGGCGGCGACGAGGACTAGCGCGGTGGCTAGGAGGAACTGTAAAAAATAATGAGGAGAATGTTAAAACCTGGAAATTTTCAGGTTGAAAGTGCGTATAATTGCGCTTTTAATGGTGAAATCGTTCATCCCATCAAATTATATTTATTGACGGAGAAATTCATAGAAAAAAACTATTGATGTACTTTTATGACTTTCAGGCACGCACATTTTGTCACACACACACTTTAGCGAAAGTTTTGTGGTGAAATGAGAAATTAAAATGGGACAGTATTTTCATGTAAACGGCAATAAAAACAAAAATAGACTTACCACAGCCTTGAAAACCATTTTTCGATCCTTATTTGTTTGTCGTTCGGATTAGATGATAGCACAATTATTCGATGAGATAATAATACTTAACAATGCACACACACACTTTCGACAAAATCGTAGAAACAATCGCTCCACATGCGATTCACACCAACACAAGTTTTCGAATGATTGAACACAATTTCAAAATGTGTTTATATACTAGAAATTTTTTGGCAGACCCATCCATGCTTTTTAACAAAGCTTTGTAAAGGAAGAAGAAGAAGGAATCGATTTATGAATAATTTTTAGATTCAGACAACGCTACAAATTGTGTAAAACGATACATATTGCATGCATGTTAGTTCGTAGACGGTGTTGCTTGTGGGGTGATGAGGGGGCTTCCCTTTAACATTTAAAAGTTGACTTGACACATTAAAATGTCAGGCAGGCAGTGGTCAGGCCAGGCAAAGGCGCTGCATTAACACATATTTTTGCTGCTGCTGCTGCCTTCTTGAATGCAAACCACTTTAACTAACTCGTATTTGCTATCACTTCCACTTATTTAATAGACTTCCTTCTCGTTGAAACCTACATTTAATAAAGTTGAACCACCAGCTCTGCCGTTGTCGTCGTCGGGGTCGTAATATTTAAAAGTGGACAATAATTGACCTGTCCATCCGTGATTTCAGCGTTATTGTTCTAGCCAGAAGGCGATGAGGTAATAGGACAGGTCACCAAGATTTACATATGTATGCATGCACTTAATTTGCATGTCTGTCTAGTGGGAAGAAGTTTTATAAAGTAAAGTAAGTAAATAGAATTAGTGCTGCTGATTAATAATTGTCGTTTATGTATGGGTTGCGTTGCGTAATAATTGGCTTGGAGTTTGAATTTCTAAGGAACAGTTTTCAATGAATGGATGGATGAATGAATGAGTGAAATATTATTAATTACAGGAACGAAGCAAGACTTCCTTTTAGCTTCTACTAATTTTTTGGGGTGAGTAGATTAATTAGTGATGATGATTGAAAGTGTAAATAGTGTGGCGTTTATTCGGAACAAAAAATTTTGATAAGATGATCCCTATTATTTTGTGATCTGGTCCAAATTTTATGATGTGAATATGCACTGATTTTTTGACCCGTCATAATGAGAAATATCTTGTACATCCCGTAACAAAGTGGAATGAGAAAATATTAGCAAGCACAATAAACGGAACACATTTGTTAAAATTAAATTTTATGAATAATCATTTATTACTCTTTAGAATTTTTTTATGATAACATGTATTATCAATAACAAGGATGGTAAATATTTTCATACAAAAAACTAATAACTAACGTCGCGTTATTAAATGCTAAACTATAAGCAACGCAACAGTGAAAATATTTTTTCGAAAGATTTTTAAAGGTACCACAATTTTTCCGTCAGTGATGGCAAGGCCCTTTCTCCAATGGCGACGCCAGTAATGTAGGCCAGCTTGTGAGCATATTGACATGGCGCTGGGACGGCCACCGTTCCACTCCAGTTGAAATATAGATGGCACATCTTGTAAGATAGGAGCTGGAGCCGATCCGCCGGCATCGCCATTTCATCCAAAACCACGTTGTAGTTTGTGGGACTCACGGTTCCTTGGCGTACATCCTGGGACACGAGAAAGAAATCGTATCTGTCCAGGAACAAAAAGAAATTGTTGACAAATTTGAACGAAATCGAAATTAAATAGTCAGAATGAATGAATGTTAATTCACCTTTCTGGGAGGGTGACCCCGGTGTCGATGACGGTCCCTACTGGCAAATTTTGCTTCCCATTTAAGAACGCTCGCGTGTTGATTTTTTTCGTCACAATGACGAAAGTGAGCTTGGGCATCTCCTCTCCGGCTGCTCCGTAGACATCCGTAATCGCCAGCTTCATTTGGGCGATCTCATGGGATAGGACGTAGCCAATTTGTCCCTCGCCGACACCATCACGATACATGACGATTTTACTGGGCAGGTACTGGTTGATGCGCATGGATTCTTGCAACATAACTTGAAAGTAAACAAAAGAAAAAATCACCAAAGGACTTGTTATAATGAAAAAACATGTAAACGTTCAAGATTACTTACTCGTGAAATCTGTAAACAGATTTGTTGCCAGCTCGGATTTGTCCTTGTGGAAGGAGACTAAGGAGAGGTACGATGTTAGTGAGGGGGAGCTTGTTGCCACCAACGCTCCAGCACTTTCTCCTTTTCGATTGCTGCAATGGTAGACGTCCAATCCCAACACCATCAGCTTCTATTATTTGCAAGAAATCGAACCAAAACCATTCAATTTTCGAACAAGAAATTATGACGACATTATTTTATCAATAAAAACAAAATCAAATTACTTTCAGAGGCACTTTCACCGACCATGGTACACCGCCCAATTTGGCTGTCATCTGGATGATAACCTTACTTGCAATCGAGTTCAGGTTTTTGTTTGTCAAGTTCTTCGACAAAAAGCATTGGGATGGAACTGAAGAAGGAGAAAAAAATTACAAGACCTTGTATTTAATAGTAATTGGACGAGATGAAAAGACAAGAAAGTTACCTCCCAACACGAGCGTAGTGTAGTTCTTAATCTCCGCATATCGGCGAAGCGTATTATTGGGAAGAACGAAGAATACGAGATCCAATTGTCCGAAGTTTCGAATCTTCTCATCCAGAATGGTCTGGTCGTATCTATTGACGTCATACTCGATGCTGCAAAAACAGGAAAAAAATAAATCCGTTACAAAAAAAATGCCAGCAGTTTATCTTCCTAAATGAGAAAAACAAGCTTACATGTCCAGAGGTTGAGACACTTGGATCCCAATTTCCTGTCCCATCTTCTTGAGAGTGGTCAAGAATGATCGAGTCGCGGGAACGTCCTTTGGCGGGCTCATGACCACCCAGCGCTTCACATGTTCTGGTTTCAACATCTCGCTGCGAGAGTCTGGAACAAAAGAAGCATGCAAATTAATTAGAACACAAATTGGTAAAACTAAAAGATAAATGACTCACTCTTCATTGGGCGCGTCCAGTCGCCCTTGTCATCAGGCAAGATTGGACTGTCGGGGTCAGGTCCAAGAACGATCTGCTGCTTCTTCATGATTCTGGCTTCAGTGTTAAGCGCAGTAGCAGCAAATTTGATGTTCCAAGCTGCAAACTCCTCTTGCACCTTTTCGTTTGTCGTTAGCCGGTACATGAATTCGTCCAACTTTTTCTTGCGAGTTGTAGGATCCATGTGGAGATGTTCGGATAATCGCTTCATCAGGGAGAAATTTTTACGCATATCGTTGGAAAGTCCTGTCGGATTACAGAGCGAGGGCAACAAATAAATGTCCCCGGTTACTCCTTTGTTGATGTCCTTCTTTTTTGGCTTCGACACCAGCAGTGGTTGCTTCATCATCTCCTCCGTGATGGTAATGTTGTACCTACATTGGTAGTACTCTGCATATGTCTGGATTGAGCCATCCTGTCCACGGAAGCTCGATGCAGGGGTGGCCTTGAAGTCCACATCCGAGATGGTGTAAGTTCGCCGGTTGTAGTGCGTCATGACAATCGTGTCCTCGATTTCGGCTCGGACAGCTTTCTCCTAATAAAAACATATCAAACGAAAAATCAGTAAAAATTGATTCAAACAAACTACGATCATTAAAAATGTAAATAAACAAATGACTTACGAAGTCGTTGGCGGACATTCCAGGCTGCTTGATAGCCCGCATCAAATCCAGGACGGTACAAGTTCGAAGGACCTTGTGAGTCACTTCAACGCACAAGAGCGTTCCCCTCTCGTGATTCCGAATGGCCGTGATAAACCCAGGCCACAGTTCCAACCGGTCTTGCGGAAACTTTATGGCCGCCGCCCGGTCATACATATTCCTACCCAATTCTTCCATGTTGATTAATGTCATGGTCTTTCGCATGACGATATTGTAAAATTGAAGATACATGGAATCTTCTGGGTTCACTTGTCCAACCAAGCGGATGGTGATGGTGTAGGCCACGTTTCCCGCAACACTAGTAGCGTGCAACGTCTGAAACTCCTTGGGAATCAGCCGGGTCCTGTACATAACAGATCCATCAAAGACATACTTGTTCAAAGTGTCTTCATGTTGGCGTAGGAGGGCTTTCTTGATAGACGTATTGTCTTCAACAGGGGTAAAGTCGACCCGGAATTGATATAGATGAAAGTCGGGAGTCTCGTTCATTTGGTAGTAGTTGGTCACCACCTGCACTTTGTGGCCATCCTCTCCCACTTTGTTGAAGCCATCGTTGATTGTTTTCACAATCGATGACTCCTGCGAGTAGTTGGATGTTGATGTCCTACCACCCGAGGATCCAGTCTCAGTAGACTGTCGCGTCGTCGAGACTGATTCATCGCTGCTCATGTTGTCAGTTGTTCCCGTGACGGTAGACGATGGAGCGTAGGTGCTCGAACTCGACTGAGAGCCAGCGTCGTTGTCCCGAACTGTGCAGAAAATGAACCATTTAAATTACCAGTCTCTCAGGTTAGTACTGTTATTATTATAATCAGAAATAAAATATTATGATTCACTTACGACTGATCGAATCAATTTCCAACGCCGTTGAAAATGACATGACTGAAGCATCACTGTCGATGTCACTCCCTGCTGGAGCACCTTGTGGCTGAAACATTAAGAAATATTAATAATTGCTTAATGTCAGTCAACTTTAATCATATTTGTGTTATGAATTTATTTAATAACATTCAGGACGAAAGGTTTATACTTAAAAATGGTGAACAAATAATTTATAAAATCACTCACGACAAACCGATTTCTTCCTTTGGCCCGGCCACGTCCCAGTGATTTTGCTTCTTGTTCCATTTTAAATTCCTTGTTGAATATGTGGAACAGAATAAATTTTTCTATAAGAAAAAACAATTTTTTTCCGTTGATTCTAACATGACTAAAAGTGAGAAAAAAATAACACGAATCTCGAAGTTCGTTGCACTGCGCGAGGGTGAAAGTGACCTCTCGTGTGAAAGAGAAAAGAAAGAGGAGGCATGCTGCTCTCAGCCCAACATGGCCGCCAGCAAGCAAACTTCTCTCGGAGAAAAAAAAAATCACCCCCAAAAAAGTTTAAACCCCATCAAAACCTGACCCCCCTACAAAGCTCTTCACAAAAATGACTGGGCTGTCTGCCCCCACTTGAATTATGAGCGGGGGGAATGCCTCACAACAATTAGCAGAAAAAGAGAAAAAACGAAAATTTTACGACTAGTAATAAATACTACAAAATAACACCACCTCCTCGAAGCCACACCTACCCATGCAATTAAAAGAGCAGGAGTGGCAGTGGGAGGTGTGTTTACCAGTGGGGAACTTTTGAAAGTTCCCGAAAAAAAAACTTGTGGAAACTTACCTGGAGAATTGAAGAGAGTTTATTTCTTGCTTCCGACTTGGTGTAGATCTGAAGGCAGACTGGAGACTGGAGCGAACGAGCAAGCTGAAGTCGAAGTGAGTGAACGCTAACGTTTTTTTTCTGCTCACTCACGATAGGCCACGTCAGAGCGAGGGGCGGAGTCTCATTTGCATATTCTCCAAGCGAATGAACTTTTGGTTTTTGTTTGAGACGACAGGCTGTCTCACAAGAATTTCGTGTCTTTCTATTTTTACATTTTTAGGAAACTTTGCAATTCCTTTATATATTTGCGATTTTATTTTGGATGAATTGGTGAATAGAAATAGTTAGATGATTTTTTATAACAGGGTGGATTGGGAATAAGAGTGAAGGACAGAGAATGAGGTACAATTTAGCGAGGATGTGGTTTTATGAGAAGTTGAGAGTCTCAACTCGAGAATTTAAAATTTAATTTCTACATAATATGTAAATAGTCGTAAAACAAAATTAGTATTTAATTAATGCAATTGCAATTACTGATGAGATGAGATTCCATGTTTTTAAAATATTCGGAAAATAGTCGAAATGCAAATTTCCGAAGCCCCGTGAAAGGTCGTTTCATATGCGAAGCATGGAGAATTATTTTATTTAAAATCATTAAGAAACATTGTACAAAAATTAATTAGTTTGCAATATTATTGGCGATCCATCCGGTGCAATAGACATCTACATTAGATAAACCACATTAGAAAAACAATTTCTTATCAAGCGAGCCTAAATACCTTGAGATAAGACAGGCACTCACCTTCAAGTCATCATCTCCGTCGCCACCATACATTTTTGGAAATTGTTCGACGGGGATACATTTCTCAATTTCATTTCGCCAAGTGTCACGATCCGAACCAAGCATGATTATTTTTCTCGCCGTCTTCTCGTCCATCACCGGACGAACAAATTTCCATAAAATTTGAAACGTCCATGGGGCTGTTGTCAGGTAAAAGTAATGAAAAGCATATTTGCAACGGAATTATTTGCGAATCAGTAAGTTTGTTGTTGGTAGAATTCTAACAAAATATACATAAATATTTCTCGAATTTTATGCAAGCAAACTACTCTCAGCTTTCATCCCCAACTTACACAACTCACGGCATGAGCAAAAATTTCATCCATTTCTTCCATTAAAATGTAAATAATATGATATAAGTAATATGTACATACATACATACCATTCACGACAAATCCTTGTCCTAACATTTCTGGGTAATTACTGTCGAAGACTTGGCACGCCTGCATTATAACTTGAATCGCTTCGAGGGATCGGACTTGCGAAAATGAGAAGTTTTTAAAGTCATATATTCCAACGAATTGACCCATCCAAGATTTCCCTTTGTTCGAACGAGCACAAAATCTAGTGGCAAGTTCCATGATTTTGATACAGTATGATATTAAGTCTAAGCCTTGGCCAGCAGCTACGGCTGATCTGATATCCCATTCCCCAATTTTTGCGATGAGTACTGGAATTTTTTTTAAGTACAATTTTAATGAGTTTAATTGAGGAGGTTGCTGATATTGATGGCACGCTTGCAAAGGATTCCATACATTACGTATATATATAATAAGTGCAATAATTTGTATTTATAATTGGCAATTGGCATCATAAGGATGGTTTTTCTCCCTAAAACAAAAGTCACCCATTTTTAAATCGTATTTATTTTTACCCACCTGGATTATTGTTTTTATCTAAACCGCAGATGTGCCAGGGAAAAAGACCGTTCGGACTCCAGCCAGGGGGATCTGATCTGGCGACGAGGTCATCAATGGCATTCTCCTTCAACCAAAGGTGGTTCTACATACATATTGTGTGAGAACAATAATTGGTAAATTGACCATAGTTGAGTTTGTCATGGCTGGTAATTCCGGTCAAGTGATTAATTAAATTAATTAAGATACTGCGCACCTTGCGTAGCATTTGTTCTGCTGGAGTAATACTTTGTTTCCCAGCTAAACCGAATAAAAATACATATATATATTGTGTATGTGTTAATTTCTTAATTAAAAGTTTTACTGACCTCTCAACCATCTCACCAAATTTTTGTCGTCCTTATGTTCCTGAGCTAGATTTAAATCTGCGACTCGTTTCCGAAGCTGATTCAAAAGTATTCCGTTTTTAAAGTCATTACAGTCATACATCAAATCCTACAAGAAACTTAAATATGTATGTACATAAATCCTATGCAAATCTTACCTCCTGAATTAAATTCTTCTCATGCTCACTCGCTGCATGTGACGCGGATTCCATTTCAATTCGAGTTCCAAGAGTCAATTTAGTATCAAACCTTAATTCTGATCCCTTTCAGATTAACTTGGTATGTACATTCCTAGGTAAATCTCAGCTCCATGCAATCCAATTCAACTGTTCTGAAACAAATGCAGAGTGAAATAAAATTATGACCAAATCGTACGCCTTACACAGAAGAAAAGTGCAGATTGATTGGGACAAGTCATGCAAAAAGATGAAACTGCGCTGCAAAGCATCATATATGAGCGATCTTAAGGAATTCCAAAGCATAAGTATAAGACGGTGAAGAAAAGAGGAGGATAAATCGTTAAAAATCATAGCACAATAAAATGGAACGACACATATGTACATGCTGCGTTACTGATTAATGCATTAGAATGAAACCTTATAAAATGCATGTCTTTTGGAGAGACGACATAAAAACTATTTTCATGGGCTTTTTCCTCATCTTTCTGACTATAATTACTCCTTCCAATCAATCCAGAGTTTCATCCTTGAGTCAAAAAGTTACGTAAGTGATTGTGCGTTAAGTTTCCTTCACCAGTTCGATCAGTCTAAATATTATTATGCAAACAGGTTTGTGGCGATTGGCGATGTGTAAAAACATGTACGAAAAATCTATGCTGGACTGGACTAAACTAGATATTATTCGCTATATTAATAATTAACCATCGTAAAAATTTATCTGTAATGTAAATAAGCACGCCAAAATTTAACGAATTCTATTCCATGCAAATGCATATCTATAGAATGAATGAAGCGACAAATGTCCAATTTAATGCCATGATTTTGTACATATTTCTGTCGATTGACTGTGAGAACCACAGATTAGGATATAAGAGAGGTGAGAACTATTTGAAAGCATACACTGCATATTTGCACAGTATTTGCAGAGTCTGAAATTTATAGTGTGTAATAAAATGCAAAGGGAAAATAATAAATATAAATAGGTATGCATTTTTGTTTATATATTTACGTATATATAAATCGTTATATTAAGTATTTATCCAACTTGTTACTGAATTTCATTGGATTTACAGCTATATTAAATGCTTACAAACCGTAATGAAATGACTCATCGTAGTAATGATATCAATTTAATTTAAACTGGACCACTTAAAATTCTGACCAAAAAGTTGTCAACAGGAATTTCTCTCGAAAACGACAACAAATTCCATCATTTATATGCGAATCGTTCAAAGTTTGAGGTATTATAATGTCCATGACTTGAATACAGAGTGCATGACTTACGGGTTGTCTGATGTCAAAAAATGTCCAAATATTGGGTACCTGTCAACTACTTACTGTGACTACCATTAAAGCTTCGTTTCATATCTTTTGGAAAAGGGTGGTCGTGGTCGTTCATGTCGTGTATGCAGTTCGTGCGGTCATGACGAATGGCTCCAGATCGGAATACAAATGATCTCTGCAAGGTTATATTTGTCTAAAGTTTCTCAGGAGCAATTAGCAGTTAATTGTAGCACCCACCGCAGTTTAATTTAATGAAACACTTAACATAAACGTCAACGACTTTTTTATTATGTATATTTAGATATGTATGTACAATAAGCTTGCATATCGTCATTCGTCATCACGACTGAACTGAACGATAAAACTGAGACGTATGTATGTGCACTCGGGTGACTGGCGTTGGTGACACTGACCATATAAGAAGGTTCAGTGTTGAGAAAGTTTTGTCATTTGGTGAATTGGAGGTGGCGAAATTTGTTGGTGTTGGAATAACGATAAGCACTCAGAATGAATAAATTTGTAGTTTTGGTAAGCGTTGATTTATTTTTTCACCTGAAATACAAGGAAATTTAGTCTAAAAGTATTTCGCAATATTTTAGTCAATTTTCGGAGTGCTATCCATTGCTCTGGCAGCCCCACTCGGACCACCGGAAGATAACGAGCCAGAGACGACGCTGCTGGGTAAACGGCAAGGAGAACTTGACACTGCGGGTACTTTTGGCGTCAACGTGTACACGAATCCGTACGGAGGGGGATTATATGGGGCGAGTGCAGGCATTATGAGCCCCTACGGTATCGGAGGGTACGGTGGGGGGTACGGCCTTAGCGGCCTTGGCGGTGTGGGGGAGGGTACGGCCTTAGCGGCCTTGGCGGTGTGGGGGGAGGGTACGGCCTTAGCGGCCTTGGCGGTGTGGGGGGAGGGTACGGCCTTAGCGGCCTTGGCGGTGTGGGGGGAGGGTACGGCCTTAGCGGCCTTGGCGGTGTGGGGGGAGGGTACGGCCTTAGCGGCCTTGGCGGTGTGGGGGGAGGGTACGGCCTTAGCGGCCTGAGTGGCTTTGGGGGAGGACTTGGTGGTTATTCGTAAGTCAGCTCTATTTAATTCCATCCATTTTTTTCGAAACTGTGTAAAAAGAAATCCAAACTTGTGTAATAATACGATCAAATCGAGACCCGAATTAATTAAATAAAGTCACGTGTGCAACCCATAAATAAACAGAGACGGAGGTGGCAAGTCGCATTTGAAAATGAAATTGATGAGGTTTCTACAAAGCTTGTCCGCCGCGGCTGGCATGGGGGTCATGGGCGGAGGTGATCAATTTAGTGGTGGGCAATTTTTAGGACCCGCAAGACTCACGCCTAACGGAATTGGGCTACAATAGTAAGTGTTGTAGAAATCAAAATCATGGAAAAAATTCCTCCTTCTGCCAACGCTGTTTACTTTTTGTTAAGAAAAAATCTCGCATAATACTCAGAAAATTAATTAGTATGTAACAGTAACCACTAAAACCTCGCCGTCTTCCGCCTATTTTCATGTCTGTCTGGTAAAATAACTTCTACACGGAGCGCACACATCATTAAATATTAAGCACACATATGTACGTACAACCCCCTTGGTAAACCTTTACTGTTTAACCAGTTAAATAAATTAGTAAACACAAATTTTCCAATCCAAGCTTTCTCCATTTTTTAACAAAATATGATCCCAACCACGTTTCAGCCCGTACGGAGCTGGCGTCCTTACCGGTAATCAGTATGGTTTCGGATTTGGAAATCAATTCGGAATCGCTGGAGCTGGCCTTGTCGGTATTGGTTTATCAATGTTAATTTATATCATACCGTGACACAAGTAGTTGACCAGAGGATTTCTGTTTGTGTAGGGTAACCAACTCGGCGGGGGTGGTGTTCGCCTGGGCGGAGGTGGGCTGGGGGGAATTGCCATGGGGGGCTATTTTCCCATGTCACCACTCGGTCTTGGTCTTGGCTTCGGACAAGCATCACCCATTCTTGATGTGACGAAACGACGAATTGTAGACTCTTTTGGACGATATGTCGCCCAGCGTATTCCATCATTGCTGGACCGTGTCTTTGTCAGAGGCATGGATGATGATGACGATGACGATTATTATGACGACTGACCCGTGTAAAAATTGGTTCAAATTGTTTTTTTAATTTTTAGTAAATTATTATTGTTGACACATTTTACCTACATGAATAAATAGCCTTTTTCGTACGTCTCTTACTACATGAATCTGTTATATGAAAGGTTTTCATCACTTTATTTTTTGGATAATTTTGCACATATTTAATTTGTAGGAACAAAAATAAAAAGTAATCATAAATTTGTTTTCTTGGTTTGATCGAATTTGAATTTGTTTGTGGGTTACGAATAGAATAATAATATCACAGGTAAGTTTTACAATTTTTGTCTCGATTTTTCTTAACAATTTGGAATTTTATCAAACCAGGAGTCTAATATAATACTGCGAATCAGTCCGAATATTTTGCATTGGGCATTGTGGTGACTAATTTTTTTACCAATAAATAAAACCTCGGGATAAATACGGACGTAATGTTGGGGACACATTTATTTAGTAAGCCCCGTGTCCATGACCAAAACCACCGAAGGCAAGAGTGTGACCACCAGCGAATCCATAAGATGGAGCAAATCCAGAGTAATATGCGCCATGGCCGTGACCAATTCCGGCGCCATAACCTCCTGATAGAAAAACACAATTTGATAAGACAATAATTATTTAGTCTTGATAAGGGGATAAGATCATACCATAACTCTTTCCGTAAGCTAATCCATGATAACCATTTCCGTACCCGCCTAATAAAACAATATTAATTTAGAACTATTCGAACGGTAAAAAGACATATTTAAGATGCTTACCATATCCTCCTATAAAAATGGAAGACAAAAAATGTCAAAGAAATTTAATTTTTTTCAGAAATAGGGTTTTAGCCCGAGCCAAAAATTGTGGTGGCGATATTTTGATATATTTTTTTCAAAATACCAAGAAAATTCATGGCTCGGGCTATATCACGTATGCAAATTTGTGCTAACCATATCCACCGTATCCACCTATAAAAGAATACAACGCATAATATAATAATGCATTATTATCTAATAACGGAATGTGAGGAGAAAGACAGCGCTAAGATAGGTTTGATATTCACTTGAAACTTTACCATATCCAAATCCGCTCCCAAGGTACGCACCTCCTGCGATGATAATGGTTCCCACAATTAGTAATCAATTAATTATTGATCGTCCCTAATAATTTAAATACCGTAATATCCTCCATGTCCTCCTAAATGACCTAATCCGCCCAACTGGCCTAATCCCCCGTAGTATGCGCTTCCCTCAGCTTTGAGATCCTCCTTTTTCTCGGGAGATGCTGCAACCGCTCCGGCGACAAGGAGGGCGAAAAGTGCCTGAATTTTACACATTTTTAAAAATAAGACACACGAAGCACTATCGCAGAAATTTTGAGTTATGCCAACTTACTGCGATCTTGCTCATTCTTGAGATTTCCTAAACTTAAGAATCACTTTAAAAAAAATATAAATATGATTCCCCGTTGAGAAGAGGACTGAACTGAACCACTTGACGAATTGGTACAGAAATGAAGAGTGGATTCACATTTTATAAGAAAATTGACAAGGCCGGTACAAAAGGTACACGAGTTATTGGACCAATTAATAAGAAACATGTAAAATGTGTTAATCTCACAGGAATCTTTGTTAACAAATTAACAAGGCTGGGTATATGTGGACTATTTACTAAATAAGACTTAAATTAATATGACATAACACTACGCATTGTCATTTACATAGTCAGACTTATGTACTGATTTAATACACACACAACTCATGCACAACCTTAGTCGCAATTAATCTAAATCCCATGCAGCACATCTTAACAATGGAATATGCATATAAAAAAGTGCAAGAGTTGAGTCGTTACTTTTACTTGGAACTAAATTAAATGGAGCATTTGTTGAGAATTCCTGACTTTTTTTGTAAAATTCATACACACAACAAATACGGTGTTAGTGATTAATTCAATCCACTTGAATATGCTGCTGAGTTGATAATTGACGAGCAACTTGATAATGGGATTTCTTCAATGGGTGGATTTTTAATAACATAAAATTATTATGTACAATTCCAAATTTTACTCTTTTTATTATTATTATAGCACAGTTTCATTTCAATAAGTATTTACGAAATTTAGCAGAGGTGCACTAACAAATATGGTTCAACTTCAAAGGTATTGTTATGATGCGTTGTTACGAAATGGTTGATGATTTTTAGCAACTTTTTTAACGAGCATCACTGGGTACGTGTTACATCTCCGTTTTGGATGCGATGACGCGTGCCATATATTTTCTAATTGTGTTGATAACGTACCTGGTACAGTGTCATAAATTGTAAGAATTAACGTATTACTTTGATTTCTCTAATTAAAAGTTGTTTTGTTATTTCCGCTTATCAAGAAATGATTTATGGAACTTATCCGCAGGGTTAGGAGTTAACCGACGGGAGCAGGAGTTGTGGGGCTCGGTTTCTTGTCAAATAATCTCTTTGACTTGTTTCCAGCTTTATTTAACGAGAAATATTTAATTTCTCTATTAAAATCTCATTCAAACCCATGTGAACTAGTTACATATTTCTTACTTTTGTCAAAGCATTGCAGCCCAACTTGCACGACTTGATCTTCTTTGTTGGTTTCCTCATCGAGAATCGTGTACGTATCGGTCACTCTTTTGCACGTGCCTGGACTTTTAGTTGTATTACAGTTTGCCATTTCCTTAGCTAACGGATTCTTTGTCCGGTTGCACTGGTAAATCGTCTCGAGTCGACATTTGTCAAATGTTGCAGTTTCATTGGGAAAGTAGGCTTTACTTTTCACCATTTCATGACCACAATAGCTTCCAGGAAGCGGAAAATTAACGGGACACTGACATCCCTCGATATATTTGGAATTCACGGTCAAAAATATGCCATTCCAATTCAGAAGAATTATAAGAATAGATAAAGTTATGAGACTGGAAAAATACGAATTCTGATGAATTTTTGAGAAATAATTCTCTGTTTTTGACATTTTTGTGGTGGTGGATTAAAAATTAGGTAGAAAAAGTCTGGTACATTTGTAAGCCATTTTCATTGTCTGCTTCGATTGATGACGTTTCATGAGTTTGATTGACCTTGATGAATGAATCCTAATTGTTAATTGTTTAATATGAAATTGTGCGCTTGAATGAAATGAAAATGAGAACAAGTAAGTAATTTTTTCTTGAGTACATACTTTGTGTTTTATTATATAGTAGAACAATTTAGGATCATGATCAATGTTGGCTAGCTGAGTATATTTTCATATATTGTAAAACAAACTTGAATAGAATGTTCACGGGTTTTTTTAAGGGACGGGACTTAAATATGAGAATTAAATACTGTTGTAATATTAGTAAGGGTTGCATTGCAGTCTCACAAAAAAAAACAATAATAGTGGGCACAATTTTGAGATTGTTTCGAATTGATGGCATCATCAGGTATAAAAAAATATGTTATCGCTCGTGTCGGGGTTGACAGATTGTTACCCGTAAAAACCACCTCGGTGTCCCCCGTAACCTTTTCCGTGCAGATTCATTGAATTAGTTAAGTACTTAACGTAGAGGTCATGTCATAAACTCTTACCACCATAGCCAAGACCTGAAATTATTAAATATTGGTCAATTAAATAGTCAATTAATTGGAGCTATCAGAGGAGCTATCGTTTACCTCCGCCATAAGCTCCATAACCTCCAAGACCGCCGACACCATAACCTGTAGGTACCATGAATTATTACATGAAATAATTACATGTTACATGCTACTATTTTTCAGCATTTTGAATAATACTCACCCCCGTACCCACCCAGACCGTACCCCCCATAACCAAGTCCTCCAAGACCTAGATAATAAATTTCATAATAAATTTCCGAATTGACCCTTTAAAACAGTAAAAACGGAGGAGTTATCGTTTACCTCCAATGCCATATCCGCCGCCGAGACCGTAACCACCATAACCTGATTATTTCATGAAATTACATGTTACATGCCATTATTTTTCAACATTTTGAATACTTGAGCTATCAGACTCACCTCCATATCCACCCAAACCCCCTTTATATCCTAATCCCCCAAGACCTATAATTGCATAATTAATTTCCGAATTTAGATTCATGGCTCGGGCTATATCACGTATGCAAATTTTTGCTTGCCATATCCACCGTATCCACCTGAAAAAGAATACAGCACATAATATAATAATGCATTATTAACTAGTTAAATAAATATGAGAAGAAAGACAGATCTACGATATGTTTGATATTCAGTTTAAATCTTACCATATCTTCCAAGTCCAGCACCTCCTGCGATGATAATTATTTATGAGTAATTAATTAACAGTTATCAATTACTGCTCGTCTCTGATTATTTACCATAGTAGCCTCCCAGTCCACCCCCATATCCGAGACCACCGTACAAGTTTCCTTCCGCAGTTTGAAGCTCTTCCTTCTTCTCCTCAGCAGCAGCGGACACAAGTGCCACACAGGCGAAAAGGGCGACGACAGCCTTTTATAAGAATAACGAGAAATAAAATAGTTTTCAAAATGGAGAGAACTAGAAACATAATATTTTCAAATATGTATTTTGACAAAATTTCTTACAATCATGGACTTCATTTTTGGAAAATGTATGATGATTCAATTTCTAATCTCAAGTAAGAGCTGAGAGTGAACTGATGCCATCTGGATACCATTTTAGTCCTTTTATACGGATTCTCCATAATCACTTCTTTCTGCCCAATTGTCTCATTTGAATTACCAAGGAGTGATGATGACGATGATAATAATAAATATATAGATAGTTAGCCCTCAAAAACATAGGCAAGCCCTTTGCCCACAATTTTGTGGGGTGCTACTCAAACATACATAAGTTCATATGGACGCTATATCATCAAGCATTACACTGACTGACTCGCTCACTTAATATGTAACAACATGGAAAACGTAATATTTATGGGGTGAGTAAAGTAATTTAGTTTATCGTAATTTGTTAAATTTGCAACATGTACATACACTTATAATAGAGGTTGTTAGATACTTAACTAGTTGGTGGTGGTAGTGTCGTTATGTATTAAGTATTACACTAAATTGAGGAAAAGGCTCACCAGTTCCACGTGGGAATGTCTGCATTATGTATCAATGTTACCTTTGTCAAAACTACGAAACGTTGTGTAGGGCACGGTTTATTGTTTCTTGGCTAAAAAAACTAAAATCCACCTGACATGACAAGAGACGTATTCATTGCCTGGACTTGACACTGCCTAAGATTAAGTCTGCAGGTTAAAATTTTTAGTGGTCATCATTGATAAAGCGATGAATGTCGACACGGTGCTGCCACTGAATGCATAAATTGGAGCAGGTTTAATGAGTCATTATTCTTCAGGTAATAAGCAATTGGTGGTCTGGTCTTACCGCTGCGTGAGATTACTTTTTTCTATTGTAATGTTAAATAATAATGTTGTTTCGTTTCATCAATCGAGTTTTATTGATTCAGTTATTGACACTGCTAGGACACAATTTAATTTCGTTCCTGTGGGACAACTTGACGAGATTGCAATTTTTAATTTAAATGTCGATTTTATTAGTGACACCAAATTTTTAATTGCGCAATAACATTGTTTCTTTGAGATATCTCGGACAGACCGTGAGTAAGTTGTGATGATGCTGCAAATTGATGATGATGAAAGAATGTAATATAATTTTGCTCCTAATTAAATCTACATTCATAAAATTTCGCTAAAAATTCGTATTCTAGTTTTGTGGTGCATGTGCACGTACCACCAATTTACTTAACAAATAAAAAACATAATCAGATTTCACATTTTACATCTCGAACGATAAAATCAAACATTTAGTCGTCATCTCCACTTCATAAAAACAATTAGCAACAAGCCAAAATTACGTAAAATCTATACATAGTGCTAAAATCACAGAGGTGCACTAAATAAAAATGGTTGCGCTCCCAATTCCAAAAAGTCAACACACTTTTAAAATGAATGATACTTTTTTTATAAAGTACGCAAAACACGGCAATAAATAAATCTCGTGAGAAGTCGTAGGTACCTTCCAGATCTTTTAATTTGATTAATTACTCAGCAAAACCAAGGAAGCTACTCAAACTCCTCTCTCGAGGATGAGGTAGCACTATTTTTGTTCATCAAGGGCAACAAAACAGTTCAAGAATCCACAGGGTACTTGTACGAACATATCTTTTTTAAGATTCTGGGTGTGTGGTCTTGTCAAATTTTTGGCATAAATTTACGTATTGTTTCAACAATCCCAAACATTTAAGCTGGTATAATGGACTCATTTTGTGTATAAATGGACTGAAGGTAAAGGTGAATGTTATATAAATTGAATTTTGAAATTACTATACCAAGAAAATTGCCTAGATAATTCAATACGAAGGGTTTTTTTGGTCCATTTGGTCTGAAGAAGAAATTGGTTCTGCAAACTGTTGTATGCACCTCTGTGAAATGTAATCTGTTTGATTGTTAACTTAATTGTTGCGTCAGGTGAGATCATGCGAAACGGACGCGACGCTGCCACCACGATCAGTGCCTTGCACTAATGTCTCCCAAGTATTAGCACAACATAATAAATCCAAGGGTTTTCGTAGGTACTGCGCGAGTTCAGGGCAGAATGTTAAGGATGAATAATATCAGGATATCGTCGTCGCCAACGCCACGCCACAGCCGCCGCCGCCAAGTTTGGCATAAAACATCCGACCATGTGATGAAAGTGGAAATTCAATGAAACAATACGAAGTTAACCATATGAATGTGAGTCGAATTGTTGTCTTATTTATTTACTTATTATGTGAGATGGATGAATCACACAGTGCGGAAACTTGGTTGATCAATTGTTATAATGATGACACACACGTTAACAAGTGGTGATTCTGAATGAGGGAATTTGTCACATTCGTTTTCGTCTGTGGCATGAATTTCAGTATGGAATCAATTACTGTACTTCTTGCAACTTCCTGATATTAAACTGAAAATTGTAAATAATTTGATGTAAAATTTGCAAAAGTTTTTTTTTCTGCAATTTTATTTTTTGCTAGTACAACAATAACAATGTTTTAGTGGTACATATACATGGAATAATTACATTAATATTAATTCGAGTCCTTCATTTTACCAGATAAAGCATGTACAATTTGTATTTTTCCAACGAACGAATTTGTAGTGAAAATGTTATTGCGTCATAAATATTGCAACAATTTATTGGAGTTTGATTCAATGACACTGAAATTATTTACGTTTTGTGATGAATCACTTTTGACTTGTTGACTTGAAACACGTAGTTTAGCGTCCTGAGAAAGAATCACACACGCCAACACCTAAAACCACACAAATTCCCTGGCATTTATCACCTTCAGTTGGTTACTAATTCCACTGCCAAGTAGTAGATAAGCCGTGCTCCATATTGTATATTTATTGGTCACACACACACAACAATGTCATGTCCTTCCATTTTGATCGTCATTAACAAAAAGCAAATTAATTATTTCGACGAAATCACACCATTAAATGCGGAGCTACTTTGTAATACACTTGGTTATTAAGTACGTTACTTTGCCTGCCAGCCAGCCACTCCTTGGGCTAGTTTACATGAGACTTATGTGCACAATGTTTCTGATCAGTTGAATTACTGCATTTTTGATTACGGATTTATAATTGCGGATTGTGGTCTAGTATTAAGAATGATAAGTGAATGTGTGTACATATGGGCAGGGTTAAACTTAAAGTTAATCTGCCAGACTAGATGCATATATGTAGGTAAACTTGACAGATAATAAATTATTACAGACGGCCAGACCGTGTCAATCTTGATCTTGATATTATTTATTATTCATTATTCTTCTTACATATTATGCATTTCCAGCTTTTTTGCCAATTGTGTGTGATGGACGCATGGTTTTTCTTGCTAATTTTGTTGAATGGGAAATATGAGACTTTTGCAAAAATTTGCAAAAATATTACGCTTTATAGGTTTTATTACTTCACGTACACAGGTATAACCCAAAAGAGGAATTTTTGGGTACACAAATTTGTTTTAGTTTACTTAATAATCGTATTAGATCGATTAGCAGATAAGGTTTGTTTGAGCATTGATGTAACCGAGATAAGTTTGTATCTTCTCCTCACATAAAAATAGCTAGTATTTGTACTTATGTATGTAGCACTGTGTTTTTGAGGAGATGCTGGCAACGATCTAATTCTGTTGTTTGTGGTATATATCACTTGTAACTTGTGTATCACGTCGAAATCATCAATGATAAAGAGGAAAAGTAATTATTAAGTTGTAATTAAGTTCTGGTGCATTTTGATTAATCCGTTTTGGCACTTAAAATGTGCTTATTAAGTATTTTTATTATGAAGAGGAGGGGGGTTTATTTAAGGTACAAATATGTACGCCTAGCCTGGCAGAGATTGAGATTAAATATGATCCATGCTATATTTTTGGCAAAATTGATCTGATTCTTTGTGGTTCTAAAATCCGTGTGATCCTGATTTTGCGAAAGATAAGACGTAAACACAGGAGTTCGGCGTGATACCTGCGGCGTAATAAAATGTAGTGCAAAATTTGTGCAAAATTCACCCTCACTTTATTTATATCGTACCTACTTGTTTTTGTACCTACGTACACGCCACAAACACGAGGAAGAAAGCCATAAATCCCCAACCAGACAGATTTAAACTTTTCGTATCTCAATAAAAGATCAAAATCGCAGAAAAACACAGATTTTGCATCAGAAAAATAATACGATGAAAGATGTTTCAATCCTTTTAATTTCTAATCTTATCAAAGTGGCAATCTTTAATTAATCAGTTTGCGAATTTTTACTTACATACGAGACGAATTCCTAGAATTATAAATACACAGCATGGCGCTATATGTACATACATATTATTTATTAATGAGCAGAGTTTATAGAGGTTGAAACCTATTTAACCAGTTATTTAAATAAAATACTATAAACTTATTTAACGGTTGACACCACTTTGTGTGCTCGGTTTCATTTAAAATGGGATAAAATTCAAACCTGAGATGAGATGAAGGGTACTACGCGTTGTAAAAAAAATATAGATCAGTAAAGCTTAAGACTTGCAGTTTTTATGTATTAAGCATACTAAAATTGTGCGTAGCGAAGTCGCTCCTTCATAAATTAATGATAAATCACTGTTAAATGGCTACTTTAAAAAAGGAATAAAATAAAATGTATAAAAAAAGTATATTTTGTAGCACCAAAAATAATAAGAGAGCGCACATTGACAACTCTGGGCAAAATTTCTTGTCAAAGCAAGTGACACAAATTCGGACAAAAATGACCCTAATGATATGATATGACGGCTTCATTCATCTCACCAAACTACACATGCTTTACACACGGTGAACACGTTGCATACTAAAAATACGTGTTGTGCAGTTGTCAAAAGAAAGAAATAAAGAAACTGAAGGTGGTCATTTATAAATTACACTTGAATTACCTGTGCAAAATTATATTTAAATCTCTTCATGCCAAGCAGCAGCAGGCAGCTCTCAAAACATCAATCTCCTCCTTTTGTATCTCCTACGATGGGATGATCTTCCAAGTTAATAATAAATAAGCAACCTTTAAAAAAATCGTTGTAAAGAAAGGAAAGGCAACCCTCGATCCATATTGGAACCGTCAGCAATTAGTAATACCACCAAAGAAAGGTATCCCCACGTATTAAAAGTGGATTCAAAATTAGAAACTGCACAGACCTGAATTAATTAATTGGCTATTGGTCATAAATAAGTACATAAATACACATGTGCAATTAATTATATATCACTCACTTGATCAGTAGCTAGCACATATTTTTTAATGAATGGTTAAGTGAAAAGGACATTTAACATGAGAATTTGTCTCTTATGTATCCATATAATTATTAAGCTTGTAATTATTTGCTGTCTCTTAGCCTTATCTCGTCGTCCCTTGTGATCTACACGGTTGGACGGACGGGATAAAAGCGATGACAATTATTATCACAGCTTTGCAAGTAATTTCTTCTTCTTCTGATTGCGGTTTGTTGTTTCTCGCTTTTTCCCTCTCTAATAATAAAAATAAGATTGAGGGGATCATCATGGAATTTAAGACGGTGATGTGGTGATAAAGATGATACAACGCGATTATTGAGTAGAAACTGTAAGCTTGTAATTTAGAAAACGAAATGAAATTATGAATCTGACGGATGAAACAAAAATCGCACACAAGTAAATGTTTCTCCCGAAGACGTGGCGTAGTAATAATTGGACATGGTTTTATTAAAAGTGAAATCTAGTGTTGAAAAATTCCTCTTTTGTTGAGCAGATGATGGTTAACCGTGAAACATGACAGTAGTAAAGTTGTTGTAAGTACATAATGGTGAGTGAGATGCATATGGATGGATGGATGGCAATACGGGAATGTGAGACATTTCTTCGTGGTTGGTAATACCAACTTGGTATTAATCTTTAAGAAAAAGTTTAAAAGTGGGCATTGACTTGCTGCTGGCATATTTAATTTGTATCGTTAGGTAAGTAAATGGCTGAATGATAAGTGAAAGAATTTGCTGATTTGATATGCAAAAAATATATTTCGCTTTTACATAAACTTTGGTTAAGCATCATCTCTTTCTTGGACTTTTCTTCTCTTCTGTTTTTGTTTGCAGCACAGATTGATGGTCACATGTAAATAAATAAAGTATGCGACAAAAAGACGCAAGTAAATTGAAAATATGACAATATTAGTCCAACTAAATAATAAGGTTTTAAGAAAATATACCAACCACAAAAAGAACGGAATAAGTGCAATGTCACTGGTTAAGATGACATGTGGATAGTCAAGTCACAAGTTCTGAATTGAATTAATTTTAATAGAGCTGACTTGATGATAAATAAATTATGAAAATTATTGTTATTACTTTCATTTAAAAAAAAATAATGAGAAATGTGGACGACTTTTCTGGAAGGTTTACTGTAAAAATAAGATTGAAATCACAAAGATAATGAAAATACTATGAATAAATAAATAAACAAATATATATAATTCTGAATACGAGACAAATAATTTACTTTCTTTCGAATCCCATTGTATTTCCCAATCCGTATTCATATGAATTCGCATCCAATCAAATCAAGGTCTTATTGTAATTGAAGCAATTGTGGGATTTCGTCTTATCATACGTGCATACACACCCCATACATATGAGCAAATTTGTTGTTGAAGGGATTTCAAATTTATTTCGTATTCATCCTCTTCATTGAGAGAATCTTGATTTTATTACGAGTCCTAACCGAAAGATGAGCATAGTTTAAATCAAATATTGAAAGACGTCATTCGATGCGCTATACATACATACGTTCGTTCTTTCGCTACCATTAATAACTTGCCTGCCTTTTACATAGCGTTGGTTGGTGGTAGTGGTAAAGTTAAGGAAAAATTAACGACGCTTGAAAACACTCACAAACTACGAAGCTCTTCTTCTTCTTTAAAATATGGTGAGAATGAAAAGCAAGGAGCGTATGAAGGGATGGGTATAGCATATTTCGAATATTTGAAAACAGAATCTCAGTCTGAATTTTAACTTTGACCGGTACATAACTTCATCTCTAATAATAAATAAAACTGAATCTGGCAAACGTGATGACATTGTCTTCCTGATTTCGATCTGCAATTGAAAGTTTGATAATAATAATAAAAGTGAAATATTAAATTATTAGTGGTCTGAAATTTTCAAAATTTGAGGCTTTTTAGTTTCTACGATGGGGTAAATACATGGAAATTTGCATATTCCTACAAAAATTCCAGATATTCGTGTTTAGTGAACTACACAAAATAAAGTGTTAAAGTGACTTCGATGTGAAACTAAATTTCTTGAAAATTTGTTACGAGTTTATGAAAATGGGTCTAAAAACATTTCGACTCAACCTCACAAAATCAAAGAGGCCATGGATTTGCCGTAAATTGGGGAAAACTTTTTCAGTGCAAAAAGTGATTTGTGTCATTCTATTGTTTATTAACAGTGTGCAATTATCCTCCACGAGCAGTGGAAATAGTAGTAACAGTAAAAATAACGAGCCATTATTATCATCCTCCTCCTCCTCTTTACTAATTAATGCCAGAACACCTCGAAGTATTGACGACAAATTTCGTGTTTTTAAATATGTAACGGAAGACGAGATTATAAATTCGGACGATAAAAAATCTCCTCTCCTCATAGAAAGTAAAACTAACCTTGTTTCTCCCCCTCATAAAATTACCCACGAGGGTGGTGAAACGTTAAAAAAGTCACACCAGGAAAACCCCGTTGTTCCCACCTCCTCAAAAACCAAAAAGAATAGGAAAAGCAAGGGTGTAATTGTTAATAAAAAAGTTGGAAATGGTAACACGAACAAGCTGGTTGACCCAGTGTTAAAATCGTCAAGTGCACCCACCGTGACCGATATCAGGTCACTGATTCCCAACTCCTTCTTTACGCAGGCTTCAGACCCACAAACCCACAACGTTGAGCAAGTCTTCTCACAACAACAAATGAATGTGCCTCATAAAAATCATCACCATAATCACGGCGATAATCTGCAAAAGCTCAGTAGTAGTCATCAACACCAAGAAAATGGAAATCACCATAAGAAGACGGACCATGCAAAAGCAGCAGATGGATCTCCTTCTGGGACAGCATCAGTAATGCAAACAAATCGCAATAATAATAATAAAAAGCGTTTGTTGGCCCAAAATAGAAATTCAAATAATAATGAAAGAAGGCACGATCCAAATTTAGAACGTGATGGTGAAATGAAAATGAATTCCTCTGTGAATGGTAACGAAACGAGTTTATCCTTGAATGAATCGGAACGGTCGAGACGTTCTCCGTTCGGCGCGACGACGACGACGAGGGGAGGAGGAGGAAACAATAGGATCATGCTGATGCATCAAAATCATATGCCAATCATGCACCAAAATGCGCAGAGAAGGATTTTGAACAATCAAAATCACAATGGGAATAACTTTGGTGTTAGAAAGACGAATTCTGGTGGATCTGGGAGTAAAAAGCAGAAAGTGCAGAATAATAATCGGGCCGCGTTGTATAATCGGAACCATAATCATCATCAGAATTACCAACAGTTTCCGGTCCAAGTCCCCGTACAACATCAATACATGCAGACAATGAACGGGTATAAACAAGTGCCTGTGGTAATGATGCAAAATAATAATAATAATGGGAATCGTGGCGGCGTTGCGGTCGTACAACGACAGAAAATGGACAATATTCTCCCCTCGCCATCCTCTGATTTTGTTCAGTACCAAACCATCATGGAAGAACCGACTTGGAATCACCCGATGTACCAGAGGTATAAAAAAGTTGCGAAAAATATGCAAAAGAAAGTTTCCGGGTTCGTATCGAGGCGTCCCAGCCAGGGACGAAGGGACGGTGGTGGTGGTTTCAGGTCCTCAGATTTTTCTAAAATTCCACCCATTCCACTCCCAAGACCGAGACCACCGGGACATAATGGTGGTCGTGGAGTGAGGTCACGACCGACAAATGGTCCCCCGCCACCTCCAGGAAGGTATTCATATCCAAAATCAGCTCAAAGTATTCAAGATATTTTAAACCACTTTCAATCTGATAACAATGACATCGATGTTGATGGACCCGGACCCAAAGGGGCTGGATCGAGATATCCCGTGCGGAATAAGAATAGCAATAATAATAGAAATCATCGAGACGACGGGCCCGCTTTAGTCACGGACCTTTCCGGTGAACTTAAAGACGTACGTTTCTCACTGCTCCGGGACATTAAAGAATTTGCAAAACGACCCATGACCATGGGCGATAATGATCATAATGATGACGGACCTCCAGAATCGGAACGCTATAAACACCATAAGGAAGATATCCCACAACTACGAAGTCCCCCAGTACCAAAACCACCACGCAGAATTGAAGAGCATGACGATGATGAGGATGGTCCGTGGAGAAATAAAAAGCACAAAAAATACGACTCTGACGACCGAGATGAAGATCCATTTTCTCCAGAGTACAACCACGAGTCAGGATTTGACGACATATTTAATCCAAAGCCTAAACCGGTCCGAGACATGGTCAATGGGAAGAAATCGTCAAGATTTCGTCAATCTCAATATCACGACCGTGACCGGGAGGAATCGAGAGAGAAAGAATATCACAGTACCCAGCACGCTAGTCGGAAGAAGGACCGTCCCACTACATCCAACGATAGGTTTCACGATTCCCCACATTACTACGACAAGAAGAAGCAGTCGTCATCGTCATTATCTCGTCATGACACAAATGACGAAGACAGCACGGAAAGACCATTTAAGGATGTACAATCATCCAGAGGACCATCATCACCCTTCTCGAGCAGTGTGGAAGTTGAGATTGACCGGAAACAGGATACTCGTATCAGAGGCAGAGATAGACATCGCCCGGCGGACCGTGGTGTCAAGAATCAAAATGGTGATGATCGAGATGGGGATAGAAGTTATCTGTCCAGTTATGAAATTGAGCGGACCCGTCGCCCTTCAAATTCAAAATCATCATCGGGACATCATCGACGAGATCGAGAATGGGAGCGAGATCACGACTACCCGAAAAGTATTCGAGACAAGTTACGAGATATCCAACATGATCCAACTTCCTCTATCGAGTATCCACCCCCATCGTCCCCCTACGCCAAAAAGTCGCCCTACGATTACGACACTGACACAAGATTAGACTACAACAAATACTCTCCTCCGACCGGACCATATAAAGAGAACAATAAACCCATCGTTCTCAAACGACCATACGAGTCATACCCAACGCTGCCCGATAACAAGGAAAAAAAGATGCAAAATCACGAATTTTGGAACAATTATGCATCCGCAACTGAAAAAACTCTGAATGGTTATTTCAATCCGGGCAATAATTTAGCACCCTCACTTTCACCACCGCATATGCCTCATCGGTACAATATTCCTCCTCATCAGCATCCCGCTCCTCCCACGATGCCCACAATGGGGTCTATGGCACTTAATCCGTACTTCAACTTGGCTGCGAGAGGTGTATTACCCACGGTGGGGGATCATCCTGAAGACATATTAGAAATCCATACAGGTCAACTGCGACCTCCGCCATCCTCCTACGGTCATCCAGACAACAGCATGCAGAAAGCGTATTTGGATTTGCTTCAGCAGAAAATGCATTCAGACGCGTCCCTCCTAAACAATCAAGTTCCATTGCCAATAATGCCTCCAAAAATTACAACGACTACTCGGAAAACACCAACCCCGATGCGAATGAAGATCCATATTTATCCCAACGAACAATCCGACCCTCCACCAGCACCAGCATCACCCTCGCAACAAGTAATAAATAACCAACCGACTTATCATCAACCCCCCACAACGAATAATATGAATGGTGGTGGTGGGTCTCATCCATCCGCCGGATATTATTCTCCTTCGTCGGGTGGGTCGTCGAGTTACTCGTCCAACACGGTCCCACTTTTGTCGCCACGATACCCCCAGAAAGTTGGGGGCATCACGTACAATGACAACAGGAATTTACACCTCGGTCCAGGTCCCGGGCCTGGAGTTCGACCTGGGCAACAGCAGGGCATGAACCATCATCACCACCATAATAATGACGACGGGCAAAGTTCTGGGGACAAAAATAACAACAACAATAAGAATTTAGTCTTGCACCTTCACGTTCATCGCAGAAACGACATGGGACCCGTCGAATTGGAGGCAGAAGCGTCCGACCATTTCATGTCGACGGACAAACCTATTAATTACAAGTACGTGCAATTAGATGATTCTTATTAATTTTATTGTGGTTGTAGTCTCACCGATTCGTTGCGCATTTTCACTTTTTAAGTATTTATAAACCATAACTCATTCATATGCATGGCACGATCACCACTATATTTTTTATGGCTTTTTTATTGCAGAGAAATTTATGAAGACTCCAACAATCAAGACCTCTCGAATCATGCAAGTGCCAACAACAATAATAATAACGAGCAGCCCGAAGGTGACAAAAGCGTGTCGATGGAGGTACCAATTCACGACGATAAGATTGATGATGTCTTACATACGTTACTCCAGCTTCGGAACCCGTCCAGAAAGAAGAGAAGGAAGTAGGAGACTCCGAAATCCGATAGCCAATACCAATTATTATTTTTTTAATAGGTGGATAACTTGGTATGTTCTTAATAGTCATAAAATTGGTGAATGGTGCCTTTGGTTGTAAAGCCTTCGATATCACTAATATTCAGTTAAGAAACCGTTTGTTTGGTCCATTTGATATGTATAAGTTACAATTAGTAATTATGAAGTCTGCCTATGTATTTTTTCTGTTATGAGTGCTTTGCTATTCTGTGTTGTAATAACTGTAAATAACAAAATGAAAATAATAAATAATTCGTTCATTAATATACCAATTTATGTATGGAACTAGAACTCGTTTATTCAAATTTTTATGAAGTGTATAACTGCATCTTGATTTAATGCTCTCATTCAATGCAGCGATATAATAAGAATAGGAATGATTAAAGTAAGTCAAATGTGACATGATACATACTACTAACTAAATATTTAAATAGACACTTTAGGTAACTAACTATGTATAGGTCTTATCTTTGAACTAGAACGATTATCACATGAATAAGTGATTTAATATGCTTTACAAACTTTGCAATTGCAAATCAAAAATAATTCATTAGAGAAAATAAGTTTGTCATCATAAATAAAAAGCATAGATTTTTAGTTTGAGCACTTTTATTATCACTATTTTGTTCCCTTTTTACCTTTTCCTCGCTTGTCACTCCCTTTCTTAACTTTGTTGTCAGTTTGACTACCGTTTGCCAATTGTGGGCAAGATGAATTAAAATCTGTTTCGTATAAAGCGTCCATGTATATTGCAGTTCTGCAAATTTAAACGTTTATGTACATTTCAACTCTTAACCAATATTCTTCATTTGTTTAAATATCTATTTGCTTATGCATTAGGCTTACATTTCAGTGATGATGGATCGATCAGGAACTGTTTGGCTGGTTCCGTATATTGCAGCCTACAAAATTTCATTGATTAATAACATAGATAAATAGAACATACATGTACGCAACAAATCCCATGATTTGGTTGATGACTTACTTGGCCAGTAGAAGGAGCATTTGGATCTTTCATGATTTCAGCCACAGTCGTTTCTACGTCTTTTACAAATCTTTCAGCAACGCCAGGCTCAGTTTGGCAGTACGTCAAACAAAAATGGATGCTGGACGGAAATTGAAGGGCGTTCATACTCCAACCTTTTTTAGTAAGGGCCTCTTGCAAACGGTAAATGTCAAAGTGCTTTGAAGCAAGAGCAATCACGCTGACTTGTGGGCTGCCCATTACATAAACTCCAGGCACTTTCCTTAGTCTGCAAAACGAGAAAAAACAAATTGCAATAAAATAAGATAACAATGCAGATTTAATTCGTATACCTCTGTTCGATCCAACGTGACGTGGTAACAATTTTCTTGGTAGTTTCGATATAACCAGCCATACCAAAATACATAAGGGTTGCCCAACATCCAGCAATGATGGCTAATAACATTGAAAATATAAAATCTCTTGCGCTATTACAAACAATGTATCTTCTTTAAAGTGGTAATTAATAAATACCCCCGGGACGAGATCCAGCAAGAGTTGGGGATGCGTACAAACCACCTGGCCAATCAGGAGTAACAAAGTATTGGTAGTGCTTGAATTTCTTTTCACTAAACAGCAACACTGAAGATCCTTTTGGAGCGAATCCATACTATTGTTGTAACGAAATGATGTCATTCATAACTCATCATATATTACAGAATTAGCAAATAAATACATGTATTTAATAAGACTAACCTTGTGGGTATCTGCAGAAATGCTGGTAATTCCACGTAGTTTGAAATCAAAGTCAGGAATTGAAAACCCAGCACTTGGCATGAATGCAAGTAAAAATCCTCCAAGGCAAGCGTCCGTATGGACCGGAATGTTATATTTCACTCCCATTTCTGCTATGGCTGCCATATTGTCGATGCAACCGTGGGGAAAAGCAGGTGCAGAGCCGACGAGCTGACGGAATAAAGTTGTTCACAATTTATTTTTTAAACATTAAAACCCTAGCATTTAAATGAGAAAGTACCATCACGGTATTTTTCGTAATCATCTTTCTCATCGCATTAATGTCGACGGTACAACTACTCTCAACAAGAGGGACGTGTTTAATCCCAATATTCAGTAGCATAGCTGCTTTGTCAAATGCTGCATGAGCAGTGACGGGGACCAATATTTCAGGGTGAAGGATACCACGTTCTTTCATTGCGTAATCTCGATAAGCTTTCACTGCTAGGATTATCGATTCAGTACCTCCGGAGGTCACCTTAAATTAAAACAATCATACAAAAATAAAAGATTGGTTTAAATTTGAACTCGATGATTAATTGCTACCCTACCGTCCCGCAGGTATCACTATCTCCATGAAACAGGTCAGCGGATATCCTGACAATTTCACTCTCCATTTTACATACTCCAGGGAATACGTCAGGATGAAGGGGATTGGTCCAGGTCGACATTTGATAAACTTTAGCGTTCAGTTCAGTCAAGTCCTTGCCTCCGTGATACACAGTTCCCGAAACAGCTCCCTCGTCCCATTTATAATGACCTAAAAAAATAATGTGTATTCCTTTATGAATAACCTTGAAGATTATATGCAAATGATTGGTTACCTAATTCAAGATATTCAGCCACCATGTTGATAATATCTTGACGATCGAGACCATCACATGGAATTTTTGTGATAAAGGAAATCTCCTGTTTATCCCCTCTGAAGAGGTCCGCCATACCGGCTTCAATTTCTTCCTTTGTCTTGGAAATCTCTTTGGCAATCTGCCTCCGCACGAATGGAATTGTCTTGACGGCTTTGAAGAATGTTCGCTTTACTCCAGCAACGGTTCCTAAAAAACACCAACATTTAATAAATCAAAGTTGGCTATAATAATTTTACAATTTTGATTTGGTTGACGAGTTACCATCTCTAGGAATCCTACTGGCAAAATAGTGGATTCCATGAATGATAATGGCAGTTCCGCCAATTAATATGACCGGTTCGTAGGGCAGCCATCGATTAATGGTATCCTTTATGTTGACCAATCTGTCTCCAATTGCTATAACGAATCCAGGCGTTCCTCCAGAAGCCACGGTAGAGTAGGGAGAAACACAGTCGGCCTACGAATTCAATCTTTGATTAAATAAATGTACAAATTCGTGTTGCAAATAATATTAAAATTGTGTAATGAAATAAAATCATACCATTTCAAGTCAGATTTTTGAGACTATTTCGAGCATACAAAAATGTCACCTTACTCGGCTCCTGTCCTGAATAAAAAAGAAAGAAAACTTGAACATGGTGAAAAATAATAATTTATCATCTCGTCATTAGTGAAATATCATCATCATATTCGTGATACACTTGAGTTCTGAGGCCACGTCGGGTAAGATAATATTGACACACATCTATTCCTGATAAGAACTACATGTCACATGTCACCCAGAGAGAAACTTGTAATTTAACTTTTGATTGTCAACCGGTGGTTGAGAATATCCTGTCCGTCGGGTTAAATTAAAGAAGGTCATATTCACGTCACGTGACGGATGTTTGCCGAGTGAAAGAAGGATGAGATAATAATTTATAAATCAGACTGATTCAGTGCTAAATTATTGTTTAACATAAATGAATGATGACGATACAATTAAAAATTATTAAGAACGCCTAATTAGTCATTTAACATTTACTCATTTCTTAAAAATAGATCATTACTAGTACCACCACGAGACCGAACTTCGAACTCTATCCAACCACTAACAAAGCAACCCTTCACCTTAATAGTCAGCAGTTTATCATCAATTATTTGAACAATGCAGAAAGATAAGATAACACGATGTACTCTTCATTTCTTCGCCTTTCATTGCTTCCACATATATTTGTTACCGACTACAACATTATAATTCATAACCAAAATTAACGATACATATTAAACTATTACGCAACATGTATGTATAATAAATAACATCTTAAAAACTATTAATATTTTAACAAAACAAGATGTCAAACATGACGAACCTTAAATTAAATTAAAGTCAAATTCCACTCCGTCCACTCCACCACCACTGCGACCACTGCTCCTTCTCCCATAGCAATTAAGTAACCACCCCAATTTACAAACAATGGCACAGCATAAAAAATTATTTTTTAAAGAGCAAAATATTCCAGGAAATGTTGAAAAATACGGTTTTCACAGAAATATTGATCACCCATCCGCGCACAATTTCATCAAATTTGGTCACATGTGGGCTGCCTAACTTGTGAGAATTTTCGTCCCAGAGTCCAATTTGCCAGCCTGCAGCCTTCCTCGCGCTGGTGAAGTGGTGGTGGTGCTGCTTACGTCACTTCTGACTACGTGTACCGTACACTGAGTTGGTATATGGGAAATTCAGTGTCATTCAGAATCTGCATGTCGAACGACGAGTAAACTTTCTTCGTCCATAATATTTAGTTAACTGCTCCATTTAGTTAGGTTAGTGGTTGGTAAATTAAACAAGGTGACGTCGTGAAGAAAGAAAGTGACGACGTGGAGGAAGAAGCAAAAAATAAGGGGAAAACTTCCGTCGAGCAAAATTGGAAAGTGGAGCGACCAAAAAATCAAAAGAGTGATTAGTAGTAATTCGTAAAATTAGTTAAAATTCCTAAATTTATTACACAAACCATGTTTTTATGGGACTGGTTCACCGGAGTGTTGGGGTATTTGGGTAAGTGAAAAGTTTTACTTTATTTTAAAATTGTGATAAATCTAGAAAAAATAGATGTCAATGAAAATAGAAAGTAACGGTTGACCATGAATTTGGCGAGTGAATGAATTGCACGTAATACTTATGATGGTTAATGAAATTAGGGGAATTATGCAAGTCTCTTAATTGAAGGTTAAAAGGGAAAGTATTATTCTTCATTGTTTTAGGCAAAGTGTCCACATTTATGTAATTTTTAACACCGGAACCTAGAGCACTTTTATTCCCGGAAGAGACTCAATTATTAGATTTTCTTGATGGAATTTATTAATTCTATGAAATTTGCCATGTGTCATGTCAGTAAATTACAGCTGAACAAGTGTTTGCGAGATTAACGCCAGTTATTAGGTTTTATAACGGAAAGGTTATGTGGCAGAACATTAGATTGCATTAAGTAGGATCAATTTAGCGTGGATATGTTTCTTAATTGAAAATGAGTGGAGACAAATTTTAACAAATCGCATATATGTGTCATTGAAGTGTTTTTATGAGGCATTTTATAAGACATTCCATTCACTTCTTTAACCATGCAATAATACGCTCGTCATCGTCATCACAAGTATAATATCGTCATCATCAGCTTGTTTTTTTGTTCCATTGGCTGACCACTTGTCATTGTGGTTCCACGTGGTCACTTTTTTGCACAGTGTTGTCCAGCCAGTCATCATCATCACACCAATATGCCTGCATGCATATTAAGAACTCACTTTAACGTGAATGATGGGTCTGTCCGGGTTTGAAAATAATTGCATCAGTTTAATCATTACTTCTCGTCGTACCGAATAACGTATAAAAAATGCCCTTCAACTTAAACTCGACTCTTTCATGTTCATCGGATATGCTTTATATTCAGGATGGACATTATTGGCAATTGTCCCGGTTCCTTTTTGATGATGTGATTTTTTTTAGGTTTTCGAAAATTTTATTGTGTAACAGACTTGGATGCAAAATTTCGAGAAATGCGACTTTGAATTTGAGGAAATCGCAGTAGTTGATTAAAGGACGTGGCAGGGTTAGTTGACTGGTATTATCTATGCAATTGATTGAATAGTGTGGAGTTAAAAAACCTTGATTTTGGCACTGACTTGCATTTTCTGAGAGTAAAATGTTGGTTATTTGTGCACATAGATTTGCGTATAATAATACTCATCATAGTTGTGCCTCATCGGATATGCTACATGTGTTGTATGCAAATGTACTTTTAACGTTGGGCTCTTTAAATGTGGAAAACAGACTAGTAAATACTTCGTTTATATGGGTTTGTTAGTGTTGATGATTACACAAGTAAACCTCAAATATTCGCATCACGCGAGACGAGACTGACCATATACACTATATATCCGAGGAGAAATGCATTTTATTGGCAGTATCATACACATTGATTTAGAATGCAAAGTTCATATGATAATATTGAGTGTGTCGCAATCATTGTTTGTTTCGAAACCAATGGATCGATTCCTCTACACGATATGAATGATGTCCGTTAAATTAGTAATAATATGCCATTAGGTAATTGTTTTCATTTTGCATGTTGTTTTTATAGGTCTATGGAAGAAATCGGGAAAACTACTTTTCCTAGGCTTAGATAATGCTGGGAAAACCACACTCCTTCACATGGTAAGTGCCATTCTAGGTCACCATATACATATGAATAGTGGTACGATAGCTCCCTAAAATTATTAATCTTTTTATTTTAGCTAAAAGATGATCGAATGGCTCAACATGTGCCTACTCTTCATCCAAGTAAGTCCCGTTCTGTCACGATACGATAATGTTGACCTTTTCGCATGTTTGTGCTTGATTTCAGGCTTAATTGATCTATTACACTAATTGTTTTCTGTTTCATTTGTTTATGAGTGGTGGGGTTGTCTACGACCTCCGCAATTATGATTAGCTAATTTGTTTGTTTTCGTTTTCAGCTTCAGAAGAGTTGTCCATAGGGAACATGAGATTTACCACTTTTGATTTGGGTGGCCATCATCAAGGTACATAAAAATATGCAAATAAAAATAACGACACAGTACTCAACTGAAGTTAATTGATTTTTCTTAGCTCGAAGAGTTTGGAAAGACTACTTCCCAGCCGTAGATGCGATCGTCTTTCTTATCGACGCATTTGATCGACCCAGATTCGGAGAGTCACTGGCAGAGCTGAATTCTTTGTTGACAGACGAGCAGTTGGGTTAGTTACCATTATACTTTAAACATATTCTTTAAATTAATGACCCATTTTTTGTTTAATATTAATTGCAACTATTTTACTTAACATTTACAGCCAATTGTCCTGTTCTCATTCTGGGCAATAAAATCGATCGTCCAGGAGCAGCATCTGAAGAGGAAATCAGGAATACATTTGGCCTTTATGGCCAAACCACAGGAAAAGTGAGTATTGTTAATAGTTTTTTTTCAAAGATAACAATACCAACTTAAAATCAAAGTTGTCAACTAATAATCAAACTGTAAATGCTTTTTTTTTCTAGGGTAAAGTTGCAAGATCCGATTTGCCAGGACGTCCACTGGAGCTTTTCATGTGCTCCGTATTAAAACGTCAAGGATATGGAGAAGGTTTTCGATGGCTAGCGCAGGTAAAACCCAGGTTTTCATTACCAATATTGGCTAGCCCAATTTATAAATACTATTTTATACTAATTTTTACATTAAAAACATTTGTTAATTCAGTATATAGACTGATCGTCACTTAAGTTAAACTCACAAATTACTACACCAATTTCCTCCGCGCCGCCAGACCCAACAATAAGTAAAAATGAAAATATCTACATCATCACCATCATCATCCGAAATATCAACTCATAAAGAAGATTCAAGACACATGAATTATAATAATAGTAAAACAACGGCCGTACATGTACGTTGTTCAACTGTTATATGACAAATTTAAAGTTTAAAACTAGTAAACAAAACGAACGGATGTGATCTTAAAAGATCATCGTTGTCACCACCATCTTCGAAAAATCGTGTCAGTGTTCTTATTACTCTTCAGTTTACACAACCATTTTGAGAAAATTTTAAGTCATTGTGTTATCAAATCATATATTATCTATATTAAATTTGTCCCAAATATCTCCTCCCCCTCCCCCTATAAGTCAACAACAAGTTAAAAGAAAGTAAATTTATTCGGTCATCTAAAAATACATAATATTCTGTGCAGCACGCATTATTATATTTTACTCGTGTTTGATTGCATAACCAGCAACTTTTAGTTTATTTTTTTCTCGCTGTTTCCTATAGTTTAGATTATTAGATTCATCACCACCACCAGAGACGACACACTATACTGCTATTAAGGATAAATAAGTCTTTTTGATCGAATACAATAATTTCCAACACGGACAAATAAAAATTGTAAATACTGAATTTTAACAAGTAGAATTTTGAATTTCATTAATCAAACTAGTATATAACCAAAAATAGGAGGCATCTCTGATTCTCTCGTAACTTAAACCAGACATGGCATGAAAGTGAAATACTAATTATAAAGCCAATTCTCTGTCGGAAGGAAGTTCTGAAAAATATTTATCGACAGTGGCATTCGTCACACCTTCCAATGTATTGGGTTTCCACTTTGGATTCTGGTCCTTGTCCACTAACAATGCTCGTACTCCTGGGAAAAAATAACCAACAGAAATCAAAAATTGACAAATTAATAAATTAATAAATACATAAAAATAGATTCATATGTTGTGCATATGTATTTACCTTCTATAAAGTCATGGTCTTCGCAGCACCTCTGAGTCAGTCTGTACTCTATTTGCAAACATTCTTGAAGGTCTAGGGTAGCACCAACTTCTAAGAGTTTTAACGATATTTTAAGCGACGTGGGGGACATTTTTCCTAAATTTTCCGCAGTCTTCTTTCCCCACTCGGACCCACTCTTGTTCAAATTGGAAATAATTTCTTCAACAGATCCAGCATTGAAGAATTTGTTAATGTCCACCATGTGGGGGTCGAGACTGAAGGGTTTTTTGATGTCGGGGCATTGGTCATGGTATTTTTTGAGGACCTGCTCAATATCTTGAGGTTTATGAGAATCCAAACTGATTAGGTCTTGTTCCAGCATGGGGAGCATATTGCTTTGACACATGTGGGTCGCAACGCCAGCTTTGAACGTGTCCCCGCCTTTGAGCCGATATCCCGTGAGGGCCAAATAGAGACCTAACTTGCCCCCCAGTCGAGGTAGGAAATAACTCCCTCCGACATCGGGAAAAAGTCCTATGGGAGTGAGAACATAATAGTTTTAAAATCTGAGAATATTTTAACTACTATAAATTACTCGCCTATGGCAGTTTCCGGCATGGCAAACATCGTTCTCTCTGTGGCGACACGATAAGGTCCATGAACCGAGAGACCCACCCCACCACCCATCGTAATCCCATCGATGAGAGCAATATATGGAACGGTCAACGTACCGATCAGGTTATTCAGGAAATATTCTCTTTTGAAAAACTCTTTATATAAATTAGATCCTTCTTTGGCTGAATCGGTAACAGATTTGATGTCACCTCCGGCACAGAATGCTTTGCCTCCTAATAAGATCATTTTAAAGCAAGTTATAATAACTTCACTAATAAATTCATAAAACATAAATTTGTAAATTAACCTTCAGCCTTAATAATTACGAACTGTTTATTCGCCGATTCCCATTCCTTCAAAACGGGAAAAATTGACTCGATCATACTTAAGTTGAGAGCATTGAGGGCTTTCGGCCTATTCAAAGTGATGACCCCTTTCCCCTTAATTTCTTCAAAAATGACTTCCCCCTCAGACCTCGTGGCCTTTTGTGTTTGCTCCCTTGACGACATTTTGCAGCTTGAAGAAATTTGGCGAGACCGGAAACTGCTGCAAGAAGGCAAGTGACCAGCGAATAAGGATCCCGTACTCGTTGTGGTGGTCAAGTACAAGCGGTACACTGATCGCCTGATTTTATTCATTTCTGTCGTTGAGGGAGGACGAATACGAGTAAGTCAATCCTGTAATTTTGTATAACCAAATTATTTTAGTAAATATCCACTGTATTATTCAGAAATTATAGAAATAATACATAATAATAATAATAAATGCAGACCAAATAGAATAGACTGCAAAATTGATTAGAACAAACAACAAAATGGTTGAAAAAATAATTATGGCAAGTACCCGATGATATGATGATGATTGATCTCTTATCAGGATAGGTTAAAGGTCACCCTCTGCTTTATTTTAGCACTGTTTAGATTAGTGTAGTTATTACCAGTTTAAACCCAAGTTATTTGCACTTGAATTTTAGTAGTTATTTTGTTCAGAAGAATCCGGTATCATTTAATTATGACTTGATGTAGTTGATACTTACAAACTTACAAATTGTAAGTTACAATAAATTCGTATAATTAAATAGTACAATTTCTGCAAACTTTGGTAAACTGGAGAGAAGATGAACTTGAATGAAACAAACTCCGCTGGAGAGACTCAATGCCAAGCATGATTATTCAGTTTCATTTTCATGCAAACGCTAGATTCTGTACCGGAATTTTGAAGAAATTAAAAACTAAAGCAATTTAAATTACTTTAATGCAAAATTTCAGGAAAAATTTTGAAAAATGTCGTGGAATACGGAAGTTGTGGAGCGTACGGACTTGGAGCGTGTTGGACAGTTTGTTGACGGGCCTTACGGTAAAAAAGATAATTATATCAGTGTTAAGTTAAATACTTATCTTTGATAACCATCCATGAAATAACGGTCATGTTAACTTTGTAGACACTGATGTCACCCTATTTCGGCCTGATATCCAAGGTAAGAAAAACTAAGGAATTTGATACGTACCATTTTATGAGAATTCTGACCACGTTTCTTTTTAATAGCGTTGATGGGAAGGGACCCCGACGTGAAGGAAGATCCCTTACGACTCGACGGTCCATTTCCAATTCTTCCGGGTCACAAGTTGAAAGCAGCAACTAATGATTGGACATTTTCACCCTTCCTGTATTTATGGGAGGAAGAACCGTACGAAGACCCTGGAGCGTGGAGGAGGCGATACAAGTAAAGTTAACTGATGACCTAATTAATTATCTTGTTGACTAATTATGTTTGAATAAATGTGTTGTAACAATATATCAATAGAGCCGAACAAAAAGAAAAGGATATCAGTACCGACCCATTTATTTCAAGCTTTGGAAGCAAGACGATGAACGGTCTGGGGACATACTACGGAACATTCATCAAAGAGATGGAATGTATGTACATAGACATGGACGAATTTATTCCGAATAATTAATTTAAATTATACCAATATAATTATAACTTTCTTAAATAATTGTTAGCATTTAGTCCTGAAGCTAACGAAGTTACGGACGACAGACTCAAAGGAATTGCCAATTTTTTAACCAGCCCTGGAAAGAAGGGGACCGGATATGGCTACCTGGACATTACGATAAATAAATATCCAGAGAATATGTAATGAAAACTAATTTCATGTAGAGAAAAAGTTGCAAAATTTTCTAATTTGAACTTTTATTCAATTAAATTGTTGACTAATCTACTAGGGAAGATCCGTTGTATGATTTGACCGAGGTATATTTTAACAATTAAATTAAACATAGTACAACATAGAAATTAAAATTACTATATTATACTGGTTCTAATCATTTAATTGCCAGGCACGTCGCCTGATGCGTGAAGAATTCGAAGCTGCAATGGTAAAATAGTGCATAATACCACAAAATTCTAACTTTCACCGACTTTCACAATGTTTAATATATAGGTTGGAGAAAAGTGGGTCCCTACGGCACATCCTGGCGTAATATTTTTTTAAAGAATTTACTAAATATATTTTTTTGCGAGTACATATATAATCGCATTTTTTGGAAATTAGAATTTCTTTGACCCAAATCCTTTCCGAGACAGTAATGATCCTGAGGGTACGATTGAAACGTATGACTGGGACAGGCTAATTCCTCCTTCCGGTTTTGAAGATATTACTCCTTGGGTTCCAAACAACCACACTAAAAAGGTATTTTTTTGTACAAATATACATAGATTTTTTAATTAAACTGCACTATTTAACGCAACTTTCACCAACATTCATTCCGTGTATAACTTTCCAGATTAACGGAAATAAAGATGTGATCTCTCCACTCGAGAGATTCCCGTCTTACGATCCTAGTGATGAGTACCAAGCCATTCCTCCCAACATTTTCAGACAATTGGATCCCGTAATCATGCAAATTGTCAAAATTGTATTATATTTAGAAATACAATATTTGGTTTAATATTTTTTTTACAGAGCCCGGAATTGGCCCCTTGGAAAGCACAGTATGAAATTACAAACTAATTGCTGATAATCTTAATTCGTGTTTATAATTTTTGTTGGAAAATTTATTTTATAGATTTGGAAATCGCAAACGCCAGCAACGGTCCGTAATTCAGTACAACATTAACCTGTGGGTGAACCCTATGACTTTTCATCTTGTTTGAAGTCTTTGAAGAGCATTTCCAATTTTTTCTGTAACATTTTTTGTACGTTTTGTAACTTTACTATGAAACAAATTCACGGTGTGCCAAATCTATTTGTAAATTAAAGCTATTTTACACTGATCATCAGTTCATAAAATGTTTACTAGCACCAGCAGTTTATTTGAATGGCAAATATTCAGCAGAAATTACCGATCATAAAGTTCAACTTCTTATATCATTTTATAGCAATACCCAGACTTCACGTATGGTCGAAATTTCTAATTGTCGTCGTGGTGACCATTTTGATAAAAAAACCTACTTCAAGCAACTTTGCGGGGCCTTTTAAGAAGGCAATACTCACGGAAAGCCGTAATGAACGACTTGCATATACATAATACGTACTACCAAGTGCAAATTGTTATGTCCAATGCATAAATTAATGTAGCGGTCTCAGTTTATTGAATTTAAAAAAATTACGGTATCACGAGAAAACCCATAAAATTCTCTACAAGATATACCCATTGGCTTTCCTAATTGTTTGCTGATCGGTCATTTTGGCACACTATGGGTAACAAAAAATTTCGGAACATGGTTTCTGATAGACAATTACATTGGCATTTAGATAAAAATAGTACAACTGTCAACAAATAGTATAACTGCGAATAATTTTTTTTTCACCGAATGTATTGGACATAACATATTGCAAGGTATGTAATTTTGTGCTCTGGACGTCCGTCCTTCCGGTTCGTCTGCCACCACGATAACTCTCGACAAAATAAAAAAAAACTTTAGGTCAAAAAGGTCACGTAGCGGCTCCTTGCTGAACTTCGTTTTGGACAATTGCATTTGGATAAAAAATATCCAAACCCAATGTTGATACGACTTTTGGTTATCTCACAATAAAGGGATATGTGTAAAAGATATAATGGGTCCCTCATAGGTATACCCTTGACATACGGATTTTTTTGCACGCATTTTTTGCATTGTTTGGACGTATGTACTTCACTAGCTGTTATTATAATTTATCAAAATTTAAATACAAATGTTTCAGGGGGTCCATAGCAAAAAAAGGTTCTCAGGGTCATTCTGTTTGCGCTTAGCTAACTTTTAATTTCAAATTCTTTAATGAGAAGCCACTAATTGTAAGTATTACTGTGCCGGATTTCATCAATTTCATCAAGCAATTTCTAAAAATCGGTATGGATCACCCCATAGGGTCGCTCCAGATAAAAATTTTACCAATTTCATTTCATATTGTTCCATTAAGGCACATTTGCAACCTCTCTACCAAATTTCAGTTCGATATGACGATTTTGAAAAATCAATATGGGTCACCCCATAGGTCCCTCAAGATGAAAATTTTTCCAACATAAATTCATTTTTTTCTGTTACAATCCATTAGCAACCTTTGTACAAAATTTCAGCTTCCTACGACAAATTTTAGAAATCCGTGGGGTTACCCTATCGGGTCTCCAAGTTGAAAATTTCTGAAACTCCACTCCAATTTAAACGCTTTGAGGTCAGTCGCAATCTTCATACAAGAATTACCGAAAATTATTACTATAGATATTTCTCAAACTACGAATATTTTACTTGCACAGCACTTACATAATTTAACCTGCTCTAAAGGTGCTCGGTAGTTAAGGGCAACGCATTTGGATAGAAATGACCCCCACCGGCCAACCACTTGACCGATCATACCCATCTTCGAACTCATCCTTACATTTTACCCGAAGATGAAGTTTGCAAAATTTCAATTCGATAGCTTTTGTATAAAGAGAGTTATCGTGCCTACAGACGGACGGACAGATGGACGGACAGACAGACATCTTGACAAATCTATAAGGCCATCTTAAAAGGCCTAAAAATCGGATTCCGGGCAATCGTGATTTTTACACAAATCCAGAAATGGACTCGCCACCATGGCAACGCAGGTGGACCCCTGAAAAAAAATCAAAGTCATTCCAAGTTTCTTTTTGGACCTGACAAAACGTGCAACGCGTTGCTACTCTCGACCATTCGTAAAAAAGCATTCTTCCAATCGTAACAAAAATCAAATTGATCTTTAGTGAAACAACAAAGTGAATTTAACAAAATGGTGGAGAACAACAACTCTGAAAATCAAGGGGAAGATGAACCAGCAGCTCCCCGACGCAGTAAGTACCTTGCTTCTTATTTTTGATAACTTTCTCAAATAAAATGAATAAAGAGAAAGAAGGGAACTGAATTTCATGTCAAATTTGGTTCAAGTCTGACGTTTGTTAATGTCAAATTTCTCTTCAGATCCGCATCGTGCTGCGCGAGACAAGCCACAAGTGACTGGTGAAGGGGGCGAGGGGGGGCCTGCTGCTGCCGGAACGTCTAAAAAGCGGCGAAGTAGCAAAAAACGTGCAGATGCTGGAAAGAAGAAAAGGGCTCCCAAGAAGGCTGCTGCAGGGAAAAAGAGGAAGCACCAACCATCAAAGGTCAGTTCAGTGATGTGTTAGACCTTTAACCAAATGTATGTTTTTCACAGTGTAAAGTTTCATTCTAGATCGCTGATGAACCCGCTGGAGATGCTGGCGATGCAGTGCCAGGTGATGAAGGGACTGCCAAACGAGGCAAGAGAAAGGTAATTTGTCAAGATTTTTGGTCATGATTTGACAATAAAACTAATGATACGACGATGCCTTTCATTTTATGTTATAGTCAAGCTCCCAAACCAGCAAAAAGAAACATAAATCCCCAGCTCAGAAGAAGAAGAAGCATTCACAAAGTCAGGCCGGAAAAAAGAAGCGAAGTCATTCTCAAGCCGGTGCAGGAAAACATCGCCGAAGCAAGAGTGGGGCTGAGAAAAAGAAACGAAGTCACACTGCAGCTCGGGTACAAAAGAAAAAGCGGAGCCATTCTCAGGCCGGCGCAGGAAAAAAGAAACGAAGTCAAGTTAGGGTACTAAACGGGAACCCACGTGAATGGCACCGACGCAAAAGTGGAGCTGAAAAGAAGAAGCGAAGTCACACTGCAGCTCGGGGGCAAAAGAAGAAGTCTCAAGCCGCCGTAGGGAAACGTCGCCGAAGCAAAAGCAGTGGGGCCGAGAAAAAGAAGCGGACCCACACCCAAGCTCGTGTACAAAAAAAACGAAGTCACACTGCAGCTCGGTCCACTGCTGGACGTCGTGGGAGGAGTTCCGGTGCCCAAGCTGGGAAGAAACGCAAGCATTCAGCTCCCAAATCTACGGCTGCGAAAAAACGCAAGCTTTCGCCATCGAAATCCGCCGCTGGAAAAAAGCGACGCCCCGCGCCCAAGGCAGTGGCTGAAAAGAAACGCAAACACGCCCCGAAAGTGCAAGCCGACAAGAAGAAGCATGCTGCAGCCGGCAAGAAACGTTGATATGTTCCTTCTTAGGTAATTATTTGTATTCCAAGAAAAGTTCAAAATAAAAATAACAATTAGATTAATCGATTTTGATATTTATTTTCCAATATTTATAGAATGTGAAAACTGCTTCAATCTACAAACCTGATATAAACGCAGTCAATATGTCATCCAATAAGTAATATACGTAAATCTTACCTTTCCCAAAATTGTGTAATCTGATTTATGTATAACATAATGTAAAATTCCGTACGTATGTAACTCAAAAAATGAATTGGATGGATTAAGAGTTAACTATATTTTATGTTAAACCAATCCTCATAAATCACATAGTGGCGAAACTGATGAACTCGGTGGGGTAAAAAGTTCGCAAGTTTCGGTGGGAATTTTAAATTTTTTGCAAAAAACTGCAAATATCATCTGGATTTGTTTATGTTTTTAGTGGTTTCCAGTGGGAAGAGTATGTGTGGTGGGAACTTGCCACCACACATACTCTATGACGAGATGAGACGAATCAGGAAAAGTGGCATAATTTTGACCATATCCGTTGCTATTACGAGCTTGAACGTGCACTTATAAATGTGGAATTTTTTGAATTACAATTAGTATTAGTTGCGCAACAAATGACTATCGGGCTTTAAGGAATAAATATAATAGTTTAATTTATATTAATTAATTTACATCATACTTTTTTCGTTTGAAGATTCTTTGATTAAGGGTGGGATGACGAACTTTTTTTACAGTTAAAAAAACCTTGTTAGCAACAAAAATATAATGCACTGCGGCATTGTAAAATCGTCAAAATTTCATTAGAGTATCATCTAAAAGAAAAGCAAGGCAATACTGATCATATTGGTGAACGATATTTTTTATTTATAAATTCGAAATGATCAAAATACGAAGAGCAAAATATAAGTGTTGGGGGGAAAACGGATACGCCAAGTTAAAATAGTCTAATTACTCGTCCTCGGGGGTTTTTTCTTTCTACTTTTTTCAGCCTTTTCGATTTCATTTTGGCGATAAAAAGGTTGTCGAAATCTCATATTTCTCTCGTATCTTGAATTGACACGTTCTGGATATCACCAATATCCAATCGATAAAATTTTTCGAGTTTCTCGTACATTTTTGCCATTATAGGTGTGGTTTCTGATGCAAATATTCTCTCACACCAAAAATCTGTAGAAGGTGAAGTTTCATCTTCATTATTGAAATCTACGACAAAATCGCACCAATTTCTCTTCGTGCAATATAGTTGGAGCACAATTTGGTAGAAATATTTATGCTTCCGTTTTAGTCTGATTTTTTTCATAGATGAGAATTCCAAGAATTTGTCATTCTTTCTTGAGACAACCTCTTTTGCAGGGACCGCTGGGAATTTTATTTCTAGTATTCCGTCAGACCCTACGAATCCGTCTGGGGATGAAGCAAAAATGCCGTTATCTACAGAGACAACAAGTCCACAATTTCTGACTGATAATCCAGTTTCTTCGAAATATCTTTTTCTATCCAATGGTTCTAATCTCAGTCCTCTTGCTCGATGATCATCAGTTTTGAATTCCAAAGGTTTTGCCGAGATAAATCAATCCAAATCTTTGGATGCTGATTTCTTCCTAGAGCTTTGGTCACGCCTGCTAGCCAAAATGGTCCAAACTGATAGGCAAATAGTGCTGACAAAACTCTGATCTCATATCCATTTTTTTGAGAGACGTTCAGTCTTTTTCCTTGCAAAAATTTTGAGACTTGCGCCATAAATCCTTCACATAGATTACTATTCTTATTTTGAATTAGTCGACCAGATTTGTTTGCAAGATTTTCACATGCTTTTTTAATTTCTTGCCAGATCAGCAAGAGAACGGTATCGTCAGGTTCGTCCTTTTGTCCACAAAAGTACTCCTTGCATTTATGGTGCGAGCCGAAGACATGGTTTGGAATGTTGATGATGTCTTCACGTAGTGTTAGTGATGTGGTTGGTACTTCGTCGTATTGGTGTTCATGATTATAAATTATTGCTGATGCTGCTGCAGTCGCAATTCTTTCGATTTTGGGTTTTAGAATTTTTCTAAGTTCAAGTTTGTGTTTCGTATTGTTTGAACTTTCAATAAGTGGTTTTTTTACATTCTTCAGTGCATGGTTGACACATTCGAATTTTCGGACCATAATATTGGGATACTGGACACGGTTCAGAATTTCATGATAAACTGAAGAGTCGCCATCTCCAATAACATTTTGATAAACCAGACCATGAAATTCAATGCTTTTGTTGAAACCCTCAACTATAATTTCGGACTCCATACTTTTGGGAGGATCTGGAATATTTTGTGCATACGTGAGTAGTAGTAATTTGGGAGATTAAATCCATCGCACATTGTCTGCAATATTTGTTCCTTGTCCCAATCCACAATACTAATTTGGTGTCCTCTTCAATTATGACTGCCATTCCAGTGTTTGAATCATGACCGTGACCGTAGGTTCTTTTTGACCACGATCCGTCTACAACAACGTTCACAGCAGGCATCTCCTTTCCAGCGACGATGACAAGATATCCCCTTTCTATAGCCAACTTCTTCACATATTCCCCGTTCTGTTTTAAAATACAATTTTGTGCATTTTTGAATTTGAGAAGCATTTCCGATTCTGTAACTTGAAATTGGTGAAAGCTGGGGATTTTTAATTGCAATGCGGTGAATAAAACTTCCATTTGCTGATAGTTCGACCCAGAAAGAAATAACCCCCAAGCAAATGCTTCGTTAGTGTCCTTCGGTAGTGTAGGTGAATGTTTCCTCGCATTTTTTGCATTGAATGTAGAGCATGGAAGTACGCTTCTCAACAAGTCCTAAACGTCCGGTGCAGGCTTGCCGATGGTGTGCGGATAGGGACATGAGTTCATTGATGTCAGTTTTTTTGACAACTATATTTTGATGAATATATTCTGGACGAGCAACTGCATCTTTGCGTCGCTTTTTCATTGCCCGTTTTGTTGTCCTCTTTAAATATTTTGATGAATGTTTCCGGGAAGATCCAGCTTTATGATTTCCCATGGTCTTCAAATATTTGAGGTTTCCTGACCCCAAGGATAAATATTACACAAGTTTCAATATTTCTGCCGATTTTAATATCAGATAATACTCACCCAAGAATTTTATATGAGAACTATCAGCAAACATGAAATATTTTCAAGAAAACTGAAAGAAGGAACCTGTCTTTTTGTTATTTTATGACGTCATTTTCTAAGCATAGCAACAACCCAACATGACTTTTTGGGGAAACGTTCTCCACCCCAATACGGGATAAAATTACTTGAAAATATGTTTGTTGAAAAGATCATGAGTGGGTGGGGCGGGAGTGATGGCATGTCCTTCAGTGAATTTCTCTCCTTGCATATATAAACTGCAGTAGTCTAAAATTTTGCATGAAAAATGTCAAGATTTTATTTCCAAAGTTGATTTTCAGGTTGAAGGGGTCAGAATCGCCGGAAAGACCCATATCACTCCCGCCCCACCAAAATATTAGCTGCGCAATAAAATTGGTTTGAACTCAATATCTACTATATTGAGACCTAGAACGTTACCCCAGCAAATTAAATCTTAGTTCACTAAAATTGATTTATCTCAAATACTACTGGCTCAATACAGTAGAATGAATTTAGCATATGAAGCCAAATAATTTGCCATTAATTACATGAAATCAGAATAATTTTATCACTTCATTCAGCTTAGAAAATCAGGTTGGAAGTTGGGGTAAAAATTTGTTGCTAAGTTCGTCATCCTACCCTTAATACTAAAAAAACTATTATATTTATTCCTTAAAGCCCGATAGTCATTTGTTGCACAACTATACATAAAGTGAACGAGTTATGTACTGTGCGGGTGGAGCTTAAACCTACGGCCTCCTGAAGTACCTTGTGCTGAGACTAGGGTTTCTCGTGAGTTTAGCTCCATTCGCACAGCACATAACTAACTCACTTCAAGTATAATACTAATTGTAATTCAAAAAATTCCACATTTATAAGTGCACGTTCAAGCTCGTAATAGCAACGGATATGGTCAAAATTCTATAATGCATGGGGAAGATACGGGGGAAGATATTGAGCGAGAGACTTTATTGGCTGATAGAGCGGGGCAGAGCATGCTATAACGCCCCGTTAAATGACAAATATTAAGCATCATTCTCACAGGACCTTTCCTTCTAAAAATGTTTGTATTTTCCATTATTTGGCAAAAAGTTTTGAAGTATGTATTTGGAAGTCCTTCAAGCTTCTTTAAAATATTGAACTTCCAAAGCTGTATGTGCTACCATGAGTGGTTTTTACCCTCTATACCAAATTTAAGATGAAAATACAAATTTTTAAACGACTGCGCCGAATTTCACCTATTTAAGGCAATTTCTGAAAATCGCGACCCTATGATTAGAAAAATCGACATGCACGTGTACCACCAAAATCCTAATTCAAAAATAACTGTAAGAGGCAAGGTCCATGAAAGGTACTTCTGAAATATTTGGAGGGTACTTCCTCTTTAATTGGAGAGGCTTTAGATGCATGTCCTTCTTTATTCATGTAGATAAAATGTGTCAACAATAATAATTTACTCGAAATTTAAAAAAAAAACAATTTGAACCAATTTTTACACACGGGTCAGTCGTCATCGTCATCATCATCATCATCCATGCCTCTGATAAACACACGGTCCAGCAATGATGGAATACGCTGGGAGACATATCGTCCAAAAGAGTCTACAATTCGTCGTTTCGTCACATCAAGAATGGGTGATGCTTGTCCGAAGCCAAGACCAAGACCGAGTGGTGACATGGGAAAATAGCCCCCCATGGCAATTCCCCCCAGCCCACCTCCGCCCAGGCGAACACCACCCCCGCCGAGTTGGTTACCCTACACAAATAGAAATCCTGTGGTCAACTACTTGTGTCATGGTGTGCTTGAGACTTGTACTTCCTTGGTCAAGCAATCGTATTTTTTTTACACAAATCCAGAAATGGACTCGTTACCATGCCAACGCTTTTTTCGTGGTGTCAAGTTTCAAGCAGATCCTTGTGGATCCTAGAAAAAAAATCAAAATCATTCCAATCTTTTTGGACCTGACAAGACGTGCAACACGTTGCTGCTCTCGAACATTCGTAAAAAAAGCATAACAAAAATCAAATTTATCTGTAGTGAAACAACTGAACAACAAACTGAAGTGAGTTTTACAAAATGGTGGAGAAAAACAACTCGGAAAATCAAGAAGATGAGACAGCAACTGCCCGACGCAGTAAGTACCTTGCTTCTTATTTTTGATAACTTTCTCAAATAAAATGAATAAAGAGAAAGAAGAGAACTGAATTTCATCCCAAATTTGGGTCAAGTCTGATGTTTGTAAATATAAAATTTCTCTTCAGATCCGCATCGAGGTACGCGAAACAAGCCACAAGTGACTGATGAAGGGGGCGAGAGGGGCCCTGCTGCTGCTGGAGCGTCTAAAAAGCGGCGAAGCAGCAAAAAACGTGCCGATGCTGAGAAAAAGACTCCCAAGAAGGCCGCCACCGGGAAAAAGAAGGAGCACCAACCACCAAAGGTCAGTGACCTTTGACCTACAACCCAATGTGTATTTTTCACATTGTAAAGTTTCATTATAGATTGCTGATGAGCTCGCTGGAGATGCTGGCGATGCAGTATCAGGTGATGAAGGGACTGCCAAACGAGGCAAGAAAAAGGTAATGTGCCAAAACTTTTAGTCATGATTTGATAATCAAATTTTGATTATCAAACTAATGATACGACGATGCCTTTAATTTTATGTTATAGTCAAGCAAAAAGGAGCAGAAGAAATCCCCAGCTCAGAAAAAGAAGAAGCATTCACAAAGTCAGGCCGGAAAGAGGAAGCGAAGTCATTCTCAAGACGGTGTAAGGAAACGTCTCCGAAGCAAAGTCGTCGCCGGGGATGAGAAGAAGAAACGAAGTCACACTGCAGCTCGGATGGAAATGAAAAAGTGGAGCGATTCTCAGGCCGGCGCAGCTCAAAAGAAGCCAAGTCCATTTCGGGTACTAAGCAGGAACCACCCACGTGAATATCGCCTGGGCAAAAGTGGGGCTGAGAAGAATAAACGAAGTCACACCCAACCCCGGGTGCAAAGCAGTCATTCCCAAACTCAGAGAGAAATTGAAATTGCCTTGGTTGCCTTGATTGTGGGAGCTATTTCAGGTGCGGTACTTGTACTTTCAGCAAGTGAATTTCCGGTCACTGCAGCAACTGTTGTTGTTCTTTTTCTTCTTGGCCTTTATTCATATGTCAATAAGCATCAGTTAAATACAAACTGGTTTACAATCCAGGACGTTATAAGCTTTTTATCTAAATAAGCATGTAACTGACTATTATATGTATATCTGTATATCATTACTTGTACTATTAGTAGTAATAAATATTTTCGTCCTTACGTCTAGAGATTATCCATTCCCGACAACTTTGAACAACAAATTATTCGATTTTTTTTTTTAATTTTCCAACATTTGCAGAATGGGAAAGCTGCTTTAGTCTATAAACAACTTGATATCAGTAAATAGATAAATCAATATGTTACCCAATAAGTACATAATATAAAATCCAATATTATAACATATTCCGTAAAATTCCGTAACTCAGAATATGAATTGGATGGATTAAATGACAAATATTAAGCATCATTCACACACGACCTTTCCTTCTATTATTTTAATTGCATACATTAATTAATATACTAGTTAGATACTAAAACCTATTACATACATATCCATATCTATACTTGATATATTTTCATGTCTCACTTTCTCTTCACATTTTTGGTATCGATATTTCATTCAGTTAATTTATGGTGTAATAAAATTTTTAAACCTAAACTGTCTGAATTTTTAAAATCCACACATAAAATGACTATCTAACTAAGGGTAACCAACGTAATCAAGATGCCATTTCTACAAGACAAAGTCGTACAATTAGTTAGCAAATGTAAACTAAATCGTTTCCCCTCTGCCCCCAAAGATAAGTATCACGACATGATGCTCTCCTCACTATTCGCTGGGGATGATTACACATCGACATGGACGAGCAGTTCTCCCTTATTCCCCCTCGCCTTCATTGCCTCCTACGTCTTGTTCCATTACTTGTACGTCCCAAATTATGAACTACCTCTCGATTACAGGAGAAAATGGACACTGGTCAAAAATACGGTGATATTAATTGCCAACGCAGTACTTGGAGTGGCTGTAAGTTTCCCCCAATTAATAATTAATTAAATATTTAATTTACATCAATAACCTTGTCCAGTATTCCGCGACGGCAAACAAGCTTGAGTACAGCATGTGGTGTCAACCTGTGAACCCAGCAGCGCCTAACAAAACCTTGGACCACAATCGTGTAATTTAAATTTGCTTACGTAAAGTAATTAATTATGGTTATGTACATATGCACCTTTTTATTAGATGAAAGACCTTATGTTCTATTTTTCCCTGGTGAAGATGCTAGAAGCGTCGGATACAATAGTAATATCCTTAAGAGGTAATTTACACTAATAATTATGTCGAAGATGGTACTAATTTTAATCTAAGCAATGACACATCACTCATTTATTCTATTTTTTAGGGGGTAGGTATCCGTTTGGCGTCTTTGTTCATCACGCCATAATGATTGCGCTGGGCTGGGCGGGGACCGTTTTTGTGCCTGCAGGAACGAGTATAATGATCTCATTTTATTTGAGAGGATGTTACATTGCATTACTTTTTCAATGATTTTGTTGACAGCGGCAATTTGGGCCATGATTAACTGCTGGGGTCACGTCTTCGTGTACCTTTTTCTCGTGATGAGAGCAGTTTTCCCAGGAGGATGGCTCGACTTGGAAAACAAGGACTACTGGATCTCCAGGATTAATAATGTGTGATGAAAAATATGCACTTATGATAAGTGTTTTTATGTGAGTAATCATGACCTTAATTTATCACAGGTGCAATTTTTAATGGTTTTCATCACTTCGGTGTCATCGGCTGTAAGTGGTTGTGGATATCCACTCGTGTCGAGCACATTTACGGGAGTATTTGTGGCTGGATTGTATTTCTTATTTTGACGATTTACGGATTTATGCAAAAGTGATAAAAATAAAAGTATGTAGCAAAATCTTGGAAAATATGATCTGAGAATGAATTAATCTTAAATACATACGTTGGCAATTTATTATTTATTTATCTCTATAAATCCAATACGGGCTTACATAATTAAGGACTTTAAATATGTATATTGTTGTATTCACATGATAACTTACATTAGTTTTGATGACGTTTTCCCAAACAAACTCATTTTCTGCTTAAAGACTAGATTCATACGTACATATTATTATTATTTAACCAATTATATATTATTGAATATTTTTTTCTTTGTGAGAAGGCAATTAATTGTAATTAAATAGATAATTTTTAGTTAGGGAGAGAAATATTTAAAACCCAATTTAATATTTCCCTAAAACTAACGCATATTTGGTTGTGGATTGAGTAATTTGAATTGTTGAACTGTTTTCATGAAATCGAAAACTGGACACAATCAAATCAAGTAAAGATCCACTAACTAATGATTGCATAATATTTCATCTCTGGTTCCTGGGTTCTAAATACATACAGAATATTAAAGAAGGTACGTTTTGTCTGACTTTTTCTAAAATTCTACGAATTGATCAGGATTATATTTACTATTTCATAAATCTTAAATGGTTAATAAAAGTAAATTTATGGCAGTTGGTTGTGTAATATTTCTGGTGGTTGAGGAAAGTACAACGACGGTTGATGGTAGTATGTACATACGTATAATTAAATATTTAAATTATGGAAACCACAAGATGCATACGTATTTAGTTAAATATCATTTTTTAAATGCCAATTAATTCAAAGTTGACGAATTCGTGAGACGTATTCGTAACAACTTTTTTGAGCTTGATATGCTAAGGTATTCAGTAGCAGAGTTTTTTAAGTTATTCTGTAGAGTTGAATTACAAATAACAAGATATCAGGAGATTTGGGACAAATTAATTGTAATATTATGCTTATTGTAGATAGAGGAGAAGGTTATCCTAGTTTTTTTCTTACGCTAAAATTAATAAATATGTTTTTTTTCATAATTTATGAGATTTTATAAAACATGACTGGATGATAGACTGGCGTTCCTCGACCGAACCCCCTCGGTGCCGTGTTATAATTTCCGAAATCTTGTCCTCCCAATACATTTCCGGACAAGTTGGTGTGCAGAGCCATTTGTTGCTGTTGCTGAGCTAATTGTTGTTGTTCCGCTAGTTGTCGTTGATAAGCCTGCTCTTGTTCCAATTGGTAGGCCTGTTGTTGAGCTAATTGTTGCTGATAAGCTTGTTGTTGCAATTGTTGCTGCTGCATTTGCTGTTCATATGCCAATCTCTGCTGCTGAGCCAAGTATTCTGTAATAGTAATGAAAGACATCAAATATTTGAGGATTACTTAAAATTATGTGAAAAAAGAGGACAGGGGACAATGTGGTATTTAAATTTAAGCAAATTTTATTAAAAGAAATTAGAAACACAAAAAAACTTGTTAATTACATAAAGAACACAAAATACGAAAATATGTATATAAACTAGCCTTCAGATTGATTACTTTCACTGTACGCAGCAGAAGAAGCATCAATTGTGGCTGGGGGAGAGACGATCGCTTCGTAATATAAATGTCCCTGTCCCTCCTGACCTTGAAGATTGTTCGGGTCCTGAATATAAATTGGTCGCAGACTGATCTGGCTCTGCTGTGATAGCAATTGTTCTTCCCAGGACTCGAAAAACCTCACTTTCTCCTCAAACGTTGAAGGGACTATGACCACATTGACGGCACCTTGTTGCTGTAACTCGGCTAACGACGCAGCAGCAGCACTTGATGATTCAACAAAATGGACACTTTTCTTCGGCGGAACTTCCGGTGCTTGTTTCAAAATTGGTTTGGGCGACATTGGCGCTGCAGCTGAGACGGATCTCTGTTGTTGAAGTTGCTGATGCATTTTTTGTTGTTGAGCGGTGTAGCTTTGCTGTTTTTGCTGTTGTTGTTGTTGGACCTGGGTTTGAGAGCTGGACCGTGTGAGTTCTTCCACAGAACGAAAGTTGAGTGGGGGTTGGGCAACTTTGGGGGGCATGTGGGACGGGAATTGTTGCTCATCTTGCTGCTGCTGCTGCTGCTGTCCAAATTGTTCTTGTTGAAACATTTGCTGACTTTGGGAGTTCTGGGTGGTTTGCATTAATAGCTGTTGGTTAGTAGCACTACTAGCGAATGAGGAGGCTGAGACTGTAGATGGAGAAATGGAGAAAGCTCACTTTATTATGGTGTAATAAGCCGTTTTTATATGAATATGTATTATTTTTATGGCATGTAGTTGTTTAACATTGCATAGCGTACGCAGTTAAGAAATGTGTAAAAAATGGTATAAATGTAAGTAGCAAATTTTGTTGAATAATTTTAAGTGAGAAATGTTTCGTGTGTTATTAGCTTCATAAAAAAGGAGAGAATACTGAAGTGCGTAATATTTAAGTGTGTTATTAAAATGAATACAATTTTTACGACACGACTTACGCGAGGGTGCTTCTCGGCCCCAAGGTTTAGGCACGGGGAATTTATACGGATCTGCGGCGCCTGTGATGGGGCACGTCCTAATGGGCTGTTGAGGTCCAGTTAGGCACATTCCTTGCCCCGAAATCGGTGGGAGTGGCGAATATGATGCTGGCTCAAATCTGAATGGAATTTGCATAAGAATAAATGAGATTCATTAAATAAATGGAATGGATAATCATATTACATTGTGGTTTGTGCCAGCTTTCTCTCTGCTGCAGCCACGACGGTTTCGACAACTGGGGAAACCGCGGGTCGCATCTCGAGGAAAGCAGTGTCCACAGAACCTGGAAGTGGTAGTACATAAGAGATGTTAGCAATAAATTATTAATAAATTATCATATCTATTTACTAACCAGTCTCTAAAGCCGCTTCCCAAGGAGACTTCACCAACATCACCTTGGTTTGATTGCTAAGAACTCTCTCCTGAAATGGTAAGACGCGCATATACGCATTGGTCACAACGGGTACAAATTATGTTACGTACCTGAATTTCATTAAGTTTCTGGACATGTTCCACCCTAGTTCTGTCAATGAATGAGTGAGGAGGAACATTGGTACCACCCTTGGGTTGATTACTGGGACGCGGGTATGACGGGCTGAACGAAGGTCCGGTACTAAATTCGTTAGAATTTGTTCGACGAACATTTGTCTCGTCAACTACCCAATTTTCAGACTTCTTCCTCCTCCTTTGAGTAATTAAGTTGTTTTTTAAAAAGGAGAAAATAACTGTGCAAATAGTCAAACCTTATTTACTTACTTGGCGAATAATTGTGCACCTACATAAATCGACATAAAATTTTATGAAAATTCACGATAATTTCAAGAGCTAAAATTATTTCCTGAAAAACGCACCTTTTCCAGAAGGAGAATGTAAATCCTTAACAATGTCCTGCGTATAATTACACACCTCGGGCGACAGGGCCGATGGCTCTGAATAAAACCCAGTTTGCTTTAGTTGATTCCAGTCCTGGACATGTCCTCGAGGATTCATCACCAGTTTAAGAAGCGGTTTGGGTTCCTACGTCATCGTGCAAATGTACATCTTGATGACGTAAATCTGTTAATGTAGCATACAAAAAATAATATTTACCTCCGAACCGTACGGAATTCTGTCATCACTCTTCTCCACCGAGGACTCTTCCTGACCACCGCTGAATGTCCCGTCAGGTCCTGAAATTGGGAGAATCGAATTAAAATCACACTCTTTAAAGTCACCATATGTATATACATAATTCCGTGTATGCACAATTATTAAGGGATTGTTAACACTTTGGCCAATCTTGTTGATCACATTATTGGATATTTTTACAAGTATGATGCAGGGATTGGAGGGTTTTTGGTGTTGTTGGTAGTACCTGTCTGTACATAAATTGGTCTCGAAGGGGGGCACGGGCTCAAATTTCGGGCAGGTGACGCTCTCGGAGGTACGGGCCCCACACTTGGAACCCACCCGATTCGTATCGACATTTCGCTTTCTCTTATGTACTCTGCTCAATATAAAAATCTCGCACTTTCTCTAATCTCACTTTTAATCTGCCATAATTAAATATGATTTACACTGCTGGTTAATAAGGTCGTTTACATTTCAAAATTATGAGAAAGTATGAAACGCCTACAGACCGACAGCACAACTTCTTTCCTGATAATGCTGATAAGAATGACTGCAAAAAGTCAAAAGACTTCTTCTGTTTGTTAGTAAAGTCAGTCAAGTCAATCTACTCTTCAAATAAAAGAAATTCTCCCGTCTGCAAATTCTTTAGAAAAAGTCTGAACTTTTAAACAATATTATTCAGTCCCCCACCCAAGCAAAGTACGGACGGATGGCTTATTGAGTGTATGGTACAGTGTTCTTATTCGAATGAGTGAATGGACTCTTGTCTGAATGTCTCTTTCCGTAAACTTCAAATTCTATCTAGTCAAAATCTATCTTGTTATCTATTAAACCGGTTGACTTGGGTATCCTCGTCGTCTTGTCGTCGTTCTTGTCGGTATCATCATCTGGTTGTATCGCGCTTTACTTTTTTTTCCTTACATAATCTCCACCTCCTCGTAGTATCCGTAGTTGTAAAAGCAAAGTCAAAACAGAAGTCAAACGGAGAACAGCATCAATGCATCGAGGAGATTTCTATAAGACAGCAGACATCCGGGTATTTTTATCTTTTCCAGCCACCAACAAACAAGTCGATTCGGAAGGAAGCAGGTTTCGGATGTCGTTGGTTTTTCGTACATGAGTTAGAGGTGAATATGTATTAGAAGATGCACCTTGCATAAAGACACGCCGGTGGGTGCATACTGCTGACTTTTTGTGACGAGGAAATGGATATAATGTACGCACCAGATTTTTTTAAAACCTTGAATAATAACATTTGATGCGACTAGGATTATCTGCGTGGTAAAATATGATGGGGATTTTTGTTAAATTGTGTAAACATGGTTTGCCACCGGAAAAAAATTGGGGGCTTATTTGCAAGATCAGATTTAGAAATGACATGAACGTGGTTTGGTTTTGTTGTTTTGTGTTGTGCATACCGTGACCGAATGTCAGTCGTGTCGGAGACAATTAATAAGAGAATACGGTACATTAATTGTATGAGATTTTGGAGGGTATTTAGATACATAGATTTTTTCTGGAGATTATCTTGATACTTTTTTTATCTATACATTTTATCGTTTTTACCTTCGTGCACCCATTTCACGGATTTCTTCTTTCTCTTAACATACATGGACTGTCCTTTGGAGAGCTTGTTGTGGGAGTCGGACAACGAGTTTGAGATTTTTCTGGCCAGCGCGACCTGTTCCTCGACGGTGGGATGAATTTCCGAGTAGAAGCTGGACGAGCCGAACATTTTTCCAGGATCTCCATGCCATAACAAGATAAATTCATCCAATTAGCTATCTGATTTTGTACGCAAACATCGATCGGGGGTGTTAATGATTCATATAGAGAAAGCAGAATTTTTTCAGTATGCGATAGAGAAAGAGTGTGTGTCAATGTGTTTAAAGTTCTACATACATTACAGTATTTTTGCACATAATATTTTTTTTTGCGAATGTAAAATTGGCCAAAGTGTTAACGCATCTTGGGCATAAATAAATAGACTATAATTAATTAATTATACAGATATGTGTGAAATGTACAGTTAGTAAATACAAGCCGGTCGATCTTAATTATGTAATTACTTAATTAATTATGTATGTATTTATTACATGTATTATTATTAATTACTCAAGCAAGACTGGAGATTAGTTGGATGATAAATATATATTTCGGGTTGAATATCTACCTCTTTTCGAAATCAGCAAGTCATCCGCATCAGGGGCAGGGGTGAAGAGTTTGTGAAGATCGACCGGTCTCGGCTCCTCGACTTTTTCCTCCTATTATTTATCCGAAACAGAGTAAATTTTCATTAGAATATTTTTCTTCACTAATTCCAGAATTAAAGAAAATCAAATGATAAGATTTTACACTTTTCATGTCACGAAAATGAATGACTATGAGCTAAGCTTGACTTGAAAATATTTCTTCTTCCGGTATTCGCCCGAGTAAATAAATTCCATGCGACAAATTAGCCCGATTCACCACATGAAGTATTTAAAATTGAGCCAATTACGCGACCAGACCTCGGAGAAAGAGCATAATAATGCAGACTTTTGTCTCGTGTCTTATTTATGTAATGAACTTGTTTGTTCTCTCGTGGAGGAAAGTATGTATGCACATTTTTCCATGTACATTGGATCGTTCGGTAAAATATATTTATAAGTACGTTAACTGTTTCACTTGGAAAAAGACATTGTGCCGTTGCGTCAAGTCGTGTTGATTATAAAAGTGATTAATAGGACTGGAGGAATTTTTCTATTAGTTTGTGTGCGGCTAAAAAGTTTTCTAAAGTGGGACCAGATGCACTTTTTTGGCTCTAGTTTTCACAAGTTTTTACCTTTAGAAATGGGGGGATTTTATGTGGTATTGTTACATGTGTGGTGTGTCCTGTGTCGTCTGGAAAAGGTACAAACTTTTAGGCAAAATCGTGCACAATTGACAAAACAAAATTTTCTGCCGTAGTCTCTCCTTTCCAGCGAGAGAATAGAAGAAAGCTGCATCCAACCCACCTCTAGCCAGACTTGAGAAGAAGGCGTCTTAAGCCAAAATAAATTCTAAACATGAAGCCAAGATTAACCCTTTTGACAATGATGATGATAAGTAAGCACCACTTATCATGTTAGTACAACTGCCTCGTTAAGATGGAGGAAAGCGATGAATTAATTGCCCTCAGTTACACACCGAATCTGTCAACGCGCTAGGTTTTGGCGTCTTATTAAATGCCGATTGTATCAAGGCGAGACTTGATATTTGAAATTTTCCAGCTTGAATTTTTCGAAATTTTTACCCGAAAATATTCACGAAATGGTTGCACAAACCGTTATACAACCTGTGACAAATGTTCTCACTTACGGGGAACGGGACGATTTTTGCGAGATATGCTCCCAAGCAATTTTTTCATTGTGGAATTTTCAAATATGCAGTTATACGATACCCGAGCTGTGCATATGTGTCTGGCGTTAATGCATCGTCTATGCCCCAGTCTAATAATAATGTTAAGGTAAAGAGAGATTGATGTAGTTATAGGGAAAAGCTTAAGCACTATTTTATTTAGGTAAGCTTTTGTATCTATAACTTCCCGTCCCGGGTTGATTTCATGAACCCGGATGAACTTCTCTTCTTTAGTAACGTTGGCGCAACGGGTGGTAGTTGGCACAGGGCCGATTTTTTGCGCCCTCTTATCAATATTTAATCAAAATGCAGCCACTCACTTGAGCAGTGATTGATGAGAAATTGGGCTAAACGCAGAAATTACTGATTATGTGAATATCATAAAAACTTTCTTCGTAATCTGACCAGAAAATCTGTAAAGGTTTCTATTGGTCATATTGATCCGAAAAAGGTGAACTTTTACTTTTCTGACATAAATTAAACTACAAATATCATGTACGACTTGTTTTCAGCGCCTTGTTTGTCGACGGTATGCATGCACTTATGAAACAAAATGCGGTCTTTGGAGTCATTAGTTGTTATTTTTTTCCTTCGTTTTTTGATACAAGTCTGAAAGATAAAAAGTGTTCAGCCTGTCAAGTAGTCAGTCAGTTTCCCTCATTGTTTCTTAATGTCGTGCCCCTTTTGTCTCGGTTTTCCAACAAAATGAGCTTTGTACGGAAAAGAAGATAAATGAAAAATGACAATATGCACGACAACGACAAGGATGCTGACGACGAAGGGAAAGATTTTTGCATAACCGACAGAACAGACTTATCGGATTCAAGTCTGGCTTGCCCATACGCAAAGCTTGGCAGAGGTTTCAAGAGCGTGGGTTTTTTAGTTGCGAAAGATTGTTTGTTATCTTATAGTTTGATCTCGACTTTCGTTTTGACTTTTAATGCGGAACGCAGATACATGGACCGCCAGCTGAAGGGAGGAAAAATGTTTCGTCGCTGGTTCAAAATTATGGTGTCCTTTTTAACCACAAAATAGATAAATAATAATTTCGATTAATTAAATTTTCAGAAATTTTTTTCAGGTATTTATAAAAATACAAACCAAATGAAGTATTTTATACGAGAGATTCGTTAACAACTCTCGCTTCCTGGGATCAAAACGGTCCGATGGTTTTAACCCGGCTCGGGTGATTACACGCCCCGAACTCATCCCACCCACGATAAGATTTACCACCACAAACAAACACTAACCACAATCTAACCAGTTTTTTTGTCGGATTCGGAAATAACGGTAAAAAATAATAAGTCACTCATTCACCAGGGACCGAGTTCATGGACGGAGAACGAACGAACGAAAACTAAAAATCTAATGAGACATGTACTCGATTTGATTAAGCACGATTATTTATATAAAGAAAAAAAAAGTTTACGAGAAGAGAAAAGTGACACAATTTTGAAAACGTAAAATTGGAAACTTAATTTGAATCTTTTCACAAATAATAATGAAACCTTGTTTCGAGAAAGAGAGAAACCTTGTTTCGAGAAAGAGAGAAACCTTGTGTTCGAAAAGTATAAAAATGTAGGAGGAATTTAACTTTGCGAGATTTTCAGAGAGAAAAGAGCCCGTCTCTTGATGAGGATAGAGAAGAGCTAGCTGGAAAAATTCCTTCTATTCATTGCATTCTCATCATCAAGCTGCACCGTTTCTTAACATTCTGCTGATCCTCAAAGAGAGAGAGGCGAAGCAGGCCAGACCTACTTTCAAGATTTCGACTAGCAAAATCAAATTCGCACGAGCCACACCACACAACCGACCGGCATCTCTTCCCACTCTCATTTTCGCAAAATGCTGAATAAGTATGTACGTGTTATGTATGCAAACCAATACCTTGCCAAATGTACAAGCTGCAAAAAATGGAGGGGTGCCAAATGGACGAAAAAGTTCGAGAAAGTGCCGACGTATGAATGTATGGATAGTCATAATACGTATGAAAATTATGAGAATTAATTAGAGCCGTGATTTTATTATGATTTCGAAAAAATTGCAATATTACTTGCTTAAATGTTTTATATTTGCACAAATTGTGTCGGGAAGGAAAGTGCAAATTTATTTCATAAGTGATACTACCACAAAGTTGAGATATTACAATCAACCTGATTACCGAAATTACCATCAAATCTGCATTTCCCACTTGACTTGATATCCTTTCCTTCCATATTATTACTATTACCCACTTCTTCTTCTCCAACCTATTAACAACTTCACGACGTATCTTTAACTCGTCCTTTAAGCAAAAAGGGTGAGTGAGAGATATGCGATGTTGAAAGTTGAAATGTGACATTTACGACGGCAAAAACCAAGTAAACATTACACACACCACAACATGATCTACATAGGTCTCTCACCAAAAGGAAGCTTCTCCAGCCAGGGCAAAAAAGAAAGAAACGGAAATAAATAGTGGAACGACTTCAAATAAAGTGACATTCGCTAAATCGGTCGAAACGCAACGAAACATTTTTCAAATAGAATAATAATGAGCCCATGATAAAATGCTTGTTTAACTTGAGTCGATTTGTGATGCTGGTGATGCGTTAAATTATAAAATGGCCAAGCAAAAACTGCATGTGATCAAGTTAACAGTTTGGGGTGTCGTAAAAAACGCTACTTTTTCATTCTAATTATTTGTTTTGGTTGCGTCTAACGCAGCGTTACGCGAAATGGGGAGACACGTAAAAAGGTGAAACTCCATGAAATGGGATGAATAGTGGTGGGGGCAGGGTTGACATCCTTTTACCAAAAGTTGTGAACATTATCATCATCGTCGTCATGAACAGTGGCCGCGGAAGCTATGGGGACATTAACATTGCAGGATGAGGGAGAGACGGGGTTGTATAAGATGGACAGATGATGGGGCCATCGAACCACCGTGGGGACATTGTCCCTCTGTCCCCACCCTTCCGCGGCCACTGGTCATGAATGAGGACGACGATCTCATCTCGGTGATAAGTTGTCATTTAATATTTTTCAAAGTAATGCACACTCTGTGTATGTATTTCTGGGAAAAGTGAAAGGATGTAGTGAAAGGATTCTGTCCTTGCTGATATTTTAGTGAGAAACATGTGTGTATCTGTCTGCCTGTCTAACTGTGGAGGATTATATGATTACAAGTTTTAGTTGAAATTCAAACTGAAAAAAAGAAACATAACACTGAGGGAGTTGAGCCAAGTGTAAAATCCTTCTTCCGGTAAATCGTAAATCACTTCTGGACTTGCCAAGTCTCGTCATATTCGAGGAGAGCAGAAATCCTTTAAAAGTCAAACACTCGTAATACAACAAATCCACAATGAACGAGGAGGATTAACCGGTCCCACAATAAAAATAATCTTATCGGGACAATTTGACATGCAAATTTCCATCCCTAATTATAATTGGTTGTTAGAAATACATACGTTATTTTCGGGAGGAAAAATCAACTTACCTTGAAATGAGTTTTATTATTGGATGAAGATGAAGTTATCACAGATTCGTGTTCTATCGTCTCTTGTGTCGTGGTCGTCGTGGATGAAAACGGGGAAAATTGTTGGGGGAATGATGGGATTATGTGCTGCATTACCATTGGGGAGTAACTCGTGGTGATGGGGGTGGTGGTGGGGTGAGCATTATAATTGTTATAGGCAGAGTGTGGCGCAATTCTTGTCGTGGTCGGGGGAGGCGTGGGAGGATTTACGGTGAAGCTGATGGGGTAATAATGCGTCGAGAAGGAAGACGGGGGATTATGCATGTCAAGGGTCGGAGTGGACATGGTCCGTTGTCTCGGACTACTTTGTTGCTGGGAAGGGCGGTTGAGGAAGTAGGAGGACAAGGTGGAACTGTCAGAGGACGCGAAAATATTGGGTTGTGGGGGATGAACGAAGGCTTCCGTTGAAATGTTGACGGGTGGAAGGGGAGGAGGAGGTGCTCTGGGGGGATGACAAGTTGGGAGAGAGTATCGCTTAGTAGTATCTTTTGTGTACTGATGGCTTATCAAATGGTGGGGGAGTGTCTGATTTTGAGGTTGATCAGTGGGGCATGATGGCACTGGAATAATTCGTTGTACGAGTAAGGGTGCAGTTAAGGGCTGTTGTTCGAATTGGAGAGGTTGTTGTGGCAAGGAGTTTGCCTCAGGGGAAAGTTGTGGGGTAACTTTCTCCCTTAAAGGTTGTGATAAAGGTTGCTCTTCTGGTGGTGTGTCTTTTTCGTCGGGGAAAGTTTGTACCTCAGAAACGGTTTGTTCCTCAGAAATGATTTGTTCTTCAGAAACTATTTGCTCCTCAGAAACGGTTTGTTCCTCAGGTGCGATTTGTTGTTCAGGAACGGTTTGTTCTTCAGAAACGGTTTGTTCTTTAGAAACGATCTGTTCTTCAAGAACGATTTGGTTTTCTTCAGGTTGTTCTTCTGGTGGAAATGGTTCAGATTTGGGTTCACTTAATGATTCTTCGCCTGGTTTGGGTTGATCATGAACTTCACCTTCCAATAATTGGGTGGATTCTTCAACGGGAACATCGTCAACAGCACAAGGTGAAAGTTCCTCTGCTGAACCTGCAGTTTTTTGGGGTTCCTCAACTGCCACAACGTCGTCTTGCTCGCATGAATCGTCTACTTTCTCCTCATCCTTTTCCTCCAATGTCACTTCTGGTTCTGGTTCTGGTTTTGATTCTTGTTTCGTTTCAGACTAAGGTGTCCATAGTCAGGTAAAAGTGTATATGGTGAAGGGCAAGTGTGTTTTTTATCGTCAAAAGGTGTGAACAACGGATGAGATGGATGGATGGATGGTGGTGGTGAAAGGTGAAAAATCCAGAAAAAATACAAACAGAAAACACAATCATCATATCACCGGACATTTCAAACAACATAAATACATTTGATGTTTAGAATCATTTTGCATTAATAAAAACAACAATTTTTTTGGTGTATTAAACACGAAAAATCAAATATCAACTATTTTGATACTTTCACTCTACATTTGCGGGTAGCAAATTTTGTGTTGTATGAATATTTCTACCATTTTTATGCAATGTAGGGATAAATATGTAAATGCAAAATATGTAAATATATCCTTCCGAAAACTATATCTATATCTATAAATTCAACAATTCTGAACCTACATACCTGTTCCTGCTGAAAGTGCTCTTCATTCCCAAACCCATTTTCTTGATGATACAAATCAGAATTCAAATCTTCCTGTTGACCCAAATCCACACCCCCTCCGACGACTTCAACTCCCTCATTTCCACGATCACTTCCTCTCCTTTCTCCTTGCGATGGGGGCACATTTTCATAAATGCTCTGTTGAGGTGGTAGTTGCTGCTGAATTTGTGGTTGCGTCGACTGGGATGTAACAACAGTTTTACTTTGACTTGTCGACGACGAAAATTCCGATTCCGACGAGCCCACGACCTTATCAATCTCACTGATAATCTCTTTCAGTGCGTTCTTAATATTTTCTTGTTGAATCTCCTTATTTTCCACGACTTTCTGCTGTTCCTGTGGTGGTGGTTTCGGTTGTTGTTCCACCACTTCCTCCACAATGCTGACCGACTGTTGTGGCGCAGACCCACCCAGCACGACCGTGTTTGACGATGAGGATGAAAATGATTCAAACTTTTCACTCCGCTGGACCAATCCCCCTCCCCAGAAGAAGAAGAAGTCTCGACACAGTTGGAGGACGAGGTGGAGGTAGGATTTGTAGACACGATTGAAATGTCTTGAAATGCCTCCGCCAATGACTTCACCTCAGCAGCAACTGAGCCCGACGTCGAGGTGGAGAAACTCTCTTTGACCTGAAATATGAAAAGTGAAAATATGCACATTACTTTATACATGGCAAAAATATGCCCGATCTGACATCATCCCGCAGCAGTCTGTCGGCTAAAAGAAATCAAAAGATGGTCTGTTTTTGCAGGCATTCATTTGCTCACAAAAATAATAATCAACAAGGTTATCGCAACACCACGTAAGACATGGTTGGTGGTCTCACACTACTTGGAGTGGAAAATGGCCACCAATATCTTTATTTTATTTTTACGCGAAAAATTCATGCAAAACATGACTTACAGATGTGCTAATAAAACTTTGGCAATTATTATTGTCCTCATTACTAAAATTTTATTGTTGGAGGAAGAAGATTTCTGGCAAAAATTGCGAAAAATTTGTTCTCTCTCTGCATGTCCTTCATTTTTATCACCCAGTTTGTAGCTAATGACAAAACTAGTTCACGCACATGGAGCCGATATCTCATCGCTGTTTCTGCACCCACGCCGTACATAAATCCGCCAAAAAAACATACCACCCGTTAAATGAGTCCGTCAGTTATTTAAATGTCGAAAAAGCATGGTTGACTTGGACTTGTTGTTGTTATTAGGCGCATGTTACACAGTGACGGAAAAATATATGGGAAAATCTGTTATCACTTTGATTTGATAGTCCAAACACCAAATGGAGGCAAATAAATCCGGAATTTTCCTCATCCGTTATTCAATACTGTTACACATTTGATGATCTTTTCATCCGGTCGACATACTTGCATATTTCCGACCCAATGTCTAATTTTATTTGCCAGTTGAATACTTGTTAGTTCAATTGGCATTGGATTTGCATGCATGAAGTGAAAAATTCATTCGTAAATCTCCTCGTCCATCTTCTTCTCGTATGCTTTAAACTATTTAAAGCAGCCGACTTTTCTGGGCTAGTTAATGCATTCGTATAGTATATAGCAAATTCTAACCTAGTAGTAATGCAAATCTCCCCTTTTTGCTTGGCAATTGGCCTAATTTTATGTTATTTTAGGGCAAATTTCAACCCTAATAATAATACAATAGGTTAAACCTATATGTGAATAACGTGTAGGTTAGAAATATTTGTTCTTTTCAAGAGAACAAGACAAATACCATCTGTCTCATTTCTGATAATTAATGATGAATAATAAATGAATATGAAGGACACGTACATACAGAAACACACGCACTAATTAAAGTGAGCTTATTAAAATTGTAAATGTACCTCAGAAACGGAGGATGACGACGTCGCAACAATTGATCCGTCCGGATTTTCCGTGATGATCGGTCCTCCCGTCGAGGAGACGATTTTCTCCACCGATTCAATCGACTGCGTCACAGTGTCCATTTTTACAACGGGGTCAACAATGTCCTCAATTATGTTTTCTACAACTGGAAATTCTACAGTTTCTTCTCCCCCAGAAATCCCGACGGGTCTTCTCTTCGTCTCAGTTTGGATTGACAACACTTTTAACTGTACCTGGAGTTCGTCACCGTTATCGTCGTCCTCATCACAAATTGACATGCTAGGGTGGACCAGCCATGTTTCTGTTTTGGGTAGTAAATGTGTATTTGAATGGCTAATCACTAATCACAGCCTCTTAGATATTCTTTCTAATAACAGAGCAATTTTGTTCAAAAAACGCACAAGTTCTGTTCAGACTCAAAGGAAAGAAAGACGCTTATTATATATTTTTACCCAAACTTGACTCTGACACTGCAGCCTTCTTACAACACCACCCACCCACACCTCTGTTTAATAAATACTTGACTTTGTGTTTATTTATTTGAGAAGGTGATGATTAATATGTGTAGTTCAATGTAACGTAAAACGCGTTAATGGACAGATCAATTTCAATTCTTTCCTGCTACAAACTATTGAATGGAAGAGTAGTAAAATTTTTTTCCACCATTCACTATTTAATTCACTAATTCATGAATGCTAGTGGTGTTACCAACCACAAACAAACACTAATAAAATGAGGACGGAAACAATAAGCTAATCTTGGTTTAGAGAATTCGGGCCAAATGGAACGAAACCCAAGACGGGTTTGTTCTTTCCCAATTCGAAGGATTTTTAGGAAGACAATGGCTAATTATATAAGAAAGGGGATGGATTTTTGTACGTACTGCTGCTGCTGCTGCTACTCGATAATTTTCTTGACTCGTGTACAATCGTTGTCGTCGTCACTTGTGGTCTTGGAAGAGGAAGGATAAGGTCTCAACTTGAAGGATAAGCCAAACCAACAACAACTAAACCAGAGCAGACTGTCTCCTATCTGACTGATTGAGAGTCGGGTAAGAGAAAAAGCAAGCCAAGCCGGGTCCGGGTCTTTCTAAAAGCTTATCTTTTTTCCTTATACCCGGTAACCCAGAAAGAAAAAGAGAGTTCTTCTGCATCGAATTGTCCTTGCCGTCTTCTTCTTTAAGAGTATAGATTAGTGCGCTATTATCTATGTATGTAGGGATAGACAAACACTCATTTCTTGGCAAAATAAAGATGATCATCTCAGAGTTTACATTATTCTTACTTAATCTTTGTTTCTCTTATCATTTTTATATTTAGGAAGTGCACAAAGCTGCGAGTTTTCCACATGTAGATATTTATTTTCTCAAATTGCGTAAACCCTCCTCCATCCATCCATCCATAGTACGGAAAAGGACATGAGATTTACAAGAACATGAACATGTGTACATCCCCCCGAGAAAAAAAAATCCTCTCTCTCTTAAGGGCAACACCATAGAACATTGAGAAAATGGGCAATGAATCCCACTTACTAAAGACAGTAAAGTAGGGAAGATAAGGAAGTAATATCTGTTAATAGCAATACGAGACAAACTCTCATCTCGATGATGATGATGATGGTGGTGACGACGACGCGATGGTTGCACTGCATTTTAAAAGTTGGATATGCAATGTTTTGAAGATGTTGCTACAAACGAGCCGAATGTGCTCGCTAGACTATTTTTAAACCGTTTTAAAACATTCGACTGACTAGAAAAGTAGTAGGAAATCTGTGCATGAAGGAGCCACCCTGCCTGTTTTTCCACATACTACTTTTACTACCAGTAGTATTTGTATTACCGTCTTCTTGGGGATAGACCATTTTCTGTCCAACTTGTCTTTATTCATCTTGCACAATCTTATGTGTATCGCGTTTGTGTTTGGCAGGAGGAAATTTATTGCAGAGATAATCCCCATTATATCCGAATTGGATGGGTTTATTGCTAACAGGCGAGAACAGAGATTTCTCGCCTGACTTTTACTCACTGCATGGATGCGATAATATTTTGGGATCAATTAACTGATTTATGTATCTGCATCTCCCGAGTCCTTGGCATATTCGAAATGTGTAGTAGAGCTTGTAGATAATGAGGCAAGGTTACGGCCGCCAATCCATCCACGCGATTACAGATTAAAAATTAACTACTCTACTGATTATTGATGTACATAGTTGCGTAAAGTGTTTATTGCTTAGCGGCTGCGGCGGATGTGTCGATTTGTTCCGGTCTGGCAACTTTGGTAATGTCAACTGTGACATTAATCGTTGCTGAGTTGACTTTTCAAAATTGTTTACTCACACAATTCACTGCTATGCAAACTAAATGTAGAGTTGCCCGGATTAGAAAGGTTGCTTTCAAGTCCAATAACATGTATTTGTATAGCTGAGGACAACAATAATGTTTCCGAAAATGTGTAGGCGAAGGCGCATCATAATGAAACTAAATATTGATGCTTCAAAATGTAACCGACTAATGGACATGACGATCGATTTGTTAACCTACTAACAACTAAACTCCGAGACATTTGTGATCACCGCGTATGAAATACAATGACATGACCTCAACGGAACCTTATGACTGGTGCAGATACATAAACCTCATTCAGTAAATCAATCATCTCTGCTTTCACTTGACTTGTGATTATCATTAGCAGAGCACTTTCGATCCATCCATTTTACACGATGTGATGTATGTAATTGAATTTGGTGGATGGATGGATTCCTCACCTCCTTCTTTCTTTGAAGTTTCTTCTCTTCTATGGAAACAAATTCGGGACAAAATTCATCATGTCAATTCATTATTCTCCTAATTTCATTCACAACGACAAGGAACACACGGGCGTTATTCTATCCAAATAAATAGGCACATTAAAACCGTGTCAATTCCCATCCGGCCATCCGACAGCCAGTCCGCCAATCGATAGTGGGAGGAAGAATACATATTTATTACTTATTACTATATTGTGGAATTTGACCGAGTTCCGCTACTCTACTTTCTCCCACGGAATAGAATTTCTAGTAAAGTAAGCGTACTGCTTCTGCTCATTTATGTACATACATATGCTTAATTCTGATTTGGTTCACAAATTCCAGTTTTTAGGTATTTATTATATTCTGCCATAAGCTACTCAACTCCACAACCAACTACTCGGAGAAAGGAGAAAGTCGAGCCGTTGAGCAGTTCGCATCATCATCGCATCAAAAAAGTCAGTCAGTAGTGTGACAGGTCTGGACATTGAAGCACGCGTGGAAAGTGAGTCGTCCTGCATATTGGTTTGCATGCACTGTTTTTTACATTTTTTTAAAACTATTTATACAGAATGGACATAACGAACGAAATGCTGAACGATGCCACTCTAAATGAGGAAGAAGGAGAAGGAGCTGATATTACCATCAAATCTCGTGGGGATGCCGATCAAGGGAATAATAACAACAACAATAACAAGCGTCCCATCCAACAAACGCTCGGAATCATTAAACCCGACGCGATTGACAAGTCGGATGAAATCATCAATGTCCTGCGACGAGAAGGTCTTGCTATTTTGCAGGTACTGTATTAAGCTAATATTTCACCCTCTTACAAAACAAGGTACTTTCTACAACTGAACTTTTCAGACCCGACGCGTCCAACTAACCCCCGAACAAGCCGCATCATTCTATCAAGACATGTACGAAACGGAGTGGTTTGGAGGTTCTGTCACCAATCTGAGTTCCGGACCGTTACTCGCCCTCATCCTGTGCGGTCCGAATGCAGTCCGCCACTGGTTAGAGATGATCGGACCATCCACCTGGAAGGAGAGGTCGGCACAGCCAAACTGCCTCCGGAACCAGTACGGGGAACAGGGCTGCGACAGCAACAATGCGTTGCATGGATCCGAAAATGAGACCGAGGCGCTCAGAGAACTTCACTTTTTCTTTCCGGAAGGTATTTTTATTTCATACATAATATTTTTTACCAAATCGATACGTACATATCGTATGATTGGCACTGATAATGTGTGCTTGCTTAAGAATTTAGCAATTTTGTTTTCAAGTTTATAATTACATATGTACGTGGATGGATGGATGAAGTTATTGATTTTTCCCCAATATATATTGCATGAACAAAGTAAACTTTTTACAATTGATTGAATTCTTATTCGATGCGTCGACCCATAAAATGAAAGCTACTCCTACTAGCTCTCTTTCTCAGGAGTACGAGTACGTACTTAAATAATACTAAATAAATTGAACGCTTTCTCCCTTTGTTATCAAAACCTTGCCGTATTTTGAGCCACTTGACATTTACTTTGAGACAGATTCGTGTCACGACCAGTATGTGCATACGTTCGTTATGAAAAAGAAATATAATAATTTCAAGGTTGGAATACATAAAACAAGTATTTATTAAACGGCCAACGATCGATGGAAGAATTGGTCAATATTATTATTAGGGAGTTGGATGGAATATTAGGCATTATGGATTTCGCAATAATGAGGCAATGTTTCGAATGTAGAATAAATTACGCGTATACTTTACAAGAGATACATACACGTATACAATTATTAAGTTGGTTGTTTTCATGCAAATGGTAAATGTATTGATTGATTTGTTTTCGAAAAGACGCAGTTTGTTGGGTGAGACAATTTAATTGTGTGTATATACATATGTAAAACTAGTCCGAAGAGTTTGCAAAGCGTGTGTACGGTACAATGCAAACACTTAACGGGAATGGCGATAAGAGAAGTTAGTAAAGGTCACAAATTTTAGTTTTGCTGTCTGCAAGTTAGTTCTGAGTGGCTAATAGCGTGTGGGAAAATGCACATGCTAGATATTTTTATGAGTGGACATGCTACCCAAATTTTTTTTGTGCATATGTATATATGTGCTTATCATCGATGTCTTGTTTTGTCTTTTTTTAGTGATTGTGGAACCAATTTTTGGCGACAATTTGGCATCCCTTTACCTGAATCAGAACGTTCATCCAGGTAAAAATAATCCCTTTTATTACATACATTTGGTATTAACTTTTTCCACTTTTTTTCCAGTTCTAACCGTGGGTTTGTCCAAATTGGTGAGGGAACGACCAGAGGATGTAAGTGCAGGGCATCGACTTGGCCCAATTTTTACCAATTATTTTTATTTTTATAACAACAATAAATTGTGGCATGAAATTTCCTATTTTTTTTTGATAGCCCGTCATGTGGCTCTCAGATTGGCTTTTGGCAAACAACCCAAACAAACCGAAGGAGTTGAACACTGGGGCAGATGTCTGTTCTTAAAATGTGTGCATATAATCTCGATGGACAATCTTGTGGGTGGATGATGATGATAATGATACACATGTCTCGACAGACTTACACGCATAAAAAATTGCATTGTTATTTTTGATCACTGTTCTTGCAAGCTTCATACAAACATGAAATCTCTGTAGTAGTATTTAGATGACATAATGATAATGAATCAGCAATTGTGAACACTGTGAAAAAATTTGGAACAAGAATAAATAATTTATTTCATATAATCTTTTCGTCGAATTTTGTTCAAATCGTAATAATTTTAGTTTGTAGTATCACAAAATAATTTGAGTGCCAACTGGCCGTTTTGGGTTAGGAATTTGTAGTAAAAAAGACTTGGCTAATTTTTGGCGTAAGCAAATTTTGTAAAACTAAGGAGGAGAGACCCTCTATATGCTCTAAGATCTTGATGCCTTTTGCATATGTAGTACCCCAATCGAAGGTATGATAACCCTAAAGTGGTTTGATGCCATGGCCACTTTTGCGCCTGTCACACCGACTCAAAGATGTGGAAACCACAAAGATGGTCAATTTCAAAAATCCAATTTTGCTCGGATTTTGATGAAAGTTACATTTTTGTGATCCCAGATACTTGTGTGATCACATCCAGTAAATAGCAATCTCAAGTTTTTCGAAATTTTGAAATTTTACGAATAATTCATCGGCAGTGAAATGTCTAAATGTATGAATAATTTTAAATATGAACCCAAAATGATTGAGTACTAATCAATCCTGGTTCGAGCTAAGCAAAGCTGTACTTAGGTTTTTTTAAACACCAGTTAAGAAAAATTATAACAAACGAGAGTCGGAATAGACAATACGCTTGACAAAGTTCATATAAATAAATACGTCTTGGATATGGTAAGAAATTAAAATTGTGATGTTAACAATATTTCTGATGTCATATTATTTTATGATATATTATTTTTATTTTTTAGGTGGATACGGTGAGAAATCTGCAACATAATCGTGGGGGTTTGCCAACAGTATTTCGAAAGTTATAATAAACATTTTATTTTTATTTTAGGCGGATACGGTGAGAATTCGGCCATGCCATGAGCAAACTCAACAAAATTTCTGAAGTCAATTAACTATTTTATTTTTAATTTTTTAGGCGGGTACGGGGGTGGATTTTATGGCCGTTAAAAAATTGTCCCCTTAATTCCTTCCTCCTCCTCCCAAATATCCTTCCCTTATTATCGAACCTAACTCCCTTCCTGATCATGACATTGTCCAGCCAGATTTTTACAACACTTGCTTACGCCAAAAATTAGTCAAGTCTTTTTTTTACTACAAAAATTCCTAAAACCAAAATGGCCAGTTGGCACTCAAATTATTTTGTGATACTACAAACTAAAATTATTACGATTTGAACAAAATTCGACGAAAAGATTATATGAAATAAATTATTTATTCTTGTTCCAAATTTTTTCACAGTGTTCACAATTGCTGATTCATTATCATTATGTCATCTAAATACTACTACAGAGATTTCATGTTTGTATGAAGCTTGCAAGAACAGTGATCAAAAATAACAATGCAATTTTTTATGTATTTCTGTTGAGGCATGTGTATCATCATCATCCACCCACTAGATTGTCCATCGAGATTATGCACATTATAAGAACATTTTTGAAATTTTTAATATAAGCCAATGTTTGTAAAGTGCATTTTATCACTGAAGTGTATATAAATACTCAAGTCGGATAAATAAAGCTAATTTTGAGCTAAAAATTATTTCAGGTATAAAATTAAGCATTTTAACGACCACAACCTAGGATGTGCCCGGTTGCACAGTGTAACTTACACTAGTCACTAGTAAATCGTCTCAAGCCGACATTTGTCAAATATTAATGGGAAAGTAGACTTTACTTTTCACCACTTCATGACCACAATAACTTCCTGCTGGAAGCGAAAAATTAACGGGACACTGACATCCCTCGATGTATTTGGAATTCACGGTCAAAAATATGCTATTTCAATTCAGAAGAATAGATAAAGTTATGAGACTGGAAAAATACGAATTCTGTTGAATTTTTTAGAAATAATTATTTCCGATTTTTGACATTTTTGTGATTGATTAAAAATTAAGTGGAAAAAGGTCTGGTACATTTACAAGTCATTTTTATTGTCTGGATCGATTGATGACGTTTCATGAATTTGAATTTAATTGACCTTTATGAATGAATCCTAATTGTTAAATGTTAAATATGCAAATTTACGCTTGAATGAAATGAAACTGAGAACAAGTAAGTAATTTTATGTTGCGTACATACTTTGTGTTTTATTATATTACAGAAACAATTTAGGATCATGATCAATGTTGGCTGGTTGAGTATATTTTCATATATTGTAAAACAAACTTGAATAGAACGTTCACGGGTTTTTGAAGGGACGAGACTTAAATATGAGAATTAAATACTGTTCTAATATTAGTAAGGGTTGCATTGCAGTCTCACAAAAAACAATAATAGTGGGCACAATTTTGAGATTGTTTCGAATTGATGGCATCATCAGGTATAAGAAATATGTTCTGGATCTGTTATTATTAAATACTTCTTTTCTGATACAAATATTAGTAGACATCTCTACGGTTTTCGAGTATAATACTTGAGTTTAGTGAAAAATTGTTAGCTTTCTGCAACCACGGTCGCTTTTGTCAGGCAAATACATATACATAAGCATCTTGATAATCATACTTTTACAATGGTGTCACTTATAAATAAATACGTCAATGTGTACAAATATCCCGAGTAAAAATTTGAGCAGATTTCCTGCAGAAAATTGGACCAATTTTATATAAGCTTTATGCATAGAGATTTATGAAGAAACCTATGCAGAATTATGCAAAATTATGCACATATGGTTCTGCAGAATAGTAGCGACGCAAATTTTCTGAAGGATTATGTACAAAAATTATGCATAATACAATATGCATAGGGTTTTTGTCAATTTCTACAGAATTCGACACAGAGATTTCTACTCGGGATAGGAAAGAACTAAATATATAATTGGTACTAATTGTCAATCTGGTAACTGGGATATGAATCATCCTCTGTTCGTGCGTGCGAAAAATTGTCATAAAATGCAATTAGTATTTAATATTAAGTGTACAAAATATTTGAATATTATATACAAGGGATATGTGATGGGTTATTGACACCATGATGGACTGTTTTCTCCAGGTCGGCCATGATGCATTGCCCTGACATGAGTGTTTAAATCGGCTTTCCTTCCGAACTTCCGCCCACAAAGATCACAGGTGAACTTTTTCATGATGGACTACGTCAACCTGCGTGTTGAGGAGGCTCTTCTTTACGAATTTCTTGTCGCACAGAACATGGGAATTTCTTGACCCCCTCATGTCCTGTCCTCTTGTAGTGGTCTAGCTCTCCTTTTGTGCCGAAGCTTTTGGCACACATCACAAGCAAAGACCTTGATGCCATGATGGACGGTTTTAGCATGGGTGGTTAGATGGCCTTAAGGTCTTGCCGCAAACGTAAAGTCCCTGACCCCTTCATGCACTGTCCTCTTGTGGTGGTTTAGGTCTCCTTTGGTTCCGAAGTTTTTGGCACAAACATCACAAGCAAAGTCCTTGATGCCATGCTGGACTGTCTTCTTGCGATGGTCGAGATCTCATTTTGTGAGAAACAACTCTACATGTTTCGCAGAGGAACGGCTTTTCCAGAGTATGCGTTCTGATATGAGCGACCAGTTGACTGGGTTTGTTGCAGAACCTTCCACAAGTTTCGCAGATGCACTTGCCAAATCCATGACGGGACTTTATGTGGAGCCGGAAAGATGAGGGTGGTGTTTCGAATTCTTGATCAAGATCGTTACATTTGCAGGTCATGCACTCTATATGTTCTTCCGGACTATAGTCCAACACAGAAGCACTTGGGACAGTAGGAAAGATTTCCTTCAGATATTCTGTTGACCAAATACTGTCAGGTGCCGATTCTGAAGGATCAAAAAGGTCTCTACGTTGGTTCAGAGTATAGGGGTCCACATTCCCAAGAGCAAGTTGAAATTCCAGATCTTCATGGACTTGCGTGCCAGCAAAATTGTCCATCTTCTGACTTTGATCCTCAAGGTATGGCGTTAGCGGCACGACAACTCGTTCCTCAACATCATAAACGAGTTTGTGATTGAAGGTAAAGATTGATTTTGCACATCTGTCTAGAAAGTCTGCCGGGATGGTCTTTTGAGGGAAGTCCTTTGCAAGACGTCCAACAATCTAAAACGATTCAAATGATTACATTAATTAAATAATCAATTAATAATTGAAAATTACCTCCTTGAGGTAATTGAAAGCTACCTCCTTGATACCCCCATGAAGGATGCTTCCTGACAATTTTCAGAATTGTCTCAATTCCGATGCCGGGGATATTTTTGGAATAGTCACATCCACTCAGCACGCATATCTGAATGATCTTGTCCCGAGTCAACACCTCGGGGTCCTTTATCCCGAAGCAGCTCGCAAGCAAGCAAGCAAGTTGACCATCAGCTTAGAAAAATACAATAAAACCTACAATTAGTTATAAATTATTTGTTTTACTACCCGGTTGCACTCATTACGTGGTAACAAATTACAACCATGGCGGTAGAGTCACACATATGTTGTCATCCCCAATGCCAATGTTAGCGGATTACTACCGGAGTAAGTACGTTTCTCTTGGCATCGGGCATGGGTTTGACCTGAATGCACTTGCCGCACTAGAATAGGATTTTGCCAAGCTTTATTCATACAAATTTCCCCCGTGACGGTGGAAAAGGTCGATGATGGGGTAAAAGCTTTTTCCTTCTTTCTGAGCTTGGCAATGTCTGTTTATTTTTCTTAAACTTACCTCGAACGGTGCCACCAAGATGTCGACGCCACGAAGTTTCCTGAGCTCGGAGAGACAATTCTCAAGGATGGATGGCCAAAGGCTGGTCACTGGTCCAGATGAGGTAGTGGTACCGTCGTGTCTTCTTTTACGGGCCTCCCTCCGGTCGTCCTGGGTCCTCTTCTTGGCGAGGAGACGACGGCCGCCGGCAACGACGACCACTTCGACACCACTGTTCACTAACATTTTGATGTATTTTGTGACGTAGCCTTGGGTTCGGAGGTCCTTGTTCCCATCCGGGATTTTCTGGCAAGAGCACAACCCCTTGTAGAAATAACAGAAAATGTCCACCCGCACGACCCATCCCTTTATTTGTCCTACATGTACGGATTCACAAGAGTCCTTAATCTTAGGATAGAGTCTGGGCCAACCATTTTGAATATTTTTTCTGATTTTTTTAATAGATT